AGAGTTTACCCTTAGCTAATTTAAGGGCTTGATATATCTATTGCTTCTATCTAACCTTTTTTCTACTAAACTATCTAATTAACCTCTTAAAATAATTAAATAGCTTATTATAGATAATAAAGATAATATAAATAGTAATATCCTTTATTTTTAAAAGGACTATAGTAAATTAGAAAAATAGCTAGATAATATTAAGAAGGTAGTCGATCTAGCGTTATTTATCTATATCGATTTTAAGATAAGGATAATTATATTTAGAGTAAAATCGATTAAAGACTAGTTATAACTATTTTATATACTAGAGTATTAAAAAGGTTAAATTCTATCTAGTTCAGATATCTTGAATTAGAACTAATCGAGGGTAATCGGGCTAGAGACTAAGGAAGGACTCCCGATATTAAAGGCTTATATTAATAAAGATTGTAAGGTTTCTAATCTAAAATATAAAGTAGGTTAGTATTTTAACTAATAAATAAAGAGTATAGATATATATCTTTATAAGAGTTATTATAATATCTCATTTTTATATTTTTTAATAGATATATTAAGTATATTCCTTAGACTAAATAGTCTTAGTTACCTTATTCTAAGGGTTTATTTTTATCTAGCTAAATAGTTACTTTAAACTTAATTAAATTATATATATAATATATAGAACCTAAATAATTATTATCTTAGAGTTAATATCTAATAATTAAATAGAATCTTAGATACTTAAAATAAGGATAGAGTTATTCGATATATTATTAGTTATTATTATAAATACTTAGTCTTCGATCTAATATTTCTAGAGGATATTAAAGAGGGTTATACTAAGATTCTATCTAGAGTATATACTAGAAATAGGTTTAAAGCTAAATAAAACCTCTCGATAATTCTAGTCTATATTAATAAAATAGCTAGAGATAGCTATAAATACTTATTAAAATAGTGATATCTAATAATTAAAACTAATAGAGAGCTTAGTCTTAGATAGAAGCTTCTAAAATAAATCTTTTTATTAATCTTAGGTTATTCCCTAGATTTAACGCTATATAGTTTAATAGGAAGGGAAACTAAGGATAAATAATAATAATTAGATTATTCGAAGAAGGGCTTAGAATTCAGGATACTCGATAGTTTAAAAAAGAAGCCATAAGGTAGTTATTATAGTAATTAACTATTATTTCTATAACTCTTAGATAATTAGCTAGGCTATTCGAGGGGAGTTCTTAGTCTAAGAAAGATTAGCCTATAAATTAAATAATAGCTATATAATATACTATATATTCTATAAGATATTAGATTATTAAATATTTAGTAGTACTTTAGCTTTTCTAGTATATACTCCGATTCTAGTAATATTAGAGACCTATTATCCTATTCTTAATATAGACTAGATAGTCTATAACTTTACTATATTATTTATATAGGAGCTTTAGCTCTCCTATTACTAAATATATAACTTAATCAAAATACGATTATATATTAGTCTATTATAGACCTTTCTAGTTTATCTTCTTTATAGTATTATAAGAACTACTAATTTAGGTATTAAGCCACTAGTTTAAAAACTCTGCTTTATTTATACTATCAAAAATTACCTAGGTCTTTTTCCGATCGTCGGATCGTTTTAGTATTAGTAGTATAATAGGAGAGAGGCTTTGCTCAGTTTACTGGCTTTCTAGTAGTTCTAAGAGGGTATCGAGAAGTTAATTAGAATAGAAAATAGATAACTTAAACCCCTTACTCTTAATAAAAGAGGGAGGGTACGAGGTAGATAACTAAGATATAGAAGAGATATAGTAATAGTATATTAAAATAAAGGACTCGAGATATAGAAAAATAATCTAAGGTAAATCATTATAGATTCAGAGGAATATATAGGTCTAATACTTATTTCTTATTAGTAGATAGGATTCGGTACTATCCTAGTACTAAATTTTATAACTAATCAGAAGATACTCTACTATAATATATACGAAGCTCATTAGATAGTAAGAAATAGATTAACAGGTTAATCTATAGATTAACCCGTTAACCTAAATAATTAGGTAAGAATAATGCCCTAAGACTTTTATTTTTATCCCCTAAAAATTTTAATCTAACCAGCTAACCTTTTTACGTAGGTATATTAGAACCGGGGCTATAAGTAAACGCGTAGATAGATTAAAACCCCGGTTCTAATAGAGGTAGAAAGACTACTATAAAAAGGTATATATTTTATTATATCTAGTAAAAAAGGGACTATATAACCCTTTTATAACGAGAGACTCAAGATATAGAAAAATAATCTAAGGTAAATTATCGTAGATTTAGGGGAATATAGGTCTAATACTTATTTCTTATTAGTAGGTAGAATTCAGCACTATCCTAGTGCTGAATTTTATAACCAATCAGAATAGGCTCCACTAATATATATAAAGTTTATTAGATAGTAAGAAATAGGTTAACGGGTTAACCTATAGGCTAACCCGTTGACCTAAATAATTAGGTAAGAGTAATACCCTAAGATTTTTCTTTTTATCCCTAAAAAATTTTAACCTAACCAGCCAATATTATTATTTTATATAAATTCAGAAAAAATATTTAAAATAATTCTTTTATATAAATAAGACTATAATATACTTATATATTAATAAAGAAATATTAGATATTAGATTTATATCTATTTTATTGTTTCTAATATATATAGTTTATTTATATAAAAAGTAGAAGTACTACTACAGACTTCAAATATATATTTTTAGGTTTAGTATAAGAAATAGTTAACTAATATCTTCTTTCGCCTATATCTACCTATTATAAAATATAATTCTTATCTTAAAGTATTAAATTAATAAATTAATATATTATATATTCTAAATATATTATTACTATATAATATTCTTTTTATAAAGAGTTATAATTATAAGTTATATTAGAATAAAAACAGTATTTAACAATAGTGTATTATTAAAAAAGGTAAGCAAATTATCTATCCTAATTAAGAAATTTATGCTAAAATAGGTTAAAAATGGGTTGACCCGTTAACCCACGGGTCAACCCATGGGCGGGTCAGGATTTTATTGACCCGACCCATGGGTCGTGGGTTTGGGTCATGGGTCAAGATCTTTGACCCATGGGACGGGTCTGTCCATGTCTAATTCTGGTTCCGCGGGGGGATTATTATGAGCTTTATAAGCCTGATTTATCGACTTCCTAGCTTCTTGGCCCGTAAAACCCTCCGTATGAGCTACGCGTTTAGTAGTTCTATTGCGTTTTTACTTTTGTGTCTCGTTTTTATCCCGTAAATCGCGGATTTCCTTTAGAAGGATTGTATTAGAATACAATAATAGCTAATAGCCCTTAAGGAGCTGATTTATAGCTATATTCGCAGGCGTTAGAGGGCTTTACGAGCGTTTCTTAAGTAGTGCCTTGATTAACGAGCCCTATCGATTTAATTGTTTAAGATTTGCTGGCGTTTTAGGGCTCCACGCGCTCAATTAGCTTCCTAGTCGACTGCCTAGGGGGTAGATATCCGAAGTTGAATATTAAGCTTTGAAATAACCTGATCGGGATTATATAGTACTAAACTAGCTACAGCGAATGTATTTTGTATAATCTCTGGTTTGAAGGCTTCCTTACGAGCTTATAGGAATACCGCAAGGAAATCAAGCTCATCGATATAATTGACCCTTAACCGTGTTTTGCGCTTAATTAAGCCCCTATATACACGTTTTAGGGGGGCAAAACAGCCTATATCTAAAGGCTATAATAGATAAGACGAGTACGGTAGTATATAGATTAGAATAATATTATTTTACTCGTATAATCGATCAAAATAGAGGATTAAATAACTACTATAGCTATCTAGAACTAGTAATCGATATTTACCCCTAATACGACTAGTAGTCGTAGGGATAAATAGCTTTTTTAGCTATCGAAGCCCAATTTCGTCTATAGTCCAGCCATTCTCACTAATTTCGATTCTCCAATCGTCGGGTAGGTTATCAAACTATATATATTATTAGTACTTTGACAATTTGAAGATAATACACGGTGGGAGTACGAAGCCCGTTGAATTCACATATTCAATTGATGTGACCTATTCGCGATTCCCTAGCTGTAGAACTAACCTCCGACTGTAGTATTCAGCTCTTATGATCACTTTTGCAGTAGCTATAAGCCCCATTGCAAAGCCAGTTTCATCAAAATTATAGATATCCTCAGGTTGGATACCATTCTCATCGATCGTACGTCGTACAAGCTCAAACCATGGCCGAATAACGCGGGGATCTTCGCATTTTGCACTCTGGTAATTATACCGTCGTGAATACCGCGATTTGAGCTCTTTATGGCGATTGGTATAGTTGTAAACCCATTTAGATCCAACCACTCCCCCGCCACGCTCGGCGAGTAGAATATTGGCCATATCCCTCACCATACTAGGTCGGGGAGCTGATCCACGCGAATCCATCGATAGAACCCATTGTAGGAGCGATTGCTCTTCGTTAGGAGTCAATTTATAATTGTTGGCGCGGGTCTCAGGGCGAAATGGTCGGCCATTCAATCGATGTTGGAGATTTGTATAAGGTACTTGGAATCGGCGTGCAGCCTCGCGAATCGAAGGAATTTCTTTGTTCTGATAGGCTTGTATCGCAAGCTGAATCCTACCCTCCTGCTCGATAGAACTTCGTGAATTTTGACTGCGAATTGGGGGCATGGTAAGTAATTGAAGTGAGGAAGTTGACGCGTTGGGGCGCGATCGCGTCTTCTGATCCACTCGCTTACCGGTTACGTTAATCTACCCGTGATTCTTCCGCTGCTGAGATATTACCATGTGGCTTGCCGCAATGGTGGCAAATTGGCAATAGTCGGATGTCAGGATTTCTACTGGTATTGCTTTGATATTGTCAATGTCAAAAGTGCTTCGCTCTATTATGGGGAACAGATATGATATTGTAGTGTTAGGATAACATGTTGGTATGCGTCTTTGTCCAAGCATCATTGATTCTTTTTCTCGATTCACTCGTGACGAATTAAAAAATAGCAATAGCATTGGGCGGACTAGCAACACCACCATAGAGGTTGAGAGGTTCGCTTGTAAGCATGAAAGTCCAACGGCCGAGTTTTGTACAAGTTTCACTCAGCTCTTCCAAATTCCAGCATTCACCTATAGGCATCCCCCATCCACTTAGGAAAACCTACGCGAGTCAGTAAAAACACCCTTTCAATTACCACATGCGGCCCTAGTCACTTACCTCGTGCATACACACACCCCACGGTTTTGGTGACGGCCATGCCTCGTACGCCACAGTATCACTAGCAACCGCCGAAAACCCTTGCTCCCAATGCCATCGAATCGCCTCCGCCGTGGCTTCAACTCCACAAGACGCACGGTCATCACGTCCTCCCAACCGCTTCTTCTCGGTATCTGTTAGCTGCGAATACGCAGCAACCCACCCTGTACGAATAACAAGAATGTCACCACGGCGAAAAGTCACACCTTCCTCCCTTGAAACCTCAAGTAGCTCACGAAGAGGAATGTCCTGATTCGTAAACGGGTGATGAGGCAGATTCTTTCGTTGTGCATATCCATACCAATCAAGGAGAACTCCCCGGGTCACAATCGGTTTCTCTGCCATATCTGATAGGATCGTCCTGTCAACAAACCAGAAGACGTCTCATATCACGGAGCTATCTTACTTTGGATGCCAATTCTATGACTGGTAGACATATCTTCTTGAACAATCCCATTATAGAATTGTCTGGTTTCGGAATACGGGTAATGCCGGAGTCCATCCCAGTGGCTAGAGCTTTGTGTGTTGAAATCGAGCTGGTGACAGTCAGCAACCTTGGCCTATCGAATGTCAATAAGCCACCAACCTCGTCATCATTGGCATGTCCCTTGGCGATCAATGTATGCGCGCATGGCTTTCGGCGGGGGTTCATGGGCTTCAGCGGAACATGCAGAGGAAGACTTCGTGTCGTTAGCATGACGAGGAAATGACAAAAGAAGGAGAATCATCACGGATAACACTACTTCAAATTAACGACTTTTCCATGAATAGCTTCTGCCGAAGCAGCGCGCACGACATCGTCGGTGATCAGATTCAACGTCCCCCGCTCATCTTGATTCCCCCAGAGGCCCCAAGCAGAGCCCTTTGGATCGCCCTGCTTTAATGGTAGCTCGTCAAAGCGTGGACGAGAGACAGCTGATACTGAAACAGTGTCACTGATTCCGGAGGATTCGAGAGCCTTACAATGACCGAACTTCGCAAAGATCCATTGGAAGGACGTTCGTAGATTTGTGAGACTCATATTTGCAAACGCAAATAGTGTCTGGATGAGCACTTTCTGAATAGCTTGTTCCGGTGGGATTGAGGAAACGAAGGAGAATCGTATCTAATATCACCACCAGCCTCGGTCCAGGTTTACGAGCTTCTGGTCGGAATGTTGCCGAATGCCGCGTCGGCTTTCAGGATTCCGCGCTCGGCTTCTTACCGAGCACCGAGACTATTAGAACACCACAAGACGCACGGCCTGAAAAGGGATTCCTTGTTTCATGGCAGTCAGTCCTCATCGCTTTCACAATGTCATCCGAATTCAATATTCTCACCCCCAATGCCATGCTTGGCTATGGCTACCGGGTTGAGCATTTCTGGTATGGAATTGAGAAGTTCACCCCGAAGGCGATTATCGTTGATAGCGGGTCGACCGATGGCGGACCCTACAAGCTTGGCCTAAACAAGATGACCTGCGGCCGTGATTCTTACATTCGTGATTTGACACCGATTCTCCAAGCCTGCTTCCACAAAAAGATCCAGGTCCTGATTGGGTCGGTCGGTGGCGATGGCAGCGACAAGCATGTCCAAGAGATGTTCGAAATCGTCCAAGAAATCGCCGCAAGGAAAGGGTTTTCCTTTAAAGTTGCCACTATTTCGGCTGGCTTTGAAAAAAATCTCTTGACGCGGCGCATTGTCAGTCAAAAGGTTGGCCCATGTGGTCCGGTGGAAGAATTGACGGTGGAAAGCGCCGACCGCGCTATTGACATCGTTGCGCAAATGGGCGCTGAGCCGTACGTCACTAGAGATCGCCTTCTTCTTGCATTTTTTTTACTAACGTTTGCCACAAAGGTTTCTGAAAGCTCTAGAAACTTCTCCTGATATCATTCTAGGAGGTCGTTGCTATGACCCAGCTCCTTTTGCTGCGCTCTCTATCTATCACGGTGTACGTTCTGGCGTAGCATGGCATATGGGCAAGATTATGGAATGTGGCGGTATCTGCGCACTTCCCAAAGGACGGTCAATGATCGCCACAATGCGGAAAGAATCTTTTGATTTGACTCCCTTGTCGCCAAAAGAGAGATGTACTCCTCTCTCGGTTGCTGCCCATACTTTATACGAGAAGACACGTCCGGATCGCCTGCCGGGGCCCGGTGGAGTCCTGGTGCTTGATAACGCCTCATATGAACAGTTGACGGAGAAAACCGTGCGTGTCAGCGGTGCCGAATTCGAGCCTACGCCTGTCTACCAAGTCAAATTAGAGGGTGTAGAGAAGCTGGGATATCGTACCATCTTTATTGGCGGTATCCGCGACCCTATTCTTATTGGGCAAATCGACACCTTTCTCGCGGACGTGCGCGAGTATACCCAAAGTCTGTTCCCTGAACTAGACAAGTCACCACAATGTCAGCTGTTGTTCCATTTCTATGGTCGCAACGGAACAATGGGTCCACTTGAGCCTTCACCCGCCGTCGGGCACGATCTTGGTATTCTAGGAGAAGTTGTTGCCCCGTCCCAGGAACTGTCATATACAATCGCCAATAATGCCCGCGCATCAATTCTACACATGCCCTACAAGAACCAGATCGCAACAACCGGGAACTTTGCGTCTCCTCTCTCTCCTCATGAGACTGCCGCTGGTCCTGTTTTCCGCTTCAATGTCTACCATCTCGTTGACCTCGAGGCCGGTGAAGAAACAACGCTATTCCCGATAAACATAAAGACGATCACCAACAGCCCTTCTCCAACTGAAGATGCCGCTGTTCTTGGTCTTTCTGACCTTGAGAGGCAAATTCTTCTCTCCGAATCCCTCGAGCCCTTATCTTTTAAACCGGTGCCACAAGGGGAGTGTCAAATGATGGAAATCGCCAAAATTATCAGGTCCAAGAATTCAGGCCCATTTGAGATGACATTCGACATTATGTTCGATACTATGGAGGCTTACGATCGGGTCAAAAACGCCAATATTCTGACTAATGAGCGTATAACGTCTCTATATCACCTGAAACCCGAAGATATCATCGTCAATATGTTTTTCGAACCTGCGTTGGCATGGAAATGCACGATTCGCAGGCCCTGGGAGCAGGGAACTGTGGGGGAGCGTGACACGCTGGGCACCCAGCAACATGGACCCCTTTTGTCCATCGTCGTCCCTGCTGTCTCCGATCTCGTTGTTAAGCCTAGCTCAATTGATAACGCAGGCCTATCCCTGTCCCCTCGGGATCGCTCCAATTTTTCGGCCACGGACAGCGTTCAATATCTATGGACGACTCTGGGCTTGCCTGCCGCATCACTAGAAAATCTTAGGCTCCCTGGCAAGGGTCTTGGCTTGCCCTCTTCCTTCAAAATCGGCCACATTGCGCAGGCTTCAATTGGTCTTTCTGCCTTGCTTGCTGCGCAGATCTTTGCTCTTCGCACCGCTTCTTCTGTGCCCACAGTGACGGTTCCTCTAGAACATGCGGCTATTGAATTTAAATCGGAGAGGCTATACACACTGGCCGGTGAGCCCGCCCCGTCACCATGGGGGCCTATCGGTGGCTTGCACAAAACTTCAAATGGTTATGTGCGTGTGCACGATTCCTTCCCTAATCATCGGAATGGGGCTCTCGCTCTAGTCGGTTGCAAGCCGAATGCCACTCGTGCGCAACTAGAGCAGAAAATTAGAGACCGGTGCTCAGTCGACCTTGAAACGGCCGCTTTCGAAAACCGCCTTGTCATTTCTGCCCTTCGGTCATATTCTCAGTGGGACGTGCTCCCTCAGGCCAGGCAGATCGCCGATTTCCCGATCACCCTTCGAAAACTCTGTGATGGGCCAATTGGTCTGCCTTCGACGATGCAATTGCAGCCCGATAAGGCTCTCCGCGGCTTACGTGTTCTCGAGTTGTCCCGCGTCATCGCCGCGCCCCTCTCGGGAAAGACATTGTCTGTTCATGGCGCAGATGTTCTCTGGGTCACAAGCCCTAACCTTCCCGATCTCCCTACCATGGACCGTGACTTCGGCCGAGGCAAGCGTACAATTCAGCTTGACCTAAACACCCAATCTGACCAAAATGAACTTTCTGAGCTACTCGAGGAGGCTCATGTGTTTGTACAAGGTTTCCGCCCTGGAGGTGTCGCCCAGCGTGGTTTCTCACCAGATGTTCTATCAAACCGCTTCCAGCATCGCAACATTACCTGTGCCAATATGTCTGCCTACGGGCCTGATGGCCCCTGGTCAGATAAACGAGGATTTGACTCCCTGATCCAAACGTGTTCCGGCATGAACGTATCGGAGGCGGAGCACTTCGGTGCTGGGGAGGTGGCTCGTCCCACCCCCTGTCAAGCATTAGACCACGCTGGAGGCTACTTCCTGGCTTCTGGTATCATGGCAGCGTTGTATAAGCAAGCGACAGAGGGCGGGTCCTGGCAGGTTGACGTATCTTTAGCAGGTGTGATGAAGTATCTTCGCTCTCTTGGACAGTTCGAAGGAAAGTCAGGCTTTGAGACACAAGACTTCACATGCACCAAAGACGTCCCTGAAGACTACTTGGAAACTCGGGAAACAGGTTTTGGAGAAATGACTGCTATCCGACACTCTGCTTCAATTGAGGGAGTTAATGTTGGCTGGGATATTATGCCCAAGCCCCTCGGTTCTGATGAAAAGAAATGGCTGTAGGATAATGAAGAGAAACAAATTCGAAAACAGATTACCCCTCAGACACTCACGCTTTGTTTTCCAGCAACCCACCCAAGATCGCGCTAAGCCGAGTTCTGTCAGGCAAAGTCCTCGCCATCTTTTCTCGATGTATTTCTAGTAGATCACCAAAGTTACCGTAATTATAGGTTCCGGCATTGGGCAGAACATACTTGCCGAAACGCCCCGCTTTTCCCTCCCCCCTAACTCTCCCACCCCCCAACCCCAAAAGATTTTACAACTGATCAAGACGTGCCAACTGCCTTCTAAGACTTGAGGTTTTTATTTACCTAGTATCATTAGCATCTGAAATCATAAATCCCATCCTGATAGGGAAATTACTAATATTACTGGACACTTCCCTAGGTCCGATGTTGGGGTTCATCCCAATATGGTGAGATCATAGACTTGGAATGAGAAAATGCGCAGAACTTCAATCACTTCTAAGAAATAAAACATAATATTATCCAAATTATCCAAATATTTCCTCGGAAGTGAAAGCGAGTTTTAGCGACAGGATTGAGGACAGCTCTTTATCATGCAAAGCTTCCATACACATCCTCTTGGTGCTCCCGGCTGGATCGCCCGTGCTATACAATGCGCCAGTGCAATTGTTGTGCTCGGAATCACAGCCTGGGCAGTAAGGGATACGAAGACGGTTACAGTGATTTATTCTGTGACTATTGTATGTTTTTCACTTGATAAAGGAGCTGCTAATAACATCATCGAGCTGCTAACAAAAATATCAGGCTGCGTTGACTGTGGTGATTCTGGCCGTTGCGACAACTGTAAGCTGCATCACAAGGCAGCGCAAATGGCATATTCTTCCATTAATCGCGACTGACATGGTTCTCTCATATCTGTTAGTAACCTAGAGCAGAAAGTGTCATTTCATTTCAAAGGTTCTAACAGTCAAACCTAGTTGGCTCACTTCCTTTATTTTCCTGGCCGACGATTTCAATCGGGTTAGTTGTCGAACAAACCTCTGGAATGGATTGACAGTCTGCAGTCGCAAGTATACTACTGAAGCATTTGCTTTTATCGCGTTGTAAGTATGCCATCACCTACATATGGTTTTTTGAATTAATGCTTTATAGCTTCACCTCACTCATGGCTCTGATCTTTGAGATCTGCTATATCTACTACGCAAAGCCTAAGGCTATGCAGCCAATGGGGGAAGGGAGACCTGAAGAGCGCATCGCTCGGAATTTGAACCAGGCTGGCTTGCTGTAAGATTTAAGGTGGAGCTATATTGGAGTTCACATATGGCAATAAGAGATGGAAAAGGATCGATGAAATAGGCTTGAGGTCTTTTCATAGTAGGAAAGTCTTAATGGGGTATATGCTTTAAAAGAAGGGGTAGTAAAAAAAAAGAAAAAATTCAATGCCTCATTGCCCACTGTACTCAAAAGTGTTGAAAGATGCATGTGACGCCTTTTCTATAAGGCATCATCTTTCGGTCGGTCATCCTTGTCTCCGAAGCCACCGGCAAGCCGCAGGAGCTTATGCAGTTTGCTTCTTCTTTTCTTATATGTTCTAACATGTTTCTTCGCTTGTGGTGAGTGAATACTGCAAGATACGATGGATTACACACTGGAATTTGCTCGATAACAAGATACAACCATCAGGGCAGACCGAAATGGAAACATGCCGCAGAAGGCTACTATCAAAAGCATATTTCTCTCTCGCACTGTAGCTCGTAGTCAATAATAGAGGTCTTCTATTATAAACGGCTAAACTTCGGCACCACGGATCGATTGGGCCGAAGGAATGAGCAGCTGTGACCACGTGATCGCATAGATGTTCAACAAGATAAAGGAATTCGTCCTTGAATACGCATTCGACACCCTCGTGACTGTCAGTTTCCACAAAACGGACAATTATGCATCTTCGGCTCATTTAGGCAGAACCAACGGCTCAAAGACTTACAATATCTTTCCAGATACTTCCCTACTGCCAAGTGATTACTAATCAGTCCTGATTCCGGGAATTGATACATCCACAGCAAAAAAATTGATAAATCCACTTTAGCACTACCTTATTATATAACCTAATAGAATAGGCGATCTAATAGAATAGATTAGAGAATCTATCCTAGCAGATTAGGGATTAGAAAGGATTAGATATATAGAAGTGCTCCTTCTCGTATATATTTAACTCTTTATAATTAATTTATATATCATTATTTAGATACTATCTTTAGTTTTATTTATAGTTTACTTTCATGATAATTATCCTATAAGAGAGCTACTTCGGTACTAACCTATTCAGCGTATATTTAACTAGCATACCTTCGCAAATACCTAATAGAATCTATCTATATAAAGCCGGGCATGGCATCAGTACGATTGAGGATAAACTTGAGGCTCGTAGTTACCAAGAGAAGTATCACCTTTAAGGACTAACTCACCGTGACTAGTTAGGTACGCGTAACACGGTACTACTCGCGATCGTCAGGGCATGATCCCAGCAACCACCTAATGCTTTAACAACGGTATCCTTTTCTTTCTCTCTCTCTTGGAAAGTGGGCGCCAATCCATGACCTCACTGAAGCACGGAAATTCCGGACTTTAAGATGACGGTCGGAAACGAAGCCATCGGGCGACAGGCTACGAGCGGGAAAGTTGATACAGTGTGATCGGCACGAATATGACAGCGTCGGGGCATCCGGACCCCATCCCTAGACATAGATCTTTTTTTCGTTCGTTTGAAGGTTGCAGAAAACCCCTAATGTTGCTAAGGAACTAACTGTAAACTGTATCCGGAACTCACGAGATCCCATCTGCGAGCACTAGTCTAATCCATCCACCATGACGCCGTCCCGTATAAACCCTTCGATCTATCTATCCTATTGTCATCCTGTGGGATCTGAAACTTAGCTACCGGGACGCGGTCTAGTGGGGGCAGTCAACTTGGCGCTGGCGTAAGCCTCCGTACCCGTATCTTTACGTCACACGGCCGGCCACGCAACGCCTATAGCATCAACTCGTAACATCCCCTTTCCTTTTTTTGCCGTTCGTAGTTGCGCTGTCGGTCCTTTCATCCACCGAACACCGATGGCCAAGGATGAACTCATTAGTAATAGCTTTGTAATGAAAGAATCTCTAAAGTCCAGTCTAGCTTCCCCCTCCCCCGGGGCCTTATACCACCCCGGAAAGCGCAAGGTATAAAAGTTCAGTCCAAGCCCCAAGCCCCAAGTTTCTCATCTGTACATCTCCAGCCTAGAGCACACTGTTTTCCCACCAAGGACGACGGCCAGCGATTCACCATGTCCAAATTCCTGCCGATCAAAGTTTGGGGTCAGGGCGGCCCCAACCCGCCGCGGGTGGCTATTATTCTGGAAGAATTAGGGCTGCCGTACGAGTTCAAGCCCATCCAGCTCTCGCAGGTCAAGGAGCCGGAATATCTGGCGATCAACCCGAACGGCCGTTTGCCCTCTATCTACGATCCGAACACGGATCTCACCCTGTGGGAATCGGGCGCCATCATCGAGTACCTCACCGAACGGTACGACATGGCGCACACCATTAGCTTCCCACGGAACACCAACGACGCCCAGCATGCGCGGCAGTGGCTGTTTTTCCAGGCCAGCGGCCAGGGCCCCTATTACGGACAAGCGTGTTGGTTCAAGAAGTTCCACCCAGAACCGGTCCCCAGCGCGCTGGAGCGGTACATCAAGGAGATGAACCGCGTCTCGGGAGTGGTGGATGGCTATTTGGCCAAGCAGCCGGTGCCCCCGGGCGGCGATGGGCCGTGGCTGGTGGGCGGCAAGTGCTCGTTTGCAGACCTGGCCTGGGTATCCTGGCAGATGACATTGACGAAGATCATTCAGCCGGAGGATGGATACGACATGGCGAACTTTCCTCATCTCAAGAATTGGTTGGATCGCATGATGGCCCGCGAGACGGTCAAGAAGGTTCTGGAGGCTGTGATGCCCTCGGCCATTGTTTGATCGTCGGATGTCGCCATAAGGCCCCATGCTCACTCACCCTCTACCACCTTGGAGGAGGGAAGCCATTTTCGGCTCCTCTGTTGACCGTCCTGCTTCCCAGAACTCCTATAAATAACAACCACTATAGTCTTCGACAGACTGTCTTCTCTCGCGCTTTGGCAACTCCGCCGATCATAGGCCTAGTTTTCCGACGGGTTGACTTACTCTTACAGTAAAAGAATACCCACTATTCTTTAATCCATAGAGCATTCCTTTTACAATTAATCTCTATATTTTCGAGAGATCTTCAAAAGTGGAGCGAATTCCGTCACTTTATGAAGTCACTTTATGGACGATCTGCCATATAGTGGTGTGATCATACACGTCTACCCGAGCCCACCTTTTAGACAATAAAACATCAAGTTCGCCCAAGAACTTTCCAAGCGATAAAGATTTCCGTTCAAAATCAAGAGAAAAAAAGGTACCATCTGCTCAGAAGGATACCAAGTTTTCATGGTCTTCCTCTCGGAATAGTGACTCTGAGGAAGTGAAGGAGAGTGGGTGTGGAGAAATGAATAATGGATGTATGTAGATAGAACTATCTACATGCAGCAAACTGGAAATAGTCGCAGGAACCGAGCGGCGCTAAATTATATGCCTAGGGCATCAATACACCCCCTGCGCCGCTGGCCAAAACTTAAAGAATTCATCAAAACTGAGCAATAATAAGCCATTGTGCCAGGAGGACAGGGGTCGCATGCAGGATGTATACATTATAGGGAACGATGAAGCTCCAATCGCGACAATTACGGGATTAAAGTGAATTACCTACAAGAGTATTCCTGTTCGACGCCCTCTTTTATATTTCTTTTGACTCTCAATCGATCCTTCTTCAATCGACATCGGCTGATTCACCTTGTGGTTATAGAATATAGGCCCATGACTCTGGCCTCTAAAGTTTAGAGCGCTGATATAAATTCCATGTCTTACCTCTGGCAGAAGTCTTCATGCGGAAAACTCCATCTATCATGGCAAATTATACAGCGTACATTCTTCTTTGCCAAGTAGCCAAATGGACTTTCTGATGCAGTTATATCTACCTCTGTTTTTCAATAGCTAGAGCTGCTTTACCTGAGCGAATAGCTGCTGTGGCCCTTTCGTCTAATTTTCGCTGTGATGAGTTCCCTTACGTCGCGGTTCTTAGTAACTTCAACAGTAGTTTACAAGGTATTTTCGGTCCCTGAGCAGCCTTTCCACCATTGTAATATCCCCTCATTTTGCGGCCAATTGACGCGCCGTATCGCCCCACCGGTTGTGATATCGAGATCGATACGATGCGTGAGCAAGATTTGTATGACTTCCAGCCTTCCTTGACGAATAGCCACGGACAGTGCCGACTCCTCATTCAAGCCGTTTAGCTGAATGATCTGCAGCCGGTCAGTTTGGCGGACCAACATTTCCACTGTAATTGCATCCCCCCTTCTCAGATGCCAGGTGAAGCGGCGAGTCATGATGAGGGGGTATGGCGTTGATTTCTGTTTTCCTGTGCTTGACGAGGAACCGTACAACAGCAGTGTTCACTCTGTTTATAGCTAGGTGGGGCGTAGATTGAGCGCTAGGGCAGATGTTTGGGTCGAAGGATGGTACGGTCAGGAACTTTCGCAGAGTAGTGGTATCTACCCTTATCGCCAGGTGGTGGAGTGAAGTAGAAGGGTTGTCGCAGCTTGATTTCCTTCTAGGTATATTCACGTCGATGTCACCCTCCTCTAGAAGTCGATTTGTGACACTATCATGGGACGAATAAGTAGAAATCCATAGTGCGGTCCTCCCGTATTGCGTCATCCTCAACAGCAGTGTCTCGGTGGCATAATTTCACCAAAAAAGCACAGCGGGACACCCACGGCCTCCATCTATCTCCGCTCAGGCCCTGCTGAAGCGCCAATTGACAGGGTTCCCCGCCTTCATCTTACGCGCCTCGAAGGATACCAGATCACTAATTTACAAACATTTCTCAAGGTCCTGGGTATAAAAGAGACCCGAAAGCTCGTTAGCCTTTTTGCCTATCAAGTCTTTGAAAAAACATTGAAGGTCTTTTGGCTAGCTTCATTATTCCTTTTTTTGAACTCTGTTACAAAATTCTGTCTCTTTCATTAGGACCGACAAATATCGAAACTCGTTGAAAATGAAATATCCTAAGTGTGATAAGAACAATATCACCGGAAGATCCAATTGCGAATTCTGTGGTGCTAATCTCCCTACGTCCATGTCCCGGCCTGTCATGCTCAATATGGTACGTATCGATTGGTCTCCATAAGTTCGGTTTCAACGTTGTTGACGACTGAAAGGACACAGCTATTTATTAGCAAAGCGGTACGATCACGCTAGAAAAAGAATAAGCCAGCAGATCTTAAGTATCAAATTTTTCGGGAATAGTGTCCCTCGTTGTCTTTACTGTGGAAGATCTATGGAAAAGTAGCTCACTTCTATTCTTAAGCCACATTTGGCATGCTTAATCCACAACTGTTGGGACTGGGGTTCTGCCAGCAGTTCTCCACCGCCTCCCTGACCGCCCACAGCACACATGTAGGTGGTAGTAGATAGCTTCTCTTCTTCTCTCCTACGGACCTTACAGACAGACAATTTGATTCTCTCTCTCTTCGGCTCCCTTCCTCAGAGTTCTGCTCTCCCTAGCTTCCCCTAGTGCTTCCTGAGATTTTGACTATCATTCCGACGATCCATTTTCAGCTGAGGCGGAGTAGCTGAAATCTGGTTCCACTGCGGGAACCAAACCTTCGAAGATCAAATCTTACCTTAGATGATTGGCTGGTACTTCGCTTGTCGACGAAATCCGAGCATAATCTTAGCTCGCTATTGAACATGCGGGGCTTGAGGCATGCGTTATCCGTCATCTCCTGACGTGCAAAGCCCGTTTAGGTACTATCGCTCAACGCCACCTCCGTCATACCTCAAGTCAGGTCGGAAAAGCCTGCCAAGCTGGGATTTTATCGCAGATGCATGTTATGATACTTTGCCAATCATTAGCGGTGTGCAAAATGGTCGAGGACGGCCCGGGCGAGGTTGGCGAGGCCATCGTGGTGGTGGTGGAAGAGAAGGGCCTCAGTGGCTGCGAGTAACACCAGTCCATGAGGAATGTATAAATCTGGAGGATTCCCTAAATCATCGGCATACACAACGGATTCTCTGTGATTTCCTAGTGAATTTCTCTTATACAACCTTCTTATTTAAGTCTTGACCTTCGCCCTATCTAACCGCAATGGACCCCACCAATGCCCCGATCTTTAATGATGTCAACCTGCTTGGTCAAAGCATCACACTGCTTCCTGGAGGTAAGGCCTCCTTTTCTTGGCCAATTTGCGGATACGCAACCTTGTATCCTGTCGCCTAGGGCCTCCCTACCATAGACAACCACGTGGATGGCTTCACTGACACCTGGAATACATATTATAGAACATGACCCCCTCCACGTTGATGTCATGGACTTAAAGAAAAGCACCGTGGTCAAGCTATCGACCGAAACGTACCCGGTACAATTCGGCGACGGAAAGATATACAAGCTGCCTAAAAACACCAAATCAAGCCAAGGGCATCGCGTGACGCACACCAATTCGCTAAAGGTCGCAAGAGGTGCGGAGTTGGCCTATGAGCTTGGCACCGAAGCCTCAATCAGTGGCAGCTACGCCGGTTTTTCTGCGAGTGCATCTGCCCAGTACAGTTACAGCGGAAGCATGAGCGTAAATAAAATCTATGCTATTCTCAGTGTGAACCACACATCATTCACCCTGGACCTCGAGGGGCACGAGGGCACCGACAAGATGGTCAGCGCTGAGTTTGTAGCTGCCGCAAAGAGGCTTCCCGAGTGGCAGGTGAAAAAAGAAATTTACAATGAATATGTGCAGTTCTTCCGCAACTGGGGAACTCATGTCATTGACTCATGCACGTTCGGGGCTCGATACCAGCTGAAGGTGGAGAATAGCTCGGTCGAGTCTAAGTCGAAGGAGAGCTTCCAGGCTCAGGTCAGCGCTGAATATAATGGGATTGGCTCGGTCAAGGGTGATGCGAGCCTGAAAAAATCTGACGAATACGCGAATTATCTCAAGACGCGTGTGGCCCAGGCTACGGTGACTGGCGGGAGCTCGGGCTCGGGCATCATCCTCAGCGACCCACCGTCGGACCCTGAAGAGTACCGAAAGGCGTTCGACGCATGGGCAAACAGTCTCGATAAAGCCTTTTCGACCAACCTGGTCAACGCCCGGATCAACAGCATCGGCCATCTGCTGGCAAATAGCTCCATTGAGGAGCACCGAGCGGTTTCCAGCAAGCTGGTGAAGGCCCTTGATTATCTGGCCAGCATGCGCGTCGTCTCGGGCTTGGTGAAGGTGCTGGGGGAAAGCCTAGAGACCTAAACGCAGCAGTCGACTCCCGCCTTCTTAAACGCACCTTGGGGATCCACGGTGCTCCGGGCGTTTCAGTCAAGGGAGAAACGAAGGCAACTTTAGAGCTCGTATATTGGAGGCCATATCATCAAAGCCCAGCGAACCGCTCTAACATCGTCCCTAACCGCGGAGATGAGGATGAGCTCTCGGTCTTCGTCCCGATCTCAGCTTCAGTCAATCAAATCTCGGCGAATTCTGTGGAAACCATCCCCCGCTATTTGGGTATAGACAGCCTCGACAAATCCTCCAAGGACGCGTTCGCCAAGCATGACTACTTGAAGACTTGGGTGAATGTTTCATTCACGTTCATTGTGCCTCCTAAACCTGTAGAAGTGACTTTGTCGAGGAGGGATGAGAAGGCTGAGCATTGGGATTGGGGGTTCGTGGATCTTAGGCCAGAAGGCCCAAAGTTGTACAGTAATGAGCGTACACATACGTGGAAACTTGCCTCGCTACAGGGCAGGCCCGAATTTGTCGAGGTTTAGGGCTTGTCAGTTCCTTACGGCTAGGACAATTACAGACCGCACTGACGAAAGCGAAGTCTCTGGATTCATCCTTGTACAGTGATTCTCGAAATCGGTTTGACCAATACATTCTTAAGGAACTCTTCCCGGGACCCATCGCCAAGACCCTAGCGCAGATAAATTATATTATTGGGCTGGCCACACTAACCGAAGGTGGCCGTGACGAAATGTGAAGGGTATGGCTTCCATGAAGCTTTAGTGTTTCTACCACGCTCATCATTACTATTAGAATTCGCATTTCACAAAATAAACTACCATTCAACAGTCAAAGATTTACGATGTCTCTTGGTGTATAATAACAATTTACTATATAATCTGCTTTTTCGGCGAGTCTCTCAATTAAATGCTGGCGGCTCAATAAATGATCAGCTCTCAGTGTATGCTGATCAAGGCGATTTTGGGGATCACTGTAAACAAGGTAAAGCCTCAATATTTGTAGGCAACATTTCCGTTCGTTCTGTCGGCCGGCAGTTTATGCCAGCTATTGATGTGGACAGTCCCCTACCGTCGTGTAGGCTGCTGTACAACAAAGAGGAAGCAGATGGAAATCCAACAGGCAACAGGAGAGCAAGTGTGGGGGGGAGGAGGGAGAGCTAGGACCCGTCTGTTTGGTTACAAGGGCAACTCTTAAGGTATTCTACGGGAATCTAGAGAGTTTGTCGTACAATACAAGGGTGCATAAATCAGAATGTTTTGTTCTAGACCAGGGATTGATGGGCCTCTCTACCTTATTAGACATCACATGACCTAACACTAGGGCTTTGGAATGAATATATGAGAGTGGGGAGTTATACAGTCATTCTCGAAATTGGCTTGACCATTCTATACTCAATCACTATTTTCGGGCCCCACCGCCAAGGTCTTAGCGTGAAATTGTTATTGAGCAAGCCGCATTAAAATAAAGAACAACAGGGGTAAAAAAAAATAATTAAACTTGTATCCTACGATTTAGCAATTGAATGATAAAAAGTTTTGGCCGCTGTACATGTGCACTATATGGCGGCATAAGACTGCGGGCCTCAATTTGATGCGGCTTGTCCAATGTCCAATAATTTATTCACGCTAAGACCTTGGCGATAGGTCCAGAAAATAGTGTTTTAGTGCAGAGTGGTCAAGTCGATTTCGACAATAACTGTATCTGCTTTCGAACATCACTATAAATTGGCATAGTTGGATTTATAAAAGTATTGCATACACAAATTCCTCAGGAGCTTGTCGCGCACATTCCGCTCTGGTAAGGCGATCACTTATATTGCCTTCGGCGCTTTCCTCTTTTGCACCAATATATTGAACACAGCGCCGAAGGAAGACATGAAACCCCTGATCGAGATTCTCTTCATATGCTGGCCAAGCTTTCTTGATATGAGCCTTGAGTTCGGCAAAGAATTCCTCGATGGGGTTAAGATCCCGGCGAATAAGGCGGCAAATATAGTAATTTAACACCTGTATCTGAACATAGTTGCCTGATTCGGTCGGAATGATGGAATGATGCATTATCTATCACAAGTACGGATTTAGGCTCTGGCCACCTGCTATAGCGCTGGAGAAGCTGCTCGATAAAAGATTCAAAGAATAAAGTATCGGTAGAACCTTTAAAAATACGAGACAGAACAACGCCATCTTGCGTATATACTAATAGTATCTGATAACGCTAGCCCGATGAAATTTAGATGCCTAGATTAGTGTCACGCCTAGTAGAGACCAACCCGTCCGCCTATAACCTACCCGTTTATCGCATCCAGACTCGTCGACAAAAACTAACTAAGACGAATGGAACTTTGAAAGTTTATAGTAATAAAAATCTCGTAACTAAGGGTTTTGTTCGCTTACTCGATGCTATACTTTCTTTTTGATTACCTAACCCGGTATAGAGCACGTTTAATGCTAGATATCGAAGGCAATATATTGAACTCGTCAAATAGAAAGATAGCCATCTCCTCGACAGAGAGACTGGGTTTTTCTGCGAGGTGGTCGTCTAGTGCATCTATCATTACTTCCGTGATACTTGATAGGCGGCCGGGAGAGATTAGAGGAGACCTGGCACTGCCAAATAACCGTATATTCTTGCGGATGTTAGTAACAGAACACTCACTGTACTTCGCTACCTTGGCCATTTGTGATATTGTGAGTCTCTTTTTACTACGTAGCATATGAATAATAATATCACGCTGCCAACTGAACCTGTCAGACCGGAACGGAAAATCCATTAATCCGAGGCTTCGCTATAGGTCTTCAATCTATTTATATCGCGACTCGTTTGTGGCCAGTGGGCTCTCTGTTATTTCCGGTTGATCGAAAATTCGATAGGTTCTCTTCCAATTCCTTCAAGACACTTCAACTTACCAATCCATTGGGCCTCTTGCAGGGTCTCAAGGGGCTAAAGGAGCATATAGTCACCGAGCTGGCAACCAAAATACCGAATTATGGCGTGCCATCGATGGAGCAGTTCCTCGTGCCTGTCAGGGGACTGACTCATGTGCCGATGCCATAACCCACACACCCACGCAAGTGCTTGCACGCGATGTCAAAAACAATTTGCTGCCATGTATCACCTCACAAAAGGACAAGAAATAAGAGAAACCCGCAGCACAGTCGACCTAGCAAGGCCCCCCGCACGGCTTCCCGAGGTTGTTCCACCCTTGAGGCCTTGATTATACAAGATCGCATGCATCGCTATCGAAACAAGTGATGATCGTGGCCATGTCGTATCGGCGTATTCTCCATCGTATCCTCATCCTCGGCAGGCCCACCCTCTTTCGGTGGGTTCGGAGGACAACCTGATGCCAGCAATTCATGTGATGCCTATCGCATCCTTTCGATGCGAATCACACCATGGACCTGTCGATCGCGCAAACCAAACACCAAACCTCAGCATCCCAAAACTTGACAGGCGATTATCATTCCCTCGATGGTCTAACCGAGCTGTGGCCCGAGCTTGGATGGAGCTAGCGTGGGCTAATTACTCCATCCAAGAACCGTTCAGGGGATCAGAGTCTAACCCCCACACGTTCCAGCGTGGACCAACAACGGTGCTGTCTAAATAATTCCATATTCTCAATCCTGTGCCCACCGGGCGTGTTGTCAATCCTGGAAGTTTCACTTGCTGGGCCTCTCTTTGCAAAATTCGGCCACCCATTATACTTGTGGCCAGCACGTTCAAATGCCGGGAAGCATATGGCTGGTGGATTGATACTAAAAAAGAGAAGGTACAAGAAGCTCAGAGGGCTCGGTCCCTTGATCCAGACATTCTAATGGCGTCTAGCAGCATGCTAATTGTTACCCCTGGTCTTCCAATTGCTCCCCTCACACGGATGATCATGTCAATCCCGGGGCCAAAGATCAGTTTCCTTATACTTGGCCCACATCACGGATGACAAGACTGTACGCCTTTACGCCTGACGCCTCATCCTATCGCGGCGACTGCCTAGCTGAGATCTGCTGTGTCGATGGAGACTGTGTACATCTAGTGTATACTACATACATAGTCGATACAGTATGTATGTACATCCTAAATCCCAGGTCGGCGCAAGAGAGGCCTCTCGGCTATGCAGCAGTCTACTCCAACTACAGGCTCAACAGCCACAAAACATGGTTCCGATGTCCTAAAGCATATCCATTTCCGGGGTTTTTTGCTGGCGCAGTTCCATGCCAACTACCATCTGCCTCCCAGTAGCTATACATTGGTGACTCCACCTTCGGAGAACGGGAGATGGGTTCCCGAATGCAGTTAATTCGCGCTGCTTCTCTAGAACAGAGAGCCAAGGCTTCCCGTGTCCCCAGACGATGTGAATGGGTCCCGCACCACCGGGAATGGAGACTGGCCGTCCCGTCCTGCGGAGGATTTTCTTCGCTGACCCTGGCCTCGCTTCTGTCGGCTCCACCAGGAGAGGTGTGGGCAGTGACTTGACGAATACCCTCCGAACGATGTCAGAAGTTATTATATATGGATGGTTCAAGACAGCCCATCCTTTTTTTTCTCGTGTGCTTCGAATCCCCAAACCCCAATTTGGTCAGTCTTTGATGCACACTCCCTTTCTTTGATAATCACCACTTCATTTGTATATATCTTTCATTATTGTTGTCACTCTTTCGTCTCTTTCTTTTTTTTTTTGAAAAAAAAACAAAATGTTTCCCAATGGTGTGTGGCGCGGTCTTGCGCTATGTGTCGCTGTCCTTGCTCCGCAAGCAGTGGCGGATATTTGCTCGACCTTGAAAGCCGGGGGAATCGACGTCGAATATCCAATGTCGCCGGACTATTCCAAGGATTTGACCAAGTACTGGTCGGCGGCGTGCGGCGATCTCAAGCCCACATGCATTGCAGCGCCGTCCAGTGCATCGGAAATGTCGCAGATCATCACCGAGCTGCACAAAGTCGAGACCTTGTTTGCGGTCAAGTCTGGTGGCCATATGCCTAACAACGGATTTGCCAGTATCCAGGATGGGTTGCTGGTCTCTACCAAGAACCTCGACCAGGTCTTTTATCACAAGAAAGACCAAACTGCGGTGATCGGGCCGGGTCTCTCATGGGAAGAGGCCCAGAAGGGTTTGGCTGGGACGGGACGGACTATTGTTGGAGGTCGACTCGGAGGAGTGGGCATTGGAGGATATATGCTTGGATGTATGTGTCTACCTGCTGAGAATTTCTGATTGGACCTGACCAGATGCAGGCGGAATGAGTTTCCTGAGTACGCAGTACGGCTGGGCTGCTAACAACGTGGTGGACTTTGAAGTCGTCCTGGCCAACGGCACTGTCGTCCATGCAAATGCTAAAAGCAACACTGGTCAGTGCAGCAAACCAGAAAATCTTTGACGATAGTCAAAGCTAACTCTTTTGGTTAGATCTCTACGCTGCTCTGAAGGGAGGCGGAAACAACTTCGGCGTTGTTACAGCCTACACCCTGCAGACACACCCGCAAGACCAGAAGGTCTGGGGCGGCAACTATGTGTTCACGTCGGACAAGACGCCGCAGGTACTGAAGGCGCTTCGCAACTTTGTGGACGAGTACCCGGATGACAAGGCGGCGATTATTCTGACATCGGAGTATGGGATCGCCATTGATTTCTGGATCATGTTTCTTTTCTACGATGGCCCGGAGCCGCCCCCTGGAGTGTTTGACGAGTTCACTGCAATCGAGCACACCTCAACCACGAAGACGTGGGACAGCTACTACGACCTGCTGAAACACAATGATTTCTTTATTCTGCAGTGAGTTATTTCCAGTGCGCTATGTCTTGTTGGTATCAGGACATCATAATATTGACTACGTGGCAGTGGACAACGCTACACCATCGCCACGGAGACAACTCCCCTTCCCAACAAGACCGTTGGATCAGACGTGCTGCAAGGGTACTATGACCACTGGCGAAATGTCACCAAGTCGGTGCTGGAAGTCAGCGGGGTGCTGGGATCCATCGCCTTCCAGCCCGTGCCCAAGACCTTCACGCGGAAGGCCAAGGAGCGAGGCGGCGTGAGCAATCCCAGGATGAATTGGTTGTATTTGCAGGATCGTGCCAGCTAACATCCAAATCACAGGATCTTCTCTCCATCCCCACCGACACCAGCTACATCATCATCGAGCTCGACTTCTCCTATGCCTCAGCCATCGACGACGACAAGATCGACCAGGCCAACCAGCACCTGTACCAGGGCATGGGGAATTTGATTCAAAAGAACATTGACAAGGGCCTGTTGCCAGACGTGTACCGGCCCTTGTTCATGAACGATGCCTACTACCGCCAGGATTACTGGGGTCGCATCCACCCAGCCTCGAAGAAACGGGCTCTCCAGGCGCGACACCGGTATGACCCTGACGGGTTCTTCCAGAAGCGGACCAGCGGAGGCTGGAGACTCGAGTAATATAGCAGGGGGTTGATATCGTTGGGCCTGGGATGTCTAGATCTGTTGCCGGGAGACCCTTAATTAATTTTCCCCTACACTCATATAATATGCACACAATCGAGGCGGTTAGGAATTGATGTATCACAAGAGATCCGCCCGTTGAGTATTTTTATCGATCTTTCATTTGGACAAAACCCAGTGGCTGTTCTGTAGACCCGCCTGCTTGGGTTGAGAGATGCAAGGTTATTTTGATTTTCTGGTTTTTCTCCTGCAGAAACACCCCGGTCGAGTCCCGGGGGATTAAGCACCCTGGCGCCCCGGGGTCTATAGCTGAAACATGATCTACGGTGCGTTGTGGGTGGTTGGGATCCTAATAAAAGTGAAGCGCCGGCGTAACCGCCTGCATCAGATCGCTAGACGCCCGAGCAATGGGTGGCTGAAAAACGTCCGGAACGACATAGGGTTCTTGTTCCACGCGCTGGAGTGGACCTGCTTGCATTACGGAGCTTTGAAGCTAGGCTTCTGGTGCTGAGAAGCTGTCATTGATGATCGTCTGCGATCGCGATCTAGGGCTACGATTTGCTGGCGGTTGGGGCTCTAGACATTTCCTGACACCGGAAGCCTCTTTAGATATGTTGGTCGAGTCCAGATCTTCTTTGTGTGCTAATTTGGTCTGGTCTGGACTCTTGTTGGGGCTATTTGTAGGTCCTTGTGGCGACGGGCTTTGTTGATGCTATATAAAGACTGTGAAGACGTCGTGCATTGTTGATCCACCTCACTTTGATTCAACACGCCAGTATTATCTTATTTGAATTTTCGTCTCTATACACTTTCATTCATTCTTAATTGCTTTCGTCTCAATATATATTGAGCCCCTTCGCTCCTTTGATTCCCAGCATCTGTCAACCCTAATCCATCTAAACCGAACCACACTTCTCGCCATTCCTACCGCAGTATACAACATCCATCATCCACCATCCATCATGGCCCGTTATGGCGCACTGGGCGCCACCTTTCAAATTGCCCGAGTCTTCGAGGCCTGCTCCCTGATTGCTATCATCGGCATGACCGCCAAGTTCATCTCCTCGATCGTAAATAACAACGCAACGCCACCGAACGTGCTAATCGGCACCATCAGCGTGGTAAAAATTGCATCCTACACCCCATGAAATATACTATATACTATATATAGCATGCGTTGGTCTCCAAAGGACAATCCCGCTAACCATCTCACTACAATCTAGACCTGCATCGCAGTCATGTACTGCCTCATCACCGCAATCCTCTTCCTCGACGACATCCTACCGTTCCTAGCCTGCGCCGCCATGGACCTGCTGGTGCTGGTGGCCCTGATCGTGGTTGCTGTTGTCGTCGGCAAGCCCCTCTCCTACCTCAAGTGCTCGGCGCTGGCCGAGCTGGGGTACAAGGACTCGACGGCGTATGCGCTGTCGTCGCATCTGTCGAGCTATTTGGCGACGCTGAGTGGCAAGATCGATTATACGTCGTGGATCGGGGCGTCGAAACCTATTTGTTTAGAGACGAAAGCGATTTGGGGTCTGAGTATTGCATTGTGGTGGGTTTTTTTTTTTTTTTTTATTTGCTGGAAAAAAGTAAATTACATGCTGACACCTGGAATCTACAGTATCCTGTTCTTCTTCTCAGCTCTCTGTAGTGTCTGTCTGTGGCGCCAGAAGAAGGCCAATGCCAATGCGAAGAGCACAGAGTAGGGGGGTTGGAAAGAAAAGAAAGCCAGGGAATGCAGAATATAATCTGGAAGATAGAAGACATGCAGTTTATTCTGGGGTTATTGTGTTATTTATTTCTTTGATCTTGCTTCTGTTTCATCTCATCTCGTTTGCAGACTAGTTAATCATGGCATTTCAACCGGAGTCCACAGCATAAAACAAAGAAGAGAAAAGAAAAGAAAAGAAAAGAAAGGAAAAGAATATATAGTAACTCCATTCCAAACAACACCATCCTCTCAACATTTACCCCGAGCTCACCGGCGGAATAACCGCAACCTCTTCGCCAACGTGAATCTCCCTTCGCGCATCCGCGTCATCCCCAACATCAACATACTCGCCCTCGACACTGACCCCACAGCTGCACAGCACTTTCTCCTGTATCCCAGGATACCGGGATTCCAGCAGCGCGAAGAGGCGTGCGAGAGGCAGCGGGGCGGGCAGACGCTCGCTGTCTTTGGTGGTGTATTGGGCGGCGGAGGCGAAGTAGTGGATTGTGAAAGTGCCTGATTGTTGTGTTTCTTGTGGGGTGGGAATGGAAGCCATTCTATGAGAGAGAAAGAGCAAGCCCAATGAGTATTGTGGTTGTGGTTGATTGTCTACTGGGAGAAGACAAAAGTAAAGGGAGGCGATCGATGGGCGGGTCACCACTGCGGGGCCATCGGGAAACCCTCTTGACACTTGGTGATTCCTGGGGAATTCAATGGTGATTTACTATTCAATGAAGCCATTAAGGATTCCAAGGGATTTGTACAGGTCAACACACTTGTCTCGCAGGAGTGGACTGGTATTTGTACGTTCTACCTCCGAGCAAGCATCCAAGAATGATACTCTATCTACCCATGGAATCTTCTCCACTCAGATATTTACACCAGCGCCCGAAACGCACGGATGAGATCTGCCCGGAGGTCTTCCCAATTCTCCAAGCCGACACTCACCCGCAAGAGCCGGCGATCGACCGTGGCATCGGACATGGTCCGCCACTCGATCAGAGTCTCCACGCCCCCGAGACTCGTGGCATGCTGGAAGAAATGCAGGTTGCTGGGCAGCGCCCGCGCGAAGCGCTCCTCCTTCATAGAAATCGAAAACACGGGCCCGAACCCGTGCGGCATCTGTTTTTGGAGCCAGTCGCCATCGACGCGTTGCAGGCTCGCGTGGAAGACTTCGGCCAGCACGGCTTGCACAGCAGCCTCGTCGCCGCCGACGGCCGGATGCGGGGCGCGCAGTGCAGAATCGAGCCAGGAGACCAGACGAGTAGCGTTCTCACTCTGCCGCTGCACGCGCACCTCGAGCGTGCGCAGACTGCGCACCGCCAACCAGCCCTCCATGTTCCCCATCACACTACCCAAATACAGCCGGTCTTGCCGCAACTGACCGGCCCAGTCTTCGCGTTGCGTCGCAAGCACCCCACAGAGCACGTCGCTGTGGCCGCCAAGGTATTTAGACCCAGAGTGCATGACCAGATCGGCGCCGAACTGGAATGGGTCCTGCAGCCCGGGTGGCGCGAACGTGCTGTCCACGATCAAGTGCGCGCCTCGCGAGTGCGCCTTTTCGGCGTAGGCGGCGATGTTGAAGGCGAGGCCTTTCGGGTTGATGGGGGTCTCGAGAAGAATGACATCGCCTGCTTCGAGCTGGTCGGCGACGCAATTCAATTCCAGTTTTTTAAGTCCCGTCAGGCGGCTAAATAGCGCGATCACGCCGTGACAGCCATGATACCCATCGCCGATGGAAATACGGCGCGGGTTAAGGAGTGTGAGGGCGGCATGCAATGCAGACAACCCGGACGAGTAGCTGATCGCCGTGCCATTCAGTAAGGAGGAAAGGATGGTTTCGAAGCGTGTCGGGTTGGGAGCCGAGAGCCGGGAGTAGATGTGGGAGGTTGGGGACTACAGGCCGTGGTCATGATCAGACAACGCTGGGATAAAGTGAGAATGGGGCGCATACGTTGGTCAAATCTGCGACCGGGATGAGCTCGGCCGGGTCATCGGGGTAGCGGAACGTGGTGGACAGGTGCATCGGAGGGGCCACATCGGTCACAACATTCAGCACATCGTCGGCGTGCAGGGAGCGCGTCGAGGCGCCAATGGCTTCGCTAGAATGCGACATGGTAAAATATGCTATGTAGGGCTTCAATTGTATGCACAGGCAAAATCATTCGAAGTGCGAGGTATAATACAGCAAAGGCGCGGATGTCGCGGGGCAAAGAGGGGATGCGACCACGGAAAGTCACGTGTGCGGGAACCTTTATCATCGACGCAGCGATCCCATCCGAGACGGCTCCCGCACCGATCCAGGCACTGCCGCCTTAAAATTGGCGCGTTCTATGGGAATTGATTAGCTCGGGGCCATATACAAGGGGGCATTGAAAATAGAAACTCACCAGCTTCCGTGTCGAATGTAATGGTGATATCATCATGTTCGATGGGATACTCAGGCATATCCAAGCACACAAAATCAGACGCCGGGTCATCATCCTTCTTCGGAAGCGCAAATTTGGCATCCACAATCCTAATACCAAATTTGCTGGACCGGCCAAACGACTCTAAATGGTCGGTGCCCTTGAGGACGAAATTCATGCAGGTGCCATGATGGAAATCCGCGAAGAAGGCGAGCAATTGGGTGACTCCCTCTTGTCGAACAATCTGGATTCGAGCCGAACTGGCCTCCCATTTCTTGTAGATTGGGACCACCATTCGACGGCGGGATATAGTGAAGGATGAGGCAATCCTAACCCGTTAGCACCAGAAGATGAACCCCATTGAAAAAAGCCAATGTGAAAGAAAAGAAGGAATTACTCACCCATCATATAGGACCCGAAATCCAGTAACCGCTGTTTCAAAAGCATGCAGATCTAAAACAATCTTAGTGACGACGACAAAGGGAAGCGTTCAGAGACCTACCCTGCACTGATGCAAAGTCGAACCGGCGAACCATTGGTTTCGCTGTGACCTTCTCAAGAAACGCGGCAAACTGCTCGGACATTTCCGGGCGAATGAGGTTGTCCGCCAGCGAAGCAGTCAGGTCTTGTTGTGCGGGGCGATACAAACTCATGCCGGTTTTCCGATTGACATCCAAGCCTAACTTCAATTCCCCAGGCCCTGGTACACACGGGGCTTAGTATGCACTCCAAGATCCGTTTTAGCAATGACCTACCTAAGTTGATGCGATCCGTAACAGAGCCCCATTCTGTAGCAACGAAAGCCCTCAAGGTTTCCGATAGAATTGTGGGACCATAGCCATGATCCACAAAAGCATGTTCTTGATCGATCACGGATACATTGCCCGCGGGGAACTGAACATGGGTGACCGCGGGTCGGCCGCTACCTGGGTCCGTCGGCTGTTCGATGGAGTACGACCGAAGAGGGGCTTCTGGAGTTTTGACCTCTCCCTCCCGAGGCACCATGGCCAACAGCACAGAATGCATCTGGGTACGCTCCTCGACCGTATGGAACGTCATCAACATCGACCGCGTGCGCCCATCCTCAGTGACTTTGAGCAGGAGAGCAGGAGCGCCGTCCTCTCCCCGCAGGAGACCAAACACAATGGGCGAGCCACGGCCCAGAATATGACGCACGTTGCTCAATGTCTTCACCTTGGGACTCGTCAACACGGTGAGTCGAAAACCTTGGTGCATGCTTCGGGTTCCTGTGCCCTCCGTCACGGTGATGGATCGCTCAAACAAGCGAATTCGACAACGCTCCAGTGGCTCGGAGGGGAAAGCCTTGGGCGTGCCCGGGTCCATGTAATGGAAGACCTTCAGGGTGTTTTCAAAGATCACCGTTTCGCCAGCCTCGGGTTGAAGACTCGCTTCAGACTTCTGGGTGTATTTGACAATGTTCCACAGCGTTTTGAAATCATCTTCTTTGAACATGACATCTAATTCAAACCCTCGAGGAAGCTTTACTCGCATTGAATTGGTCCGGACTTGCCATTCTACATCATCCCACGTCGGTCCCTGCTTGCGGTCGCATTGAACCATGATGTTGACGAGCTGACTCTGGCTTGTGATGGCCGCAAACACATACCAATCGGCACGTTCTCGAACGATGGACAATGCACAAGGCATGGCGTATTGTTGGCCCTCGTCATCGCTGGAGCTTACGCATACTTGCACAAACATGCTTCCGTAGCTGAAATACCGGGATGTATCTCCAAGGGGCATCATCTGTACCATATTTGGCCCCTTGCCCGTTCTCTCGACCAACATCGATCTCGTTGCAGCACCAGACAAGACTGCGGACACGTCTGGCGCAAAGAAAGGGTATCGCAACCATATAGCCGTGTCGATGTGACTGGGAGAGCCATCTCCGGACACAATCATGGCCAGAATGTTGTTTCGCTTGATCGACATGGATAACGACCGCAGATGGTTGAGGATTGTCTGGTGCAAACCCAGGAGGTCAGACATCTCTTTATCACCGGTGGTGCTTGCAACTGCCAGCAGCGCATCTAAGCTCATGGAACCGTAGCGGGATAGCTCATAATGATTCGGCACAATATTTTCATTGATCCAAAGCGCTTTCCCCAAATCGATGACGGCTTGATTGGCGTAGCCGGGCGGACACGACGAGCGGGTGCGAGCATATGTTTCCAAGCGGGTCTTGCCTCGCAGGAACCACCATACCGCAGCCCGGATCCATTCCGTCAGGGTGGTTTCCATTAAAGGCTTAACGCTCTCGGCTGCGAGTCGAAGGAGACTATCATAGCGCGCGATGTAGTCCCTGAACTCCGTAAATGCACCATCACCCAGCTGATTGGCAACCGACCGCAAAGAAAATTTGGGTGGCTGAGGGCTGCGCGACGGCTCTCGACTTGATGGAGGCAGTGCCTGGCTAAGCGGTTGCGGCTCATGGGTCGGGACTTTGGGGGCCGGAGAAAGCTTGTTGGAACTGCCAGGCGTGAGACCGGGAGGTATTCGCGGGTCAACTGGGCTGAGACTGGCCTGGGTGCGGTGTACGGCTTGACTCGAGGGGTGACGAATCGAGTGGACGATGGACTTGACCGATGGCGCATTGGATGTGATGGAAATTGGGGGAGTCTCGTAGACCGACTCGATGGGACTTTCCAAGGGTGGCTCGGGGCTCGAAAGGTCCTCGTCTTCGTAGGGAGGAGACGGGACATCGTCCTCATACCCATGCTGCAAGGCACGTCCTTCTTCTGCTTGCATTTGGCTTCGAACACGTTGTGCGAACGAGCTCGACTCGGGGGAGCCGCGAAACGAGAGCCGCGAGCCGCTTTCACTCGTGGGCAAGGTTTGCAGAAGCCCCGCATCTTGAGAATTCTGGATCAACGGCGGCTGCCAGTCCCCATCCCGCGGACCCTGAGCGGCGCCTGTCCGTTGGGTTCGCCCATCACCATCGACCAGCGAGGTGTTGACTCGGAGTGTTGGCAGCGGGGATCGTGATGGGTCAGGCGAGGGTGCGGACGCGCTGCCGGGGTAGGCACCCCCCGACTGCGCGATCGCTGACGAGACCACGCGATCTCAATTGTTGGGGTCTCTGCCTCATCGCCTCCTTCCCCAATCAACTCGGGTTGTTGATCCAAGAAGCCAACCCGAAGACCCTTGCGAGTGCGGGGTTTTCGAGGGGGCTGATCGGAAAAATTGAAGGCGGCATAGTTCTCGTTTGACGATTTGGGAGGGGGTGGCGGGGGAACGCCGGAGACGTCCTGGGAGGAAGGGAGACGGTGGGAAGAAACGTGTTGTGGAGGAACCCCTCTCGGGTCCGCCGTGAGCGCGGGGAGGTCGTCGGGGAGCTGACGGGATGAGGAGAGAAAGTCTTCAATCTGTCGGTCGGGGGTCGACCGACTACCCTTGTCTTTCGAGAACAGCTTGTCCCTCCAATGGGGCTTTTTGACCGACTTGGGCTGCTCGGCAGCCAAAAACGCAAACGGGTCATCGGCAGGCATGACGGAAATCGGGATGGTACTGAAAAAGGCTGGGGAGGTCCTGTCAACATCACACGCTTCGACCCCAATTTCATGCACAGACAAGGAGGCCAGTCCTCATCTAACGGTAATCCCCCTCCCCAAGGTATGTGTGCGTGTGTGTTATCAGAGTCGCAAGAAACAAAGATCGACAGGGGCTTCGATTACTCTGATCAGAGTATACCTAGGTAGTGTTGCGGGATCGAATGATAGCGGGGGGGGGGAAGGGGGATTTCGACCAGAACCTCGACGCGGTGAAAGGGTGACAAGGAAGGAGTTGATTTCCAGATCTCCCCAAGAGAAACGAAAAAGGCAAGGAGCGAAGGAGCGGCGTTTAAGATGAGTCGCAGCGCCCGTGCATGCCCCCTAAATCCTTGGTTCTCTTGGGATTTCAATGAAAAAGAAAAAAGAAAAAGAAAAAGAGTCTGGAGACAGAGGGGGATTAACCCATTAGCCCAAGTCCAAGCTCGAGGGCGATTGCCTTCCGTTTGTCTAGTGGAGCAGATCGTCAAGCGTAGAATTAGTGCGAGGATTAGGGGAATCCAATGTACGTACGGGAGATGAGCTGTTGCCAACAAAGCTGGACCAGCAGCCGTGATACTTGGGTGGATCAAAAGGAGAGAAAGGAATGCATTTGCCCACTTGTGACTATCATCATATCATTGTTAGGGGGGGGGATCAGACTACTCCGCAGATACCACAAGTGACCATAGTGGATCCGTAAGTGGTGCAAGTCACTTTGGAGTACTGCCTCATTACGCCTGAGCGATAAGGCAATCACTCTGAGAGTAGTCACACTTCCCTCCTCTCTCTACATCTCTCCCTTCTACACACCGGAGGGATCTCTACTCTCTGACACTCTGATATTGAGGCCTCCCAGTTCTCGCGAGTCTCAGCGTGAAACCCAACTAAACCCGTTCCAGTGACCATAGAGGGGCTGCGGGTCCCGCTGACGAGGTCGGAGATGGAGTTGGGATCAGCGCTATGATATGGCCATTGTGGCTGTACGAGATGACTGTGATTCTCAAAGGATTGAGGGTCTTTTTTTCTTTCTTTCTTTCTTTCTTTCTTTCTTCTCCTTCTCAAAACCACCCTTCCTATATATAAGAACCCTCCAATGTAGTCATTGATCCAGTGTTCACTTGCCCTTTGCCGGCTTCCCCCTTTGGTCCTCCCGCCATCGTACACTCGGCATGCATGCTTTATAACGCGCGTCTCTGATTTGCTGCTTGGGATTGAATTGAGTCAATTGGAATTGACATCCCTGTCAAGGGAATACACAAGGGAATACGTTCCCTGAGAAAAATCTAGACGAGATAGGAAATAGATATATCTATACGCTTGGTTCAGACCCAGCGGAAACCAGGTCAATGCTTCCTTGGGAGTATACAGATAAACATGCTACTCGATGATAACCAGCCCTGGTGTACTTTGATTTTAACATGCTTAAGCTTAATGATCAACTAGCGCCGTCTGTCACCCCGCAAATCATATTGGCTCTAGTTGGTGCAATAGATAATGATGGGTAGAAATAGTGTCATTTGATGATAGCTAAGAAATCAACATGGGAAAAGTCACTAGGTGTCTACCATGTCAGATATTTCGAGGGAAAGCTCGCAAACTCAGGGAAATGGATGCGATCCTCGGCGGGTACCGGCTGGGATTGGCACATGGATTGCACGCTGTCGAGGCAAGGGAGACGCGGGAGGGGAACGGTTGCGGGTATGAGCAGATTAGCGACTTGAATTAGGCATAGGCCTTTCTTTGTTCTCTTCAACGAACATAAGGGTTGCGTTTGTGTGCATCCTGCCGCTTCGAGATGCCCGAGATCGGCTGAGCTGAGGATGCCAACTGCTGGGGGGATGCCATTCTCTATTCTCCGTGCACACCACCTTCGAGTGGAGGGAGTGTCTTCTGTCGAGATTTCTTTCAACTCAACCAAAATTTGGTAGAGCCTGGGGCAGAATCATGACAGGCCAAGGAAGTTCTTTGGCCTTGAGATGGTCTGCGTCGAGTGACTTGGACTGGTGAACGTCTGGAGCGAAAGCGAGGAATTGTATCGACCTCAGTTTCCCATCTGCTACCAGCCAAGGTGGCAGTGTCAAGAATAATCTAGCTGCTTTGTGTGGTCCCTGAGACATCAACAGTACCCACACGGTGCATCTGGGAGTCGATCATCTTATTTTTGCCATGCCGCCATGTCTCATCTGCAGCCGATCGCACACAGGAATAGAAAGAAATGCGTGATGTCCACAGATCAGTGAGACAATAGAACTGGGCATGTCAGCTTGCTGCAAAACAAATAGAATAGAATTCAAGAGGAATCAATTGCTTGGGGGAAGAGAAGGAAAGAAAGAGAGAGAGAGAGAGAAGGGGTTCAGCTGAGTGTAGATCGAGCGATGCCCACGTAGTCAGCCGCCAAATCTCCGCCCCGACATAGAACTCCCCGAGTCTCTCTTGCTTTTCTTTTCTTTTCTTTTCTTTCTTTTCTGTTTTATTTGATTCTTCTTTCTTCCACTTCTTCAATTCAAAGCTTTCTGGTTTGATCTTCTTTCCGCGCTGCGGTTTGTTCTCGGGATGCCCTGCTCCTGACCCAGTGGCTTGCGTTCCTCCCTCTAGGCAGCCAACCTTGAACCTTTACACATCCCGCATCCCTTGACGCGCACTCTTCCCCCCGGTCGGACTCCTGCAAATTGTATCCTCGACCCTGAGGTGTGTTACCCGCAAGATCCTGGCATACCCGACATATTGTCAACGCAACGTGGATTCGATCACATACCCCGGGGGTTGACCTCCCCCAGGAGGTCATCCCGGATGCCCAACCCAGACGGCATGTGTTACGCGGGGACCCAGGAGCCATCGAGTGATTCCGGTCAACGGCCAACAGCTAGGTGTCTACGACGCGGAGGAATAGGCGTGTCTCAAGGTCGGCGATGGCGGGATACGTCCAAACGGCGGTGGTCTCGGCCATGGATTTCGTGGATCGCCGTCGTGTGGATGATCTCGTGGATATCGCCGGCCGTCGCGGTCCTGTTGGATTTTGACAATTGCCTGAGCCAGACCATCCGTGACTCGAATCCTTTACAGCTCCAATTCATTCCGCTCGACGTGTCTGTCCACTTCGACCTCGCTGATCCTCTCCATCCGCTGAATGTGACTGTTTATGGGAACGTCTCTGGGACTGCCGATCGTCGCTCGAACTACCCACCCCCGGATGATGCACAGTGGAACAATCCCAATCAGACCGTTGGAAAGATTGTGGACCTGAGCAACTCCAACAACAAGTTTAGCACCCTGCTGACATCGTTCAATGTGTTGAATTTCGCACCTTTTCGCGATGCTTCCCGGTTTTGTGACACTCTCGCACACGGCGAGTGTCCGATGGGCCCGGTCTTCAAGTACAATCTGTGAGAATTGCACTTTTGCTGAGTTACCTAAACCCCGCCTAATTGATGTCCCTTTATCTTCAGGAGTGACCTCGACACCTTGAATGCCTTCTCTGTTCAACATGACATGATCTCGACATACCGCTTTTCGACCATCTCGCCAACGCTTACGATCCGATCCGGTGATGCCTCAGCAGTAGATTTGGGCTGTATTTCGGTACAGATCACACCCGACCTCGGAAAACCACGGAAAAATGGGTTGGCCTATGTGCCGTTGGTCATCTTGTTGCTAGTGGGAATTGCCACCATCTCTGCCGCCATATACAGCCCCTGGGGCACTACGGATTTGTTTCGATGGACGAGTAACTATGGCCGCGACGAAGATGTTCTCCGCCTGGTTACTCCTGGATTTGCAGATTGTCTCCAGTACCTACAATATGTGGTGTTGACTGGGGCCTTGTCGCTGGACTACCCCGGTTACTATCAGCCCGCCGTAAGCCAAGGGGCTTGGTCAGCTCTGATGTTCAATCAAAGCCTTGTCAGCTCGAGCGATGGCCATAACCCGGTCGTTGATGGTGTCTACACCGTGAATGGGACGTATGGTCTGGACCGATTGAATCAGCTGGTGGGGATGGCCACCACTCAAGATATTTGGCCGGGCATGATGGTGTGGCTTTTGGTCATCGTGGTCGTCGTCACACTGCTGATCCAGCTCGGATTCGCAGGACGCTGGGTCCATCGAGAATTGACCAATATCCCTGAACAAGATCTGCGCGCCAAAAACATTCCCTTTACCGTGGGGAACATCATCCGCATCGTTTTCAATTACTTGCTCCTTCCAATCATCTCCCTTTCTTTCTTCCAGCTCGTCATTACCGGACGCTCCCCAGCCTACAGCGTTGCCTTGGCGGCGGTGATGATCATCATCTTGATCTGCTTTTCGCTCTGGGCAATCCGCGTCCTTGTGTCTACCCGACCCAGGTCTCATCTATTTGACGACCTACCCACAGTGCTCCTGTACGGTCCGCTCTATAACACGTTTTGTGACGATGCGGCAGCGTTTGCCATCGTCCCTATCTTCTTGACGTTCGCCCGCGGAGTCGCCATTGGCGCTTTACAGCCTTCGGGGATTGCGCAGATTGTATTGCTCGCCATATGCGAAGTCGTCTCAGTGCTCTCAATCGTGGCTTTCCGACCCTTCCCTGCACCCACCTCGATGAATTTATACCATTGCTTGTTTTCCTTCGTGCGGTTCCTTACCATTCTTCTGAGCGTGGTGTTTGTTCCCTCATTGACAGTCTCAGACGCTGCACGGGGGTGGATTGGATATGTCATCCTCATCCTGCACGCGCTGGTTCTCATATTCGGGTTTTTCCTGAACGCGCTGCAGACGTTAATCGAAGTCTTAGCAAGACTCGCAGGTGCTGGTGGGGCCACACGTGGTGGCTTGTCGAAGGTATTCGGAATGCGCCAGCTGTCAAGGCGCGAGCCGCAACGTGACCTCACCCGGCAAAGCTTAGGCTCCGAAGCGGCTATGCTTGTACATACCGACGGGCGTGTGTCTTCTCAGTTAGACGGCTCACGTCCTCGGAGTCTGTCAGGGAGCTCGGCCCTGCTTCTGAATCGTGCAACCGCTAGCGAGGGCCGAGCGAGCGGGATTCTGGATTACGCCAGTTCACATGGCGGTGGCTCGCACAGCCGTGCCGCCAGCGGTGGACTGTACACGCCGACCCAAACCAGCTATCCCGGACCCGGTTCACCCAGCAGTGGCACAGTCATTGGCATGCATGCCCGGGATCCCTATTATCGCCCCCGAGACCTGGACGGAGGACGCCCCAGGCGAGCATATCTTCTGACAAAGGAAAACGGAATTCGAGGAGCTTTTTTAATCCAACTCGAGCAGCCGATGTGGAAGATAACGTGGGAGATAGCGGGCCAATGTCCGGTCGGGCAACCCCTGTCCCGGCGTATCTGCCAGCCCCCAAGGACGACATGGAATTGGATGACTCTCGACAGTCCCAGAAGGATTATGCCGTGCGTGAGGTTGACTTCTATTATCGTGTCCGTGGCCCGCCTCTCTCGCATACTGGCACCCGCAAGTTGAAGACCGGCCCCGCCGACCCCACAGGCCCGGTGTCTTCTGCGACTGGATGGTTTCGGAATTTCTTCCAAGGCAAGACCAAGGACAAAGGCAAAGGGTTTGAAGTGGTCCGAAGCGCTCGAGCGCCCCCTCCTGGCATGTATGCGAGAAGGGGCGACTTCCACGAGCCGTACCAAGATGACCCCGACGATGGGATGGCCGGCGGGCACTCTCGCAATGTCTCCGCTGGGGAGATGCCTTTCCAAGACTCCGACGGTGACCATGATCCCCGACAATCTGGCGAGCTGCCCGCGCCGGTCCTACCGCAAGTGAATTCGGTGGATAGCATCGAGCTACCCAGTCGCATGGGATCACGGCGTACTCAGACCTCACTGGACGGAGATGAGGCCACGCAGCCTATTCCGGCTGTCATCGAGACCACTTTGCCCCAGACCCAAGGCGGCCAAGATGTTTCTGACCCGGGACACCTGCGGCCTGAGTCCCCGGCCACTGCACGCTTGCCCTTTAGCGGCAGTAGCTCACCTTCACGAGAACGGGGGCTTTCTGTGGCCTCCACCTCTGGGTCGGCGACCTCGAGCCACAAAACAGGGAAAGATGGTAGACGCGCCGAACGTCCTTCAAGCATGGGCTACGTACCACAGCACCGCGCACATGACCACATTCATCAGGCGAGTCCGGACGAACCATCTTTTGCCGGTAGTGCAGCGGAGCTTGTGGATGAACCGTTGCACGTCGAGCAATGAGGTCCAGCGGTTGTTTCTCTATTTGGGACCTTTATCTATACTTCACTGCCTCTCTTCCCCGCCTCACCCATTCTCCTTACATCCGTTGTGCTTTTCCCCCTGAATATTTGGCGGCTTGGATTTCCATTGATGCCACGGTCACGAATCTCCTTCTGTTCCTGCCTTTAATTCTTTTTTTCCTCTCCCAAAACTCTTGTCAGGCGTTTCTTTTTTTCCCCTACCCCTTTTCTCAATTGATCCCAGGTAGTTTTGATGGGAACTATAGCGCTATTCTTGTAATCCATACCACGGCCTTAGGTAGTATTTTGGCACTTCATTTGGAGACTTGTTTGTTTACTCAACTTTGCTTTCGTTCCTTGACTAGGTAGGATCTAAGCTGTGCTGTGCATGCTCCTAATCCATGGATATCCGGTTATCGGACACGGACAAAGTATGAGGATATTTAGCTCTAAAAGGCAGCGGCTCCGACCATCTGCATTTCCATGTCATCACAGTGAGGAAAAAAAATAAAACTAAAAAAAAAACTAAAACTAAAACTAAAACTAAAACCAAACAAAATCCGTCCCATTGAATTCACAGGGATCTGATCAACGTTCAAGAAGGAGGGGGAGGTTGGATATAGACAATGATGCCTCAGCTACATGAATTTCAAGGGCGGCTTGACTTGATTGAGCGTCAGTAAGGAATCCTCATGGAAGAGGACATCCTCATGGGCACTGGAATTATTTCTCCCACCCTTTAATAATGGGGGATTTTCTTGTACCAATACAACATTTGTCCCATGGTCCAGCGCTCGTCCTGTTTGCACAAGCCTCTTGCCATCAACTGTACCTTCTCCGGTCGCATCCCTGGAAATCTGTTGCCTAATAATTCGTTGGTAGCGTCGTAGGTGAGGCCAGGTGCGACGGCACCGGATCTAGGCTGATGTAGCCTGCGAGCAATGCTGTCCTGCAACATGTTCGTCATCTCGCTCCGTTGATCGGCCCACAGCCATGTCATGGTCCATGCAAAAACATCATTTTTCGGGCCGTCATATGGTTCACGATTCTTCCACTCTAAAGGCTAGATATGAGCACTGGTCCATAGAAAGGGAAATAGCATGGATAGACCGAAACAGAAACCTACCTGGACCCTTATAAGTCGGTGTCCCACCACTGAAATCATGGCAAATGCCCTTGCCCACCCATCCAGTACCATCCCAATGCCCAGGCACATATCGGGCATGGTCCCAATCAATCATGTATCTGAAGCCGTTTCTCATGAAAAGAATATTTTCCGGCTTGACGTCTCGATTTATGACATCGACTCTATGGGCTTCCTTTAATACCTCTCCCATGGCGCCCATTGTCTCTAGGGTGATCATGGGCAGGTTTCCCTAATCAACCCCTCATTCATCCCATCAAACATATCATAAATACCGAGTTCCATCACCTGGACCGACTGGTCGGTGTTGGTGGAGTAGAATTGTTCACGAAACGGCATCACCCACGGACTGGTAACTCGTTCCTGAAGTTTGGCCTGATCGATCGCGGTCCCTCCACGAGAGAGCTTGACGCCCACGTCCAGGTCTCGACCGATGGGCAGTTGCAGGTAGGCATTATCTTGTGTGTTATAGTAAGCGAGCTTCGCTTCCCAGACCTGGCCGTCAGCTCCATGGTTTTTTTGTTTGACGAGTAGCAGCGATACGGAGGGTTGTCCGTTACGCGTCATGACATATTGGAATCGGGCCTTCTGTGAAGAAACATGTCTAGGGTTTTGAAACCCCTCGTCATAACAGGGCAATTGGGGGTATGCTCGTTTTTTGAGGGTGCGACGTTCTAGCAAAGGCGAGTGATCGAAAGAGGAATTTTGTGGAGCGAGTGACGGTTCATCGGAGATTGGACGAGAGGAGCTGTGAGGGATGAGCAAGGAATAGATGCCCCATAGTATTAGTCGGGAAATAAAAAGGCGCATGTTGGATGTGAAGGACTTCGTCCACAAGGGTTCATGGTGTTCCTGGACATAGAGGAATCTCTGGGGTTTATATCACTTGGGTTTGTTTATAGGATTTATTGATTTACTGATTTCTTTTCGTGCCCGCCCCGTTAGATGTGATCCTGGACCAAAGTCTTTCTCTTCTAGACTCCATCCATAGTTGTAGGAAGTGTCTCGTTTGCCCAGTTGGCCCCCGGCCCCATATGCCCTCTATAGGACCTGCTTTAGACCCACTGCAGTACGCCCTGCTGTGCCGTCTAATCCTATGCAAATTGGCCTAGTGTATTCAGTTTTGAATGGCAGAGTTTTCTGCAGCTTCGGTCGCCCGAAAATAGTGTGTCAACGAATATATCACCCTCATGGTAAAGCGGTCGAAGATTGCGGTAAGTTCACGAAGACCCTTCCTCGCTGCAATCGAACATTTAAAAGTTCTACGGTTCAGCTTGAGTGTCACTTCACAAGGCTTTTGTCTATTAATTCCAACCTTGTTATAAATGATTCCGTTGAGTATGATGGCTAGAGCTACAGAGATATAGTCCAAAGTTTGGGGGTCTTTATAGAGGTGAACGTTGGCCCGGTGCAAGATTCTCAGTTTCTCAGTGAACTCTCTCTCCCCTTATATCTAGTTGTGCCACTCCTATAGCCCATCTCTATTCTACTGAGAAATCTAAAGGCGGCGAATAAGCAAAATACAAAAGGGGAAATCCCGTAGGCTTGGCAGCCTACACGGCCACTAACATCCATCGAGATCTTTCTCCTTTACCCGGGGCTTCAACAGCACACAAGGTCTAATGTCGCAGCCGGACATGCTGATGAGATTCGCAAGTTGGTGACTCATTCCGGAGTGAGAATCCCTCACGCCATGTTAACCAGAAATCAGGCCCCAATGAGCGGCGGACAATTAGTCGGGAAGATGTCGGGTTTTACAATGCGCTAGTCATAGCGGCAGTTTACGAGGTTGTCAATGATGAGATAGACATGGACTCGGCTCAGTCCTTTATTCCGCCCCTGAAACACTGCATTCAGAAACATCCCTATCTGAGCGTGGTCGTCAAGGACAAGCATACCGAAAAACCTGCTTATGAAGGTGTATCGTGTGTCAATCTCGAAAACCATATCTCGATCATCCACGACGATCAGATCAGTACTAATGGAGAGGTGGCCACGATTCAAAAGGCCCTGCCATCGATACTTGACCGGCGATGGCCTGCTGGAATCCCACCTTGGCGCATTGTCGTCCTCCCTCTGTTGCCGCGGGACTCCGTGACGCGCTGTTTTATAGCGTTTTCGCTCTCTCATACTCTCGGGGATGGCATGGTGGGACCCATCTTTCATCGTACCTTTTTGGATGCATGGCGTCAGACGACTGGCGTGGACGAGAAACGGTCTTTTCTGGTGACTCCGCCAAGTCGAACGCTTCCAGCACCCTTTGACACGCCCGAGAGGCTTCCCATCTCTTGGAAGTTTCTCCTGGGGCCGCTGATAGCCGTGTACTTGCCTAAGTGCTTAGCGAACATCCTCGGACTCCGCGCAGCTGCCAGTACCGTTGATTCCGGTACCTGGACCGGGTCGCGCATCTTCTCTGAGCCGGGGTCTGTCCCCAAGAGTGGAGTGAGACTCCTCGAGATCGAGGCTCCGCTGCTACAGAAGGCTCTCCAGACGTCGAGAAATCATGACACCAAGCTCACCGCAACCGTGCACCAGATGGTGATTCGAGCGTTGAGCAAGGCCATTCCCAACCGCGATATCACCAATTTTGTCTCAACAACGGCTGTCGACATGCGAGGGTCTATTGGCACGCCAGGTTCCACATGGGGTCTTTTTGTGTCTGGCCATTACGAAGTACACCCGCGTCCACTTGACGTATCGCAGCCTGTGTTATCAAATGAGACCTGGGCAGCAGCGACCTCGATGACGAAGAAACTCGCCGAATGTGCCACGACGCTGCAGGACCAAGCAATTGGTCTGCTTAGATATGTCCCCAGTATCAGAAATTGGACACTGGGGAAACTCGGACAACAGCGAGATTCCTCTTACGAAATGAGCAACTTACTTGCCTTCGATGGCATGAGTGGTGATGCAAATAATTCCAAATGCAAGATTAGCAAGATGGTGTTCGTGCAGCCCGGGAATGTTCCCAGCGCTCCGCTGGTGTTCAACATGATCAGTGTCAAGGGTGGTAGCTTGGTATGTGCGGTTAGTTGGCAAGTGGGAGCCTTGGATGTGCCGATAGAAGAAGAGTCGGCCTTGGTTGATGCGATATGTTCATCACTTCACGCGGACTTTGAAGCCTTGAGTGATTGATTGAACTGTCGGCACCTCAGACAGAACTGTCCAAATTGTTTTATGTTTTTTTATAGAGGATTTAGTTAGAGCAAATCTACTAATTAGTTATGATGCTGGTCGAACTAACATGTCCTGCTTCCCATCCATGACCGCTATGCTTGATCCTTCCCAAATGCTACCCTCAAGTCATCAACATACTATATATTTATAATCTGCATCCATCTGATAGGAGGGATATAGATTGGCCCTTGCGCTCATCCTAGATAGTCCATCATACCGTGGATACACCCCCAGTGTTTCGTAGGTCAAAAAGGGTATAGTAAAAAGTATGCCTAAGTCAACAACAAATGCCTCCATCCTCAGGCATGATATCGGCTTGCCGATGATACGATTATGCCGGTCGCCACCGTGCTCACCGCCACGGCCCCACGGATAAGGGCGTATCGGACCCCAAACACAGCTTCAACTCTGCATCATCAACACTTCTTGCTTCCTGCTGCAGATTGCATAGGGTAGTGGCTCATTTTGATCTGTATTGTGTCTATTGTTCTGGGTAGGGACAGGGGCAGTGCCTGTGCTCGATCGATACATCACACGACTCCTTTCCGCTTCCTTAAATCCGAACCGCCTTGCCTCGATGATAAGCGTCATCCTCTCCGTCCTCGACGCGCTGCTGGCATGCAAACGGCGCCACCTTTGCTAAGAGCAAAGTGAGAAATAGAGAAGCGATACTCAAGAGGAAGTTTAACAGTTAGCCTTTACTTGGGTCTCATTCCATTCTCGATACCGGTCGCCACCCGGCCCATGCTCGCCTTATCTCGAAGACCAGGATTGGTCTCATTGATGAGATTGAGGAGCACTTTCTGTTGAAGTCGATCAAACAAGCCATTTTATTCACAGAGAAGACAATGTCGGCATCGAGTACAGCGTCTTCGAGCTCCTCGGCGACAAGCCCTTTACTGCCTGGCGCGGGACCAGGGTCGAGATTTGGAGAGAGATCTAGCGGGACTGGGGCAGCTCGGCCTGCCGATCACGAAAGTGTTGCCACTGGTAGCTCTACAGGCTGGAGAATGGCTGCTCGTTCGGTGCCGGATCGCAAACGACGATTAACAGGCACGGCAGACGATGCTCGCTTGCAGCGAACACGCTCTGGAAGTGCGGCTGGGCGTGACGGCCACAACAGCAGCTGGGCCCCTCTACCGTACCGGTCTGTCTCGATGGTGCTGCCCTCGTCCCGGACAAGATCTTCAGTTTCTGACGTTCCTGGGTCGTCCTACGCAACGGCAATCGATATCGCCTCCTCCCCCCCGGCTGAGTCTGCCCATGCCCATGAAGCGCATGCCATGCGTTCTATCCGGGAACCGGGAGGTCCGGGTCATGATTCATCTCGAGAAATTCACCAGGCTCCTTGGCCTCCAGCCGGGCCTGCTCAACAGCCAGATGCGCATAGAGCGCGTGGGGTGCGGTCCTCAGGGAGCTCGTCTGCTCCGAATCCCGAATCGTCAGGATCCTGGTCTTCGTACTACCCGCGTCAGGCTGAGGAGATACAAGGACACCTGAGCTCCTTGTCACCCCAAGGAGATGGGGCCTCGTTGACCCAAAGTGGCAGGTATGAGTCCATGGAAACGCCTGGGTACCCAAGCGTCAGTCGAAGACATTTTGTCTCGGGTATATTTTCACCAGGAGGAAATCATGAAAGGCCTTTGGAGATGCCTCAAAATATCCTGCCAAGGTGGCAACCGGATTCGGAGGTTGAGAATTGCCCCATCTGTGGGATTGTGTTCAGCTTTTGGTACAGGAAGCATCACTGTCGGAAGTGCGGGAGAGTCGTGTGTGCCTCGTGCTCTCCCCATCGAATCACCATTCCTAGGCAATACATTGTTCGCCCACCTGAATCAGCCGCAAGTGTCCCAAGCTCACCTCCAATGGCTGCATCTCGTATCCAGCAGGTGATTGATCTCACCGGAGACAACTCCGGCCCATTGCCTCCTACCATCAATCCTGCCTTGGGAGGTGGTGAAGAAGTTCGGCTTTGCAATCCTTGCGTACCAGATCCCAATCCCAATCCTCTTGGGTACTCTTCTCCTCGTCCACATGGTCATCGACCTACACACTCACTTTCCTCAACGATGGGATCGCACTACTCTATCGTGGCGGTAAGTTCTTGATTGATGGCCCCGGTTCATTGAGGACATTAAATGACTTACTATGGTGTATTTCCAGCGCGACAATTCAAACACTCGCCAAGAAAGAAGAACGCTGGGCACCAACGAGCGACCTTCGTTTCTTCGGGACCTCAGCCAGCAAATTCGCCAATCTGCCTCCAATGAAGAAGAGCGACGTCGTTCACGCCGGGCTACAGCCCTTCCCGATGCATCTACCCCCGCCACTGGCCTGGTCTTCCAACGCCAGTCCCTGTCTCGCGAGGGCACAAGTGCCCCTTCCTCGCCTTTCCCCCTGCGCCGCCCTGTTGTCTCTGATCGCGACCTCTGTCCGGTCTGCGGTCGCCGATTCCCGGCACTGAGTCCGGACCAGCCAACTGAGGCACGAGAGGCGCATATACGGTATTGCATCGAGAACTACGGAGTGCCTACTGACCAGCATGCACCTTCGCCTGAACAGCCAGGACCTCCGCTGCCTCAGCCCCCTCCCGTCCCTCGTATGCTCGAGTTTACTGCCACCGAGAAAGACTGCCTTGGTGAGGATGGTGAGGTTGCCGAGTGCACAATTTGCATGGAGGACTACGAGGTCGGGCACACTCTGGCCCGTCTCGAGTGTCTTTGCAAGTTCCACAAATCATGCATCGTGGGCTGGTTTGCACGCAAGACGGAGTGTCCTGTGCATAAGGTCACCTAGAAAGGGTGACTAGGGGCAGGGTTGCCTGTGCTTTGCTTTTGTTGGAGTTGTCGCTTTGTTGTCCTTTTTTTTCTCTTCCTCGTGACTCCGTTGATGTATGGCTTTTGGCGCTCGGGGTCCCTTGTTCTGATATCCACTCTAGCGCTTGTTCCCTGAAATGATGAAATGACCATCTATAACCTAAACCTTTGAGTCGGCCATGAAATAGGCTCTTTCCATTGACCTTAAGTAGTCCATCACATCTCACTGCGGCTGAATGAAGCCAGTCAGGTTTAGCATAGTCACGTGCCCGCCCCAAACCACATCTGGGCCTGTGACAGACGACGTCCAACTTCCCCAGGCAGCAGACATCCAGACAGTGCCAAAGACAACCAGAGGGGTTGCGGCAATTGAATTGTTATTTTTTAGTTGCCAAGGCTCTGTCTCCCACAGGCAGTGACAACCACCGATCGGGCTAGTTGCAACGAACCTGATCGCCGTGTCGGGGCTCGGCGCTTTTGTCCACCGGCCTCCGTCCTGCGGTGTTTTGCGCACAAGCTATACACAGCCAAGTGCGCATTAATTCCCCTCGGTATGTGATAACCATATTATAACAATTGATTTATTTTGTGCATTTATTCATTGGTGCCTTGGATGTTGACACCTCTCAGAGATCCGCCCTCGGTGTCAGCTGGTTGGCCCCGCACTCGATGGAGCTCGATCCCCAGCTGCGGGCCTCTCGAGATGGGGACACACGACGGTCGTCATATATGCCCTCCCGACCACTGGTGAATCCAGTGCCTGGATACCCCGCTCCACCTCAGTATTTCCCCCCGGGCGGGCACCAGGCTCGCGACACATCAGCATTGGAGCCGGGACCCACTTATGCCGACCCATCATCTGATCCCGAAAACCCTCTTGCAGACTTGAAGCGGGCCCGCGCTTGTGAGCCCTGTCGGCAATTAAAGGTGCGGTGCGACCCTGACCCAGATCACCCGGACGGGTCATGTAAACGCTGCGCTAAAGCCCGCCGGACCTGCTTCGTCACGGCTCCAACCCGCAAGCGCCAGAAAAAGACGGACAGCCGGGTTGCCGAACTAGAACGGAAAATCGATGCTTTGACAGCTACGTTGCAGGCCTCGCACAGCAATGCGCTGTTCTCTGCAGCACCTCCAGCAGACCCGCCGCCGTCTCAACCTCAACCGCACGACCAACATACTAGTCGGCGGTGGTTGAAGGAAGACTCTCAACAGGCAGGAACTAAACGCCAGCACGGCGGACAGGCGAAGGTGCCTCCTCAGAATCTTTTGGGACCGCAGTATTCTCGACCGGGCAGTCCGTCGGTGGAGCAGCTCCATGACCGCCGACCTCCCCACCACTGGCGCGGCCCCTACTCCGGCGCGATTGAACCGCCGAAGACTGATGCAGGCAATGAATTTGTGGACGTGATTGACAGAGGTATTATAGATATAGAAACCGCGGTGGCGGCATTCAACCGCTTCGTCAACCAAATGGCGGAAGAAATGCCTGTCGTCATGCTTCATCCCGAAACCAAAATGGGTGACGTCCGCCGCGAGAAACCAGCCTTGTTCCTTGCAATCACCGCAGCTGGAGTTGGGGTTTTCAACCCCAACCTTCAACTTAGCTTGTTTGGGGAGCTTTATCGACTGATCGGCGACCGCGTGGTGGTCAAAGGCGAGAAGTCACTGGACCTCCTCCAAGCAATACTGGTCGGTACACTTTGGTACCTGCCGCCAGATAACTTTGATGAGATCAAGTTCTGGCAGCTGATCCATATGGCCGTCGCTCTAGCCATGGATCTTGGCCTAAACCGCCGCACCTTGACAAACAAGCGACCCTTTACGTTGGTTCGCGATCTGATGATGAAAAAGCCGGCGGTCATATCGTTTGATCCAGATGGACCGGAAGCTAGACGGGCATGGATAGGCTGTTATTTTCTGGCGGTCCAGTGAGTGCCTCATGGATGCGTTACGAACTGGTCGTATACTAATCGCGATAGGGCTGCGACCGCTCTGAGGCGAGTGCTTTTGGTTAGATGGCAGCCTTACAACGACGAATGTCTTGAAATTCTAGAAAACCATCCCGACGCTTTGCCTTCAGACCGGAAGCTGGTATGGTGGGCTAAGCTTGGGCTCATCATGGAAGAGGTCGGTGTGCACTTTTCTACCGATTACCCAGGATCAATCATCACGTTTGCGGATAGTAAACTTCGGTATACGATGAAAGCGCTCGAGAATGAACTGTTCCAATGGAGGAGGGATATCCCTGAAGAGCTCTACACTGGTAAGTTCAGGCCCCCGAGGCAACTCTGCGGCTATTTCTCTAACAATATCCCAGAAACCCTGGCCAACACTGAGCACACCGTGAATCTTTTTATGCACGAACCTGCCATGAGCGTCGACTGCAATACCACCACTGATGCCGATTCACCTTCGAGCGACAGCTTGGCCGGCCCAGCAGTATCAGCCATCATCGATGGGTTGACCACGTGCATCTCGTCTATCCACAAGGCCTTGGATAGCATGTGCACTGTTGAAATAGATCGCCTTTTGTGTCTCCCAACCATGTGGTTAGGTCGAACATCGTACGCCATGGTCAGCCTGATCAAGATTTACTCCCACCTGACGCCCGAATGCCGCATTGGGCAGATCATCGATGTGGAGAGCCTGAAGATCGAATACTACATGGATAAGGTTATTAGCCACTACCGGACTGGCGCAGCCCGCGATGGTGGTCGTGCGGTAGCCAAGTTCGGCAATATTTTGGTGCTGCTGCGCAACTGGTTTATCAAAAAGAAGGACCAAGGGCAGGCGTTGAAAGACGTATTTGCGGACCCGCGCGAGGCGGTGCCGTGTGGTCCCCCATTGGTATGTTTGAGATATGGATTGTTCTCTCCCCGAAGACCTTCTTTATTAACACACACAACAGATGAAGCCTGGCACGACACCACTCCATCTCCTCAGTGAAATTGCCACCGGTGAACCAACGAACCGGGCTTCCTCCAGCGGTCACGCGCCTAATCAGGCCTCGGGGCCCGAATATACTTCGTCTACGGAGCCTAGCTCAAACCGAGGCGTCGGCGCGACCCCAACAACAAGGACTAATAGTTACGGCGCCCCGGACACGCCAAACAGCACGGCTGGCCACAAAGCTGCAGATACACAAACTAGCTGGGCTTCCGACCCATCTGCTAATTTCCCTTCCTCATTCCCGGGGCCCTTGGAGATGGGCAACCGAGGATACTACCAGTCTTTTAATGCGGCGGATCCGTCGCAGCCCTACCCAGATTTGGCGGCGTCATCAAACATTCCAACGCAGACACAACAAACCTACCCTGACATGTCGAGCACAGCCAGCATGCAGCTTTCCCAGCCGATGGGAGTGGTACCTGAAATGGGAACCGAGACTGTTTTTGATCCAGATAATGTGTTTTTGTTTGGGAGTATGATGGACGAAGGGCTATTTTCGTTTCCGATGTCCTTCGGCGGCAACTTTGGGTTTTAAAGCCCTGATACATATCCCATCTTGTCCTGTTGTTTCTTTTCTTGTTGCGTTTTCGACTCCACTCGATACCCGGCACAATCATGCTAGAAAAGCCATTTCCAATTACATGCAATGTATAAATTCTTACAATCTCCCGTAACCTCCACTAGTTGCTATTATACTAAGCGATGCAATAAATCCTTGCCCTGTAGCCACCGTTCTACATTCTCTGCCGTCTCTTCATACCACGTATGCATAAGTCCCTCATCAACGTAGCCCATATGCGGTGTCATCACCAGCGCACTCCTCCCGCCAGTACCCCAGTCCGGTGACCGCCAGCGACTATCGCGAGGCAAGGGCTCAAGGTCAAAAACATCCAATGCAGCACCGGCGATGCGACCCCGCTGCAGCGTGTCATACAGCGCCGCCTCCTCGACCAGGGGCCCGCGCGAGGTATTAACCAACAACGCGGAGGGTTTCATAGCCGCCAACTCCGGGACCCCAACCAGACCGCGCGACCGATCGCCGAGCACATAGTGAAGGGTCACGACGTCGGCCTGGGCGAACAGCTCCTGCTTAGAGACGACGCGAAATGTAGGCGTTTGGGCATCGGCACCGGAGTCATCCAATGGCCCGTACACAGGCAGCCCCAACTCCTGGGCCGTACTGTCGGCCTTTTCCTGGGTGAGGTTGGCGCTCCAGCAGATGACGTCCATACCGAAGGCGAGCACGGCGATGCGGGCCACAGCGGCGCCCAGCCGGCCCAGCCCCACCACGCCGAGAGTCAGGCCCGCCAGACCCTTCGCTAAGCGGGTCTGCCAGGGGGCGGGGGCGGGGGCGGTTTTGATGGCGGCGTCGTCGGCGGCGACGTTGCGCGCCAGCGCCAGGATCAGGGCCCAGGCATGCTGCGTTGTCGGATGGCTGCCGCCCTTGGTGAGGTCGAGGCGGGCGCGCGCGCTGGCGGAGGCAGTGGCGCGCCCATCGCTGCGCCCGGCACCCGGCGCCACGGCGACGGCGATGCCGAGGTCGCGCGCCGCAGCCAGGTCAAAGGATTCGAACTGGGTGCCGGTGGCGAGCAGCAGCTTTAGGTTCGGCAGCTGGCGCAGCAGATCTGCGGGGAAGGGGTGCGCTCGCGCATGGACGAGATGATCGTGTAGGGCTGGAGCGCGGCGACGAGCGCCTGTTTCTGGGCTGCGGTGGTGTCGGCGTGCGTGTAAGGGGCGAATGCATCGCGGTAGACTGTCCGCTCGAGCTGCGAACTCGGGATGTGAGTGAAATGCGACGAGGCGATGTCCAGGTAGTCGTCGAGGATTGCGAGCGTAGGGGTGGTGGTGGTTAGGGTTGGGTTGGCAGATCCGGGCGCGGCCATGGCTGCGCTGCACGTTATTTGACAGGTCTTTGCTGGCCCAGGGGAGCGGTGCTGGCTTTTCTAGAATCCATCAATCCATCAGCGCTTGCAACAAGGCGGGTCTCGGTGAACCCCGCCTCCACAGGAACCGAGGTGGAAGGTTGGGGGCCGATTCGCTTCGGGTTTATAGTCCATGGTGGTTATACATTGCGGAGCGTAGCGACTTAACTGGCCACTTTTTGTTAGCGAGAGTTAGTTGAACGCCGCAAGGATCAAGACCTAAGGAGTGGTGCATGAGCTGATCATATTTAAAAGACACAAAAGCTCTAAAGGGTAGATTGGGCGTAGTCTAGCATCACGAAACATATACACAAGGTGGTGGTATCAGGGTAAGGGAAATGCCCCACAGGAGGGTCAACTCGATCAAAGACCAGACGATATCGCCTCCCAGTTCATATCATCAACATTAAATGCAGGAACCGAGGTCATGAGCTCTGCCAGAGTGACGGGGTCTGGATCTGGGTATTCTGACATGGGCATGTCGTTCGGGATTTCAGCCGCTTGAGCTGGACCTTCAGGAGGCGGCGGCGAGGGCTTGGTCCTTTTCTGAGGCTTTCTCGGCCCCTTGGCCATTTTTCGAAGGAGTTGCGCAAGAGTCTGTGCCCCTACTTCAGCCATATGGCTGACCTCTGCCAGCATCTGCAGGCGATTGAGGGCGTCGCGGACTGCCTGCATGCACTCTTCTCGCTTCGAGCTGACTATGCCAGCCCCTAGGGGATCCGAGTTGTTCATACTCGCACGGTGGGGCTCGTCCTCTCCGCAAAACGTGCGATCCATGCAGAGGTATACCAGGAGTGCTGCAGCCTCGAATGTGGGTAGGATGATGCCCGTGAACCGTGTTTGAGACCCACCCATCAAAGCATGTAGGGTAGATGCCCCCCTCAGAACATAGAGAGCTGCCACGGCCAGAGCCTTGCGTTGCGATGATAGCAAGACTTGCTTGTATTTGGGGAGCTCTTGGACCTGAGTTGGTTCCTGCAGGAGCGCCGGCCGAAAGTTGCAGCAAATAGACTCGAATAAAGAAATGTGCAAGAGTTCCCTTTGATGTGGGAGCATTGGGAGACGCTCATCCCATTGCTTGTCGGGTTGTAGGGCAAAGGCCGAGGGCAGGGTAGCCAAGAAGTCACTGCAGAGCATTTCATACCGCTCCTCGGCCAACACAATGTCATACTCGGAACCTAACTTGGGCCCTGTCTTCTTCCAAAAGTTGGCTAGACGGGCCTGAAGAATCCGCTCCGTGAAGCCCTCGAGGGTATGGGTGTCATCGATGTCGGGACCGAGGCGCATGCGGGGCATGTTCTCGGGACTCAAGCCACCATGCAGGATGGCAATGCGATCCAATTGTCGAGAAAGAACACTGCGAGGGAGAGGTCCACACTGGTTAGCAAGAGATATGGCGGAAAGGATACTCGTCCTGATACCTATCCCATATGTATAAGTTGCAGAATATCCTACGTCGCGTTTCTTTCTCTAGCTCGTTCATGTCCGGCACCCATTGAGTGGCATCTTTGTCGAGTCCAATCTTCTGGGCGACCTGAATTGCAGTACCGAGGGCATTTCGAAAGTCATTTGTACGGCCTTCACACCGGGACTTGAGTCCAGCAAAGACCAGATGTTGTACGCGGAGCAGGCTGCCCTTAGGATTTAGATGGGTGCAGGTCACCGCGAGATTGTCAGCGACGTCATCACAAGCGCTGCGAATATCCGCCAGAGACATGCCGCGAATCCTTTCGATGCAATAGGACGGGCATGGAAGGAATTGAGTTGCATAGGAACACATCCGCAGAAGCAGGGTTGCAAACTCAATACCAAAGACCGAGGGTCTTTTGGCAGTCCACCATAGTTGGTATTGTTCCAGAAACCACGGCGGGTAGACCATCTGGTCCATCCTAAACACTCACATATGACTGGTTAGGAAAGCGATTCCCTCGGGGCGTTGATCCCAGACGTTCGGATAAGGCTCGGGGCACTCACCAATTCACCTCGGCCACAAAATATCTCACCAGAAAATCAAGAATGGGACGGTCCGGCATCTCGCCCAGGTTCTGCTGGACCTCCATGGCTGTTTCAGGCGATAACACTCGGCCTTTGTCATTTTGGCCGTCTTCTTCTTGCAGTTCTACCTGTTGGACGAGAGATATGTTAATTGAGTACTCCACTCTGCTCCACCGGTTTCCACTCTCTGTTGATGCGACGGGGGCAAAAGTAAAAGAAACACAACCAACTCACCCTCCGTAAAAGCGCAATTGTATTGGATTGACTATCTTCAGAATAGCCAAAGACCTCGGTCAGCGATGAAGGCCATGAGCTGTTGGTGGGACTGGCGGTGCCAGTCAAGTCAGAAAATGCATCAAAGGATATGGAGCCCGCTCGGTCATTGCGCTGGCGGTGACTTGGTTCATATTGTTCATGACGAGTCGCCGTCTGTAGTGGTGGGTTGGCAGAAGGGATGGCCTCCGATGGGTAATAAGCGCAGTCTTCTGGTCGCCGACGGCGAGTGCAGTGATTGCATGGATATTGGCGGTTACACTGGCCACGTTAGGCGATATCTTTCGCGATATTCCTTCCAGGGCTCTGACGATCACGATACCTTCTGTTTTCGAGTGTAGCAAGGGATACAGGACGACACCCTGCGTTTTCGTGGGACAGACTGCATGGTTAGGTACAGGTACAGGAATAGAGACGGATTGTCCTAATGCTTTGCCATTCCAACGGCTCAATGAAGAGCCTCAAATAGAGAAACCATCAGTTCGGGGTACTCCCCCGCAGTTCAAAGAGAAAAAAAAAAGGGAGAGTGAGTTTACCGCCTTACAAAGGAATAATACATTCCATACTGTATATACAGTTCTATTACATCATTCAGACCAACTGCGCATAGAATCTCTGCGTAAAGAATGAGATTCATGTACCAGCGCTGTGAAGATGGCCCATAAAACGCCAACATTGCGAACAAATCTATACTTACACCCACGGAGAGACTAGTTCATGTTCTGCCCCGAAGGATGGGCTACGAAAGACAAAAATAAAAGAGGGATCAGGAATCTGATCTACCAACAATCATTTCAACGAAGATCACCAGTACAACGTATTCTTACAAAATGCCATGGATGATCATTCAATACACACGCATCACGTCAGGAGGCTCAATACGAGGCTTTCTTGAATTGGCAAAGGGGCATCCTAGCTTCATGCACATCTTCATCGGGTTGACTCGGAGATGTCCGTTTGTTCGTGTTTCCGCCCTTAGCATCATGCATTTGGAGCCGGTCGAAGGCCCCTATCATGCCCCTCTAGGTGCCACTCCGGAGGCTTTTGTCGATCAAACGGGAAGCCCCCCACCTATAGGCTCAGCATAACCCTAAGACGCTACGACGTAGCCAGATAAGCTATACTACATATACGAGCCCCCCAATGCAGTAAAGTATCTATAAATAGTAGATTCGACGGCCCGGCCCCAGGCCCGGTCCGTGAATATCCCATTCTTCATCCATGGAAATACCCACGCGAGGAACTTGTGGGTATATAAGCACTAAGGAACTAGGGCCGAGATGATAATGGCAGGACATCCCAGGAATGAGGCGGTCCACTCCCTGATATCATGTATTTGGGGCTTTGGTTTGTTAGTATGGATTCTGCCATTGACTTATGTCTCGCAACAATACAACAATACACAAACCCTGAGAAATGACAGGATTGTTTTGCCGTTGGGATCGACAAGATCTACGCCTCCTGTGGGATCGACAGGACCTGGGATTTGCTTTCCCCCCCTCCGTCTTTTTTTCTCTTAAGTTGGTCCAGATCATCGTGAGTCAAGTACACGACTTATGACAACCGGACAACCTATGAGGGCACAGTGGACTAGACATGAGTTGTTCACTTGAACACGAATATTGATGCCATGCGATTGGTCTCGATCGATACCAAGCTCACGAGAGAGAGAGAGAGAGAGAGAGAGAGAGAGAGAGAGAAAAGCAGCTAATTACTCGAATAACAATCAATAACAACATCTGAATCGCATGTTGATCTACCTAAGTTTCCTCGCAAGCAGTTGCGATGGGGCTGCCTAGCTTATCCCCCCGGGGGCCACGTCTGAATTGCGTGGATTAGCTTCTTACTTACAACATACGTACCTCCTTCTGCTGCGGCATAGCACCTCCCTGAATAGGTTAGAGCTAGTTATACTCTTTTCGGTGTCTATCGGAGGAAGCTGACGCCCCCAGAGAATCGGCCGATCTTGTTCGCCCGAATTTTCTCGGTGCAAACCGTCGAATGTTGACAAAAGGCTCGGGCAATGCTTCTGGACAATGTGTCGGACGAAGAAAACAGAAGACTCAGGTCAGAGTTATCGCCTAACTGTATAGATGGTATTATGGACGGTGCCCGGCGCTATGGCCCTGGTCCCTCAGTCATATATAGAGGTTTGTGAGTAGCAGTTAAAAATTCCAGTCCTTTTTGGATGATTGGCAATCAACTGGTTGTTTTCCATTATACGGTTACCTACTTTTCCATCGCTGGCATACTATCTCTTAGGAAAGATAAATGACTCTCGCAGAGGCAGGCCACGCGGTGGGAGCCGCGCTAGGGCCAATATCATGGACTGTGCTCGCTGTGATCGCGGTACTGCTTGGTTTGTACAATCGGCTGCTTCCCAAGCCTATTCCGGGAATTCCATACAACACCAAATCAGCTCGAAGACTGCTGGGGGATGCCCCCGATATGATCCGGGAGGTCAGCGTCACCAGGGAGTTGAACGTGTGGATGGTCAAGCAAGTCACCAAGCTTCAGACTCCGTTGTGCCAGGTCTTCGTGACGCCATTTTCGCGGCCATGGCTCCTTCTGGCGGATTCGACTGAGGCCCAGGATATCATGGTCCGACGGCCCGAGTTCGACCGGTCTGACTTTATCACGGATGGCCTGAGCCCGTTGGACGCCTTTCACGCCCGGATGAAAACGGGCCAGAGCTGGAAGGAGACGCGTGCGTGGCTGCAGGATCTCATGGGACCGAGCTTTCTCAACAACATTGTCGGCCCGGTCATGTACGACAACTCGAAGCAGCTCGTGGAATTCTGGGAGAAGAAGGCTCGTCTGGCCAGCGGCCGCGCCTTTGATGTCAACGAGGATCTGAACCACAGTGCCCTCGATGGCATGCTGTCGTTTGTGTTTGATCGCCATTTCAAGCACACTGCCTTGGGCCCGCAGATCGAGGCTGCGTCCAAGCTCGACCCTTCGGAAGTGGAGGTGGGACCTAATGGAGAGGCCAAATTCCCAGAGGGACACCTCAATGAGTTTATCGGTGCACTGTACGAAACTGTGGATGCCATCGACAAAGTGACCAAGTCCATATCACCTCGGTTCGCCATGTGGTGGATCCGCCAGACCCCTCGGTACAGGAAGGTAACTGCCATGAAGAGAAAGGTCGTTCGGGAGCAAGTGCAGGGTGCCCTCCAGCGGCTTCATAGCACAGGAGAGACCAAGACTGCCATCGAGTACATGTTGATGCGGGAGAACAAGGCCGCCGAAAAGCAAGGCCGGAAGCCGGACTTTAACAACCAGGCGATGATGGACGAGGTGAGATTGACGCTGTTTTGATCTTCTTCGATTTCGGTTGAATCGTCTGCTAACCATCCGGTTTCCCTATGATTAGATCGCCGGCCAGTTTATCGCCGGCCTGCACACGACCAGCACGACCATCGCATGGACCTTCATCTACCTGACCCGATACCCGGAGATCCAGAACAAGTTGCTTCAAGCGCTGCAAACCGCATACCCCGAGGCCCACGCAGAGAAGCGGGCGCCCACACTAGCCGAACTGACCAAGTCCCGGGAGCCCTACCTGGAGGCCGTGCTGGAAGAAGCGTTACGGCTGCACGCCACCAGCTTGGCACGACAGGCCATCCGAGACACGGAGGTTTTTGGTCATCGCATCCCCAAGGGCACAAACGTGATCCTGATCGCCAACGGCCCCGGGTTCCACGAGCCGTCCTTTGCCATCGACCCCGCCAAGCGCAGCCCCACTGTCAAGGCCAACAACAGCTGGGACGAGACTCGCGATCTAAAGGCATTTGACCCGGAGCGCTGGCTTGTGCGTAAACAGAGCGAATCTGGAACCGAGGAGGTTGAGTTCAATGCGAATGCGGCGGCGCAGATCGCTTTCGGAATGGGGCCGCGCAGCTGCTGGGGCCGGCGACTAGCGTACTTGGAGATGCGTATGGTTGTGACCCTGGTGGTCTGGAACTTTGCTCTGCTGCCCGTCTCGGAGACCCTGGCTGATCCTAAGGCGAGCTATGGGATTGTCCACCGAGCAGACCAGTGCAACTTGAGGCTGCAGAAGAGGGAAGCGTGATTGTTGAATGTAGATATCCATGTATGAGCGGTTTAGGTACGAGGCACTATGGTTGCTATGTTTTCGGGTATCAATCAATCGTTTTGAAGTGTTGAACACTCGAATCTTTGGTTCCCCAAGGTAAAATATACAACAAATTAGGCATGCCAGGGGGCCAACTTCATCCTAATCCCAGCACTCATTCTCGGGCTTATAATACATGTCTCAAGTCCTTACGCACGAGCAACTCATCTACAACCAGCAGAAGATCACAATTAATTACTTCATGGATTGAAAAGTCATACTAAGACCCCACAGGAGCAAGTTGAAAAAAAGAGAAAAGCATCAAGGGCCCCCCGAATATTATGTTTGTAGACCCGAAATGCGACCAACGCCGACCATTCTTCGCAATAGATCGCCTCTAGGCCCAAGTCATCAACCCCCCCCCCATTTTTGTTCCAAACACAAAAACAAAGTGCGAAATTTGTTCCAATCTTCTCGCCATGTCGAAACACCATGAACAAGTAGAGCGCTTTTCCAACGCTCGTTGAACCAATAGATGATAGCATCTTTAAGCGGCATTGATACCGGCGGCCGCGCCGAACAGCTTCTCGCGGCGCATGAGCAGACTGGAGACAGCAACGAGGGCACCGCCAGCAAGGACAAGGATATAAGTCTTGTCCATGGCACTGACAATGGCGTCGAGAACCTGGGCCTTGAGATCCGGAGAGAGGTTCTTCACGATGCCGGAGCGGGCGCCCAGGATGGCGGCTTGGATGTCACCTAGCGGCACGTTGGGCAAAATCTGCATGATTCTGTCCTCGCTCTCATTGAGGAGAACGGCATTGGCAATTGCGAGGGCGAGGGTGATGCCGACGAACTGGGCCAGGGTGATAAAGCCAATGGCCGGCGCGACATTCTCCACGTCCACAACAGCCTGGGCCACAGAAAAGGCTGCCTGGAGGAACATGCCCACTCCTGCGCCAATGATCACCGTATACCCGTACACGCGGCTCTCAGAAGTGTCCTGCTCGACCGTGTACATGAGAGCGGACCCGGCCACGGTCAGCAGGCCGCCCACCAGGTACCAGGGCATGTAGTAGCCCAGCTTAGCCATCAGGGCACCGTTGACAAACACAAACACAATCATGACGATCACGAATGGGAGCAGGCGCACACCAGCCATGAGCGCGCCATCGCTGCGCGTAAACTGGAAGAACAACGGCACCATGTAAATGGGCACGAAGGCGCAGGCGCCAGATGAAGCCGACGCGCCGAAGAGGAGCAGCACCGTCCGCGACCGGAAGAACTGCACCGGGATAATGCGACGCGCCACGGTAGTCCCAATGGTCCAGACCTGCTGGATGCCCAGCGCAATAAACAGCACGCCGGCCACGACAAAGAGCGCGATGATGCGGCCCGAGTCCCACGGGTAGGTGACACCGCCCATGTTAACGGCCAGGATGATTGCCGTCAGCGCTGCGCCCTGCAGCACAATACCGGGGTAATCGAGGTCGGACGTGCGCTCCTTCACAGAAGCGCCAGGCTGGGGGTCTTTGCTGGGGATCAGGAAGAGGTAGAAGGGGGCACAGGCGGCACCGATGAAGAGGTTGATGTAGAAGGCCCATCGCCAGCCCACCGCAGACTCGCTGAAGGCACCTCCAATCACGGGACCCAAGACGATACCCAGCCCCCAGGTAAAGCCGGTGCAGGAGATGTACAGCGGGCGCTCTTCAATGGTGGTGGTAGTAGCGAGGAGGGTCATGCAGCCGACGTATAGACCCGAACCGCCAATACCGGCGATGGCACGGCCCAGAATCATGACGTTGATGGAAGGGGCAGCACCGCAGATGGCCGAGCCAATCTCGAAGATGGTGACATGGAAGATGTAGAACCATTTGGCGTTGAGGTGGCCGTAGAGTCGACCCCAGACCAAGTTGGTAGCCGTGGCGCACAGCAGGAATGCAACACTGAGCCAGGACAGCTTCTGAATACCACCGAGCTCCGACACGATGATGGCCTGCAAGTCGGCCACCACCGTCGCGTCAAGAGCATACAGGAAGGTGGACGCCAGGATAGACACCAGCGTCACATACCACTTCCACCCCTCAATATCTCGCGGGGGCGCCTCCGGTTCGGCAGCGGGTTCTGCAGCAGGCTCGACGGCGTCACTCGTCCTCTGTTGCTTTTCGTCATCGTTGGATTCCTCGGCGCGACTAGTCGAGCTGTCTTCAATGGTCTTCTCGGCTGCGAGGCTGGCAGCCGATTGGTCTTCGCCGCTGAGCACTGCCATATCTGAAGGGACTGTTGTGTATTCTCGGAAACCAGATCAGCTGGGGTCAAAGAAGACGGAAGGAAGCTTGTGTGTGAGAGCAATTGGACTTGGACAGAGTAGAAAATAGCTAGGTCGACCCGTATATAGAGATGACAAGAGAAGGTTGGCAGGTTAACTCAAAACCTTTACACCCGGGGAGGAAACGAGAAAAAAGAAAGATGCAAGTGGATTTGTCAGGGGTGTTAGAATTCCCAACTCAAGCTAGTATCAATTTCTAAACTACGATGATCATTGTGCGTAGACCAGAGAGAGGGACTATCACGGTGACCAAGGGATGGATTGTTTAGTAAAGCTAACCCTAACTGCCCCAGCATCTGCCATTGACTCAGCCCGAGATTTGTCGGCCCCGACGGTTCGACCGAGATATTTCGGCCCAAAATTGGTCAGCCCGATCATCTGCAGATCGCCTCTGCTTATCGCATTATTGACGGGGGCTCCATGTTCTGGACCGTCTCCCTCTTGTTTGCTTTGAGAGGGGGCTGAAGGGCTCAACCGATTCGAAATAGCCTGCTATCACTACGCAATCCTGGTTTCACCTACCCCTGTATTTGGCGCGAATTTCTCCCAGTCAGCAGTTTGATGACTACGGTTACTGGCTTAGACATAACCAATCACTGACGTCAAGACACAGGGTCAGTATCATTGGGGTCGATGTGTATACTACAAGGGGTATGAAGGAAAATCATGGATCGGTGTTTAATGGACTTCTTGCTAATAGCAAACACAACTAAGGAATCCTCTTTGATTTTCGGGTTTACTCTACTGCATCTATATCACTAAGAGCTATCCACGGCCGACCATTTCCGACCGACCAGGTCAATGGATTAACTACCCGGGCCATGACTCAGCGTCGCAGATAGACCTCAAGCAAGCCCATCAGTCCCTCGGGATGGAAGCTGTGGATCTCATACCGCTCATCGGCTTCCTTCAACAGGGCCGCAAACTCGGCTTCGGTCCGCAGCTTACCACCGAAGCCCACCAACATGATCAGGTCGATTTGACGCACGCCGCGCTCAAAGTCGCGCGTGAGGCTACCCTGTGGTGGCAGAATCAGGTCATTGATAAGTAGCGGCGTAGTGGGCTTCGAGCGCTCCAGTCCCGGCACCAGGGAACGGAACATCTGGACGACGTCTCGGTCGCTCCAGTTGAGCGCGCATGCACGCAGTATGAAGGCGGCCGCGTCTCCCACGGGTTGCGGTTCGAAGAAGCTGTGTTGCATGAAGGAGACGCGGTCACGGACGTCGTCGGTGAGCAGCGACTGACCCGCTGCGTGCATGTCGGCTGAGTCTTGCACAATGAAGTCCAAGGTTGGGAAGTTCTATGTGGGTGGGCTTGTGGTCAGAGAGAGTTTGTTTCTACCAAGGCCCGTTTGAAAGGTCAGAGCTGCTAACTTACTCGGGCCAGTGTTATGGAGACTTTGCCGCTACCACCACCGACGTCCACCACGGTGCCCTTAAGATCTTTCCAAGGGAAGGCCTCTTTGAGTGCATTGATGTTCAGATTTACTGTTGAGATGTCAGCTTACATATCCAGACTGCATCACTCACTCTCAAGCAAATCACGAAACAACAGGGAGGGAAGTCTACATTTTGCCCATCCAGCCATGGCCTTGGCAAATCGAACTGACCGCGAGGCGTCATTCTCGTAGAAGTTGAAGATCTGAAGGCCATGTCGAGTTGAGAATGGGGTGAGCACGCTGTTATACTCGAGTGGCGATGCCTTGACACTGTCGGCCGTGGCCGAGGCTGCCTTGAACATCTCATCGACACTGCAATAAGTGGACCAGGACCGTTAGCACTGGGCAAATCCAACTCAGAATAATTCTTTTGGGCCAACTTACGTGTAGTGCAGCGTGGAACGGATCTCCTCGTCCTGGTGCAACAGGTACGAGCTGGGGTTGTGGGCAACATATCCGGGGTTGGGTTCCTGGAAGATGAATTCGGTAGCCAGCAGACGGACGATGCGGCGCGTGCGGTCCAAGTCAACACCGGCCTGTTTGGCCAGCTCTTCCAGTGAGATCTGCCCCTCTGCGGGGACAATGCTGAAGAAGTTGAAGTCCAGGGCCACTTGGATGGCCGCAAGCTCGTATCCCTGACAGCAAAGAGTACGGAAGTGCTTCTTGGGACCCTCGACGAGGTACTGAAGGTCTTCCAGAGATCTCTTCAGTCCACTGTGAAGCTGGGCATACTCGATGGTGTCGGGGCGGCTAATGGAGTCATGGGCAAATGTAGGCTGGGCATAGTCGTTGGCCCGGAGGTATTCAGCGATAGCCTGGGTCTGCCGAGAAACATCTTCCGCGAGAGCTAGCAGGCCAGACCTGCTAGTATCTTTGGAGACTGTACCGTTGGTGTGCGTAGACATAGTTGCAATCATGAATGGCTTAGATCGTCAAGAGGGTCTTTAGAAGCACCATCCAATCAAGCATTCCTCAAGCGAACAGGCACTATGTGCTTTATATCCATTGCTGATACCGTGTTCGAGCCCACACGGCTAGCCTGACACGACCGAGAGCACAAATAGCTCAGACAGCCTAATGCTGAGTCTGCCCCGTCGGTGCTCGTCCGGCCGACGTTTGGCGGGCATATGGTATCAGCCTTGAATTCGACCACGTTCGTCTTATCGACTACTTACTTACGATCTGCCGAGAATCAGTAAGAGCTAGTATCATGCTTGACCCACACGGAAGAGGCTGAATCGTGCAGCCCCCGAGGATTCGGGCGGTAATTTTCCCTCGTGCATAGTACCTGACACTTACAGGGCACGCCATTCCTGCTCCTGCTCCTATCTATGTACAACGTTGATCATCGTTCGGCCGACCTGTGGCGAGAAATTGAATTAGGGCGCAATACATTCGCACCTTGTTATGTTGGGTTGAATCTCACGATGCCCGTGCTGGGGAACGTGGTCGACATCGGTGGAGCCGACCCGTTGGACCGTTGGAGCGCAATGAATGTCTCTGTCGGCGCCGACTATCGCTCAGTGCCCGTCAAGTAAACATAGCCAATAATTTCTTTCTTTGATTTCGTGCTTTAAGAAAGCCGGGGCCTCGTGTGTGGGGATTTTAGCCAGTTCTGTCGGATATCAGATATAGTGTACAACACATCTGTTGCAGACTTCTATATTAACCTCGCGAAGTCTTGTCCGGTCCGGCCCAAATTGCACTCAAGTGCAACCATTTAATACATTCTATTTTGTTATTATCTCTTCTAGACTTGAAACACTACATAGTCATGCCTGGAACTAGTGAGCCAGAGCCGATGGCGATCGTGGGCATGGGTAGGTCGCTGAGCCCTAGAAACTTGTTCATGCTCCATTGCTCATACTTCTCCAGGATGCCGCTGGGCGGGAGGTGTCCGTGATGTACCCGGACTTTGGGAGTTCTTGATCAACAAGCGATCTGGGTACCAGGACTGGGCTGAGCCTCGATTTTCTGCCAAGGGCTTCTATCACCCCAACCCGGAACGACCAGGAACCACTGCGGCCAAGGGTGGGTACATCGTGACCGAGGACCCACGACTCTTTGATCCCGCCTTCTTTGGGATATCAGGTCTAGAAGCAGAGACCATTGACCCATCACAACGCAAGCTTTTGGAGGTAGTATACGAGGCCTTCGAAAACGCCGGAGAGACCTGGGAAAGTGTCAACGGAACACGCATGGGTGTTTACGTCGCCGATATCTCCTATGACAACGCGTATGCGCAGACACGGGACTGGGAATATGCCCGGCCTCATGCTACCACGGGTGTCTGCCACAATATACTTAGTAACCGGATCAATTATGTCTTCAATCTCAGCGGTCCAAGGTGAGTAGACATACTTTGACATTGCATTCGCGACCTTTGCGGCCCCAAGCTAATGCAGAGGAAATAGTGTTACGCTTGATAGCGCCTGCACATCGGCCTTGTATGGCCTACACATGGCCGTACAGGCTATTCGCAACGGGGACTGTGACTCCGCCGTTGTGGCTACGGCAAACTGGATCATGGACCCGAGCATGCAGATTGCCATGGACAAGCTGGGAGCCTTGTCCGGCACGTCGATGAGCCATGCCTTTGATGCCTCCGCAGACGGCTACGCCCGTGGTGAAGGTTTTGCTGCCATATATGTGAAGAAGCCTGAAAAGGCTATCGCAGATGGGTCCCCCATCCGTGCTCTGTTTCGGGGCAGCGCTATCGGTGCCAACGGCCGTTCAAGCGGCATCACGCACCCTAGCGGCAAGGCACAAGAGGCCATCATCCGGAAGGCGTACGAGCTCGCAGGCGACCTGCCTCCTTCCGAGACCCCCTTTCTCGAGTGCCACGGAACAGGCACACGTGTTGGTGACCCTCTTGAGGTCGCCGCAGCTGGAAAGGTCTTTGGGCCTGGACGATCTGACGAGCCCGAAGATCGCCTGCTGATCGGGTCCGTCAAGACCAACCTGGGGCATACTGAGGGTGCAGCCGCACTCGCTGGTATCTTCAAGGCTGTGCTCGCGCTGGAAGCGGGTGTGATCCCGCCCAGCATCGGGGTGAAGACGTTGAACCCCAGGATCGACTTCGACAAGGCCAAGGCTGAGGTGGTCACCGAGGTCATCCCGTGGCCCGAAGGCAAACTGCGGCGGGCTAGCGTCACGTCGGCCGGCTTTGGCGGTTCCATCGGGCACTGCATCCTCGACCACGTCAACATCGTGTATCCCGACTACGTCAAGCCGGGCGTGTTGAACACAACCAAATCCAATGGCTCTGCTCATAATGGCAACGGTATCACCTACAAAAATGGAACCAATGGGTCAACACCTGAAAATGGTCACCATGAAAACGGGAACGGTTCTCTGAATAGGCACCGGAATGGTTCCACGAAAACAAGCCACGTCCCTATTGTTCGCCTGGCACAGAAAAAGCGGTTGGCGGATGCTGGCACCCGTCAATTCGTGCTGTTGGCCTTCTCGGCACACAATGACTCCTCGCTGAAGACAAATATCGAGGTGCTGTCCGGAGTTATCGACCAGCATCCGCTGGCAGACGTGGCCTACACACTCGCGGCGCGGCGGTCAAAATTCACCCAGCGCAGCTTCCGTGTTGTGGACAAAGATGACGCTTCGCAGGGGCTGTTGAACGACACTCAGAAGATCTCCTCGAGTGCGCCGGAGATCCCGAGTCTTGGCTTCGTCTTCACCGGCCAGGGAGCGCAGTGGCCCGCGATGGGTTCCCAGCTCTTCGAGTACCATGTGTTCCGCACCGCCATCGAGCACCTAGACTACATCCTCAGCACAGTATTCAAGGAACGATCCTGGACAATTGCAGACATCCTATCTGGAAACGCCGACCCCGATCGCGTGCAGACCCCTGAGGTTTCGCAGACGGTATGCACAGCAGTTCAGGTCGCCCTGGTCGACCTGCTTGCGTCTTGGTCCGTCCGTCCCTCTGGTGTCGTCGGTCACTCCTCCGGGGAGATGGCAGCCGCCTACGCCGCAGGTCGGATCACGGCGGCCGAGGCCATCACGGCCGCGTACTTCCGCGGCCAAACAGTCGCCCAGAACAAGCAAAAGGGTGCCATGCTGGCGATAGGTCTGGGTTTCCACGAGGCAGCCGAGTACCTCGAAAATCTTGGGCAAGAGGTCAAGGTCGCCGCCGTCAACTCACCCGGTAGCCTCACACTTTCTGGTGAGCAAGAGGCCGTGGAGAAGCTCTCTGCGACCTTAACCCAGGACGGCGTCTTCAACCGGCTGTTGAAAACGGGTGGGAACGCGTATCACTCACACCACATGGTCGCGCTGGGCCAGGATTATGAGACGTTGCTATCGGAAGGATTGGCTCATCTCGACAAGATCGGGTTGCGCGACAAGCAACATCGATACCCCCACATCCCCTGGAGCTCGTCGGTCACCCCACACAAGAGCAGTCCAGCCGAGGGCGTCCCTGCATCCTACTGGAGAGCCAATCTCGAGTCGCCGGTTCGTTTCTCGGATGCGGTCGCGAACCTCGTCGGGTGGGAAGGACTGGGCATTGGCGCGCTGGTGGAGATTGGACCGCATCCAGCGTTGAAGAGTCCCCTGGACCAGATCCTGAAGAGCGTCGGCAATGTCATCCCCTACGTCGGGTCGCTGAAGCGAGGTGAGGACAGCCGAATATCGGTCCTGCAGCTTGCCGGATCTTTGTTTGGGCTGAATGCCGAGATCGACCTGGTTGCGGTCAACGCGATCGACGAACACGCGGGAGTCGAGTGGGTGCTAACACACGGTGTCACCGCCACGGACCTCCCACCCTACCAGTACACCTATGGACCGATCAGCTACTACGAGGGCCGGGCTAGCAAGGAGCTTCGTCTCCGCACTGTCCCTCGCCATGACCTTGTGGGCTCCAAGATTGCCGGTAGCGCCAAGCTGCGGCCACAATTCCGCAACGTCCTGCGTTTGAAGGACTTGCCCTGGCTGGGCGACCACCGCCTGCTCCCAGATGTGGTTTTCCCAGCTGCCGGGTATATCGCGATGGCCATGGTTGCAACATCGCAACTTTATGAGGAGTTCCCTGACGCTCTGTCCATCGTGGGCTACTCGCTTCGCAATATCGACATCAAAACGGCACTGAAGATCCCCGAGGATCACAACGGCATCGAGATTATCCTCAGTCTGGAGTTGGAAAGCGCGGCGACCGCCAAAGCCCCGGGATGGGCCAGCTTCTCAGTCAGCTCTGTCGCGCGTGACTCGGACCAATGGACCGAGCACTGCACGGGTGCAGTCAAGATAGACGTTACCAGTCCCGCTAAGTCCGACAAGATCAATCTTGCTGGGGAGTCCCGGGCTGTGGATGCGCGAACCTGGTACAAGACATTCGCAGAAATGGGCCTGGGGTATGGTCCCGCGTTCCAGGCTCTGTCCGACATTCGCGCCAATCCCACCGAGAACCTGGCCTCCGCGAAGCTGGGCTTGCAGACGACAGCTGGCACTGTCAAGGGAGGGGAGTCTACCTATCCCATTCACCCTGCCTCTCTGGACGCCATAATCCAGCTCGGCCTCCTCGCCTCTCACGGAGGCCAGAAGGACCGGGCAACCACCGCGTTCGTGCCCATTCACTTGTCGCAGCTGCACCTGCGGGTCGGAGGCGACCAAGACTGGAGCACGGCTGTTGCCCACGGGGAGTTCCGGGGGCTGCGGTCGGCGTATCTCCAGCTGCAGCTGCAGAGCCAGGCTGGTGACCTGGTCTTGGACATCAAGGACCTCCGTTGCGTGAGCTACAGTTTGGAGCAGGAGTCGGCCGACCAGGGCCGTGCCAAGGCCTTTGCTAGTCCATTCACACGAATGGTCTACCAGCCCGACTTCCGCTCTCTCAGCAACCAGCAGGCTCGCGCGTTGTTCCCGCCGCCCTCGAAAAACGTCACCCAGGCGCCTGTTCTGGACCAACTCGAGACCATAGCGGCGTTGATTGCAGTCGAAGTTCATGAGAAGTTGATCAGCGTGGACAACTCGGGACTGAAGTCAACGGGAACGACGGGCCACTACATTGCGTGGATGAAGACACTGGTCGAGGAGAGCGGGTCAGATTGGATCGCCAAAGCGAAGGAGCTCTCTCCTCCCAAGCGGGTTGAACTTCTACAAACTCTGTACCAGGAGAATGACCACCTGATCGAGACTAAAGCCCTACAGCGCCTGCATGATAATATGGCAGATATCCTGCAGAACAGCAAGACTGCTGAAGAGATTCTATCGGATGGTGGGCTGTTGGCCGACTTTTTCGATAGCAGCCTGTTCCTCACTGGCGCGCATCCGCAGATCATTAACCTGTTTAACTCCATCGGTCACGCCGACCCCAACGTCAGAATCCTAGAGCTCAAAGGAGGGCGAGGCCAGACGGCAGGTCTGGTGTTAGGCGCACTCAGCAGCACGAACGGCATCAAACGTTACTGGGACTACACTGTTACCGATGTTTCCGAAGAAGCAGTGCAGAAAGCCCAAGGACAGCTCCGGCAACACCGTGATGTTAACTTCTCCGTGCTGGACATCCAACAAGACCCGCTGGAGCAGGGCTTTGAGTCGGTTTATGACGTGGTGCTGGCTTCGCAGGCCATCCACACGGCCTCATCTATCAACCAGGCGCTCGAAAACGCCCGGAAACTGCTGAAGCCAGGCGGCAAGTTGGTTCTGGTTGAGGCCACAGGGAACAGCGCTTGGGTCGGCCTCATCGGCGGCGCACAGACCGGATACTGGCACGGAGTACCCGACGGCCGCGTCGACAGCCCCTTCCTAGACATGACGGCGTGGGACACAGCCCTGCGCTCGTCTGGTTTCTCTGGGGCCGAACTGACATTGGATGACTACCCATCCCCAAGGACACAGTCAAATGTCCTGGTCTCCACCCACGTCAACACGGCTGGTTCGGCAACAGATGCGCCAGTCTGGTTGCTCCACGGTGCCAAGGGTGCCCCGGCCCTCTTGAACCGGCTCGCGCGTGAGCTGGAGAACCGCAATATCGCTACAAAGGCCACGGCTCTTGACAACGCGCCAAGCGAACTGCCCGATGAGGCGCGTGTGGTTGCTTTCCTGGATGAGGAGAACCTGCTGCTGAACGTCGACCAGCGCCGTCTCGGCATCTTCCAGCATCTCGCCCACCACACTGCCAGCATGGTGTGGCTCACATCAACGGGCATGGCAAAGGGCCGCAGCCCTGACGGGGCCGTTGTGGGTGGGCTCCTGCGTACTATCTCGACCGAAGCGCCCACAGGCCGCTTCTTCTCTGTCGATATCGACGGCGACAATTTCAACGTCGACGAAGCCGACACTGACGAGCTTGTCCGCGTTGTTGCCGACCAAGAGCAGGTGCTGCAGCTGCCAAACGAGAGCGAGACAGGCGAGGACCGCGAGTTTGCCTGGCACAGCGGCTGCCTATGGGTGAGCCGACTGGTGCCGGAGGCGGCACTCCATGGCTACGCAGAGCGCCTGCCGACTCCCGCAACCCATGGTGCCGAGCTACTACCGCTTGACAGCCAGGGACCCGTGCGCGCTGCTTTCGAAAAACCCGGTATCCTGACCTCGCTCTACTTCCACCCCTACACAGAACTGCGCAAGCAACCTTTGCAGGACGACTGGATCGAGGTCAAGGTCGCCGCTGTTGGGCTTAACTGGAAGGACTTGGTGCTCGCCACGGGCCGCTTCGATGGCAACAACCTGTCCTCTGAATATGCCGGAGTTGTCACGCACGCGGGCGCTGATGCCGCCACCCGATTTGCCGAGGGCGATCTCGTATACGGCCTAGGCAAGGGTCACTTCGGCAACTACACGCGCGTGCCCGCTGCTCTCGCCCAGAAGGCGCGTGCTGGTGATGACCCGGTCGATATCGCCACCATGCCTGTGGTGTTCATGACCGCTGTATACGCTTTTGAACACCTTACACGCCTGTGCAAGGGGCAAAAAGTACTCATTCACTCTGCATCGGGTGGTGTCGGTCTAGGAGCTATCCAGCTGGCACGCGCCAAGGGTGCGGATGTCTATGCCATGGCCGGCTCGCCAGATAAGTTGCGCTTCCTGGTCGAAACCGTTGGCCTGCCGAGCTCCCATGTATTTACAGCGCGCGATCTTGCCGAGCTGGCGCGCGCTGTAACCGCCACACAGAATGGCGGCTTTGATGTCATCCTCAGCACTGCGACGGGTGATCTTCTTTACGAAACCATTAAGGCACTTGCACCACTTGGTCACCTCATCGACATTGGTCGACTTGACGTCAACGATGCCAAGGCTCTTGGCCTGGAGCTGTTCCAGAAGAGTGCCAGCTTCTCATCGTTCGACCTTGCCCGTGTGGTCGACCGTGACCCCGAGCTGGGCGCGGAGCTTATCCACGCTACAGATGCGCACTACCGCGCTGGGCGTATTGGTCCCATCCGCCCCCTGTCCACGTCAGACATCTCTCAGCTCGACCAAACGCTGCTCGGCTTCTCCAAGGGCGCTCACGTTGGCAAACTGGTGGTAACCTTCCAGAACCCTGAGTCGCCAGTGCGGATGGTGCCGGCAGCGCCAGCAGCTAGCTTCGATCCCGAGGCGTGCTATGTTATCACCGGTGGACTCAGTGGCCTTGGGCGGTCGATCATCCAATGGATGGGCGACCGCGGTGCTCGGGAAGTGGTGGTGCTGTCTCGTCGTGGCGGTAACGCCCCCGAGGCTCAAACCCTTGTCGACACCTTGGCCAAGCGTGATGTGCATGTCCGTCCCTTGGCCTGCGACCTTGGAAACCGTGAGCAGGTCGCACAGGCCTTCCAAGAAGCGGCCACTACCCGGCCGGTGAAGGGTGTCGTCCACTGCGCAGTATCGTACCAAGACATCTCATTCGACAAGATTTCCGTCGAAAGCTGGCACGATGGTCTCGCCGCCAAGGTGCTCGGCACATGGAACCTCCACGAGGCTACCAAATCTCTGCCGATCGACTTCTTCGTCATGACCACGTCCATTCTCTCTGTGCTCAGCTTCGCGACTCAGGGCGCATACACGGCCGCCAACAACTTCCAGGACCAATTCGCTCGCTACCGCCGTGGTCTTGGTCTCCCTGCCACGGCAGCCCAGTTTGGCCTGGTCAACGACGTCGGCCACCTGAGTACCGACACCACCACGCTCGAGCTAATGGCACGCAACAAGGTTCTGACCGTGCCCGAAAGCTACTTTCTTCGTCTGCTCGAACCCGCCTTCATCGGCCATGAAGTTGACGCGCAGTGCACCAACGCCGCGTCCGACCCGCTGGCTGCAGCCACCTATGTGAGCTACATGGACCCAGCGCACATGGCCGCCAAGGAGCACGAAGATGCCGAAATCGGCATTCAAAGCGCGACCACGCCACGCTGGTACGGCGATGCACGCGTGTCGCACGTCATCCGCGGATTCAACGACGCACTGCGCCACGGCGAGGGCGATGAGAACGGCTCGAAATCTGCGGGTGAAATGGAGGGAGGCCGTTCGGCCACGACGCGTCTCCGGCGCGAGTTCGACGCCGCCGTCCAAAAGACCCGCGCCACTCCTGCCGGGCCTGAGCAGCTGGAGCTTCGCGCCCACGCCCTCCAGCTTGTCACGGCGGGTATCACCACTACGGTCGCAACGATGCTGCTGATGGACCTGTCATCGGTCATTGCCACTCGCTCTGTCTCGGACCACGGCGTCGATAGTCTTATCGCGGCGGAGCTGCGCAACTGGTTCCACCAAGCTCTTGGGTCGAAGATCAGCATGGTTGATCTCTTGGACCCGCGCACGAGCATCAATGCCCTGTCGGCGAAGGTGGTTGATGTTGCTGTTGGAGGCAAAGGGAAGTGAATCGGAACAGATTGAGAAGAGGATTCCATTGAATGGCCATTGAGTGGTCGGGATTCTTTTGAAAAAGATGACGATAGATTGATTACTACTGGGACTAGATATCAGACTGATCTTAGAATCCTTGACAGTGCTAGAATAGACTATAAGTCGTGTTACACCTGATCGCAAACGTCTTCGCGTACTTCTGATCTGGGATAAGCCAACAAGACCGTCGAATGGTATTTCCGCTTAGGCTAATCCACCCAAGAAATATCCATGGATACTTAGGTAGCTGATTGAATCAGGCTCAAATCCATTCTCTCTTTCAACGGCTTGGATTTCGATTTCAAAGAATTGACTTAAATTTCTATATCTCTATCGTGGGTTTGTCCGCCATGCATGCATCACGCGCTGTTCCACATACGCCCACGGCCAGCCGTTCTCCCTCTCCGTCCGGCGCAGAAGATCGAACAGTAGGTTTTGGGCGACGAGATCCTCGATCCACGATCCGCCTATATCATTGGTCATGAGCAACATGTCCGAAAAATGAAGGGAGGGCAATAGAAAAGGTGTTGAAAAGACTTACAGGTAGAAAGTGCATGGCAGGCCATGATTCGCAGCGAAGCGTCATCGTCGGCAGACAAGGCGATGCCAAACAAGAGGTCCAGGTTCTCAGTAATATCCTCCTGTCGAGTGTTAGTACTAACGTCGAATCTCTGATGGAGCTAAGAGATCTTCTACAAACCTTCCGCTGCACCTGCTGCGCTGAAGGGAGCATGGTTGCATTATATACTTCAGATTCGCGGATCAGGATTAGAGCCTTGGCAAGACAGACATGCTGAATCGCAGTAGCTAGTAAGGCGCGGCGAGATTAGTATTATAAGAATGATCCAGGGTTACCCAGCTTACCATGCCACGAGCTAGTATACCACACTAGCGGAAATGGCTTGCCTCTCGCAGGCTCCGACGACGACGCATGCAGCGGTGCAAAGGTATCCGGACGCGCCGACTCCCACTCCAGAACGCGTTGCTTCAGTGCATTCTCGCCCGCCACACCCAGCCGGTCGCCATAGTTTTGGCCCGACACATTATAGCAAAAGTCGATGGTCTCGGCCAACAGCCAGATCGCGCGTCGAGTCCAGTCGCTGTCACTCAGAGTAGGCTTGGCAACCCACCACCGTCGCAGCCGGTCGTCGAAAGGTGCGAAACTGAGCCGAAGGCATTTTTGATACGTCAGCGCGAATTGGATGTCTTGGATGACAAACACCCAGAACGAGGACGACGCAAGACCACCGGAGATCGCACAGTCGACATGTGAGCTGATGTAGACTGAACCGGCCAGTAGATGGCGTTGCGGGTCATTGGACGGATTGTGTGCTTGCGTGGGGTTAGTATGAGCTCCACACTGAAACGAATGAGCGGGAATGCTGAGGTTGCCTACAGGATATTTGCTCGAAAAATCGCAAAATCGTCGTCGAGGAAAGCAGAATGTCAATGCCAATTTCGAACTCGGGTTTGTCTAGAACCGGAAGCATAATCGATATGCACCGCTCATGATATGCATCAGCGACATCGGGTGCGATGCTGTTTGTTGTTCGCGAGAGATGGCATGCTGACACTGCGATACATGCGTAAAGCAGCAACGGTGACTGGCTCGCACGCTCGACAACATCCGTCGAAAAGTGTCGCTCAGGGTCACATGCGTCAAGCTGGTTCATCAGTACATGCCAGGTCTACAAAGTTGAAACAGCAACTCACCCACGGCGCGAGATATTTCTGGAAATGTCGCAGCAAATACGCCTCGTTCACATTCGTAATCCTCGGGTGACTTACTGGTGTAGAGGAGCATGGTGAATTTGCCGAGGTCGAGCGAGAGCCGACTTGAGATCCCGAAGCATACGAAAGAATCGTGAGATCTGGAGCCGCCTGGGCAGACTCCAAAGGAGTAGAGGAGGGCGTGGATAGGCCTTCTGACGAAGATCGTGACACTGCCGGCTGAGAGCCGACTGGCACCACATGATATTCACCGGCCGTCTGGTCGGTCTCATCTTTGAAGGAAACTGCAAGGGTCAGTACGCTCGCCAAGAAAAAGGCAAGCCAGCCGCTGCTTACCTCCCAAAGATGTCTGTACCCAGACCTGATCATCTGGGAACGCAAGGTCCGTCTCCCCGTATCTTGGGGGGCCCTTTCCTCGCAAGGATGGATTTTGGCCATGCCGAAAGGAAACCTCCTCAGACTTGCTGGGAGCTGGCACGCATTCGCGACCAGATCGCTGGCAGCGTAAACATTTCGCTGCAGATTTGTCACCTAAAGAGTTGGCTGTGAGATGGACCGCCGACTTAACCAGAGAACGACATACATTTCAGATGGCGAAGACGGCAGGTGAGGCTAGACAAGCATTTTAGCTATTGAATTTATCGGGAACTTGAGACCACACTGACCATCCTCTCATTACGCCGCAACGGTGGCAATGGCAGCGAACAGGGCAGGCTTCCAGAAGAAAAACATAACCAGCTTGCCGGGACCGAGAAAGCGTTGGATAAATAAGTCTAGCATGCCTAGATTTAAACCGTCCAAACCAGTTCGACCATGGCGATATCTATGGAGCAGGGTCCATCAACACTGAAACTGAGGGGGGCGGGGAATCCGGGAGATTGGATGATCGCCATTGTACGTGGATCTATTTGGGGTATACCCAGACGCTACTCGGGTTGTTGGAGATTAGCCCACTCGCATAGGCTCCAGAGCATTGCTCAAGCGGGTTCCAAGTGCCCAGGATATCCACTCAAAATGGCCGGATCTCTTGCAGACTGCCCGGATCAGGGCGAGGTGCTTGGCCCCCGTTCATCACGCCAGGTGCAACATTCTCCACTATAATGATGGGTTGGCAATCTCTTGCTTCATGTGGTTGGGCGACAAGGTATCCCCCCACGCACCTGCACCAAAGTTTTGTTTCCCCCGATCGAGAGCCAGTGATCGTTGCCCGATCTAGAAACGCATCACGTATTTCTTTCTATGCACGGCGGCTGGCGTCGAGAGAGTTGACCGAGTGAGTGGCATAGCAGGCTAGTTTTGCATAGAAGTGCAAAGGCCGAGATGTTCTTTGCCGGTGTCTCCAGGTTCTGGCGGGATATGCAGGCAACCGTCAGAACTGCGTCAATATGTGGTGGCCAATCGTATCGAAGCGGGTCTGCCAAGTCTCCATGCCGGAGAATTGCTTTATTAAATCCGGGTGTGCCTTGGACCAGCGTCACAGCCCCGAGTTCGCAACAAGCTTCAAGCGGAGAGAGCCACTAGTGTCAAACCTATTCCGCTATCATCCACTTTTCTGGGTTTGCCGTCTTCACCGGGTGCCTCGTCAGGGGGACCCCGACCGTGCCGATGGCTGGCCCGATGTCATACCGTGAGCTTTCCCCCCATCAACCCCGGGGGGTACCTGACCTGCCCGACCTTCATTGGCCCGGCGACCCCGGGATCAACTGTGCCTCACAAATCCCGCAGCAGTGGGGCAGGGTCAAAATGAGAAATGTCGGGATGGAGCGCGATTTGCTCTTGGGTTTCATTTCGCTTCACCCGTGGATGGAGGTACTCCGGACCCGTCGTACCCTGTCGATCAGACCAAGTTCCCCGAGCGCACATGAAGCCGACACGATGATTCGAGACGGGGCAGAGAGCTCCCCGAAGTTCTGCAGCCCCAAAAGTTAAATCGGCCAGAAAAACACGGAGAAATGCCCAGACGCGTGGAGGATGTGGGGAAGGGCTTGCCAGCTGCCTAATTGAGGTTATTGGGCCGAGGTCCAAGGTGGATGAGATCGAAGAGATTGGAGCAGGGCATTGATCGATGGCATTTTATATAGAAACCACTGAAATGACAATGGAAATGACAAGAGACGTAGACTGCAAGGGGAGAGAGACAAAGAAGCAAAATGCGGGGAGGGTCATGTGACCTTTAGACAAAAGAGGGCAGCGAGGATTTCCTCCTGCCAGCACATGGAGCAGATGCTTCGAGCGTCGCGATGTGGCTGCGAATATATTCAAATACACTGATTGGTTTCATCAACTAAGATCGTGATGTCTCTCCACCGCATCTCCTTTCTGGAGGGCTGGGAGCGCAACTCCGCGGCCTTCCTCCGGAGACGGCCCGAGGACTCGGAGTCGCGCTCGGGACGCCAGTCGGACGAAGAGTCGGACTCGTACCAGGACCTTCCCGAGCCATCGTTGTCATCGTCGTTTCCCTCGACCTACAGCCGCCTTAATTTTAACCCGTATGCGGGTCCCGGGTGGAACGAGAGCACCGTCGATGACGATCGGCCTTCGTTTCTGGCCCTCTCTCCAACAGCAACGCGAGATAGCCATACTGGCCCACCTGACTGCGTACAGGGCCCGGAATCTTTTGCTCCTGCTATAGCACCTTCTCAAGAACCGTCTAGGGGAGAATGGGAAACAATTGGCGCCTTTGAGGTGAGCGCCGCGAAAAGAATTGGTATGTCAGATATACCGACGGTGAGAGAAACTCCCTTATTAGACACTAACATCCTCCAGCTCAGGTATTCTTTGCAGTTCTTTATTGCTTTCTCGCCGCTGGGGTTGTCTTTGGCTTTGCCGCCTTGAAACCCGTCCTTGTTCGCGAGAAAGTATATAGAAACCTGTGCTCCACAGAGGAGTTGGAGCAAGATGTTCCTGTATGCGACGGGCAGGAGATCCGGTAAATTATTTCCCTCTATTCATGGCCATGTATTGAATCTGACGCTGATCCCCTCCAGCCTGAACTTGATGTTCACAATCGCCGCTGTAGTAACCAATGTCTTCGCATTGCCCGTAGGAACCATCTTGGATGCGTACGGACCGCGCGTGAGCGGCATCATCGGGAGCGTGTGTCTCGCGTTCGGGGCGCTCCTCTTCGGATGGGCGAATAAACTTCCTTTCGATGGCTATATCCCAGGGTACCTTTTCTTGTCTCTGGGAGGGCCATTCGTGTTCATTTCGTCCTTCCATCTCTCAAACACATTCCCCACACGTTCGGGACTCATTTTGTCGATGCTGACGGGTGCATTTGACGCCTCAAGCGCTTTGTTTCTGATCTTCCGACTCCTCAACGAACACACACAAGGGGCGGTATCCATCCAGTCATTCTTTCTTGTATATCTCGTGGTACCTGTGTTTATTGTGACGGCCCAGGTATTCGTCATGCCGGCAACGTCATACAAAACCACCGGCGAGCTCGTCCAGCAGGCAGAGGCGCATCTCGTCGAGGAATTGCACGATCAAGTGGACCCGTCTATCCACGACCGGGGCGAGGGTGAACGCCAGCGCAATGAACGACGTGTACACCGACAGAGTGTCGTGAGCCAGATTCAGGACTTGCTGGACGACGATACGGCGTCTACCATCAGTGCTATCGGCAACCAAGATTCGGTCTTCCAAACTAACCTGACGGAGCACCAGCCGAACAACAATAATACTAGAAATAATACCACCGGAAGCAGCAACTATGACAACCACACAGACCCATCATCCCAACCGCAGAAGATTCCACCAGGGCCGGCAGCCACTGGCCACACCAGCGGCCTTTGGGGCGTCCTCCACGGACGCAGCGCACTGCACCAAGTCCGCACGCCCTGGTTCATTCTCATCACACTTTTCACGGTCCTCATGATGCTGCGTATCAACTACTTTGTAGCCTCGCTGCGACAACAATACACCTACCTACTCTCATCAGCAACGCTAGCCCGGCAGATCAACTCAACCTTCGACATTCTGCTCCCAGTCGGCGGACTGCTCTCGGTGCCGTTCATCGGGACCTTCCTCGACACCTTCCACACGTGCACCGTGCTAGCCATCCTCGTGACCACTGCCACCGTGATCGGGGCCCTGAGCTGCATCCCACACAGCCTGGGCGCAGCATACGCGAATATTGCGCTGTTCGTGCTCTTCCGCCCCTTCTACTATACCGCCGTGTCAGACTACGCGGCCAAGGTTTTTGGATTCCAGACCTTTGGCAAGGTCTACGGGCTCATCATCTGTCTCGCTGGCGTGGGCAATTTCGCGCAGGCGGGGTTGGATGCACTCACGCTCAAGACTTTTGATGGCAACCCCATCCCTGTGAATGTGGCTCTTATGATCCTAGTCGGTGGGGTGGGGATTGCGTTGGTTGCATTTGTGACATGGCAGACCTTGACCGTTGATTCCAATGACGAGCCCGGCTTGTCTGGAGTGACTGGGTCTGGGGAGGGTGCTCAATATCCGGGTGTCATGGCGAGAGACTGGGAGCGGCAGCCATTGCTGGCGCGAGGATCGATGCAAGGGGAGAGAACAGCTAGGTCGTATGGCGCATGAAACCAAGGACTCTGCGCTCGAATTGATGAGCGGGGGTTCTCGTCTGTGTATTGGAGTCACGGACTGATATTGTTTTCTGCCATGCTGTAATATTGATGAATATGTGCATTCGTTTATAATTTACATGGGACGATATTTGACAGATGCCAAATCAGCCGAGTGTTGGTATTTCACATGTCTGTGGCGGCATATACTCGGGTTATGCCGATGCAGGGTATTATGTACAAGAATGTATGTGGGTATCAATCATTATTGACCGGCAGCTTTACCTTCATAGCTCGCTGTCCGGTCCTGATTGAGTTGAACAGATGGCGTGTTCTCGTAGGCAGTAGTGACCTGTAGGTATTTTGCAGGGAGCTGGTATTCCTCATGAAGGCCCTAAATCTGAGGGAAGGCCTGAAGGATTACCTGTTGCATAGTCCAGCCTCAAGGGCCGGTGCGTGACACATCATTCAAGATGTGCAGGAATCGACCATGAAGGAGCAAGATAGATCGTGGAGCAGAGCGCTCACCCAACAGGATAGGCCCGGTGGGCCTCAATCCACAGAGATTCTGCTGCCTCGTCACACGCTGCACCATACCAGAGCATAGACTCGAGAGCACGCTTGACAATGGGCCAGGAGGACAAGCCCGAGCGACGGGTAGTGTCATGCAGAGCAGATCCAAACCAAGCTCGGTCGGGGGTGCCATAAGCAGCGATACCGCCGAGCATCAGGATCCAAAGCAGGGGAACGCGGGTGTGTGGGGCGGACCACAAGGCAAAGGCGTTAGGCTGACACAGCACGAACTGGATTTGGTGCGCAAGACGCTGAAGGGGATTGTTCTGGGCGGGCATTGGGAAGATGACGCTCACGCTAAAAATAAGAGTGGCGAGGCGACAGGCTTCGTAGGTAGCCGCGTGGGTCGGGTTAGTGAAGGTGGACTCGATGGCACTGGCAGGTGGCAGAGAGAGAAGAGTGTGTTGGGTGATGTTGCGCTGGTCGGCGAGGGTGGTTACGGTGTAAGTGGTTCCCAGCTTCGATTTGACGACTTTGATGTACGTCAGGGCAGCCTGTAGGGCTTCGGCCATTTCGGGCGTGATGCCAATGTAGTGCAGGCGCCCGAAGCCACGGTCAATGTCGGACGGTCCAAAGCCCAGAATGTCCTGGATGGACAGACCCATGTGATTCTCGTCAAGAGGCCAAAACTCAAACACTGGGCGGACGCAGAAGCAGCTGCAAGTCACAATATCTGAGCTATATGATACATAGTCAGTGAGGTCCTTCGGCAAGCCGTGACTGGTCTTGGGGATTACCCACAAGCTAATCGTCGGGGGTAAAGAACCCGTTTTGATGTTTTTCAAACCCCCGCGCATAATGATCATCTGGACCAAGCCCTGGATGTGGATCATGTTGGGTCTCAGGCATCCGTAGACATCAAGCCACTGGAGGCGCTGGAGAGGCGGGTTAAATGGTGTTCTCAGGTGACTATGTGTCCCAGCTTCCTCCGTTCGGTGATGAGCCATGCAAATCACACTGAGGAGCACCGCATCGCTGTTGACTCGGACTGGATCGCGGACCGCCTTGTTGATCAACTTGATTGCCTCCATCTCACACAGCTGCAGGAAACTTTGCTGCTTGGGTCCGAATACTGTTCTCGGGTTCCACTGGTTGACCCATTGCACTCGTTGGTGACAGAGCGAGGCAAACATAAATGCCGTAAATAGCGCGGGGTCCGACCTGGCGAGCGGAAACCAGCTATGGCCGGCGGTTTCACCCTCCGGCAGTGGAGCCACCCCTGGCCAGACGACGGTCAATACTATGAGGCCAAGCTGTGAGTAAACCAGAGCCGCAGCGGGTGAAATTAGACGGATATCATAGACGAACAGTGGGATTCGCACGGATGGACCAATTCCAGCGGAAAATGAGAGGGGTAAGTACTGAACGGGTCGAGAACACCGGAAACTGGGGCCTCAATTGGCAGGAATTCGTGACGCGGGGTTTCTGCGGCGAGCTCGGTGGGCTCAGCAAAATCATCGCTGCTATCGCTGCTGTCACTGGCGTGCGAGGGCGAGGGATGAAATCGGGGATCTCGCGCGAGAACGTGCTTGATCGCGGGGAGCTGCCGGGGACGCGATACGAGGGAATATGATGATGGCTCGGATTTGGCGCTGTGTGAAGAAGATCCGGGGGCAGTCGAACGATCCCTGGTTTGGTCGGAGATCCATTTTCCCACATGGGCGCGCACCAGGCGTTGCGTCTTCAGCTTCTCGGTCTCGGACGCAGGCCGGGCATTGACGAAATGAATGCCATCCTTTTTGTGGCCGGCAGGCTGGTTCTTCCTGGACGACATTTCCTTCGATTCAGACAGTCATTTCTATGTATCTTGTTGTCATGGGCAATAGAAGCGATTTCTCGAGATTCGGCGTATGGGGACCAGGTTCGGCATCCTGGTTTTCGGACGAAGAGGAAGGAGGATGGTGGTGGGGGGGGTGTTCGAGGGAGGAACTAGTGGAAGTGAATCGTGCAGCTATAGCGTTCAAAGCAGATGGGAGGAAGGACAAGCGGGTGATCTATGAGTGTCTCATATTCTCGCAAAGGAATCAGGGAGAACTCGAATGTGCCACGGTAATTGCCAGCAGGAAAAGAACTCCGCACACACGTCAATGGACGTTGACACGAAGAGATCGACCAGCCCCAAGTTACGCTTGGCAATTGGCTTCGTGGTCAGTGGTCACTCACGTTCCCCCTTCGATCTGGGGCTCCAGGTACTTCTTGACCTACGAGTCAATTGTCATTGTTAATCTGCTCACGAGGATCGCCAAATCTTGCTTTCTCCTTCGCATGGCTCCCTAAGCAAAACACCTTAGGTCGGTCATGAGATTAGGATCTCCCAAAACGCCCCGACGGGCGACTCGGTACCGGTGTTTCTCGTGACACTAGTGGAGGCGCGGTGGGTTGGGAAGAGACCGAGATGATATACGCCTGCAGAAATGACCCCGGTTTTCTGAAGGGACATACCCGAGCACCATCCATGGATTTCTCGAAGGCAAAGACACTGACACTGGTGGGACTGCCGATCACCCTGAAACAACGCCCCTAACGATCCTGGGCCTCCTGCAGGATGCGCATCTTAGACATGGAAACGGAGGGAGTATAGGATCCCCACAGTTGCAGCGCGTTGCTGCAGCATTGATCAGATTTGCTTGAATTCGCTATTTGAAGAGTGTCGGTACAGTCAATTGCAGTGATGTATTTGCTGCCAAGTCCCCCCACATCCCCACACTTTCAGTCCAGCTCCAACAGGGTATATTGGCTGCTTTCCCCAGTCAGGGGGTCCCGGTACTGGGCCAGCGCCTTTTCCACAACCACCATGTACCCCAGGACCTGCTCTTCATGCCAGCGACGGCCCACCACCTGCACCGCGGTAGGCAGACCCGCCATCTTGGCCGAGTCATAGTGCTTCCAGGCGCCGCGTGCGATTGCATGGTCGCAGCCCAGACGCTTCAAGACGGATTTGTAGGGAGCCACAAGGGCATCGCGGATGGAATCAACATGGCCTACGGGCAGTACACCAGCGGAGTAGTCCAGTAAGTTCCAGAGGAAAGTGTATCCGCAGGAGGAGACCGCATCGTGCATCGCCTTGTGCGGCAGGGCCGGGGTGGCATTGACGGGGCACAGGATGAAGTCGAATCGCTGGGGCTCGGCGTCCCACCACTTATGCCAGGTAGCGCGGAAGGCTTCACGCTGGGCCACCAGTGGCCACAGCTCGGCGGAAGACTTGGGGCCGAAGTCGCGGATCAAAGTGGCCAGGACAGTGTCGCGCCGGATGTACCGCACGTACAGATAGTAAAGGTAACGAAGGGGACGAGGCAGGTGAGCGATGCGTGAAAGTTGGTTGGCACCGGGGTCAGAGGGCTCGAAACTGCGCAGCTTGGATTCGAAGTGATGGCAGCCGTCCGAGTTGAGAAGCTGGGATGCCAGGTTAAGGCCGGTAAATGGGTTAGCATTAGCGGGTGGGGAGATCTCTGTCACAGTGTGACCGGCCTCGGTGAGTGCGGCGACAGTGGTGGAAACGGCACGCTCAATGGCCGGAGTGGGGGGCACGACACCTGTGTGTGAAGAGTGAGCGGGGCATGCACTATAAACATTTTCTTCGAACACATACCATCGCTGCTCATCAATCCAATGCGCAGGGATTTGGTCTGCGCCTCGACTTCCAATTCCTCGCGCCAGGAGATGGGATGCACAGAATAATCATACTTCCATGGCTGCATGCCGATAATGGCGCGGGTGAAGTACGTGAGGTCGTTCAGTGTGCGAGCCATCGGGCTGAACACACTGGGAATACCCTCCTGACCAGGCATGCTGGTATTGACACCGACCTTGGGCCAGCGACCCGTGCTGCAGCGAAGCGAGTAGATTCCACTCCATGCAGCAGGCACACGCACCGAGCCTGCAACATCCGAACCAATGCCGATACGACCACCAAGGGCCAACAAAGCGCCCTCGCCACCAGTGGAGCCACCAGGGGAGTACGCGGGAACATGGGGGTTGCGACAGGGACCCCACAGCCCATTGGCAGATTCGAAAGACAGCAAGGTGATGGGCAAAGCAGTCTTTGCGTACGGCACAGCACCTGCAAGTCATGAGACTCAATTCTACTCGAAACTTCCCCCATATGGGTGAACATACCTGCATCTTTGAGGAGCTTGGTCATCGGGCCATCTTCGGTAGCCGGGTTGCCCGCCAAAGCAGAATAACCCAACGTTGTATCAAAGCCCTTGACTTGAACGGAATCCTTCAGTGAAATGGGAATGCCGGCCAAAGGACCCTTGAGATTGACCTCAGACTTGGCCCACGACTCTGCTTCGGGCAGAAGGATCTCGGTGATGCAGTTGGTCCGCTTCTGGGCCTGAACGGCGACCTTGCCGTAGATGCGGAGAACATCGACGGGTGAAAGAGCCGAGCTTTGGATTCCCTGAACAAGGTCCTGGATGGGCTTGTTGATGATCTCCTTGTCAGAGGCGGTGATATGGATATGGTAGTCGAACGGCAGCAGGGCGAACCGGGCGGTTCGTTCCTGTTGTTTCTGGTTCCTTGATAAACGTGGGGGGTTAGTGGAGGGGTATACCACATGAGAAAGATAACTGATTGTCACATACCGTACTCGACGGTAGGAGAAATAATCGAATGGAGGGAACATGGCGATGATGGGAGGTGGAAAGAGACGGGGGCGAGCGACAGCTTCTTATACCAGCGGCTATCTGCGGGGAAGCCTGTGGAGAAGGTGATAAGCTCCCTCGGCACCTCGACACCCGATCCTCGAGGCTTGAGAAATAGTGTAGACTATTAGAGGATTTATGTTCTGGCTGCAATTTAAACTGCAATGTTCATTCCATCGCCGCTGACCGCAGGCCAGCAACGTCAACCAGGTGACTCTCCTGTGGGAACCGCGGGATGGCATTATCCCCATTGCGGTAGGTCCATGCGAGATATTCGGGTGGAAGAACAGCTAGCTATGTTAAGATTGTTCATGTGTTGACTATAGTACATGTTTCACCTATATAAACCTATATAAACCCATCTACCCCTCCATCAAGCCGCTCTGGAGGCGCGGCGGGTATATGTCCAGTATCCATGCAACCCCAAAACTCCAATGAAAGAACGCTATACCATGCACCTGGTCCTTCAATCGCCAACGATTCAAAGCCACATCGAGGTGACATCCTCGACACCCTATACAGGACCATTCTGAAGCCAATTGTGCTGGCTCAGCCACCACACCACCACCGCGCCGATAATCACAAACACCACACAGCACAAAATCACAAAGCCGTAGACGAAGGAGCGCCTGCGCTTCTGTTGTTGGCGTGACAGCCATGATTCTCTGCTGGGTTGTTAGTCGACTGCCCATGGAATGAATGAGGAAACAAAGGAAGAGAGAAAGGCAGTGACCTACTTGTCGGATGTGGGCGCTGTCACTTGCGGTTTAGGGCCCGCTTGGCCACCGTTGGCCTCTTCATCGAGATGGACTGCCGCGGAGAAGCGTTTCCAGAAGAACGGGTCCCGTACGAGAGCCATTTTGAAGATATAGTGATCAATTGACGGCTGGCCGAGGCAAGGAGGTTTGCAAGGTGAGAACCGGGGGCACTGGGAGGGGTCGATATTCTTTGCCAGCTGAGTCGCCCTTGCAATGTGATTTTGAAGTAACAATCGTGACCAGTGAACTGCGTAAGATAGGATATGAGAGTGATCGCAAGGAAATTGACGCGAGTGAATGCCTGTCTGATCAGATGGGAGTGACAAACGACCGAGATTCAATTGCAGACAAACTTGTCAACACAAGGGGGACTCGGGGGACGACAGATTAGATAGGATAAACACTGCACTTAACCCTCGCAATCAAGGGGTCGAGCAGCTCACGGCCGCGTGTGGAATTTGACGGGGGCGATGCAGCCAGTGAAATCGAGGCTGGCATAGTCGGGACACCATACCTTGCACATATCAGGTTCTGCCTGTTGGTATTACGACTAAAATCTCCTAGACCAACGGTCCATAGAATGCAAGACTGCCAGGGCGACCGTGCAACCACTCGACAGGGCAGGAGTGGATGTGTCGAATGCCCTTGCGGAGCACGGTATGTCGATCGAGGAATGCACCAGTTTCAACAGGCAATCTATTGGCAATGAGATCGCTGGTAGCTGGATAATCTCCAACCAAAGTGTAGAAAACCATCTGGCATGTCGATCTCTAGAACGGGGGAGGATTAGAGAATTTGTTGCGAAGTGCGTTGCTGTGGATATCCTGTCAATGCCTCTTGCAGCCCATTGAATTTGGTCTGGGGAATCAGATGAGATGGCATGGCCGCTATCTTTCGTGTGTTTGCCAAGGGCGAACCTGTCAGAAAGCTTGGCCGATGAATTTTGGATTTCATCAATCCACATCCATGGAGATGTCTATAGAATGCTTCGCTCATTCATGTTGATATGTGAGATGATGATCTATTGCTATCGAACGTGAAATGAGATATGTTTGTGAGCTATTCTTTTTGCTATAGAACAATCCTAAATTAAGCTTCTTCAAGTACTGTAATTGATGTGGAGTACTTTAGTAGCTAGTGCTTAGAATCATCGTGTTTTTCATCTTGTAATTATTGCGCAGCAGATGGGAGTTCTCGCAAGTACTCAGAGGTATATCAGGTTTGGCTCAGGAGCATTGTCTTTGGGCTAAATCCCACCCTCTTGTTTTACCTTACGATTTCGCGTACAACAAATCCTCAAACTTCCATTAGATATATTGCTCCTTCTATAATTATATATAAAGGTGAATTGGAAATTTGAAATGCCCCCGTGGGATGAATCAACACATAGCATGTCATATGATGTTTATCACATTTCGGAAACCACAACACGCCGTCTCACCTCTAACCATGACATTACAAGGCCTTTTTTGAATACTTTTTTGATATAGTGATCTACATCATAAATTTCTTGTTGAGATTTCTTCTACACACGGTGAAACTAGCCCAAAGATATCACCGGAGGCTGTCGAACACCATGGATCCCCAAAGCATCGGATAGCGAACTGGCTGATTTCGGTTGGCTTGGCTCTCATAGCCGTATAAGTGGTGGGAACCCGCCGGCAATTGTTGTCGTCAGAGTCTCTGACGACGTTGTCATCAAGTACGGCGCATATCTTACCAAGCACGAGGCAAATAATCAAAAGCCTATGAACTGGTCGACCCTAGGATCGTGCGCATTCCACGAGTCCATCGCTACTTCGCCGATGGAAGAGGCAATGGGTATATCATGGGAATTTTTAGAGGGAAAAAAACGGTCGATCCACTTGATAACCCTGACTTTACCGCCCGACTTGTGAAAGTACTGGAGCATTTTCGTACACTCCGGGGCCACAAACCGGGTAACCTCGGCGGTCCATGCGAAGGGATCTTGTGGTCAGACCGTGAGACTCTGAATTTTGCAAGTCGAGAGGAAATGGAAGCATGGCTCCATAGCCGGCTTTTTTTCTGGTCAAGGGAGTGTGTCCTTTCAGGACTGCGAACTGGCCCTCTGTCATTTGGATATTGCACCGAGGAATATTATCTGGCAGGATGATGGGACAATTCGTCTGATCGATTGGCAGTCTGCTGGCTTCTATCCGCGGCTCTTCGAGTGTTGGGCGCAGTGGAATTTGGAAGGGAAAGATGGGCGCTTTAACTCTTTACTTCTCAAGGCCATGACGGACTCGCAACCGTCACACCCAGCGGTCATATGTCTTGATCGTCGCTGTCAGTTGAGATTCCAACACCAAATTGTGCATCAAAAGTCATCGCAGGAAGCTCGAGCCCACGTTTGGCGCTGATCACCCCCCCCGGCGGTGGGTCCTGATGTGTGCCTGACCGCTTCGTCTGAGGACGCGCCTGCGCCTCGCCTCGTTGACGCCTTGGGCCTCAAAGCCGACGATGCTCTTGCGACACTCGCTTTCAGTGTGCATGCTTCTTCAGATCTGGTGCTGTCATGTCGTCCGCGCACTGGGGCACGTTGATCAACCCTGACAAGAGCCCGGCCCCGTTGCTGGAACAACTATGTCTGGGGATCGCGCAGTTGATGGTCAGTACCAGACCCTGGCCTTTCCTGCATCGTCGTGGCTGACAGACAGGGTCTCAGCCTTCCTTTGACTCCAGTGGAACAACCGACCTCACCCCCGAGCGACTCGCAGCATTCTACCGGAAAGTCGGCGGGAACTACGATCCGCTGTTTCTAGAAACCAAGACACAGGCACTGTCGTTTATCTACCAGTCGTTGGGATGTTTCCACAGTCTGCAGCCATCCACCAACCCCTATGAGGCACCCTCGATCCCCTCACTCCTCCCGAATGGCTTTGTGCGATGGCAGACAATCCAGCTGTTGATGGACCCGGACGAGCATTCGCAGTATCTGCAGAACGCAGTCGAGCTCTGGGATATCGCAGACGCCAACGGCGAGCTCTTCCCAAAGGAAATTCCCCGCGATGCCTTCCCATCAGAACCGGATCCTGAAATGCTCCAGTGGCATGAGGAGGTCAGCCGGCGGCTCGAGTACGACTATTGGAAACGACGTGCATCGCGTTGCTCGCCACCGAACTTCGGGGCATATCATTACCACTTCAGTGGCAAGGATCCGTTGCCTGAGGAGGAGGACTACTTCTCGCGACACTCACGCCGGGCAGAGTCGCGGCGACAGAGCCATGTTGAGCCAGATCGGCCGAGCCGCCGGCGGCATCACCATCGGCGGTTAAGCGCAGATCATCCCACCTTCACCAGCCGCAGACCAGAGTCGGTATTTGTTTCACGTCCAGATAGTGTTCGATCAGGCTATTCATCGCCGCGAGTTCCCTCTCCCCCACCCCCGCCACCGCCAGACCGTCCGCCTCGATCTCGAGGTCAGAACAGGACCACCTGGTTTGGGGGCCTCCTGAGTCCGGACACTGCAGATCCACAGGACGCTGCATCCGATGCCCCGTCTGCCGCTGATGCCCACGAGCCCGAGGAAAGCGAGCCCAGAAGCAGTCATCGACCTCGCCATTTGCCTCCAGCCCCTCCTTCTCGTGCTCGTCGTCACTCCCACGACGCCTATACCCGACGACCGGCTCGGGACCTCTCTCCCGCAGCACCCAGACGCGAGCGCCGTAGCCACGAAAGCCATGGCTCCAGATCCGGGAAGTCGCATTCCGACGCTTCTTCCAAAGCCCACGCCAGCGAGGACTGGTCTCGTTCCAAACCGCCGGGAGTCAAATTCCGCGAATACATTTTCGGCAGCACTGCTCCAACACCAGCACCAGAGCCTCCGTCCTATACACAGGCTCCGCCACCGGCACCAGCACCCCCGCGGTATGTGCCACGGCATCGTCTGAACGTGGATACGTACGTCCCGGACGATAGCCGGCGAGGGAGCTACAGTGCAGGCAGTGCAGGCGGTAGCAGACCCGGGAGTGGAGGCAGCGGATCGGAAAGGCCTCGGTCGTATAGCAGCGCGGGGATTCATCCTCGGCCCTCTCGCTACACTAGTCCGGTGCGAGGTCCTTCTAAGCGGTATCTTCCTGCGAGCGTGGTCGAGGATGGATATATCCCGTCTCGGAGGGGACCGATTTATGATTGATGGTTGATGATTTTATTTTCCATGTTCTTAATTTGCGCTTCTTGTATCTTTGAATCTGTCTCGTACGGCATATCTCTCCTTCTTGTCGATATTGATATTGATATTCTTTTTTTTTCCCTTCGCTTTCTTTCTCTTTCCAGCTGGTGGCATTTTGGTGATTCTTGACTCTACTCGCCCGGTGTTTTCGATGGAGGTGTGATTGCAGCTCGAACTAGGTGTTTCGCTCTTGGTATTCTCTACATAAAATTCATCAATTACCACTAATGCACGGTTACTCTCGAAAGATAGTTTCAAAGGCACAACATCATAAAGCTAGTTCAAATACATCTCATGTGTATTCATTAGTCGGGATAGATATCGGTGTCGACAACTGGACAGAATAAAGACAAATAGCAGGCACGCAGAAAAGAAGCGCCAACCTCAGATAGCCCTATTTAATCACTCAAATGAGCCCGCTGGAACGTAAACCCGTAGTCACGAAAGACAGCACATTTCCCCGAATCAGCAAAATTCGTAGTGCGCGAAGGAGGCATCCCCAAGAGCGAAATGTTCCGATCCGACGCATGATATGGCTCGATAGTGTACTCATGTTGGGCAGAACTACTGCCGCGCGCTTGCAATTGATCCGACGTACCAAAGACGGCAAGAGTCGAAGCATACGCCGGGCCGCGAACGCGCAGATACTCCGGATCGGGGTTCGGGGTTCGAGATCGAAAGAACGAAGCGAACACATCATGGAGAATCTGTGCATGCCGGATATCACCGGGCCCATAATACGGAGCCACGTTCTTGGTTTTGGCGTTGAGCGTGCCCCAGGCTAGGAGTACGTCCGAGGCGTGGCAAGAGGCGTTGTAGTCGTTGTTCGGGGAGCAGATGGCCGGCACGTCCACTGTAGTCTGGATGTGGCCGTTGCTGATCACGGCCTCGTACACGGATGGGAACGCAGTGCCAGAGTGGTTGAGGAGATACCCCTGGGCACAGGTCCATTCGGCATGGGTCACGGCGTCGGCGGCGGCGTTGCGCACGCCGTCGGGGTCGGAATGGTTGACGGCGAATGCTTTTGAGGCAATCATGTGGCCTGCTAGCTTGGAGCCGAAGCTAGTTTCAAATACTGTATCGAGAGCGATTTGTGAGGATCCGAGGTCCGGGATTTGTTTGCCAATATACAGGCCCGCTTCGTCGCGCATGGTGGTGAACATGGTTGGGACGTGAATCGGGAGCTTATTATGTTCAAGAAGCGTGTGGAATTGGTCGTCGATGACGCCGGAGTCAGAGTCGTCGACCATCGGCATTAGTGGCTCTGTCGCAGAGAGAAGCTTGGTGTTGTGATAGTAGTGGTGCGCGATATTGGAGGCGATGTTAGACGTAGCGGTTTTGAAGTCGGTCGAGTTGTCGAGATATTTGTGAGCAGGCGCAGACCGAAGGCACTTTAGCAATTCCTTCTCCGAGCTGTGTTTGTCACATCCAACAGCCTTGCCCACTTCTGGTGCAATGTATTTTGAATACAAACCGCGCGGGAACCACGGCAAATCGAGAGGCGCAGACTGGACGAGCGCACCAGAAAAGAGGCCCTTGGCTGCTGTGGATGACAGTAGCGCCACTGTGCTTTGGCCGCCGGCGGATTGGCCGAACACTGTGACATGGGAGGGATCGCCACCAAAGGCTGCGATGTGCTTCTGGACCCAGTGCAAGGCCATTATCTGGTCGCGGGTGCCGTAGCTTCCTGTTGTGAGATTGCCCGTTGACAGGTATCCCAAGGCGCCGACGCGGTAGTTGAGCGTCACAATCACCACATCACTGCGGCTGGCAAAGTTGCCTCCATCGTAGTCTACCATGGCGGCGCTGCCCTCGAGGAATGCTCCACCATACAAATAGACGGCGACGGGGCGACGGGTGGTGTTTGTGTTAGTCCAGGATGGGAGGATGGGGGTGTAAACGTTCAAGTAGAGACAGTCCTCGGAGATGCCACCGTTGTCCAAGGTCCCGAAGCTTGAAAGGGACTGGATGCACGAATCTCCCATGCTCGTCGCATCGATGACTTTAGGTCCTGAATACGCCTGTGGCGGCGCGAACCGCAGCTCATTGATGGGTGGGTTGGCGAAAGGGATTCCCATGAAACGGAACGAGCGTGCATCGCGATATCCTGTCAAGGTGTAGCCGCTAGACTGCACCATGAGCTTGGTTGAGCCTCGCGGCTTTCGGTCCCTGTCAGTGGTCGGGGGTGGGCTCGATGTGCACAGGACTGGGAGCTTAGAGTTGCACGAAGCGTGGACAAGACCCTTGCGCGACGGCGAGAACGAATGGCAATCTTTGCTATGACTCGACTCAGTCGATACCCAAATAGAGTCGTTGGCTTGCAACTCCTTGGCGAACACGAGATAATCCAGTTCATGTTGAAGTTCGGACCGATTGGCAGTAGCCTTGGGGGACCATGACAGAAGTCGTTCGCCGATAGCAGCGCATTTTACAGTCGCATCTTTGTGGCTTAGCCGGTCATGCATGAGAACTGCAGTGGAACCATTGTTCTCTGGGCCGAGGTTGTTGTAATGCAAGACGTGGATAGTGCCTAGAGACGCAATGTCGGGAGGATTTGCTTTCCTCGTTGGAGGTGCAGCCAGAGTGAGGCTACTGAAAAGCAATGCATTTAGGACGGGCTGACCCTGGAACCTCATTGTCAGGCAGTGGGCTCTAGTGTCACGAAACACAGGTCCACGATGCCCGAGTACTCGGGCATCGGCTGTCTTTTAAATCCGTTTGTCATGGCCAACGCACGTTAGGAACACCTGGCTTAGCGATAGGGAGGCACGGAGAGGTCGGATGTCGGTGGACCGCGACCTACTCCCTGAATGGGCGATCGAGGGCGGAAAAAGACTGGGGTGGGGAGATGCTGGTTCAAGCCAAATTTGGAGAATGTTCTTGTAAGATCCAACCAGTGAATGCATGAGTCGAAAGCAATGCGGAGTTGCCGGCTGATTGTTTCTCTGCTGTTGGAGCTGGTGGAGAGTGGAGAAACCGAGTGAAGTGGAGCCGCTCTCAAGGTCTACCATGTTGAGTTAGCGGGCAGGAACCGATTCATGAGAAAAGCTGTATTCATGTGATGATTATTCATATTGGCCCGGACACGGCTTCGAGAATTATACTCTGTCGAATCATCGCTACGGATATAATATTAAAACACGAGGAGTACTCATGCGGGCGCACTCGAAGGCCAAAGGCAGCTAAGAATATACTAAATTTATTCTTAGATCTTAGTTGAAGTTGACGAGTGGGTCAGAAAATCCACTGCAAATGATCAAGCATGCTTGAAAGACACCACAGATACTAGTTTCGAAGATACTGCCGGTTTGTACTTCTTGGCCAGCGAACTGGTGAATTAGTGACTTAGTGAATGCGGGGTTACTTATGAGGCACTGTCGCTGACCAGCTCTTTTTCTCTTCTCCCGCGTATATTCCCAGGTTGTTGGTATTTTATTGTTGAATTTCAGATAGTTTCCCTGACGTGTTCCCAGCCACTTGCAGGAAGTAGAAACTGGATTGCAAGTAAAAGCCCTAGAAATTCACCTGTAAACAGTCTGCCGAGTATAGAAGAGATATACTATGGGAGACTGACGGGGGAATAGCCCTATCATGATCCATTCAATCCACGAACCTCGGAGTTCGGAGCCAATCACAATTTCCAAATTCAAGTTAGAGCAGCCATTAACAATGACTCAGAGCCTGCCCACGTTAAGCTTGGAACTATCGAACTATCTCAGTGCCAACTCAAAAACATCAACCTCAACTACGACAATGGCACGACCTGTTGGTCCAGCTATCTCGTTCACACCGGCGTTGTTGCCGTCAAACAAAACAGTCCTTACAGGACGAACCATCCTCCTGGAAAAACTTGAATTGAACCATGCCCACGACCTCTTCAATCTAGTTGGTGGGAGTGACCCCGCGAGAGCAGCTCTGTGGGACTATATGGGCGATGGACCATACTTGCATCGTGACGCTTTCGAGAAAAGCATCGCTTCCAAATCAGTCTCCCTGGATCCATTCTTTTTCGCCATCATCGATAGACGCGACGACAGGCCGCGCTTCGGCAAGGCCATTGGCTATCTATCTCTCATGCGAATTACTCCCGATCAATTGACCATCGAAATTGGGAATGTGATGTTTTCATCTGCCCTGCAACGAACCACTTGTGCGACCGAGTCAATTTACCTGTTGGCACGGCACGTATTTCAAGATCTGAACTATCGACGATTGGAATGGAAATGCAACGCGCTCAATGAACCGTCTCGAAAGTCGGCCTTGCGACTGGGGTTTACATACGAGGGGACATTTCGACAGCATATGATCGTCAAGGGAAGGAACAGAGACACAGCTTGGTTTTCATTGTTGCAGGATGAGTGGAATGGGGTGATCAAAAGTGCCATGGAGCAATGGCTGGACCCTAAAAATTTCCACTATGATGGGAGCCAGAAAAAGAGTCTTCAAGAGTTGACGGCAGCATGTAAAAAATGGCTAAATGACCGAACCGGGTAAAGTGCTATTTTTGAACATATACCCCGGGTTTTTGTTTGAGAGATACTACTAGTTAGGCTACAAGTTCGGAAAATATAAATTTTCTATAGGAACACGAACAAGGCCCAAGAGGCCGTTTGGAGGAGTAAGAGGGCATCTCTGCCTGGCGCGATCCTCCCGCTAAGCCGCCTCGTGTCCCAAAGCGGTAATGAGCCGTGGCCCCAGTGGGGCCTGTTGCCTAAGGTTGTCTGCCCCCCAAAATCGCAGAAGCCAAAAATCAAGTCTCGGGCCATCTGGTCAGAATTCACCTTTTCAGAGTTGTCATCCACCATGGCTTCTTCTCTGCCTCCAGTACCGGTGAACCACCATGACTTCTTGAGCTATGTCCAGTCTCATCCAGAGACTGCCATGGACGAGCTGGTCCAGCCGTACAATGAGTACGATGCAGTTTTGCGCAAGACTTTTGCGCAAGATCCTTGTGCTTCGATTTTCAATGACAACCATGTCAATATCGTGCCTCTATTTGATGCCAATGGCACGGCGGATGTCCAAGTTCGCGCTCGGGACCTGGCCTCAGAGTCGCCAGAGCAAAAGGAGCGATATATCTTGCCTCTGAAAGACCACGACCGGAAAGTTAATGGTGCACCTGCGGTGGTTCCCACCTTGGATGAGTTTCAGACCAACTTTACCATCTTCACCGAGGGCGCCTTGAGCGATTTCGACTGGAGCAATGTCATGGTGGCAGGAAGTGCCGTGGTGACCTCGCTTCTGCCCGTGCCAGAGAAATACCGCAAGTCCAAGAGAGGTCTGCGCCAGTACTACCATGAGACGCTTGCACCTGCTTCAGATGTAGATCTCTTCCTGTACGGGTTGACTGAGGAGCAAGCCATCGACAAGATCAAGGAAATCGAAGACAAAATCACCAACAGCATCTTGTATGAGACAACCACCATCCGCACCAAGAACACGATTACTATTGCTTCGCAATATCCAACCCGCCATGTGCAAATTGTTCTGCGCATCTACCACTCGGTGGCTGAAGTGCTGACTGGATTTGATGTTGACTGCTCCTGTGCCGCGTATGATGGTCGGCAGGTCTATGCATCTCCTCGTGCCATTGCGGCATACATCACCCAGACCAATCAGATTGATCTGACGCGCCGCTCGCCCTCGTACGAGAACCGACTGTCCAAGTATTCGCACCGCGGATTCGAGGTGTTTTGGTCACCGCTCATCCGATCGAAAATCGATCCGGTAAGATAGAGAAGTCTGTACCATAACTGCCCAAAATAAACTGACACCTTTCAGACAATCTTTGAGCGAAGCTTCGCTCGGACGGTAGGACTGGCACGTCTGTTGGTGCTGGAGAAACTTCCCAAATCCACCGACCGAGAGAATTACTTGAACAAAAGACGCGTGGAGCGCGGAAGACCCAGCGCCAACAATCTATCCATTCACAATCGAAGGGAATTGCGCGGGAATATCAAGAATGATTGGGACGACGAAGTCCCGGAATGGCAGGAAGAAGACCAAGTGTCAAACTACCATACCTTTGTCCGCGTCACCACAACATTTTGCTATCAATTCTTTTGCTAATCCGATCACAGACCATTCCATATGGCCCCAGGTTCAATGCGCGGAAAATTGAAAAATTGCTTTACGCCAAGGATTTGCTGCTCAACGCCGAGTGGAACCAGCCCAAGGACCGAAAAGTCTACCTCCATCGCCATCCAGCATTTTTCGGTGATGCAAAGCATGTCATTGGCGACTGTTGCGGCTACTGCCCGAAGCCGATGACTACCGAGGAGCTGGAAGTGGCAGAGGAGGAAAAGAAGACCTATATCTCCGGCGATATCTCCTTCATCAAAGATGACCCCGGCCGTCAAGAAATTGGCAGTTTCAACCCAATCACCGAGACAGATTGGACTGGTAAACATCCCTGGAATGATTTAGATTGAGAGAAAAGCACGAGATAATGACTGTCCACAGAGATGGCCTATGTTGGTCAAACCGAGCGACTTTGCCAGGCCATTGTATCGAATGATGTGGCAACCGTACGAGAATGCATGGCAGAGGAAGGTACAAATCCGGATCGTCGTGATTATACCGGAAGGACGCCCCTTCAACTTGCCTGCATGGGATCCACTCCAGAAGTGGTCCAATGCCTGGTTGACCATGGCGCTCGACTTATTGCGCGGATGGTGGATGGCAAGACGGCCCTCCATCTCGCGGCTGCTCGAGGTAGTGCCGAGATCATTCGCATTCTGCTTGTAAAAAGTGGCCAGAATGAGGAAGAGGAGGACAGGAAACAGAATGCTCGAAGGCAAGAGCGTGGTGAGCGACCAAAGGATGACGACGACGAAGACAAAATGGATATTGACGAGAGCGATGTGGATCTGGTATCGTACACATCCGCGTCGTTTGTGAAAGTTGAAAAGGACTCTGACTCCGACATGCCTCCTGCCGGAGAGAGCTTGGAAGACACGAATGAGCTCGACCCGGATATCTATGATATCAATGTGGTATCTTGGGACCGGTTAACATCGCCTCTGCATCTCGCCATTCTCCACGGTCACGTTGATGCCGTGAAGGAGCTTGTCGCTTCATTTGGAGCCGACGTCTTGATGCCAGTGAAAGTGCTCAATGATTGGAGTAGAAAGCCCGAAGCCGCCATTCTTTCCCTCGTTCTTGCTTTGGCTCTTCCACTGGACAAAGCCCAGGAGATGTCGAGAACGCTTCTTGACCTGAGTGCATCGCCAGCCCAGGGTGACATGAAACAAAATACACCACTGCACTACCTGGCTAATTCCAACTACAATGAGCTCTTCGACATCTATTTGCAACACGACGGGCCAGGTTTCAAGCGCGCCATCGACCACCTGATGGTGACTGGCTGGTCGTACTCTCCCGGCGTGATCTCCCCCCTGATACTGGCATTGAATGCAAAAAATCCCATTGGAGCCATGAAACTCTTAGAAGCGGGGGCCAAGCCAGTCATCGAATTCCCCGAGTATGTCAAAGCAGTCAAGGCCAAATTTGACGATGCGTTTGCATACACGTCACCTGAACAGACCCAAGATGTATTCAACAAAAACGTTCAGCAGCCATTGCTTTGCGCCGTCAACAATGAACTGCCTCAGATTGCCTTCGAGCTGCTGAAGCGTGGGGCCGATCCAACTGTCGAGATTCATGTTTCATACAAGACCCTTCAGCAGACGATCCTGGACCGTGTTCGGGAAAAGATCAGAGAGATGCATTATTTCCTGAATAAACAGCCCGACGATGTTCCCCCGCCTCGAGCACCGGATGAGGATGACAACGTGTACCTCGCGAGCTTTCCGGAGGGCTCATACCGGAGATGGACCGGAAAGGCGTTGCTGGAGAAAGCTCGACAGGAGTACGAGAAAGACAAAGACTCTTATGACAAGGCTGGGGTGGCATACGACAATCCACCGGGCCTTGACGAAAAGAAACAGGCAGTAAAGGAACTGGTTCATGAATTCGAAAAACTGGAAGAGGATTTGCTGTCACGCGGCGCCAAAACTTTCCAGGAGCTCCATCCTGACACTCATCAGCCTGGTCAGCCCCAACAGCCCCCCTGCAAGTACGAGGAACCAAAGCCTTTTGAAGTTGTTTTCAATTTCAAGACACCTACCCTTAATGAGGCTACCCGAGAAGGATATCTGCAACTGTATGGTCCGGAGAATCCCCTTCTTGTACGATTCGATTCTAACCTCCCAATCACCACAGGTTCGAGGCAGCATGGCGTGGAGACCTTGCTACGATCAAATCCCTGACCCTGGCAATGTGGGGTCCAGCTGGAGATCAGCTACCTCTGGAAATCGCAGTCTGTGACGAGCACTTTTTCTCGCCTCTTGCGATTGCGATTCTCCGAGGCCACTTGGATCTTGCAACGGCGATTCTAGACATTCTTCGGGCCCAGTATAAGGTCAAGGATCTCGAACCTCGCAAGCGGTTCAAAATGAACGACGATGACTCCAGTGATGACGAGGCATCAGGCGATGATGACAGCGATGATCTGAGCATCCAAAGCGAGGCTGCAGACAAGCCGCTCACATATGAGAACATTGGAGAGGTGAAGACGCAGGTGGAAAGCAATGTCACTCCGTTGAACGCCTTGACGCAATGCTGCTCGGCGGATCTGTTCATCGACATCACGTCCACCACAGCCTCAAGGGGCGGACCTTCTTCCCCGCTGTTTATGCCAAACCTGAAGTCTGATGACCCTGGGAACGCCCTTGATCTCATGAGATATGCAATCATTCGCAACGATGTGACCATGCTCGTATTCCTCCTGGAGAATGGCCAGCGCCTCGCCAAGACCGATCCCAGTGAAGAACAAGTGACCTATTCCGTATCCCGGGATGACTTCCAACTTGCAATCATTCTGGGACGCGTCGATTGCCTTGCCGAGATGATCAAGAGGAACGCCGCTGGTCTGCCGTTGGCCAAAATCAGTAAAGAATGGGGTGCTCAGACGAAGGAACAACCTCAGTACTACCCAGGACTGTCGATTCGAGGCCAGAAACGCACGGACTGGGCTGAAAGAAGCCGGTATGGGACTTCAACATCGACCGCAAAAGATGAACAACGGTCGCCTCTTTTGATTGCTGCCATACAAGGAAGCCTTGCAAGTACAGAATGGTTCCTTGGCACGGCCCCGGGCCGCTATTACCTCGAGTACATGGACTCGCACAAGGATGACAAGATGGTGCAAAGACTGGCGAGCTCCAAGTCTGGTATAGAGAAACCCGTGTTGAACTGGCTGAGCCTGAGAGGTGAGTATTAAATTCGCTGCATTCATGCGGAAATAGAGCTGACTGATGTTCTTAGATAACCTGGTTCTTCACTGCGCGGTTATGTCCCGGCCGACAGAGGAGTCGGAAAGCCTGGTTCGGTATCTCATCAAGCATTACCCCGAAAATATGGAGGTCCGATCCGCCGAAGGACACACGCCCCTTGCCGTCGCCTTTTCCCTGCGTCGGGTCCGTTTTGCTCGCATCCTTATCGAGAGCGGTGCCAACCAAACTGTCAGGGACTGTTTTGGCAAGAACCTCCTCCATCTTACTCTGAGCGCCATTGATCTTTTGCCGAGCACCATGTTGGGGACACTTTCCGACATACTTGGTCTGCTGGACAAGCAGCTAGTGCCGACTCTACTGCTGGAGCGTTCTCGGAGGGGGTCGGCAACGCCATTCGCATTGTTGCTCAAGGGACTTCCCCAGTCCAGTCGTGAAACTCACGGGTGCTGGGGGCCCCCCGCCTATGGTGACGATTACTTCGCGGGAGACAGAGCTGAAGTCACACGAATCCTGCTCGAGTTCAGTGAGGGCACTAACCACAAATACCTCGAGCTCCTCGATGACTCGGGCAACACGCCAGTTCACGAAGCAGTACGGAAACAGTTCCCTGAGATGCTGGACTTGATTCTTGCGCGCCGTCCGGACCTGCTCTACCGCGAGAGCGCGACGGGAAATACTCCATTGGAAATGGCCGTGGACGCCTGGGTCAATGAGACTACGCGCGCGCCTCCCATCCTTCCAGACCAAAGATATTACGATGCCTCGGGCGATTCGCTGCGCGGCGATTTGGTTAGTCGGTGGGAGAAATACTTTTTGAAAGAGCCGACAACCCAGGGGATGGAGGAGATTATTCTGAATGTCTGCCGGAAACATTGCCAGGCCCAACCAAAGAGAAGGCTGGTTAGCCTCTTCGAGGCTAATGAAGTGGCCAGGAGATTGGCGTCGAGGCATCAAGCTACAGAGTCCAAGGAAGCTGACATAACTCCATGGATCAGGCGTGAGTATGGCGGAAATGTCGTTGATGAGGTGGCGGAGTGGTATTCGACAGCGAAGATGCTGGCTGGGTAGGGGGTAGTTGGTCGAGTACGAAAGATTGCGCCACAATGTCGAGCCTTTGGCGGTTTCCAGTGTTTTTGGAGTGGATTTCGGTTGAACAGATTGTCTGCACTGATCTGGGGTCTGTCATATACCTCGAAGCTTGGTAGTTTAGTTTTATCATTCAATATATAACGAACAGTGCCTGGTACCGGCAGGACTATGTAGGAGCAAATCTTATAACATACGAACACCCTCGAAAAAAAATGCCTCAAAGCCGAGCCCCGATTCCTACGACACCACCGCCAGTCTACTCCGCACGGGCACGTTCTCCTCGACCCCTGGTTGCGGGAAGCCAGAGACCTTCACGCCCTTTCGAAACAGCAGGCAGTGAGTCGATCCGCCAAAATGAAACATTCCGATCTGATCGCCCTTGTCAACATGGTCACCGTTCTTGACCGAGATCTCGCATGTGGAGACCTCGGCCATTCCCACGCCCAGAAACGCCATCAAACCAATGGCCGGGTCATCGGCCTGAAAGAAAATGACAGCCCGTGTCGCCGTGGCCGTGATATACGCCTGCGAAGTAACCTCGCCGGCAAGGTCGATTTCCTGCGCACGCCCCTCGGGATTCCCGACGCCTTCAAATAGTGGCTCGGAGTAGTAGGTGCCGTCAACGACGAAAGCCTTGATGACCATGCCCGACACGGGAGCGTGCCAGCGGTGGTAGCTCAATGCACTGAGAAACGCCTGGTAGACCGTACCTCCGACGAAATCCAGCGCCAGAGGGTCATGCCCCAGCATGTCTAGCAGAGAGTAGGGTTGCTCTTTCATCCAGAAAGTGTCGCGGGCACGCACGTCCTGAGCAGTGCGATACGGCTTAGATTCGCAAGCGTTGGCGATAATACGGGGGTTATCCGGCTCGGCAACAGGCCGGACCCCGTCGCGGAAACGGCGCGTGAAGAAGTCATCCCAGGACGAGAAGCCGTGGTAAGGCGCGCTCGGATTGCACTCAAACAGGTCATGGAACTGGAGGTGAGATGCATCTGTGGGTCCGATCCTCGCAGCGGCTGTTAAGTCTCGTTCCCCGGTAGCCCCGAACCAGCCATGCGGGGAATCATTCAGGACCTGGGCTGAGGCGGGTGAGCGCAGGAATGCACCCCAGGCATTCAGAACTTTCTTAAGCATGGCGTTAATATCCGGGTCCAGGAAGGCTGCATAGCCGCTGGCCGTGCCCATGGGCCAGTCGAGGATGGCGTTGATGGGTAGGCCGACAAGGCCGACGCGGTGGGATTGATCTGTCCATGCGGGTGCCGTGCTGAGTAGGTGGTTGAGAAGCTGCAGAAAATGCTCGTAGTCGCGGATCTGTGGCTTTCCGGTGGGATCATGGTGGTAAGGGCTTTTGTGAGGGACCTCTCGAAACATGCCCGTCATGAGCATGTAGACCCGGGTATTTGTTTCGATGAGGTGCTGGAACTCTTGAAGGACGGGGTGCAATGGGGTTTCATTGCGGTCGACGGTCTTGATTATGCTGCAGAGCCATTCGCGATGAGATGCGTGGTCGGCTGGCAACCAGTTGCCAATGCTGAGGATGGTCAGTTGGATGGAGTCGTCCTGGGTCTCATTGGGGTCAATGTGTGGACGGGGAGATACCGGTGGAGAGGGTGTTTGCGTTGACTTTTGAATGCCATTGATATGTAGCAACCAAAGACTTGTAGGGATTTTATGAGGAAATTGCAGCGACAAAGAATAATCTCTATTTTTGTCTATCTGTGTGGCTGGAAAGCTTGTCGCGATAGATGAAGCTATTTGAAGAGTTCAAGCTGTTACATCACAATGACGCCTTGGGGAGGAAAACTGAAATAGAGGATGAGTCGATTCAAAGAAACGGCGTTACAGGAGATATCTCTACAATAATAAGAAAAAAAAAACCATCGACATCATCTATCATCTATAGCAGAAATGAAGCCCTCCAGGTTGAGGTGAGCTGTGTCGTTCGATCCAGGGCTCGATCTTCGTATGTAGCGACTCTACGTAAACCAAGGCGGCTTAATACAGCATCCAGCTGTCCACTTGTATCGATATTGAATCATGCCACTACCCTAAATTCATTTTATTTGATTACTCTTCGAATTCGACCAACATTGGTCATCGGCAGCACTTGTATCAGGCACTGGTTTGGAGAAGATCGGCAATGCCAAAAATCCCCCAAAGCCTTCACACACCCGCAGGTGGTTCATTGCTCAACATCGCCCAGCCAAGATAATCGCCGCTCGCTAGATGAAGCCCCGAGACCCCTGCCACTGGCAACTGGGTGGCTTAGGCCCACTTTGGCTTGTGTTCGAGAATCTCTTCTTCACTGTGGTAGGGGCAAGAGTGAAGACCGCACTGAGCCTCTCGTTTCTTTATCTGCCTTCTTGGCAATATATGAGATGACTATTCTCGTGAATATCCTCTGCCAAACAAATCTAACACGCCTACCATGCCGCGATATTGTCTGCGAGGGACGAAAAGTAGCCATGGACATTCACGCCCGCGTTGGATTCTTCGCGCAGTCGACCATTCTCTTTTCATCTCATTCTGGATCCTCTATGGCGTGTATTTGGTTATTGCGCTTCCCGTCTACCGAGGTGCGCGAGCTACTCCAGAAGTGTTGGAACCGCCATATCATCCCAGTGTGAAAGCTGGGTGGACGATACCCCTGGCAGCTGTTTATTTGGTATTGCTGTCCGGTTTGTGATCGGATGTCTACGAGGTTTTGCGGGGTGTATAATATGATGATGCTAAGATGTACTAAATATAAGACCGACGGTCACGGTTCGCATAGTCTGCTTTTATACCGAATCTAGATGGTATAAATGCGATAAGAAAATAAATTAAACACCCTAAGAAAATTATAAGATGGAATAGAAAATAGAGCTCGGGTAATTCAAAGTGTGCAAGTGGACTGGCATCTAGTAGCGGATAAACATATTCAACTTGATCAGAATGTACCAGTTAATTGGGGTGTTCCCCTTTCTCTTGTTCCAAAGTTGATTGATCCAAATGCATTCATTTTTTTAACCCTCGATGAAGTATTTGAAGGTTAGGAATATGGGAGACTCTCGATGACGCCCACCAGGGCATGACATACACGATCTACATCCAGTGCAATGTCGAAATAGCCGAGATTTTCGCTCATTTGTCTCTCAATTGACTTTACTTGAAGCAAACCCCTTTATAATGTCTCAGGCACTCTAGGAACATAGGTTCTCACCTTCGACTGCCACTATATCTCATGATAGTTGGGCCAGGGTGTGGAGAAAGAATAGATCAACGGGCTAATTATGGCGCAAATGATACAAATATGGAAGACGAGGATGTCGGGTGAAACCAACCAGAGTATGACCTTGGACCATTGCTCCTTTTCTCTCTGAACTACTACCTATACCATGGTAGTCTCTATTTAGATAGTCAAATTAGTTAGAACATCTACACTGGAATGAAGCCATTTGAGCAAACTTTGTCTGCTTACCCAATGCTGTCGGCAAGAAATCCGATGCGCTCAAGACTCAACTTCCGTCCCGATCGGCCACTCAAAATGCACGATCAGGAGTAAAAATAGGGTGAAATTGTTCTGTACACAATGTTTTACCTTCCGTCGACACATGAGCCCCACCAGGTCGAGGGCTCTGGACTGGAATGTGAGCATCACCACCGTGCATGACTCGCCGCTTGCTAAATCGCAGCAGTTTCAGACACCATCGTTTGTGGAAAATGAACAACCCAAGAGATTTCTCAGCTGCCGACAGAGTCGGCGCTGTGCGGCCCACGGGCCGAGTCAGCTCACCACAGTCTCAAGGCAGAAGTTATAATCCTCACCCCAGTCGGCCACGGCGTAGAAGTCGATATTCCGTGAGGAGAATAAGGATGATCAAGATCTCCCACAGGGCATCCAATCGGGCATGGTATCAACCGATACTTTGCAGCAGCCTGTCGATGCATTCCAGGGCTATCGCAAGGCACCTTCGTCCAGCGGTGAAAGTGGCGCCAGTCAAACATCACGACATTCATGCCAATCAGACCAGTCCGCGACATCGGAGTCAGGATCCAAAAACTCTGTATGGTGGACCCGAAATACTCGCAGCCGAGTATCAAAGTCTCGACCAGGAACCTCGGGCCCTGACCGCATCTTCTGCTGTACATTTTGCAGCGACCAGTTCAAGAGCAAGTATGACTGGGTGCGGCACGAGAAGCCCCCTGCATCTAAACCTCGAGGCGTGGGTCTGTCCGCCCCACGGAGCTGCGCTGTTTTCCGTGGCGACCGGCCAGACTCATTGTGCTTATTGTCACGCATTCGAGCCCAACGCGGGTCATCTCGAGCTTCACAACCATCACGCGTGCCATGGAGGCACTGACGAGCCTCGAGCCATTCCGTCGGAAGGATCACCTAGTGCAGCACCTCCGGCTAGTCCACCGCTTGGACGTAATGCCTCTCTCATCGATGACTGGAAACTTGAGGCACCCACTATAACCTCCCGCCGTGGATTCTGCGATCAGAGGTTCAGCACCTGGGCAGAGCGAATCGACCATCTGGCTGCCCATTATCGACAAGGGGCGACCATGAAAGACTGGCGCGGCGAGCCCGAGTTCCCACCCTTGATCGCGGCTCAAGTGACCAATGCGCTGTCACCATACTTGATTGGGTCCGAGTCGCATAGTATGATCCCATTGTCTGCGACCGACTCGAATGTGTGTGATCACTTTTTTCCAGATTTCTTCGCGTGCTAGCTGGGAGACCTCCAACAGCACCAGTCATCCCACTCTCCCACCAAATTTTGCATCGCGGTCGGAGTAAAGCTCATTTACGGAGATTCTCACGATGCATTTGAGTCGATATGCGCTGGCGCAGATGAAGCGCGGAACTATTCCGACCGACGACATGTTCCAGCAAGAATCGCGCCGGCTGCTCTACGACTGTGAAGATGCGTGGAACCAGACTATTGCCGATAATTCGGAATGGCTCACTGCATTTCAAAGACTGCACTATCAACCAGAGGCCTCTGATGCTGATTCGAAAGGCATCTCGCAAGCCGGCGCTTGACCATAGTGGGTTCACCGTAGTCGGCCGAGAGTATAAAATAAATATTTATATAGTTCCTCTAGCACGATCACGCCTCCAGGGCTACTTATGGCTCATTCTTGCCGTGGAATTGTCATTGTAGTCGGCCGAGATGAGGAACTATATAGTATACACTCACCGCAATCACGCCTCCAGGTCTGCCTATGGCTCATTATTGATTTCGAATGGACCCTCGTCCAGAGGACGCTCAGACCAAAAAAGTGGGCAATTTTGGGACCCAGGGAAATAGGCAAATGGAGCGGAGAGTCTCAAAACCCCCACTGTACAAAACCAGCAGGGATAGACTCGAGTGAGGAAAAATGAGCACGTAGTGGAGAGCGAAGTGATCGCTAGCTCGGAGACTGAGCGCCTAAGCTTCCCACTTTGACAATCGATTCCTGCGCGATACCGAGCGAGCACAGGCAAGAAAAACAAGAAAAAAATCAAGCCACAGAATGTACACAGCGTGCTTTTTCTCACCAGATGTAACTCCATAAGCGAACCCGCGGTGGAGCCCCGACACAAGCGTAACCCCCGCGATGGCTTAATTTTCCACACGTCCACCTTTCGACACTCTCCACATTCTCTAAACCGCCACTTGGGCGTGCGGAGCAGCCAGTGCCATCGCCAGTCGTCGCTCCACTGACGTCGACCCCGGACCAGGACTCCCGTGCCGAGCAAGTGGACTGTCGCTCCCTGCCTTTCTAGGGGCATCGCCGAACCCCCTCATTTTTTTGTTGATCCCCGACCCAGCGACCGACGATAGAAGGACCCGCTAAGCGTGCCGGATTGGCAACCAGCGTGGATCCGGTGGAGATCCCCCGCTAGGACCGCGAAATCCCGCATACACCCTGTTCCTCCCTGGGCCCATTGTGGTGGAGAAGAGACACAGACAATGGCGCACGAAATTAACCCAATCTTCGTGAACAAACATGTGCCTGGCTTGCTGTGCCTCGGAGACAACCACTAGTTCTTGCTCCTTTGGGAGCTGCTCATGTTGATCCCCAACCGCGTTGCCTTGGTTAGGCCAAGGGGATACGACTAGGTCCCAACGAAGCGGAGATGTGATGAACAGCTCCTTGTCACATGGTAGGATTCGGTCCACTCTACCTCGGTGACGATCACCTCGGCCGCGATGGAGTCATTCATCGGCGGAGCTTTTCGCGTGCCCTTGAAGCCAGTCGGAGGCTTCGCAATGGTCGTGGAGTGGAACAGTCGGACGATCCGGGTCAATGCAATCCAAATAAGAGCTCTTTCGCCCTTTGCGCAGAGCTCTATTCTGCGCAGGCTCTTCTTCTCTTTTTTTTTTTTTTTTTTTTTTTCTTCTCTCCGCGACCAGCTTCTGCAAGACCGGACCCTCGTCGCTACGACCAGTAAGAACCAAGCTACCAGGAGAAGAAGAAATAAAATATAGAAGCTAGCCACCTGGAGCCGCAATCATGCGTCTGCTTCCTCTCCTGACCGCATTTTTCTTCGCGGCCCAGTCTGCCAATTCGGCCGCGACATCTTCTACGGCTGTTGTACATGCGGCCGCTCAAAGCGCGACGGATGCCGCATCGTCGCAGGAGAACACCCCGACCCCTTCTGCAAAGGAGAATGGGCCCAAGGAGGACACTACTTCGTCCAATTCTGAGTCTTCTGAATCGACCTCCTCGTCAGGCCCAAACCTTGTCGCATCCGCGACCAATGGCTTGAACTCAGTGGCAGGTGCCTCCACTGGCGGCGGGTCATCGAGCTCCGAATCCTCCGAGCCCACTGGGACCAGCAGCTCTGGATCATCTTCGTCTACCTCCAGTACCAAGTCGGGTAACTCAGGGAGCTCGACCACCTCGGATTCAGACAGCCCGCTGGCCTCCACTCTCAACAAACTGTTGGGCGGCCTGGGCGGAGACGCTGGCGGTTTTGGGGATCTTGGAGATTTGATCAAGGGCCTGGAGAACCTGTTGAACCCTAGTTTTTTGAAAGAGGTCACCGACACCTTCAAGTTCCTGTCGACATCGTTGGCCCCGCCAGTAGACACCCAAATTCGATCACTGGTCGGCAATGCCAATTCCCTCTTGACCCAGGATTTCACCAAAAAGGTGGAGGGTCTGATCGACAACGCCAGCGACCTCCTGACTGAGAAGAACACGAAGGAGATCATGACCTTGATTGGCAATGGCAACAAGCTCTTGACCTCCTCGTTCGTGGATAAGACGAACAACCTTATCGACAATGCCAACAACCTCCTCACCAAGTCGTTTGCCGAGAAGACCGAGAAGCTGATCGACAACGCCAACGACCTCCTCACTTCTGGTTTCGTTAAGAAGGTAGACAGTCTGATCGACAACGCCAGCGACCTCTTGACCAAGGAAGACACCAAGGCTATCAAGAACCTTGTTAACAATGGCAACAAGCTGCTGACCGACGACTTTGTCGACACGACCTCCAAGTTGATCAAGCAGGCCGGCCCTCTCATCGATGATGCCAGCAAGCTTCTCACCGACAACAATGTCAAGGAGATTGAGCACTTGGTCAAGAATGCCAACTCTCTGCTCACGGACGGATTTGTCAACAAGACCTCTGATCTGATTGACGAAGCTAGCGAGCTCCTGACGCCCAAGGTGGTTGACGGACTCAAGGACCTGCTGACGGAGATTACTCCGCTGCTGCCGCAGCTCAAGTCATTCCTGAAGCCGGGTACTTTCAAGGAGCTGGAGTCGCTTCTGAAGAATGCAAACGATCTTCTCACTCCCGAATTCGTCAAGGACACGTCGGGCTTGGTCAGCTACGCCGGCGACCTCCTCACGCCAGATGTGACCAAGAGCCTCAAGTCGCTGCTCAAGGATATCGTGCCTTTGATGCCAGAACTGCAGAGGTTGCTGAAGCCGGCCACTATCTCGGCTATCAGCTCTCTGCTGAACAATGCCAACGACCTGCTCACCCCGAAGTTTGTCAACGAGACATCGAGCCTGGTCAGCGAAGCTGGCGATCTCTTGACTCCCTCGCTTGTCGACGGTCTGAAAGATCTGCTCAAGGACGTGATCCCAATCATCCCCGAGCTCAAGAAGCTGCTGAAGCCCAGCACGATCTCTGCCATCAGCTCTCTCCTGAACAACGCCAACGACCTGCTCACGCCCAAGTTCGTCAATGAAACCACCTCGCTGGTGGGTGGCGCCGACGATCTGCTGCAGCCCAACATCATCCACGGACTCAAGGAGCTGCTGGACGATGTGATCCCACTGATCCCCGACCTACGCATGTCGCTGCTGAACTCGACCATCATCAAGGACGTGGGCTACCTCCTGACCAACGCAACGGATCTGCTCACGCCGCACTTCGTCGACGAAACCACTTCGCTGGTCGGCGGCGCCGACGAGCTGCTCTCACCCGAGCTGATCAAGGACCTCAAGCCGCTGCTCAGCGAAGTCGGCAAGGTCACGCCCGAGATCAAGTCGCTGCTGAAGCCGGCCACCTTCAAGGAGCTCAGCTCCGTCCTCGACAACGCCAACGACCTGTTGTCGCCCAAGTTTGTTAATGAGACATCCGTGCTTATTGATGATGTCACGAAATTCTTGCCCTTGATTGAGCAGCTGCTCAACGCGCTATAGGGTGGGATGAGTTATGATTTTTTATTTGGGTTGGGATGAGGGGCGCACTTTTATGCTTCATTTGTGGAAACGATCTCGAATATGTATTCGTGATAATGATAATGAATTACTGTTTCATGTCTTAACCTGTTCTCGGGGATTTGGTAGCAGATGTAGATTGATGCTGTAGGGCATGATGTGGGTCCTACCTAGTCAATAGCCCATAGTCTGCTCAACTATAATCAGCACTCGAATAATCTCTGAAGTTGTTCATGATCACCCACTTTGTCGATAGCAGGATACTACAAGCCTGCAGTCAAGCTCTGTGAAATCTGTACCTGATCAATTCCCAATTTCCAGGGCAGACAGTAAAACTCGCAAGAAAAGTGTGCTGTGCCCAAGGCGTAGGGCGTGGTATACACTCCGAATATTTGAACCCCATTTCGCTGGCCAAAGGAAACATGATTCTTTTCGATCACCACCTATCCAATGCGGTTCCTTTCATACACGAGACTATTTCCAGCATCCCGTGTCCCTGTTCCCCCCCCGATTGCTCGAATCAACACGCCAAATGGTAACAAACGGTATGTCGCAACAGAACAGCAGGCGATCTAGAGTCCACGTCCTTGGCCTGGGCAGCATCGGCACCTTTGCCGCACACTCGCTACTCGACATCCCCAGTCCTCCAGCCGTGACTCTACTCTGTCACCGCGCCTCGCTTCTAGATGCATACACCGAAAACGGGCACCGGATTATCCTAGAGACGAGGGGAAGGCCAGCATCTAGATGCCCGCGGATATGATCTTGAAGTTCTGCACGATGGAACGTGGTACAGGGAGAATCCTATCAAGGGTGATCATCCCGTGTTTTTGTTTACCATCCCCGCACTGCCCGAATTGCGGGTGTGCAGGGTCTGCGGGATCAGTTTGTGGTTGATCGGCTCGAGGATACGGTCAACGCTATTATTGAGACGACGTTTCATACGGCTTGCTCTATGGTCTGGGATTTGAGGGCTAAGAGAGAGACTGAGATTCGGTTTATTAATTGGTATTGAATTAAGAGGGGGAGGGAGCTTGGGATTTCTACTTCCGTTAATGAGCGACTCGTTCAATAGGTTGAAGAGAAGTCAGACTAGAGGACCGGGATGTATAGGCGAAATGACAGAAATTGAGGTGAGACTAGATATGCAGGATATACCAATACTTCCTGGCATTCTTTTGGCAGACATATTGTAGGCGTTCCTTGTTGCCATTCTTTTGGCTGCAGTATTCATGGCCTAGTCTTAATTAGAGCCAATGTTGGCTACCCGGCGCTGGGGCTAATCTCCAAAGAGGACCAATGCTGATAATCACCCTTGTGGTTTCGAAACGAACCAGAGAAGCCCTCGGCGTTGATCTCTAAGTCACAGAGGGTCTTTTGATATAGAGTCCACTCATCCGATGCTGGGTTCTTAGCAGCTAAAGTGGGTCTAGTATGTGCTGGGCTTGTCGCTAATGAGCCACATCTATATGTCAGCCCCACTGAAGAAAAGGACTACTGAATAACTGTCAAGCTCCACTACCGCCAACTTTTCAGCTCCCCCATATAAGTATTGTTTTGTTTCTGCCAGGAAGGTTAGAATGATACCCCGCAACCCATGCACCCTTGTTCTATTCAAGTGTTTACCCCAGTTGGTCATAGGCATAGGCCTGGGAGGGTAGGGCCTTGGGTGGATCTACTGAATCAAAAAAAAAAAAAAAAAAAAAAAAAAAAAAATAGTGGAGCTTCAGAGTAAGCTGCGCCCGAGAAGAAAAAAGAGGCATTTTGGAGGTGTCAAAGTCCAACGTGAAAATACGAGGGTTTTGTTGCGGAAAAGAATGCCTCCAAGCAGATCAGGAAAGCAAGAACCGATACACTCATCCACAGAGACTTTTTTCCTGGGTAATGTTCGAAATCGGACCAAAGCTGGCAGAGAGCTCTACAGGAGAAGCAAATTGAGAAGATCAAGAGGACGCTAAGTGACTTGGGCTGCTTTCAACATTTCAGCAATGCTTGCGAGGTATATGGAATGGGGCCATCTAATAGCACCAACGAGTTATTCTCGATGAAAGGGACGAAATCCCGGGGATGCGCCCTATGGGGAAGGTCGTTGATGCGAGAATTCCATTGCGCTATGGGGGCGATTGTGGAGACCCAGGCTAAACCCAATGGGGAAGCCATATGGCCTTAGTCACCTTGAATGCCTGAGGCGAAACTGGATCTTGCAGCACATGTTGATACTTACAAGCATTTGTTCTAGCGCATAATTCAATTAAAGAGCGGAAGCTTTTCTTGAAAACATGTTGTGTGACCACTCATTTGCCTCCAGAAGAAATTGCACCAGAGATGAAACCCACTTGGGATATTAGATATAACCACAACCAAATCTCGAAAACTTTGGAAGTGAAGAAAAAACTGTCAAAATGATGTCAACGCCCAGCAAATGATCAAAACAATCTCGGACGAGGCGTCTCACCAGTGATCCACCAGCAGTTCGTATCCATCGGTCACAAACAAAGTTTTTTTGTGGACACTCCGAAGATCTCCCGACCAGCAATTTTTCTCGGTCACCGAAGATGGGACCGAAAATTTCTTCGACTCGAAAAGAAGGCCATATGAGAGAGGAATATTTTCACAATGAATCAACCTATATGACCCTTCTTCGAGCATTCCCTTCTTTTTATCCTCAAGAGAGCCCCCATACCCCAAAGAGCAAACTCGGGGATTTTCCGCCACCCGAAACAGTGGCGGCATGCCGGTGCCATTTGGCCGGTGGGGCCGATTCTAGGGTGAGCCGAATCGGCTCGGCATGAGCTTCTTCGGGACTTCGTCGGACCGTCCTCGGGAGTATAGTACTTCGCTTCGCGTGGTTATTCGACGGCCCCTGTCCGAAACATGACCTGATTTTCCGCAGTGGCGTTCCCGGACGAATCTTCGATTTGTTGAATGGCCATGGTCCACAATTCTTGTCCTGACCTGGAAAGGTACAGAGTCGATCATGTCGGTGGGTTTCCGACGTTGATTTCTCACCGATGACGAGGGTTGTTGAGCAGTTACCCCAGACAGAAGAGACTGGAGGAAATATATCGAGAGAGACTACCAGCATTGCTTCTATTTCCGAGACATCGGGGCATAGTATTGGCGTTGGGGAGAGAAAGATATATTCAAGCGTCCTACTTCGTAGAATCCTCGGCAGGGTCCACATCTATCCAGTTTCCTGATCAAGTGGCCTGGACGAGGACACGTTTACTGGAGGATGATGGAGCATTTCCAGACTTGCCTCCACACTTCTCCGTGAAATCCCGCAGCCCCAACGTTCATAAAAATTCTGGAGTCCGGGTGACGGCATGCACAGCCCCTGGAAGTTAAGGATACATATGGAGAATTGATTTCCATTTCCTTTCTCTAGTACCTCCTCTCGACACTCCCTCTCCCTCCCCCACCCATATCGACACCATGAAGTCGAAGACCTCCCAGCCCGTCTCATCCTCGCATGATGAGAATGTTCCTTCCCCAGTCGAGACCCCTGTTGAACAGGTGGACACACAAAAAGCCTGGATCATCGGCGGCAAGTACCGCGATGAAATGTACGACGACCAGTCCCAGAACGTCGAAAAGAGCTTGTTACAAGAAGTGGACTTCGACCTCCCTCTTACCACGCTGAAGCCCACCCAGCACGATGGCCAACAAGTCCTTGTGCTCGAGTTCGTCCAGGGAGACAAGGAAAACCCGTTCAATTGGAGCGGCAAGAGAAAGGCATTTATCAGTGTTTTGCTTTGCATGATGACACTATTCATCGGTCTCGCCACGACAGCCTACAGCTCGGGGGTCTCCCGAATGACGCAGGAGCTGGGGGTGTCAGAAGAGCTGGGACAATTGGGTTTGTTCACTTTTAACTTCACCTGTGCTCTGGCCCCTCTGTTCCTGGCCCCGTTCTGCGAGCTCGCTGGCCGCCGAGTCATCTATGTGGGTGCCTATGTCTGTTTTGCCATCATGTTCATTGGTCTCTCTCTGGGCAAGAACATTGCCACCATTGTGATTTGCCGTGCGCTGCTCGGTCTGTTCGGCTGTGTTGGAACTATTCTGGTCGGTGGTACCTTCGGTGACATGTACACCCCGGCGCATCGTGCTATTCCCATGGCCTCTTTCTCGTACGTCGCCATCTTCGGTACGGTTGCCGCGCCGATCTATGCTGGATTCATTGATCAGGCTCTGGGCTGGCGATGGGTTGAGGGAATTCAGGGTCTTGCCAACATCCCCCTGGTCATTGTCATTGCCATCTTCCTGTGCGAGACCCGTGGCGGTGTGACTCTGAAGAAACGCGCCAAAATGCTACGCAAGACGACTGGAGATGAGCGTTTCGTGACGCACAACGACCTTGAAGCTCCCGGCATCAAAAAGATGCTGCACAACTCGTCCGTCAAGGCTATTCGCATGCTGTTCACCGAGCCCGTCGTGTTTGCCTTTGGTCTGTGGATCAGCTTCGCGTGGTTCCTGACCTTCCTCTTCCTTTCCGTGATCCCCATCACCTTCCAGGAGAAGCGTGGATGGAACGAGGGCGTGTCAGGTCTGCCGTACATTTCGCTGTGCATCGGTACCACAATCGGGTTCGGCTTGAACTTCTTCCAAATCCGCAAGTACGAATCGATCGTGGCCGACACGACCAAGAAGGTCTACCCTGAGGCCCGTCTGTACGGCGCCATGTGCGGCGCAGTCTGGTTGCCCATCGGTCTCTTCATCTACAGTTTCACCCAGTATGCCCACCTGCACTGGATCGGTCCGGTCATCGGGCTGGCCCTGATCGGTATCGGTATTTTTTTCATCTTCGAGTCTTGCTACAGTTATACCTCAGACTGCTATGGCGAGAACTCGTCGTCCGCCATCGCCGGGCAGGGTTTCATGCGGAACACCTTGGGAGCCGTATCGCCCCTATTCGCCACGCAGTTCTTCCACAACTTGGGAAGCCAGTATGCCGGGCTGCTCCTGGCGCTCGTGGCGACCCTCCTCACTTTCATCCCGTTCGTCCTCTACAAGTTTGGACCGGACCTGCGCGCACGATCTCGGCTGGCCAGCTCGACTGTCAACGCGGGTTCTGAGGACCAAGATGAGGACAGCCCTTGAGTTGAGACTGGATCTCCTCATGTATATATTTCTGCATAGACATCTTATGCATCAGCGGATAGATGGCATTGTGTTATTAGACGCCTAGAGATGGTCAATAAAAGTGATGTTGAGAAGCTCCCAAGCCCCTCCTCATTGTGAGCGGGACAACAGGCCGGAGGCTGTGGAAAGTGTAGGGGGTCAAAGCCCCAATTTTCTTCCCGTCTTGGTTTTTGTACTTTTGTCTGGGTTATAGCCATGGTTGTGACCATGTACAAGCACGTAGTGTTATAGGCCAAGACAAGTGGCAAGGCTGGCACATAGACCTTTCACCTGCTGATTAGACTTGAATAGTCTCAGAAAGAGTAGGTTCTATCGAATTCGACATGTTTTGACTGGTAGCGAAAGGGTCAATTTACGCTGATCGTATCCCAATTAAGACAATCACTCATCCCACGAGTCAGTTCAGGACGAAAGGGAAATCCAAAGGGGCGACGCTTTGACAGAGGCGGAATTCGAAAGCACGAGCAGACTTCTTCAAATGGCATGAATCTGGCAACGGTCACCTGGATATATATGACTATATTTCATTCATCTTACCTCCAGGGCTAAGTCAAGGGCTTGACTATTTATAGGGCAAGAGTCCAAATGTGGGAAATGCGATAGAGAGACATCTTTGGAGTTTTATGTTTCAACCATGACTCCCCTTCACCAAAGCCCTGACACTCTGTTTAGTCAGAACTTCGGTAAGGAGCTCTGTGCCCCGTGGGGTCCCGGGACATAGCGTAATCCATAAGCGAGTTGGCCATACAAGCCAGCCGGCCACCCCAAAACACATAGTAAATGTGATTGTCTATCTCAACAACAAAACAATTGGTTCCTTTTGAGATTAAGAGTAGATATTTATTAAGACCTTGACAGTAACACATTTGAATCTCAGATAATTTAAATAATTTTCTATCGAGATTACAAAAAATACACTGTAATGTTGATAATATCTATATATCTCCACAACCACTATATTAATAAACCCTAAACTCAAGCATTATAATAGGATGACTGCATGTAATATAGCTATATAGCTAAATATGATTCTTAAATAATAAATGTTGAGATTTGGCGTTGTATTTTATCGTGTTTACTATGTGTTTTGGGGTGGCCGGCTCGCTTATATGGCCGACTCGCTTGCGGATTCCGGTAGTGTTGGTTGATCGACGGGGCGCCCCAAACCCAACATTGTAAAGGAGATGGTCGACTCAGAGAACACCACCAATGCACAAAAAAACCAACACTACTTTTTCTGTCGCATCCAATGACTCGTTTCCATTGGTAAGAGGTTTCTAAATCGCTACAGATTCCCTGGAATTACTGGAAAGCCGCAGGATTGCTAGGATCAGTTTAGGGGCGGATAGAGATCCCTGGCAGCTATACGTTCCTAATTGATGTCCAGTTATATAACATTTATAAAGAACCTACTGGGAAATAATTTCTATAACCCCCCTATTTTTCTCATCCTTTTCTATAGGTTCCCGTCTGGATCTCAACCCAGAATCCTGATGATCAACGGATCCCTTCCATTGATAATTATGCCTTCGTCTAACCGCCGAAATGGCTTCCTTTATCATTTCTTACTTGGGCTTGCACTTTGCTTTATATACGGCTCAAGTTACGCCTATCCGAACCTACCCACCGATTTCCAAGCAAACGACCTCAGTTTAGACCCCAGTCTGCAACAGACGAACGTCAACACCCTTATACCAACTCGGCTGGAGACCCGAGCAGGCCGCAAGAAGCTTTGTTCGCTACTCAAAAATTTCAAACCCAAAAGGCCGACACCGACCACACCCGACAAAGAAACACCCAGTATCTCAACCACACCGTACATCTATGAACCCGATTCAGGAAGCGACACCGAGCCAGAGCCAGAGCCAGAACTCGATCCAGACAGCGATGCCGAATCGGAGATTGCCTCGAAACCCCAAGGAATCACTATTGCGGGAGTCGATTTCTTTAAAGAAAACATGCAAAAGGGTCTTATGAGAAAACATCTTCCATATGTTTTCTACACGAATTTCCCAAACACTGAAGGAACAAGCGAAAGAGCCAAACAATGGGCGAAGGATTTCTTCCAAGAAGTCATACCCGACCCACAGCGAACACCAAGTCTATATGAGAACCATGTGTTTCGCCAATGGAAATACTTCAAATTTCTCATGTGGGGGCGTGTTACTCGCGCGGATTGGGGGTTTGGAATAATGATCAAATGGATCGAATGGAATATTGAGGATGTAATGGGTGATCACGACATGGCACAGTGGTATGTGAATGTAGCCGAAAAGAACCAGGCACAAGCCTTGTCAGAGATTTGCCGTGGAGACGTTATTCTGGTTGTCCCGGATGAGATTAACCCTAATAACGATGTGAACGGCTGGAGTACTATACAGGCATGGGGTGGTAAGTGATACATCACCGAGCTATAAGAAGTATACTGATATGTTCTTTGTACCAGGCTGGGAGTTTCCTGCCTTGACCAGAAATGACAGAGTACGAAGGATTCTTCGAGTGGACCCATCCGGTTGTCAAGACCCTCGGGAGATGTGGAAAAGGGGAGATCCAGAACCGGAAATTAAGCCAAAGGGTATTCGAGAGGATATAACAGCAACGTGTGAATTCTATCAAAGTCGCACAAAGTCTGGCTGGCTTCCTATTTGATAGGAACGCTGGAAGAACGGGAAAATAAGAGAAAGAAAGAGCAAGTTGAAGCTCACTGAGCCATCAGGCATCAGAATTACTCTAAAAGATCGATCAACTATATGTGCTGTTCATATCACAGAGGTTTCTGTATGGAATAATATAGAGTCAAGTAGGCTGCGACAGCATCCGTATCTACATAGTCTCATTCAAGGGTCCGTTGGAATATAGTTTCTCGACATAAGCGATTGCATGAAAATGAACCAGCATGGTAAAATTTGTTGTATGAGGATTACCTTCGTGTTGGAGCTGAAAGTGTCCTGGTTCAACGAGTTGCCCCATATCTGTCAGTGCAGAAGCCTAGCCAACTCAAAGCTTAATTCTCGGATTGGTCCCCGTTCTTTTCTACGATTTACTTACTCATTAAATTCTATCGACTCCATCAACTATAAAGACGGCTCTCTCACGTGTTAAAAATCAGATATTACTACATTAAGGCAAGCATTCGATATTCCGCACTACGTACTCAGCTCTCTTTTTGCGGCCAATACATCCCCCCTCATAAATAACCCAAATCCTCGTCATCTATCAGAAAAAGAGAACAAGTTGCATACCGCGACTACCGAGCGGTGGGCCGTTATACATTTCCAGTGGGGCTTACCACGGATGCCTGACGCTAGCCTATTTGGGCAAATACAGCACGTGACCTCACGGAAATCAATTTGTAGTCAATCCAATACAGGAAGGCGGTGAGGGCGCTCTTTTCCCTCGCCCCGAAATTTTCTTGCTTCCAAATTTCCACCGTCCAACCTACTCCCTCTTTTCAAAACTCCTCCTTTCAGGCCGTGATCCACTGCGTGAGCCATTTCTTCACGATCTGGTATCTATAATCCTTTCTCCACCCCACCGCTCCCACAATGGCCGAAGACCCCTCCGCCGCCTGGCCCATCGCCGATGAGAGCCTGACCCAGAGCCTGCTCGATCTCGTCCAACAGGCCGGACACTACCGCCAGCTGAAGAAGGGCGCCAACGAAGCCACCAAGTCTCTCAACCGCGGAACGTCCGAGATCGTCGTGCTCGCTGCCGACGCCAACCCGCTGGCCATTATCCTCCACCTGCCGCTTCTCGCCGAGGACAAGAACGTGCCCTACGTCTACGTCCCCAGCAAGATGGCCCTGGGCCGTGCCACCGGTGTCTCGCGCCCCGTGATTGCCACCAGCATCACCACCAACGAGGCCAGTGACCTCACTGCCCAGATCCGGTCTATCAAGAACCAGGTCGAGCGCCTCATGATCTAAGATGATCTCCATAAAGGATTCAAAGGGAATGTGGTCGGGCTAAACTGGGTGACTTCTTGGGAGACAATTGCTGTTAATGCCATGTCTTGTCTCCCGCGGGGGGCTCTCGGTACTGCTCGAGATGAAACTCCATACCCCGTTTGCTGTGGCGAGTCTTTAATTAGATCGTGCTCCTAGCAATGCAATCCAGATACCTGGAGGATGCCCTTTGATTTAGGTGTAGTCAAGGAAGTTCCAGTAATTATCTCGTAAAATATGTCGATAAGCTTCATTTGGGTTGTCTGCGACAGGTTTATGTCTTCAGCTCCATTTCACCCAGATGTCAAAGGGCAACCCTAGGGTTTGCCGACAATCCTTCAAACGATATAATATCGATTATGATTGAGGGATGAAACACGCCAAGTAGAAGAGAAACAACTGTTATTAACGCCAGCAGGAACGAGCACCCGAAGCCCTAGAGTGGCCCCAGCGTTGTCCATGGAGTATCCATCAATGTCGATCAATCAATCCCAAACACACACTCTCCGGATCCTCCCTGATCCTCCAATCTCGGCAAATTCTTTCGGATATTTTCCTCTGCCAAAAACTGAGGGTGGGGTTGATTAGATCCTATCTACGCTCCACCAGAGCTGTCCTGATTGACTCTTCATTCCCCAGCGCCATGTGGAGCTGCAGGACTAGGTGAGGCAGTTCGTTGTGTCTCTCCTCGGCTTGAGGACATGGTGGAGTACGACTAGCTCAGACAGGCCTGTCAAACTAATACTTCCTCGTCAGCTTCTCTGAGAGAAAACCCGCTGCGCTTCCTCAGCATGTCATTGTCCAGTCAATCCTATTCTTTGCCCGTCCTTTTTCTGCCCTTTTTATCTATTACATTCGTTATTTTGCTTCGTGTTCTCTAGAATTCATTCACTCTTTTTTTCAATTCGGTTTTCCATCATGGTTCTGTTCTCCCTCGCAATCGGCCTGGCGCCATTGCTTGCAACCGCCCAACTTTCCGGCTCAGTTGGCCCGACCACTTCATTCTCGACGAAAAGCAACCACAAAGTCTGCAACGTTCTTGACTACGGCAGTGTGGCAGATAATTTGACTGATGTCGGCCCAGCCATCAGCTCTGCGTGGAACGAATGCAAAGAGGGCGGCATTGTCTACATCCCATCTGGCGACTACGCAGTCGAGACATGGGTGACACTTCTGGCGGCAGCAGCTGTACTATCCAGCTGGATGGAATTCTCTACCGGACTGGCTCTGGGGTCGGCAAAATGATCATGGTCAAGCATACCACCGACTTCGAGCTCTTCAGCTCGACTTCCAAGGGTGCCGTGCAGGGGTTCGGATATGAGTTCCATGCAAAGGGATCCCTGAGCGGAGCACGTATCCTGCGTTTGGCTGATGTCTCTGGCTTCTCTGTTCATGACCTCGCACTGGTGGATGCTCCTGCTTTTCATTTCTCTTTGGATACTTGTTCTAACGGCGAGGTGTACAACATGGCTATTCGTGGTGGGGACTCGGGTGGCCTGAATGGCATCGATGTGTGGTCTAACAACATTTGGATTCATGATGTGCGTTCTTAAGCACTCTCCCGAGTGTGTGGAGGTTGCTAATATCGGGATAGGTTGAGGTCACTAACAAGGGTGAATGTGTCACGGTTAAGGTATGGCCCTGGTTTATTGCGATCTTGTTGCGCTCGTCATTGACCCCCGAATAGAGTCCCTCCCTCCAGGGGCATACTGGTCGAGAACATCTACTGCAACTGGAGCGGCGGATGTGCCATGGGCTCGCTAGCCAGCGATACCAATATCACCGACATCACATACCGCAACGTCTACACGTGGTCATCCAACCAGATGTACATGATCAAGAGCAATGGTGGCAGTGGGGGCGTGTCCAATCTTTTCCTGGAGAACTTCATTGGTATTTTCCCACTGCATTGAATTTTGACTGTTATGCTTATCTTTAACGAACTATGCAGGCCATGGCAATGCCTACTCCCTCAACATCGACGAGGAATGGAGCAGTATGTCCCAAAGTCGATGGCGACGGCGTCCAGCTTAACAACATCACCACCCGCAACTGGAAGGGCACCGAATCCAACGGCGCGCAGCGAGGTCCGATCAAAGTGAGCTGTGCCAACGGCGCGCCGTGCACCGACCTCACCATCGAGGACTTTGCCATGTGGGTCGAGTCCGGCGACAAACAGACCTACGTCTGTCACAGCGCGTATGGCTCTGGTGCATGCCTCCGAGACGAGGATAAGCATGCTTCTTACAGTACCACCGTCGCTGTCACAGCAGCTCCGTCAGGCTATTCTGCTGCCACGATGGCATCGGATCTATCGAGTGCATTTGGGACTGACTCGCCCATTCCGATCCCAGCCATCCCTACTTCGTTCTACCCTGGAGTGACGCCGTATGGTGCTTTGGCTGGTGCTCGATCGAGTTCTGCGTAGGATGGAAGGGCGATTCCTCTATAATGAATATATTTATGCTCAATTGTATGGTGGTCGATCATTTTATGGAGTTTTCGATCTTAGACTTTTGTATACTTCCCGGCCATGGGTGTGTTTTGGTATACCGAGCAAAACCTGACTCGTGACAAGATATTACATTTAGGACGTACATCAGAAAAGAACTATAGAGCATTTGGTAATAAATTTAGCAAAATAAGCATTAAGTATATGTATACAAACATCTGATCAGCCAAACAATGACCTCACCCACCCAGGAATGCCCCTTCCCAACTCCCCCGACTGCGGGTATTGTGGGGACAACTTGATCTCAGCTCTCGACCTGACAAGACATGCGATCACGCCATAGAAGGATCGAATTGAACAAAAACCCCGACAATCCGCCCAGCCAGAGACGATCCAGGGCGTGCCTCGTGGAACCTGATTTGACGTGAATGCACATCCGGAAGCTCGCGCAAGGGGGATGGATGCTTGGACCTCTCCCAGATATGCATAAACCATAAATTTTTTCTTGTTTTTTCTTTACTCTTTCTTTTTCTTTGACATCAATCCTCTCCAGATCCTCCTGCCATGTCAACCTCTCCTAAATCGCCCGGCCCCGAGCCCGAGGCGATCGAGTCATCGTCTGCAGCCCCGCCTCACGATGGCAATAGTCCCGACGCCAGCTACAAGGGCAAGGCGGACGTGCTGAACCGTGCGATCCAGGGCATCGGCATGGGCCGCTATCAGTGGCAGCTATTCGTGGTGATCGGATTTGGCTGGGCGAGCGACAACCTGTGGCCCATCGTCACGTCGCTGGTCCTGCCGCCACTATCCTATGAATTCCATCCCTCGCGAGCACCGCTGTTAACGCTCGCCCAAAACATCGGGCTACTGGTCGGTGCTGTTTTCTGGGGATTCGGCTGTGATGTTTTCGGTCGCAAGTGGGCCTTTAACTTGACCATCGGCCTCACCGCGGTTTTTGGCCTGATCGCCGCGGGGTCGCCCAACTTTGCTGCGGCGTGCGTCTTTGCAGCGTTGTGGTCGGTTGGTGTTGGGGGCAATTTGCCTGTTGACTCGGCGATTTTCCTTGAGTTTCTGCCGGGCTCGCATCAGTATCTTCTGACGATTCTGTCGATTGACTGGGCATTTGCTCAGGTGCTGGCCAACTTGGTGGCTTGGCCCTTGCTGGGTGATATAACCTGCGGCTCCGAGGATGGATGCACCAAGTCGGGGAATATGGGGTGGCGGTACTTTCTCATCACGATGGGCGGGCTCGCCATGCTCATGTTTATCGTTCGCTTCGTGTTCTTCACAATTTATGAGTCGCCCAAGTACTTGATGGGCAAGGGACGGAATGCACACGCCGTCGAGGTAGTGCATGAGGTCGCGCGGAGGAACGGAAAGACTTCATCGTTGACCCAGGATGAGCTTGATGACTGGGACCATGGCGAGTCGCAGGGACTGACCGCGTCGAACATAGTCCGCCAGCGCCTGGAGAAGGTCCGCATGCAGCACATCCGCGCTCTCTTCGACACCCCGAAGCGGGCATGGTCCACGACGCTCATCATTTTCATCTGGGCATTCATTGGCCTTGGGTTTCCACTATACAATGCATTTTTGCCCTATATCCAGCAGTCGCGCGGTGCGGAGTTCGGCGATGGCTCAACATACATTACGTACCGAAACTCCCTGATTATCGCTGTGATGGGGATCCCCGGGTGTCTCCTCGGTGGAGTGCTAGTTGAGCTACCTCGATTCGGACGGAAGGGTGCTTTATCCAGCGCGACCGCATTAACTGGCGCATTTCTGCTGGCCTCGACGACGGCAACAACCTCCAACGCCCTGCTGGGGTGGAACTGCGCCTTCGGCTTCATGAGCAGCCTCATGTACGCGGTACTGTACGCCTATACACCCGAGATTTTCTTAACCAAGGACCGTGGCACGGGCAATGCATTGACGGCCTCGGCGAATCGGGTCTTTGGCATTATGGCTCCCATCATTGCCATGTTCGCCAACCTTGAAACTGCTGCCCCGGTATATGTCAGCGGCGCGTTGTTTATCGTGGCTGGACTGTTGGTACTGCTGATGCCATTCGAATCTCGTGGTAAAGCGAGTCTGTAAGTACTTGTTAGAGATAGATGGAAATAGATCCATGTGTATATGCCTTTTCCTTCTGGGATGGAATGGCTCTGTGGTGCAGCTCGTACAGTTGGAGATGCCCATGTATCCAATCACATTTACAATGAAATCATCCTCTGCCTTCATTTTCTACTTCTATTGCTCACTCTCCTACGTTGAATCTAAGCAACTGGCTATCAAAATCCACCAAGGCCAATATACCTGAATCGCCATGACATCATTCCTCCCAGTCAAACCCAGACATCCTGGCAGAGCCCTGACGATAATTGCATAGGCGTCAACGCGCCACGCCACTTTAATCTAATAGACTTCGTACCAAGCCAGCAACAGTACTCCCTACGCGTGTCCCTAGCCTATATGTACATGGAGTCGGAGAATATCAGCCAATAACCAGCCCCCCCCCCCATATCCGTTGCGAGCGGATCAACGCCCTGTGAATACCCGGAGTTATAAATACGTCAGTGGGCGGGATGACAAGATCAGATCGGGTAGCTCGCCATTCGGTGGCTGTTGATTGTACATATAGGGTTTCCTCATTCGATCGGCTGTGCGGCTTGGTGTGTGTGTGTGTGTGAGTGGTGTGTGTTACTTCGTATGACAGTGTGGCTTGTGGCTGTCCTGGTGGGTTCCAGAGGTTGTACTGATTATATCATGGCCTGGGACCGGTTTTGATCTGGGGCATAGATTTGATATAAATTGCGTCAATCTTGGACTGAACTTGCGGAAATATCTTACGCTCAATATCTTCTGCAGTAGATACCTTCCCTTGAGTTTCTATATTCTATATTCCATACCCTTATCACCCATCTATCTTTTGGTCATGTCCGACTCCGACAAACAGAATAGTGAGTCTATTTGGCATTTAATAATCCTTGAAGGTATATACTAACTGTATAATTTATAGATGGCCTCCTCGGCGGATTGACCGACACTGTCGGCAAGACAGTCGGCGGTGTCACCAACACCGTCGGCTCAACGGTTGGCGGCCTCGGCAAAACTGTCGGTGGTGCAACAGAGGGTCTGGGGCAGACGGTATCGGGTGCCACCGAGGGCATCGGTGAGACGGCCAAGGGGGCTGGACAGGGAGTGCAGAATGGCGTGCAGAGTGTTGGAGGGAAGAAACAGACGGCAGACAACCCATTGGGACTGAACAGCAGTTCGTGAGGGATGGCGAATATGTGGATATGGCTTGAGATCAGTATGTGTTTTGGGCTATTTAGGTTGTAGTAATATCATTTGACACTTCTATCTTCACAATGATCTATATGCATGCCGTCTTCTCTATAGCTACACGACTCATGCCTTGACAATATTCCTCACGGCATGCTCAACAGCCACCTCATATGCAAAGGTCCCCAGTCCAATAGTACAAGCCACAGCCTTGTCCGAAAAATAGCTATGGTGTCAGAATGCCTCTCTCACATAAATATCCATAATATAAACCTCGATAAACGGAATCCCAACCCCAAGCAGAGCATCTTTCAACGCGACAATGGTATGCGTCAATGCACCGGGGTTGTTGATGATAGCCCCGACCCGCCCTCGTGCTTCGTGAATGCGGTCTACGATATGGCCTTCGTGGTTGGATTGGAAGATTAGAAGGTTTCCAGTGTTGCCCCTTTCTCTCTGCTGCGGGTGCTTTTGCTGTAGCTTCGACAGCGGGGAGGGTGGTGGAGCCGTAGCTGTGTGGTTCTCGCGTGCCTAAGAGATTGAGGTTTGGGCCGTTGATGAGGATTGTTGGCATTTTGGGTGATTTTGGGGGGTGGAATTTAGGGAATGGGGTGTTGGTGTTTGGACTTGTCTCATCTTCTCTGCATACTTATATCCAGGGATAGTTGGTTATGACCTTAGCCGACGGATATACTCTCACATACGAGTTGAATTTCCTCACTAGAAACCAGAAAAGCCAAAAAAAAAAAACCGATTTAGGTATTTAGGTATTGGGAAGGTTCTCACGGAAACATTGGGTATATTCAATGAATCAACTCTCCTAGTTCTCCTAGTGCTCAGGTTGTTGCAGTTGCGCCAAAAAGTCTGTGTCGAGATCCCCGCCATAGAACCCCAAATTCTGTGCAAAAACAGGCTCTTGTCTGATGGATGGTTAGCAGTTATTGATACTTCCAGAGGAAACTTTCTTACCGAGTAGCCGGCATCGAGGTTACTAGTTCCTCGAACAACGCATCGAAATTCTCACCCTCTCCTGGAACCGTAGATGGCAGATTTGAAGCTAGACGACTGCCAGCGAGAGGCTCTAGAATATCTCCAGCTGGCAGTGGTGGGTTATTTGAGAAGGTGTGCGGGTCTGTCCCTCGGGTAGAGATGTCATTGTAGATGGATCCTCGGAGATCCCTGGGCGATCCATTCAACAAACTACTGTCGGGAATTGTTTGTGTTTGCTGGTGAGACGGTGATATATATTCGGTTCTTCTCGTGAGTATTTGCGGGGGGAAGATATTGAATCGGGTGTCATTCTCCAGATCGGCGACTTTCAGCTTTTGCAAGTACGTGGAGAGCCGGCTCTCCAGTACATTGCTTTCGTCTTGGGGAAGACTTGCACTGTTTGCTGCCAGGAATCGGTGGCATTGTAATATCAAACAGCGAAGAAATGGCGAGGACAGTATTGTCCCTGTCATTTCCAGATAAAGATCCAGCATATCAAGGGTGCGCCGCAGACTGTTGAGTGCTAGTTCAGTGACAGTTGAAGCGACCGACGCAAACCGGCAGATAAATGACAGCGTGTTGAAATTCGACGCCAGATGTAATGTTATAAGCGGAGGATTGGTGGATTGAGCATCACAAGGGTAAGAGTCCAGGAGATAGGTCTGTTTTTCTTGCAACTCGGCCAGCAAGCTGTGCACACGAACCGCATGAGGAGTATAGTAAAGAATTGAGCAGAGATCCTCCATAAGCCTCTGGATTGAGTTGAATGTGCTAAGGGCTCGAAGTGGTCTTTTTTGAGTGCGCGTTTCAGCTCGACTGAGCTGAGGGATTGCCCAAACATCCCACTCATCCACATCGTCCTCCTCCACTGGGCCATGTGCAGTCTGCTCTTCAGCAGATAAACACGGCACTCTGTTTAAAAGAGCCGAAATAGTGTTATCCAGGAACACACAGCCGTGGAATGTATGCCGAAACCGATGGTGCTTCCTTGCTGCTACAGGCAGTATCTCCAGGATCCTAGTGGCCTGTCCAACCAGTACCCATGCCCGGCTTGTATTCCCCAAACCAAGATGTAGAAGGACAAGAATGAGTAGTGCTTGAATATGAGCAAGGTCTTGATTATTTTCCTCGGCGATGATCCGCTGTCGAATGGACCGTTGGATTTGCATCGGGTCAACTAGTTTGGAATGGATAAGATCTCGACTCATTGCGGATGTGTAGGCAATAACAGCCCATAATACCATTCGCGATGCAGAGTCTCTCATTGAATGATGGGAATCACTATGCATCGCTCGGAAAAGATCCCGTCGCTCCAGAATGGGAAACCAGCAATGCGTATGCGTGAAATAGAAGTCCAGTAGGTCCGTCGTGTTGTCGGGGAGTGGGAGATCGAGGCATTGTGTTGGATCAGCAGCCAAATTTGAAGAGTACTGTGCCGGCCTCGCGTCATCAAATCCAGAGTTCGAGGGACCATCCCTAGCGTCTATGCTTGGTAGGTCCCGTATCTCAATAGACTCCGAGTCGGACTCGTCATGGACAGTGGTCTGACTGCCATCGCTCTTGGAACCAGGTTTCAAAAATTTAGGCAAATCGCGAGATAGCTTTGACCTTCGCCATGTAGCGACGGAATGATCCACCAAGTCACCTGTCAAGCTGTTGCCGTGACGTGAGTCACGTAAGATGGCATGCACTGTACTCTCACTGGTTGGGATGTGCTGCAAGAAAAGCCCAAGTGTCGCCTCCAGGCTTCTCACATAGCCCGACGGCAATCCTCGGCGCCCACCCCCACTCTGATAAGTGCAAGTCCGATTCGAGTCGCGGCAGATCGAACACACTGGTTGTTCCCCGTCACATTTGGACTTGCGTCGGCGGCATTGGTCACAAGCACGGTATATACGCTGCCGCTTCGAGGGACGTGGATTCGACATGGACACAGTCGATAATCATCGATTTAATATTCATCTAATGACATTGGCCTTGGGAACACCTCATGAAGTTGCAACCGCCTCAAGTGGCGAGGGTCATGTGATCGGCGATGGATTTAGCCGATGGGAAGCTACGAGCAACGAAGGTATGCAAATCCACTCTATTCTGGGTGGATGATGGTCCCATGCCCAAGAAACATCATGTTTACTGTCTGCGCTCCCACCACAGACATGGAACGATCGCGCTCTCCACCCCTCAACACTAGTCTCGTTGTCTGTCGCCAGTATGACCCCGACGCCACCTTGTTGCTCGTGGGCTTCTTTGGCGCTGGCAAAAAAACACTGGGAATTATCGCCTCCATAGCTTTACGACGGCGTTTGGTGGATTTTGAAGCTTCATTTCGACAGGAATTTCAAACATCGCCACAAGACTATATTGCACTGCATGGTCTGCAGCAATATCGCGAGGTCGAGCTCAGACTATCACAAGACCTACTTGCAAGAAATGAAAAGGGATGTGTGATTGTTGGTCTTGGCTGGATCGCTAGTCATCAGCAGCAACTGCTCCTCCAGGATTTTGCCCGACAGCACCCGGTTGTGTATGTGAGAAGAGAAGACGAGGAGCTCCGCCAATTTGTCACAAGCACCCCGGACAAGTTTGAACGCATCTTTGCGATGGGCAATACATTCTTTGAGTCATGTTCAAATTTTGAGTTTTTTAATCACACGGGACAAATCACTCAATCCAGACCTAGGCTTCCGGCATACCTCAAGCTCAAAGAAACGGAGCGTGTCTTCGTGGAATTTCTGCATCGTGTGTTTCGACTCGTCCATCGACAACGACGTTCGGCGGATATAATGTCTGCTCAGCATACATATGCTCTTCAAATATCCCCAGATCAGCTAAATTTCGGTTTGGATCTCGAAGAGTTGGAGTCCGGGGCCGATGCAATCGATTTGCAAATGGAATTGGGGGATATTTCTCCTCGTCAGTTGCCAGGGAAAATGGCAAGGTACATGGCCACACTCAGAATGCATACACGAGCTTCCATCATTGTGGATTTAAAGCCTTCAACGCAATCCAACATGTCAACCTACAGCGAACTCTTGTGGATGCTTCTCCGGCTGGCTCCAGATTTCATCACTTGCTCTCTAACCTGTGATGCGGAATTTATCCAAAGGCTAAATGCCGCCAAAGGCCATACAAGGACGATTGCAACACACCACCAGCTAACTCCCTTGGCCGGCGGGCCTGTTTCCTCGGACCTTCTTGCTCTCCACAAGCAGGCCCAGAAGCTCGGATTCGAAGCTCTTCGAATGACTGGCGAGTCAAGATCCTTGTGCGACAATTTGCCATGCCTCGCCCTTCTCCAAGAGATGTCGGGATCCTCATCCATTCCGATCATCGCATACAACACGGGTACATTTGGCCGAACCTCTGTTTGCCTGAACCGAACATTATCTCCCGTGGTTCTACCCCAAGTAAAGCCAACTGGCGTGACGCTCAAGGAAGCACAGCAAGCACTCACTTCTTGCTTTCTCATTCCGGCAAAAACCTTCACCATTTTTGGCCAAACTACGGGATACAGCCTTTCCCCCAAGATGCACAATGCTGCCTATACTGCGTGTGGATTGCCGCATTTATACGATACACTGGAATCGCAGCATGTTTCGGATGTGCGGCGTCTTCTAAACCACGAAGGTCACGGTGGTGTTACCATCTCTCTTCCATACAAGACCGATATCCTACCTTATCTCGACGAAATCAGTTCCGATGCAAGGGATATGAACGCAGTAAACACAGTGGTCTTGGACCATGTTTACGATGCTGCTGGAGAACGAAAAACTATTTGCCGAGGCTACAACACTGATTACATCGGAATCAGAGACTGCATTCACAAGCACCTTTCTCCCGCCAATGCCATCCGAGATGGGACTACGGCCCTCATCATTGGGGCGGGGGGCATGGCGAATGCTGCAATATACGCCTGCTATCAACTAGGGATTCGGAAAATTTGTATCTACAATCGGACGCCTGACCATGCAGAAAAGGTTGCAGATTATTTCCGTCGATGGGCTGGATCAAACCCTGAAGAGAGCCTACACATCAATATTCTCCGCTCAACAAAAGATCCCTGGCCAGCGAATCTTCGTCTGCCAACAGTTGCCGTTTCCTGTATTCCAAGTCAGGAAATAGGAAGCCAGGCTCCGGTGACGTTGCAGGTCTCGGATGAATGGCTAGGAAGTAAAACGGGCGGCGTGTTCGTGGAGGTATGCAACCATTATGACGACCCCGTGAGAATTCATTCTAATCAACATGTTAGGTTGCATATGGGCCGTCAAAAACACCACTCATGGAACAGGTTCTCCGGTGGGCGTCAAAGGGATGGATTGTCGTAGATGGGCTCACCGTCTTGGTTGAACAGGGCATCACACAGTATGAGCTCTTCACTAAACGGCCTGCACCTATCCATGTAATGCGCCGGGTTGTGCTCGAGCAGTCTATGGAATACGGAATTAGCCACTTTTAATATACTCTAACATTAGCTCACTTTGCATCGACTGAAGACTAGGTTTATTCAACAGTGTCGAGCTGTGCAATAAAGAAACGAATTTTAATAGATTCAATGCTATTTATGGGTGTGTTTACTTCAGGCCATTTTCCAAACGACCATCGGCTAAATTCATAGTGAACAGCGGGGCAGGTAAAGGATTTAGCCAGTCCGTCAAAACAACGGGAGATAATGACATAGTTCACTCACATTCACTTCTACAAGCTGATATTCCAGGTATTTTCTCTTGTTGAATACACACCCTCATCATGACATACCAACCTGCTATCATGAGTGCCTCTCTCGGACGAGCCTGGCTTCATGACTTCAACTACAAAATCCAGCAATCTGCCCAGGCCGGGTTCAAAGGAATCGAGATATTCTACGAAGATCTCGAATATGCAGCGCGCAAGATCTCGGAAAATGCCGACCCGACGCCCGAGCAGCTTTTCCAAGCGGCCAAACATGTTCGCTCGACCTGCGAATCCCAAAATCTCGAGATCATTGGGCTCCAGCCATTTCTCTTCTATGAGGGCCTGAAAGACCGAAACCAACACGCAAAGCTGGTCGAAAAGATGAAGCTATGGTTGCTGATCGCCAAGAACTTGGGCACTACGACGATCCAAATTCCCGCCAACTTCCTCCCAGCAGAGCAGCTCACGGGGGACCTCGATGTCATGGCAAATGACCTACGACAAGTTGCGGATATGGGAGCTGCAGAAACCCCCGTTGTTCGTTTCGCTTACGAGAATCTGTGCTGGAGTACGCACATCGACACCTGGGAGAAGGCATGGGACATGGTAAAACGCGTCAACCGGCATAACTTTGGTACGTGTCTGGACACATTCAACATCGCAGGTCGTGTCTGGGCGGATCCTACCTCGGCGACAGGGAAGACACCAAACGCGGATGCTGATCTCAAAGCCTCAATGGAGCGGATGGTTCAGGAAATCGACGTGTCGAAGGTTTTCTATATCCAAGTGGTTGACGCTGAACGCTTGGCCTCGCCGCTTATCCCGGGCCATCCGTTTCATGTCGATGGTCAGCCGGCTCGAATGAGCTGGTCGCGCAACGCGAGGACCTTCATGTACGAAGATGATCGTGGCGCGTATCTTCCTGCAGAAAACGTCGCCAAGACTATTATATCTGGACTGGGGTACAAAGGCTATGTCTCCATGGAGCTTTTCTCCAGGACAATTTCAGAGGAGGGACAGCATGTTCCCGATGAGCATGCAAGAAGGGGAATTGTGGCTTGGGAAAAGTTGCAGAAGAACCTACAGCTCAACTAGAAATGTCATCTAAGCCAGTTTCGATTTCATTTAACCATTGTATCTGGAAATATTATAATCTCAGTGCATTCATCTCTGATGATTATACCTCGATATCATTCCCGTCCAACCAATCCTTGGCCAGTCTATACAAAAGATCGTGCTTCTCTCCACACGCCGTACCAACATGTCGCCTGTGACCCGGCATGTCCTTCAAAACTGTCACTCCCATAGTAAGCTCCTGGCAATAAGCCAGACACTTGTACCCCTCAGGATACGAATTGAGCTTTTCCTCATCCACCCGAGGGACTTTGTTAGGATTGACTGGGATCAACTTGTCCTTCTCGTACCAGTGCCTCACAAAACGCGCACCCCAACGGCCATCGATTTTCTCAAAAAAAAAGCAGAATCTGCAATCTGCCTCGGCATCGACTTCGGCCCCGTCAATGGTGAACCGCTGAGTGATGGTTGCCTTCATCTTGGTGACTGCTCGGGTGGCATCCGGCGTAACGTCGCTGGTAACTCCATGGCAACGGTGCATGATAAAAGCTCCCTTGTCCATGCCAGCCTTAGACGCGGCAATAAAATCCGTGTACAAGACTCTGCCTGACCAGGTTGTATATACATGGGCGCCTGGGTGGAAGATCGATTCTAAGTTCTCCCATTCACAGGCATCCCTAATACTTGTTAGGAGGAAATGGGAGAGATTTTGTCACTCTTGAGAAGGCTTACCGATAGCATGGCCAGCCTTCGGCTAGCTCACGCAGCTTCGCTCGCTCTAGCACAAGATTGTCGGGCCCATTGTTGCGGATGGCATTTGCGGGTCTGGTGCCCTCAGGCAAGGAATGGAGGTCAGGCATGGTCTTTGGTGATCTTATGACTGCTAGAAGAGATGATTTACGGTCCCAAATTTCACACTCCAAATGACTCAAATAAGTGATCTCATCCCAATTGCTATCGGTTATGACTTCTCCGCGCCGGTATACGGCTAAGAGCTTTACCGAGGCAAGTTCCGCGTACGTATGCTGCCAATGGGGTTAACAATGAAAATAGTAGCATTTGCAAGATTATGTTTAAAAGGTATTTTTAAAGAATATTGAAGCAAGCAGTCTAAATGCGGGGATGATATACACTGTCGGTTGAAAAATCAGGATCAAATTTAGCCTGTGAATGAACTGGGATCCGACTTGTCGAAGTGGACCAAGCTATAATACCTTCAAAAGTTGATCCCTTTACTTTCATCGGCAGCTTTCAATAGCACTTTCCATGCCTCCTTTTGGTCAAGTTTCTCGATGCAATCCTCTCCGGCCCATAGCCGCCACTGCTCCTCGATCTGATAGCCGATGACATGCGTGCCCTCCACACACGGCCAACCCAACTTCTCCGCAAGCTTGATCATTCTGGTCCTCCGAGGCTTGAAGCACATGTCCAACAACACACCTTTCTTGGGCCGAGACAAAAACGACTCGAGCATCGAAGCCATGGCCACCTCGAATTTGGTTTTTGGCTCGATATCGGGGACTGTACCGACGACATAGTACGGACTGTCTGATTCTTTGGCTTGATCCATCGTTTTTATGTGGACGACTTTGGGTATAATTGGCAGTTTCTTTGAATCATCGATAAGATCCATCACCTCCTGTTCATCCCTGTTCAAGACATAGATCGTTGGGCAGTGCAGATGCACCATCAAAGCATAAACAGCTGCACGACTGGCTCCTCCAGCCCCGACGATCAATGCTGCTGCAGGTGATTCTGCGGATGGTCTCTCATTCTCGTCACCTCGCTCCAGCAGACAGCCCTTGATGCCTTGCCAGTCGGTGTTGGTGCCACACAACCTTCTAGGATTTCCATCTTTGTAGTAGACATTGTTGCAAGCCCCGATCATGCGAGACAAGTCATCCAACTCGTCGAGATGCTTCATGATTGAATTCTTGTATGGCATAGTCACTACCAGGCCAGCCGTAGTTCGTTCCCTGGCGATTTGGAGTAGATCATTCATTGTTGGACACTCAGTGGCATAGAAAGTCCATGGAAGGCCGAGGGATTTGGCAATGGAGTTGTGCATTGCAGGGGCAATAGAATGGCTAACGCCCACGCCGACAAGGTGGAGGGTCATATTTTGCGGTTGAACCTCTTTCGTCATTGTTGTTGGTTGGCGTGAAGTGCGGTGTTGAACTGAAGTCTTTAAGAATATTGTCAGTAAACATTACCTTGAAAGTCCGGTTTCTTAATCCTGCCTCAATTTCCCAAGACGGATTTATTCTTTCCCAGAGGTCAATTCCGCATCCATGAGTCCAATGGGTGGAACATTCATCTCTCCGGTCTACCGGGCTAAATGCATAACCGAGCTATCACCCATATCTATATCCAGTCAACAAGTGTACCGCTTCTCTATTGATTTCAACTTTCTCTTGGTTTTCCCATTTCATTACTTATTTCAAATTCTCTTCCTCAGACTCAAAATGACAACAACTGCAATCCCTCCCAGGAACTTCCACATCTTTGGCAGCGGTATCTCGTTCAGCATTTCGCCAACAATCCACAACACTGGTTTCCGATACTATGGCCTCCCTTACACGTACGATATCCGCGAATCACCAAGCATCGATGAAGTTGCTTGGCTTATCCAAGACCCCCGTTTCGGTGGCGCCAGCGTGACAATGCCACACAAACTACAAGTCCACAAATATTGCAACCACCAGACTGAGACTGCCCGTTTGATCGGTGCGATTAATACGCTGATTGTCAAAAGCGACGGGGATCGGCAAATCATCACCGGTGACAACACCGACTGGTCTGGTCTGCACAGCATCATCGCCAACTACTCGGCAAAGACCCAGCAGCAGCCTAATGTGGGCCTTGTTATTGGCGCTGGGGGTGCTGCACGCGCAGCACTCTTTGCTTTGCACAAAGCTGGTATACAGCACATTTACGTTGTAAACCGTACCCTCTCCGTGGCCGAAAAAGTCAAGCACGATTTCAAGAATGTTTTCGATATCACGGTCCTTCCAAGTCTTGGAGAACTATCGAACAACCCAGATGTTATCATTGGCACTGTTCCCGCAGAGACAACGACAGAGGATCAGTTCAGTTCTCTTTTTGGACCTCAAGGCCTCTGTATTGACATGTCATACAAGCCACGACAAACACCCTTGCTGAATGCTGCGCAAAAGCATCCCGAGTGGACTACAGTCCCTGGGGTGGAGGTGCTTCTCGCGCAAGGGTTTGATCAATTTCGGCTCTGGACAGGCCGGGATCTTCCGAAGGAGAAGATGGTCGAGGCAGTTATGGCTCGTGATCGCGAGTTGATCAAAGGACCCAAGAATGGGATGCTGTGACGTACAAGTGAATTTTCCACTACGGTGTTTGCTTTAGAAAATACCTCTTCCTAGAGATATAGCCTGGTTTGCGAAGGTATCTATACCTCAATAGAGCATCCGCCACTATTCATAAATCAAACACTGATCCTCTTGTGCCGTTTTAAAAGAAATATGATTTCGATGAACCACCCTAGGCCATATTATGCAGCTATTTCCAATATCGCATCGCTAAGAACATCATCAATTTTTATAGTTCGGGAGGCGTGTGAAATGAGAGCTTTGGGGCCATTGCATCTCTAAATATATACACTTATTTTCAGGCTCTCTCTCTCTCTCTTATCTGCATTTCATTTTGCTACAGAGCAAGTTTGGAAGAAGGCTAGGTGAGCATCGTTTCCAGATTTCCATATCACCCCTAAGGATCTATACTCCAACCATTGAGATCCATAACCCATACAACCAACTTCATCTGGCTCAAGCGAAACGTAGATTTTCCGGAATTTAACGTCCTGAGCGGCAAGCGGCATAAATTAAAGGCCAGTGACCGTGGAATGTGGAGAAGGTGAAACCCGAAATGCAGGAATTTGGTCGCCGATTGACCAAGCCTCGGCCGAGATTGGTTGAGTCATACCATGATCCCTCAGCAGAGCAATTTCAGTGACAATAAAACAGGAAGTCCTCTTAACAAAAAGCCTATTCTAGTGTCATATAAATCAGTTCTTTTGCACTTGGTACAAGAGAAAACCGTCATTGGACGACAATGGCCACAACCCATGCACAGCAGTCTGACTCGCCAAATGACAATCAACCACAAAAAACTTCGAGTACTCGCCCTCCACAGCAGAATCAACTCACAAAACATGATCAAGGCTGGAGAAGAGTCGTTCGCAATTTCACCCCCTCGTACGTTCTTACCCCTTGCCACACGATATGACAACCCGGCTCACTCCGGGTTAGATGGTTCTCAGTCACTATGGGCACAGGTATCGTGTCTATCTTGTTGCACAATCTTCCGTACAACGGTATCTGGCTGTACTGGATCTCGGTGGTGACCTTCGCACTTAATGTGCTTCTCTTCAGCACCGGATGCATTCTCAGCGCGATTCGGTACACGCTGTACCCTGAAATCTTTCGGGTCATGGTCATGCATCCAGTCCAGTCCATGTTCATTGGGACCTTCCCAATGGGACTGATGACTATTATCAGCATGATTTGTTTAGTCTGCACCCCAGTATGGGGCCCGTGGACTCCGTACTTTGCATGGGGCTTATGGATCTTTGGCGCCATTGTCTCGGTGATGACTGCGTTGTCGCTGCCATTCTTGCTGTAAGAATGCTCTCTTTTTGACATACCATGCCTCTCCATTGACACTCAAGAAGCATGGCCCATGGTGGAGAAACCCACTTATCTTCAATGACCGCCGTCTGGCTTCTTCCCATCGTCAGTTGCATTGTTGCCGCCTCCACGGGTGCCACTGTCGCTGAGGTCCTCACGAATGCCCAACACGCACTGTGGACTGTACTCGCCAGCTACATATTGTGGGGAATCGGGGTGCCACTATCTTTGATGGTGATGGTTATTTATCTGCAGCGCCTCACTCTCCATAAACTGCCTCCCAAGACCGTCATTGTCAGCGTTTTCCTGCCACTGGGCCCATTGGGTCAGGGGGGATACGGGTTAGTTCAATCGTCCCAGTCCAAGATCTACGGCAATTCCATACTAATAATGGCCAGAGCAATGAAATTAGGTCAGTGCGCGAAAGAGATCTTTCCCAAGACAGGAACCCTCGAGCAATCGTCTGGACCCACCTTCTACACGCTGGGGTTCCTTGTTGCGCTGATTTTCTGGGCATTTGGGCTCGTCTGGCTTTTCTTCGCATTGGCATCGATCGTGCGATCCAAGCATTTTCCCTTCAACATTGGATGGTGGGGGTTCACCTTTCCGCTGGGGGTGTTTGCCACTAGCACTTGTCAGATGGGAACCGAGCTGCCGTCCGGGTTCTTCCGTATATTGGGTACAATTCTGTCCTTGGCTGTGGTCGCTTTGTGGATAGCAGTCGGCGCTGGAACTTTAAAGGGAGCCATGTCTGGGCAGTTGTTCTTTGCTCCATGTTTAGCGGATCTTAGGGTCCAAGAAGAAGACAAAGATGCTGGGAAGGTAGCATGAGAGCGACCTCGAGAGGTTGGTTGGATGAAAGCCAGCAGATTGAGTATATTTGAAAAATGGAATAAAATACAACTCTGAAATTTACCATTTCAAAGAGAAAAAAACGAGAAGGAACATACTTCCCGATCCGAACACCTAGTCATCCATCACGTGATGTGGAGACTTTTCGCCCTTTTTTTGAATTTTGAATTTTTTTTTATTCGAATTTTAATTTTTTTTTTAATTTGGGATCTCCCTGGCCATCGAGGCATTCCGCTGAACAGCATCCACTTTGACCCTGATCGACTTCCCGTGTCCCCTGTCATCTCTACTGGTTCTTTGCAGCCAGACTTCGCCCTGCCTGGCCGAGTTTTCGCGATCGCACCAGCCCCTGAATCCCCCCCCCCCTTTGCGAGGCAACTCGTTTTCTCAGCGACCGGCGAGACTCGGCCTCCGAAGCCGCTAACCCATTTTGGAATTTTTGCCTTGGTGCCTAAGGCTACCAACGCGAACGCCAAAACACGCGGCCTCGCGCTCTCCAAGTGGCAAGTGCCTCACTGTCGCTGGCAGCGCGGCACCTACCATTCCCGGGCTTCCCATTCTCATTTCAAGTTTATCGGACCGCCTTTGCTCCTTCCTTAGAAGGCAGTCGCATGTGTCTCGTGTGAGACCAGGTCCAACCATCGATCGGCGGCTGACGGCAAGTCCTCAGCACTTCGTTCAACCAAGATGATGGGATACGGCGGGCATCCTTTTCACCCGCAACAGCAGCAGACGCAACAACCGCAACAGCCCCAACATCCTACTACCCAGTCTCAACATCCTCTAGGCCCGCAGCAACGCCAGCACGTTCAATCCCCGTCGCTGGGTGCCGCGCCGAATCTGCCCCAACATGGCAGTCCCTTCCCTGGCAACAAGCCCCTCTATCGCTCGCAGCCGCAGCCGCACTTTCCCACCGCGCAATCTCCTGACCTACGCAAGATGACTCCGACCTCGTCAGGACCGTTAGCCGGATACCCCACCACCAGCTTTGCTCAATTCCCGGGTCAGTTTGCGCCGCAGGGCTCGCCCGATCTTATGTCTCGCAACTCGGATCCGATGGCCCTGCATCATATACAACGAGGTTTTAATCCTATGGCCCCCTTCCGACCGCAGCCGGGGATGAGTCCGCCGACGGCCATGCCCCATGCGCCAGGTATGAATGTGTCGTCACCGCAGCAGTCATTGGACCGACTTCCGCATTCCGGTATCCATCAACGCGAAACTCATCCGTCGGTGAGCCCCTCGATGGCCAGTCCGTCGATGTTTGCGATCAATCAGCAGCGACCCCCGCCATCACAGCCCCAATCGCCCCAGCAGACCCACGCGCATCAAAGACAACAGCAGCATCAATTCCAGCAGCAGCAACAGGAGATTCTCCAGCAACAGCGTCTTGAGCAGCAAAAGCAGATACAGCAGCAACGGATCGAGCAACAGCAGCGCATGGAGCAAAAGCAACTCGAGCAACTCGAGCAGCAACAAAAGATGGAGCAGCAGAGGCGCCTAGAAGAGCAGCAGCAGCAACTCGAGCAACAGAGATTGCAGAAGCTGCAACAAGCCCACGCCCAGAACCCCTATCAGCAGCAGTCTCCTTATGCGCAGCATTCCCAGCCTCCATTTCACCCATCTCAGTATCCATCACAACCTCATTCGCACGCCCAGTTTGCACAGCATCAGTCGCCCTTTTCCCAGGCACCGCAACAGTCTCAATTCCAGCATTACCAGCCCACGTCACAGCCCCCGGGAATGCCTTCTTCGCAGCCTTCCCCGATTCCGCCCGCGGCAACCAGCGCAAAAACCGCTGTCAAACCTGACCAGCAGAGCCCTGCGCCGAAAAGGAAAGGCAAGCCCCGCAAGTCTGCTGCGTCTCAGGCCCAAGCCGCTGCTCAGCCTCTTCCCCAAGGGACCGTTCCCGATGCCGTTTCTCATGCTACCTCCCAGCTCAACGGGCATGGAGAGCTGCCCGGCGTCCCTCTGGCTGGAGGAGAGCAAGGAGTCGATCAAACAACTGACACGCCGCGTCGTCGTCGTGGTCGGCCACGCAAGGAAGAAATCGCCGCTAAAGCTGCGGCCCAAGCTGCCCAGGGCATTCAATCGGATCAGCCAATTCCAGGGACTCCGCAGCAGGGACAACCCTCGTTCAACCCATCTATAACCTCGAATACCCCAGGTTCAGCCGGAGTTCCGAACTCAGGAGCACCGCAAGCGCCTCTCCTGGGTCCAGACGGGACACCGCTTCCTTTGAAGCGAAAACGCGGTCGTCCTCGCAAAGCGGACCAGATTGCGTGGGCGGCTGCCACGGGTCAGCCCTTGCCAACCCCCAAACCGAGAAAGCCTCCCTCCTCCACAGGGAAGCCCAAAAAGGCCGGCACAGGTCGTCCACGGGGAAGGCCTCGCAAAGCTGATGTTGCGGCAGCCGCCGCCGCAGCAGCAGCAGTTGAGGACCAGGTTTCGGCTGAAGGTCAGCCTCATACAGGCGAAATGGTGGATGTACAAGCCCAAAAACGCACGGCCCCCATCATGGACGAAGAATCACACAAACGGCCCTGTCCAACACCGCCGCAGCCACACCCGACTCAGGCCTTGCCACAAAATGGGCATGCTTTGTTCTCACAAGGCGGACCATTGCATCCACCGCCGAGTCAGCCTTTGCAACCCCCCGGCCAGCCTCTATCGATGCCCTCGCATATGCAAGTGCACCAACAGTCTCCTGTACATCCTCCCCGCCCGCTCCCTCCCCACTCATACATGCAACATCCGATGCCGCCTCCTATGCAGCCGCAACAGCCTGTTCATGGGCATCCACCTGTACCGGTCCACGCCCAAGGTCAACCCCAGATGCAGCAGCAGTCCCGGGTGGCGCCAGCACCTACGCCACAGCATCAGCACCAGCACACGTTCCAGATCCAGTTGCAACCTCAACCGACCTAAAGCAGACTATGTTCAACTCCATGATATTGTGAGCAATGGGAGGGATGGATTTTCTCCAAGACCTGCATTTATGTTTTGTGTCTACTTTATAATTTGTCCTGTCTTTATACTCCGGTGTCGAGATTCTTCCGTTCTCGGTCTCGGGTTATCGTTTATGCCTTTGATATTCCCATATCCACTAGTCTATTGCTCTGAAGAGCTTTTTGTTTGATTTGCCGATCACTTCGTTTTGGCGTCTCGTGCTTCTCCCTTGGGATCAATCAGTATGGTCTTTCTGCATTCGCCGCCCTTAGCCTCTGTCCCGGGTTTGGTTTCTGTTTTTGGTTGATGACGTTGTGATATATCTCTTGCGGATGGGTATAGTATATAGTCTTAATTGTATTCTGTCCACACTAGTGTTCTCCATGTCCTGCGATATTTATATCTGACCCTGTAATTATTCCCGCTTCCATGGCTCTTTAAATACTATCAATTCCGAGACAACCTTCGCCAAATAATTTGACACGGTTAGTTAAACAGCCACTATATTAGGCAAAAAGACTTGCACACTGTACATGTCCATGTTTCTGGGCCACCTCTCTCGGGGTCAGTTCATTTGGGCTTTTGATATTGCGATTCGCACCGTGACGAAGCAGCAACTGAACAATCTCAGGATGATTATTGGCAGCTGCACCATGGAGCGGCGTGCCCCAATCATCCTCATTATATGTCCCCAAATTCCGGATCCTCGGGGATGATGTTCACACCAGCCCCAGCATCAATCAGGAGCTGCAGATTGTCATGGCGTCCCGCCTGGGCTCTGCCATAAATCGCGCTTCGATTTTGGATCTCTGCCCTGTTGTCTATGAGAAGTTGAATTATATCCGAGCTCGCGAAGATCGCTACAGTTTCCAAGGGAAGTCTGTCATAGTTAATCCTGCTGTTTGGATCTGTGTCACGGCTCAGAAAATAAGAGACGATTTCAAATCGTGAGGCGCAGATCGCAAGACAAAGGCTCTGATATCAGCGTGGTTGCATCGGTATAAAGCAAAACAAAACACAAAGCAACAAATTAAGCACGAACGGCATCAACAGTATGAACAGGCAAGGGGCCCACCTCATCCCATTTCCGACATGACCCAGTTTGTAGTTTGGTGACCATCCGTGTTGCATCAAAACATCGAATGCCCGAGTATCCCATCCAGTTTCTTTGCGATCTTGGAATGTCGTAAGTATGATATCTATGGTGAAAACGCAGCCCCGGCTCAGCAGTTCTGCTGCAATTTCGAAGTGGCGTTTTTTCCAGTGCGGTTATCAATGCAGGCTGGAAATGGGACATTGGTTGACAAGGCAGCCGAGGAGGGGTGGGATTTTCCTCCTTGCTCCATGCATCGAGTGCTGTTCGTAGCTGGGTGATGTTTTTTGACTGGATGGCAGCCTCCACGGTGGAAATAGTATCTTGAGTCCTGGTGTTGATTGGCGAAGGGAATGAAAGGGAAAGCCTGGGCTCGTGGTAGCTACAACGTGGAACTCTCTGGTTGTTTTATATTCGGGGATATGCTTGACGGGTCCGCTTTTTAACATCACAAGACTGTGTAGATCTTAGTGTTCAGCTTTGCGGCAAGTTGGCTTTCTCAGTCTGTTAGAGCTTGACGTATCTCAGAAACTACTTGACGAAATTCACTGGTTGATCTTTTCAGCCTTGACTCGGAACAATTTAAACGGCTCTAATTCTAGCAAATGATCTATATACCGAAAAAAGAAAACAGTTCAGTTGAGGCAAACGTCCACTGACTCGTCGGGTTTTCGGATCAGCCTCTTGACATTTTAGCCGTCCTTGACTTCTTGTTGCTGCTGCTTCTCCTCTTACTCCTCAGGAGTTCGTCTTGCTTCATCTGGTACTTCAGAGCCACCCCGACAATTCTCTTCTTCTCCTCCAATGCTCTCTTCTTATCCCTTTCCCACTCATCCAGCTCAAACTCCTCAAACGCATTATATTCTGGCGGCGTAGGAAACTCATTGGCCCTCATCAACTCCAATCGAAGCCTGGCCATTAGTTCCCCTATATTGACCCCTTGCGGCCCATATCTATTACCCTCCTTCCAGAAATGCTGGAATCGCGGACGAGGGTTTTTCTTGACGGTAATGCCGGGGATATCTTGTTCCTCTGAAAGAGCCAAGAGTATTTTCTCCCGGCATACGAATAAACCATTCCGCTGACCATCATCACGACAACCAAGGAGGATCATACCCTCGGTAAACGAGTTTGGATTGAGGATCTTAATCGGATATAAATCCGCCCACGGGCTTATGCAGCCGAACAGTGCGCGAGGGGGCAGCCTGGAATGGCTAATCACCGTTAGATTCAGGTCATCTGCGGCTGGGGCGTCGAGTGGGAAGTTCGGGAGCCACCAAAGCGTGGTGGACTTGGGCAGGAGGGAGAGGAAGCTACATTGCCGGTATTTCGACCCCAGGTGGAAATGTACCTCAGGTACTGGGCGCTGTCGGTCACACCGCAAGCCCATACACTCGTCTTTGCAGCGGGTGAAATTGGCCCTAGTCAGCTGTTTGGTGGTGAGCTTGATATGCTCGTCTTCAACGACGAAGTCGATTTCTTCTTTCACGGTCAGTTCGAATATTTCGCTTCCTCTCTCATATTTAGGTGTGTCTTACCCGCTGTGGAAAATACAGTCCAACCAGGCCCAAAGCCACTCGACCCCAGAGAAAATGGGGGATCTGCGCCTCGTCTAGAATGCGGGCCACGTCAACAGCAGGCTCCGCGCCGGGGACGAGGTTTCTTGCGGGTGATGGGCGCATAGTACGGGATGAAACGATTTGAATGTGATCCTTTATCAAGGGATATACTATTTTATTTATATTGGTGTTATTTTGTCTCTCTTTACGTACCCAAATGCAGCAAGAGTCGAGGATAGGGTGTTTGAGATGGAATCGAGAAAAAGAGCTTGAAAGTCATGAGACCACGCAACGAAGATTCCGGTGATGAAAGAGCGGCAGATGACGCGTTTGGCTTCTTTCCTTATAATTCTAACCCAATCGCTATTTTTACTTCGTTCTACAGACTCACAAAGTGGCCCGGTGATATCTTGTCTATCAGCGTCGCTATGACATGCCAAACTAAACAGATGTACCTTTTATATGACCATAATGTACTAAAAGTACATCTAAGGCGATGCTGATCACAGGGCAGGGAGTGTCTCTTTTAATTGCTCTAGGCTCCTCTTTACGAATGATGTGACTCTTATATCCAATCATGGCCATATTAAGACACTGGTTCAGTTCCTGCTCATAAATACTCTGGGAGAGTCTCACTCTAGGGAACAACATGCGCTCAAGACAAAGGTATCTCACTGGATGAGCTACCTTGTACATATGGCTTTGTTGAAACATGGTCCAAGCTGATATAACAAGCGGAGTCTTGTCTCCAACCCAGGTTAAAGGGCTGCCTTGACTGCTCTTGTGTTTTGTGCAAAGGATATGATCTCCCTGGATCTCAAATCGTCCTCGTTGGTCATGACGTTGTTGGCTCAGGTGCCAGTGCGATCAAGTATTACGATTAACTTTGAAATATACCTAGGTATACAGGGATAGCCTGAGAGTCATTCCTTCAGTCACTACAGGTAGATATTAAGGTACTAAACAGAGGGAAGCAAATAAAGAAAAAGAGATGCGATATAGAGTGACATTGATCTTTTCTTTCCCTTGTACTTCCCTCTCCAATACTAGGATTATGGTAAAAGTAAGCTTTCCTTCTCTGTTCGAACATACTAAATGCCACCAAAAAACAGATTAAATAAATGAAAATATCAGAAGAGTCGCTAATTACATATACTCAATTGTTTTCAGTCCCAAAAAGACTTATATCATATTCATGGTTGCCACTGTTCACCCCCGAACTGTCGCGCCTGATGTCAAATCGTCGTGCAGGATCGCGCCGATCGACCCACAACCCGCCAGTGGCCATCGAGTTAGCAATCGCTGGGGATGGAACAAGGCCATGCAACTTGTCCGGTTCAGGCCACATTCGCAATGATTTCATTGAGCGGGGCCATCATCATATTTCCCCATCAACGTTCCTGTGCAAATTTTCGCCCTGGAACGTTCAATATAATTCCAATAGCCGTTGGCTAATAATCCATCCCATATAGAATGGACAACCGGCCTGAGTATTTCGGAAACCTCAGTCCGGCCTCCAACCATGCAGCCATCGCTGGCGCGCAGGGGGCACCGGCGAGGAGGAGGAAGAGGACTTCGTCACAAACCCTCGCCAACCCCAGCCCCATCTCACCTTCGGCGCAGGCGACAAGCGCAACATTGGCAGCGCCACACTCGTCGGCGTCGTCCTCATCGGTCCCCGGCTCTTCGAGGTCGAACGTGCCTCCTCCGAACAAGGTGGCCATCCCTCGAATAGCTAGCGCCGACACGCCCGCTCGCAGTCGACGACGCTCAGCTCGTGCGTGCGAGCCCTGTCGCCGCCGCAAAATAAAATGCGATGGAAGAAGGCCGAGTTGCTCGCAGTGTAATTCTAATAACATCCGGTGTGCGTATGAGGACGTCAAGCGCGTGCGCGAGCAGAAGCAGATCGGATCGTTGTCCCGGCGTGTAGAGCAGTATGAAAGCCTCCTTCGCGATCTGGAAGGGGAGTTCGATGCGTCCACGACACGGAGAATTAAAGAAGCATTGCAAGTAAGTTAGTTGATGAACCCCCTGGCGCATTGATTCATCGTGAGAACCTCCTCTTTTTCAGTTGTTGTGTGGAATCTCTCTAACATCGTGGTCATGGCTGCTTGTATCAAGGATGGGAAGCCCCATGCACAGAACGATGAAGACTCGGATTCGGCGACCTCGATGGGTTCGCTGGATACCATCGATATCGTCGATGAAGATCTGAACCGCAACGAAAACACTCGCGCCGCTGGCTATTTCGGCAAGAACTCGGAGGTGTCGTGGATCCGCAGGCTAGAGACCGCTGTGGATAGCAAAGGTCGGCCTGATACGGGGGTTGCTGGCTCTTTCTCAACCTCTCAAGAAACTAGCCAGCCCGACATGGGCTCTGCAAATCGGCAGCGTGTGGCCAAGGAGATTCCTATTGCCATGATGGACTACCACCTGGACGACCTCAGTATCCCAATGATGGACCCATGCGACCCGTTCGCTGTGCCCCCGCGGCCACTGGCAGATCGCTATCTCGATGCATACTGGACGTTTGTTCACCCGACGTTCAGCGCCATCCGCAAGCCGACCTTTGTAGACCAGTATCAAAAGTTCCACGAGCGGGTGTCCAAGCCACCCGACAAATGGCTGGCCATTCTGAATATGATTTTCGCGATTGGCTGTCGGTACTCTCGTCTCACAGACGGCGAAGACTCTCCTCGAGAAGACGACCTGCTGTTTCTGACGCGAGCGCGGCATTTGGGTCTGCAAGGCGATGTTCTATTTGAGCATACTGATCTGCAGCAGATTCAGCTCGACTTGCTTGTCGCGGTCTATCTGCTTTGCCTGGGGCAAATCAACCGGTATGTTCTCTTCGGCCTCGTTTGCGACCAACCCATTATTTACATCTCGAATATAGCGCATCCAAGTTCTCCGGCATGGCGCTGCGATCCGCCCTCTCCCTAGGGATCAACCTCCGGCTCATGGACGACCGGATACATAGCGCGTCCAAGGAAGCACGCTACCGGCTCTGGTGGTCGATTTACTATCTCGAGCACCTGCTCACGTCGATGACTGGACGTGCCTCCTCTGTCAGCGAGAGTCTGAGCTCGGTTCCGGCACCCGTTCCCTTTGAAGAAGAACGCTTCCACCAGCCCGAGGCCCAGATTTTGCTCCGGGATCTGGCATTCCGTGAAGTCCAGCTGCAGCCCACACTATTCGAGTCCTCGTCTCAACTGCAGGGCGGCGCCAGCGCGACCACGTACCCAGCCTGCGCCTCGCTGTTCTTTTCCTGCGTAGTCGACCTGGCGCTGATCACGCAGGCGATCCTGAACAGAGTGTATAGCATCGAAGGCGCGCGTGAAAGCACCAACCAAATCGAGTACCGCGTCCAGAAGTATGGCCAGCGCATAGATCGCTGGCTTGCCCGGCTCCCCGCGCCATACCGTTTTACTATCCCGAATGCTGGACCTTGGCATCTGAATCTTGTTCAGCTCGAGGACCCTGCGGTGCCCTTTGCGCGCGAGCGCATCTGTCTGGCCATGAACTATTACTCGGCACGCATCACCCTCTGCAGGCCCTGTCTCACCCAAAGCCACATCGCCTCGCCAAACCCGTTGGGTCCGACGCGTCGTGCCCAGTTCAAGACCGATATGGCAACTCAGTGTCTGCAGGCGGCCTGTGCCCTCATCTCGATTCTTCCGATGACGCCTGATGTGCCCTGGCTGGCGCGCGTTGCGCCCTGGTGGACCACTCTGCATTTTCTGATGCAAGCCACGACAGCCTTGCTGCTTGGCCTGTCGTATTGTTCTCCGTCGCCCACTCCTGGTCCATTCTATAACCCAGGCTCTGTCTTGGCCTCACTCAATCCATCCAATCCCACTGCTACAGCACCGGCACCATCAGCAACAACATCCTCTCAGCCTCCACCCTCCACTGTCACTTCTCCATACACCCCGATACTACAAACAGACCTCTGCACCGCAATTGCCCAAACCAAAACAGCGCTGTCGTGGATCCACGCCATGGCCGCCGTGGACCCGGCATCGCGTCGTGCATTCTTTCTATGCGATGGCATTGTCAGGCGCATTGCGCCTGCGCTGGGCGTCGATTTAACTGACTGGCCGGACGCACAGTCTCTTCCCGCTGGGGTGTTTGGAACGGACACGGCGATGGATATTGATGAAGAAAGAAGGAAGAGCGGGGGGGCGTGGCAGTGGCAGTGGGATGGAGTTGTTCGATGAGTGGATTGATCTCGAGGGCGGGTCCATCTAAAAAATAGAAACAACAACGTTCAAGATTCAACAACCGGTTGGACGATGTCGTTCGGATAGTACATCGTCCTTCCCCAGACTCAGGCTCTCGTAGCGATCCAGCATATCAGAGAGTCCCAGACCGGGATACTCCTGGAGACCATGTTCGGGGTCAACACCAATGCCATGGTACTTCGCTTCCTGGTTGAGTTTCTCCAGGCCCTCGGCATACTCGTCAAAACGACTATGGCCCTCTGCCGATGATTGCTCGTCAAAGAGATCTTTGAGCTCATCCGGAAGAGCACTCGCGTCGCGGATCCGACTCCCCTGCTCCTTGGCGCGCACCGACTGGCGAAAGATATGGAAGAGATTGCGGCCGAGGGCGGAGCGGCTCGCGACGATGGAGAAGGCGCTGGCCAGCGACAGGAAGTCTTGGTCCAGCACGTTGAACGACTCCTGCTCGAGCATTGTGAACAAGGCGAGGTTGATCGCATACATGGCGAAGTGGTGTGCGCGGCTCATCCCGTACTCGCGGCGGTGCAGCCGGGTCAGCGCTGCGATGCCAAGGGCTGCCGACTGCGTTACTTCCCACACATTGTATTTCGTCTCTGGGGTGTGGCGCGGAGGGCTCTCGGGTGTCTTGGGTGCATCAGATGTCGTACTCGAGATTTCGTCGTCGGAGATACAGCTGAAGAGGTTGATGATCAGGGCGTGATAGCGCATTCTATACCAGAGGTCAGTGTGCCGCTCATTCCACATGTAGAGAGGGAGGGATCAAAGTGTGATTTGCATCTGAGAGCATAGATACCAACCTACCTCAACAAAATAATATGCGGCGGCGGCCGGTACCGCGAGTCAAAAGCCTCCGGCAAAAGACTATGCCAGCGTCGGAGCCGTTCATACAGCTCCTCGCGGCTTTGGTGTGGAGCTGGCTCCAGAGTCGGGCTGACCCGTTCATCGGCGAACATGCTGCGCGAGATATCACGCGCAACGGTCGACAAGTTACACGCCTCGTCGAAGGACTGGCTCAGGTAGGACGGGCGCGGCTCGCGATGGGTCGGGTATGGTCGCCAGAGAGCCTGGTCTTCGAGCGGGTTGCGGTCGATGCGGGCTATATTGACATGGTCGATGAGACTGGGGCGCAGAAAGCCTGTGTGCACCATGCTGCAAGAGGAGTGTTGTGAGAAGCTGTCAGGGTGTGAAAGGGACAAAGATGTTTACGTTCGTATCAACATTGAATAATCCCCATGCCGTCCGCTTGCTCGAAATATCCATGTCCTCGGAGAACTGTTCGGATGTCATGCGCGGTCCTTTGCTCCCGACTAGCCCTAGTACCTCGCCCATCCGGATGGCCTGATGCAGCATGGTGTATCCAAGATCGTCGTTCCGTGACATTGAGTAGCTTGAACATTATCAGAGCCACTTGCTTTTGAATAGGCAGGGAATAACACTCACCGTTCATACATCAGCAAGGTGCCCTGCAACGAAGCCAGACTGGGCTGTGCAGGCTCCTCTTCCTTGAGCCGCTCTGCCTCGGCCAGAAAATCACTGCCCTTGGAGGAGATATCTCCAGGGACGACATAGGCCTCTGAGAACTCAGAGAAGTACTATTCAAAGGATCAGCAACCACAAGACAGGATAGACAAAATGACACAATGAAAAGAAAAATGAAACTAACACAAGCATTGCTCAAGATAGCATTGACCAGAAACGGGCTGCAAAACTCCGAAGACAAGTCCCCACGAGCCATATGCTTGATGAAAACACCGGCATCCAAAAATGCATGGAACGGATAATCCCACGAGAAATACAAGGACACCAGATGCGAAACGAGATCCCCGTCCTCGGTAACAGACGTCCACGGCCAGGCCGGCACCTTACACGGCGCCTCATCGCAGAGGTAATGGATATCCATAACCTTGCGACGAAACGCAGGACTGGCACCCTCGACATTGATCAGCTGCCGCATATCCTCGAGCTTGGCGACGGTTTCCTGCGTTGCAGCGGCGCCGGCGCCGGCACCGCCGCGTGAGCCGCTCAGGCTCGCGAGCGTCTCGTTGATGAAGGCGCGGATCTCCTCCGGCGGCGCGTTGTGCCGGATAATTTCCAGGAGCCGTAAAGCTTGTGGCTCATCGGCTTCGCGGACTACCTTGAAGAGGTCGTTTAGGAGGTCGCGGTGGTAGCTGAGTTCGTCGGCGGTGCGTTTGGCGGCGACGCGGCGGCGCTGGTCGAGCGATTCGTCGAAGATGCAGACCCGGTTGAAGGCGCGGCAGTTATCGCAGGGTGGTGTGCCCGAGCACTGTGTTTGTCAGTTGTCTTGATAGAGTTTGGGATGAATGCATAAATCCATGGGTATAGTTCGAATGGAAAGAAACTCGCCTTGCGTTTGGACTTCTTGCACGCCAAACACGCCGTCGACACCCTCTTCTTCCACGACCCCGACGAAGTCCTCGCATCTCGAGGCGGGCTTCCATGCTCCGACGTTGGCGAGGTCGGCGAGGGCCCCGGCGCAAGATGGCGGTGTTGATCGCTCATGGCGCGACATGGACCGGCAACCAGCACAGAAATACAGACACGCAGATAATAGATAGATGCTGTTGCTGACAATTAGATGCCTAGGACAATACCCTTCGGCTTGGTTTGCCGCGCATGACGTGGATCGAAATCATCGGGAATTGGAACCCGCCTATCCAGGGCTATAGCTGTTTTGGTCCTTGGTTGGGGACAATAAAACGGAGGTGTGGCGGGTCTGCACTATCGGGATGAACATGGTCTATCAGATCAATGATCGAGTACCTGTAGCAGGTGGAAGAAACATGAACCGTGGGCATGTAAATCAACCTAAAGTTGAAGCCATCCAGAATACCAGGATCTATCCTTCCAAGCTTACTCTCCCGATATAAAACTGGAAAGATGGCATTGACTAGGACCAGGGGCAACAATGAACGGCACTTGGACGTAAACACGATTCCCAATGCAGGCAAAAACCCTCATGAACAAAACAAAAAACGCTGGATTATTGTAATGTAATACAAGTACTTCTTTTTGCATACTCCATGGAAATCCATAGCCGCGAATGCACCTCCCACATAGCGCAAAAACAATTCCGAGACCTGCACCAGTTCCGCATCTCTATGGGTTTCGGCAGACAAGACGTTGGTACGGTAGATATTGTCTAGTGCTCCAGGATTCTCAGGCTGCCCTGCACCACGCAGTTCTCCAGCACCGAGCCCGGCGGGATATCGATGGTGCTGCCCTCGGTAGCCACGATGATCACCGTACCTTTCAGCGTGACGTTGCGGCCCAGGTTAACAGCGCCGGTGATAGTCAGATGGTCCAGCTCGACAATGCGCGGGATGCTGGCAATGCGCTTCTGGAAGTCCGACACCTTCTTGAAGTCGGAGCCGAGCTTGATCACGGGCACACCACCGAAGCGGTTAGGGTCCATGACCAGCTGGCCGTGCTCGAGGCGGTACAGGTCCGACTTGACCACCATCAGATCGGAGCAGGTCTTGACCGGCAAGAACCGGCGACGGGGCACGTTGACACCGTGGGCGTTCTTGAAGTGGCGGATGGCCGCACCAACCGCGGTCTCCAGCTGGTAAATGGCCTGGTCGGCCTCACCCTTCTTGTCGGCGGGGATGGACTTCTCGTTGGCGATGATCTCCATCTCCAGCTCGTTCTCCTCCACGACACGCTTAATAGCCCGCACGTTCATCCAGATGTTGTTGGTGTTGAAGTACTTGAACTTCTTGATGGACTTGAACTCGTTGACGTGCTCCTTGGGCACCTGGGCAATCTCGAGGAGGCGGACCTTGCCGTCGTAGTCGATGATGGTGCCACCCTTGACGTCAGCCTTGGTCTTGTCCGTCAGCTCCATGATGTACTCGGCGTTGGAGTCGACCATGTGCTGCAGAATGCGGAGATCCACAACAGCACCCAGGTTGTCAGCGTTGGACAAGAAAATGTATTCGATACCGCGCTCAATGAGCTTATCGAGGGTGCCCGAGTTATACAGGGACTCAAACACGTCACCGTGGCCCGGGGGATACCAGTCCTGCAGAGGAGCATCGAAGCTCTTGGGGGCGGGCAGGAGCGAGTCCTTGACGATACGCGGGTAGCGCGACTGGTTGAAGGTGATGATGTCGACGTTGTGGCCCTCGTACTTCTTGATAATGGACTGGGTGTCCTGGTCGGTGTTGAAGGAGTTCATAAGGACGAAGGGCACGTTGACGTTGAAAGTGCGGTTCAGGTGCTCAATCTGACGCACGGAAAGATCCAGGAAGGACATGCCCTCGCGGACCTCAATGACGGACTTGGGGCCGACGCAACCCATGGAGGTACCCAGGCCACCGTTCAGCTTGACAACCGCCAGCTTGTTCAGGAACTCGACCGACGCATCAGCACCCAAGTCATCGTATCCCACCACCTGCGAAGGCTGCGGGGGCGCAATGCGGTCCCAGTTGACAGCATTGCCCTTGGCCTTGTCGTTGAGGAAACGGCGGAACAGGGCAAAGAAGTTGTCGGTCTCGGCTTCAAAGCGCTTTTTCTCGTTGGCATCGGGGACAGTGTCGGCGAGGGCATTCAGGGCATTGCGCATCTGGGATGCAGCCACGCTCGTGGAGGCATTCTCAAAAGCCTGGTTGGCAATCTGGGTTAGCAGACTGGAATGTCGAGACATTGGGAAATGAGCTGTGGGGAATGACGAGATTCGATGTTCAAAACAGATCAAGAGAGACAGAGACAGAGAGAGACAGAAAATAGACTGGGCAAGGAATGGATATTGAGAGATCGATCAAATAAGAGATGGGTGGGAGAGTAAACAGATTTCCCTGGCAGAAGACAAAAGGCCCCGCGTGCAGAGAAACCGTTCAGCCACGACCAGCGATGATGGATCAGGCAGGAACCAGTTCACCACACTAAATCTCCTCCCTTCTCTCTCTCTCTCAAATTGTCAACGTACCATGTGTGACTGGGACTTTCCGTGATGCTTTCCAAAACCAGCATTTGAATCGTTGGCCGGAGCGCGGAGGTGAGCAGGGATCGCCTTAGCGGCCATCGTGGACAAGGATCAGGAAGTAGATGTGAATCACTGGAGGGGGAAAAAAGGGTGTCAATTCAGAGCAGAGTTGGAAGAGGAAACGTGGCGGTCTTGATGACAAGCACAAAAAGGAGGGGTTTTAAATCGCCACAGCTGTCGATCACTCGGGAGAGAAGAGCAGAGGGCGGGTGACATGTCGACAAGCTGCCGTCATTGGCAACGGGGCGGGGGGCTATCATTGGGGCTATCATTGGCAGTGCGACCGGGGAAAACTCACCAGGATTCAGCGAGGGTTGATGAGAAGTAGAAAAGAGAAAGAGAGAGAGGGAGGGAGAAAGATGAAGGGAGAAGATTAAAAAGGAGAAGGGAGAATGGCCGATCGTGGTGGGGGGAAGAGAATCCCGTGAATCCGCTATTTGTTTACTTGATGGCCCTTAACATCAGGGCTTCTGGTTCTTTTTCTTCTTATTTGCTTCTTTGCTCTTTGCCCTAACTGCTCAACTACCTACACCCTTGGTATCTCCAGGCTTAAGTGCCCTCCCCTTGCTTCGCTGTCGTCAGCCGCCTCAACCGCGATAACGGCTCCCTCGTACAACTTGTACTTTCTCTGTATATTCGATCCAGACCTTTTGAAAAGCCCCTTTTCTCTTTGGATTATCCACAGGCCCCACTGGTGTTGATGGTCCCTTGTCCCGGGCAATAGTTCAAGGTTACTATATTGCTATATTGCGATATTACTATTAATACTATAATCCACTCAAACCAGATTCCAGTGAAACCCCTAGACCAGTTTCACTTCCCAGATGCTAATTAGATCTGGAATGCTGTGCTCAGTGGGAGCTGCATCCTTTCTTCACCGTCAGTTCCGGTCTATTGAAGGTAGTTCACCTGACTAGTCTCAGTGTTACATAGTTCTGCATCGGAATCCTCCAGGTCATCCCTGGAGTCATGATGCTTCAAAAAGAATAAAGAAGAAGAAGAAGAAGAAGAGTGTGCCAGGCCTGGACTCTCCTTGTCGGTGGGGCAAATTGGCTCTCCACCGATCCAGGGAAATGGAGTGCGGCTATACGTAACTCCCTTAACCGTACTTTCATATAGTTGTATGCTCTGAATATACCTAACAATATGAATATTACTAGTAGTTAGATAGTAGTCATCAAAATAAATACAATATCCTTGCAAGACTTAAGGATGTCTCAAATATTATCAAATATTATCTGTATACCTCATCAATCCTACCGACACTTCGCAGATCATCGCCTCCCTCGTGTGCTGCAGCCAGGGTTCCGGCCAAAGACAACGCGCCACCTTCCCACATGGGACTGTTCGGGCAGATCCTTGGGTTCTCTTTGACTTCACGGGAGAAATCCTAAAAGTCTAAAAATACCCCCTGTTATCCCAGTTAATTAAGCATAAATACACTCTACTCAACTAGATCATCCGGAATTGAAACTGCATTTCACACCCGAGCGCTAAACAGACGAGACCATATACTTTGCATAAGAAAAAAAAAAAAAAAAAAAAGAGGATATCACAAATAAAAACCCATTCCAAGCAGCATTTCATCGGGTTTTCTTCATATACAGGACTGCATCTCCAGAACTAACGTGCTTTGGTTCTGCTTTATGCACCACTCACGCTCCGCTTGCTCAGGAAGCTCCGACGAGGCAGCTTGCGCGAGTCCGGGCTGTCGGCACCCTCCGAGGCCTCACCGGCGGTGGAGTGCGACGTCGACGGGCGGAGGCTCGATTCCGAGGGGACGAAGCTAGACCGGATGGTCACGCTGCCTTCGCCGATGCTGACGACCTTGTCCTGGCCGGCCACAGATCCCTGGTCATCCACGAAGAATGGAGCTTCTCCCAGAACGTCATCTGAACCAAAGGTTGCGTGGTTCACAACCCGGATCTGGTACTGGGCGTCGGCAGTCACGTTCGGCACGCGGAACGAGTCGTCGTACTGCACGCTGCCGCTGCTGGTCTTGTAGGCCTTAGTCTTGTGGATTTCCTTGGCGCCCTTGGGTCCCTGGACCCGGACGATCACCCGCACATTGGCCGTCGAGGGGAATCCCGTAGCGGAGACAACAGTGATGTTGGCGCTGCCGGAATCCCCGCGGCCCGTGCCGCCGATCACACTAAGTCGATCGCCGAACTGCGAGGCACCGCTGCGATTACGGCTGTGCTCCTTTTGCGGGGTCTGGGGTGTGGAGGGCGACTCGCCGTCTGCCACCGACACGGCCGGAGTCAGACGAGAGTCCGCGGGCTCATCCTGACTGTTGGCCAGAGACGCTTCGTCCTCGCCCTTGTCCTTATGGATGCGCGACATCAGACCGTGCTTCAGGAACGATGCGCCCCGGACCACATTGCCACCGACAAATCCCACGCCCTTGACGGGCGCCCCGACAATCTTGCCGGGGACAGCAAATGTGCCTGAGAAGGTTGAGGAGCCTTGACGGGACCGAATGACGTAGCTGGGTTTGAAGAGTAAATTGAGGCGGATCACACCCGATTTCCCATCCAACGGCAAGGTCACCTCCTTGGGTTCGAAAGGTGGGAGGCCCTCCAAGTCAATCGGGGTCGCACCCAGGAAGTCGGCCTTGTCACCAAAGTCCCAATCATACACATCCACATGGAAATTGGCGCCGATCCGAGACTTGATGGGGGTTTCAAAGTACTCGTTCCAGGCCGGATGTAACGTCTTCTTTTGCACGTTGGTCTTAAACACACTCTCGTCGCCCAGGCGGAACTTGCAGTAAGGATCGCTGAGACCGTTGCGGTCGGCCGACGGCAGATCGGCTGCGTCCAGAACTTTCACACGCAAGGTACCCATGTTGTTGATACTCTCTGTCGGGTCGAGCTTCATGTGCGAGGGAATGTACCGGGCACTAACGGTAATCTTACTGACCTCACCGGAGGTTGAACGAAGGACAAGCTCGGTGGGAGTATACTGTAGAGGCGTTAGTTCTGACCTTCAGACGAGCCCATGAATCAAACCTACCAAGATGCGCTGCAACGTGGGCAGCGTGTCGCCAGTCAACTTGGCGACCGTGTGCTCCTCGCTTGAATCCTTGGGGTCACCTTTCCTGACCAGGCGCAGCGTGATCTTGGAGAATTCAAGTTCACGCACGAAAGCCTCACCAACTGTGCTCAGTCAGCGATTTGTTCTCTAGACAAAACAATAGCAGGTTTCACATACTATCCGAGGACTTGACTGTCGTAGAATGGATCTTGGGTGAGGTGTAGGCCGGGAACATGTAATCGTCCATCAAAACTTCAAGCTGCACATTGTTGTAAGCCAGCTCGCCCTCGTGGAATTTGAAAACAATGAAACCGGATTCTGTAAGTAGGTTAGCGAAAGCGCAGAAACACATGGGATAAATTATTGTACCATATTTGCCGAGGTCTTCTACGCTGACAAAAGTCTTGGGAACGTCCTTGATTGACCGAACAGAGGCAGTCTCGGAATCTCGAATAGTGGTAGGTCGCGAGGCGTTCGTCTCGAGACTAGTACGGCCGTTGGTGTTTGGCTCCGCAGAACCATTGGAGGTGCCGTTGGGGGTTGTTCCATTGGAGAGAGCTTTGGAGTCGACACTGGCAGACTTGGAGTGTGTGCTCTTTCGAGGAGTGTCGGGGCCCGGGCTGCCAACGGCATCCGCTTCCTCTTCCTCTTCGTCGGCCTCATCCTCTGGGTTCACCACAGGCACGGTCGGGTAGAATGCAACAGTATAGTTCAGCTGACCTTTGGCGGGTCCGTTGCCGATACGGAGACTGCTGGTGATGGACTGTTTCTCGTCGTCGATTTCATACTCGCCGGTTTCCGTTTCGCGGACAAAGTCAGAAGCCTTGAGGTCTGCCCAACCCAGAGTGCGATCTTTGTTGATCGACTCCTCGTCCATAACCTCCACTGTCAGCTTTTCACGAGCACTGCGGATAGGAACATACACAACCTCATCCCACTCAGGGTTGAGGTTGTTACGGAAAGTGACAGTGCGGCCGCGAGTGATGCCGGACAGCAGAACACGCGCATAGGGATCCGACTTGCCCATGGCCTCCAGGTTCCGCAAGCCAGACGCACTCTTGAAGTGAAAGCGCATGACACCAATAGGGTCGACATAGCCCGCACTGCCCGATATGCCTCCCAGCGCAACGGGCTTCCACTGCAGCATCATCTTCACACGTCCACCCTTGGCACCGTGGAGATGGAACCACTGCTGACCTCGCTCCATCATTTTGACCATATCATTCATCTTGATCTGGTACCGGCCAAGGATGGGATCGGTCATGAGATCACGATCATCCTTGATGATGAGACCCAGTCGAGCGTGCTTGCGGTCCGTCACCAAAAACTCCTTGGAAGCGTTTTGAAAGATAGGGTTGTTGGTACGTTTCAATTTGTTTGTGATGTGGATCTCCTTCCCGTTCAAGAGCAAGACACCGTAAGGATTGAGCTTGCCAACCAGACTCTTGCTTCCATCCAGGTCCTTGGCTTGCTCGACAGTAAATTGAGCGATACCGGTGTTCATCTCCGGGGGTGCTTCGGTCTCTCCTGACTCCAGCTTTGTGCCCTCCAAAACAGGGAAAAAACGGATATCGGCATGGATGGCACCACGGTGGCGGCCACTGGCGGTCACTTCCAGGTAGACCCCCTCATGGCTGGGCTCCTGTTCAAGCTTGTCCAATCCGAAGCTGGCAGTTCCCAGCTCCTTGTCCTTGCGGTATTCATTCCAGTCGTACGGGACAATGGTCAGCGCATCAGTGAAGGAGGTGATGATCACGTAAATAGTCTCATTCCAGCGGGGGCTGTCGGTGTCGTAAACGGTCTTGGTGCGGCCAAGCTCCGTGCGATTGTTCAAGGACACGATCGCGTACGGGTCTGGAGTACCAGAGAACTTGTCCGGGTTCTTCAGCTGGTGCGCACCGTGCAGAGTAACCGCCACAACGCCAATGGCCTGGTCCACGGGGTTTCCAGCCAACATCTTGGCAATCTCGATGGGGAAGACGTTCGGGTCGTACATCATGGGCTGGAGGTTGTTGTGAATCTGTTCCTTGATAAAGGTTTCCAAGCCGGGGATAAAGTTGATATCGAATCCGAGGTGATCGCCCCCGATGGGCTTGCAAGCGTAGTCGAGCTCGGGTTTCTCCAAGAAGCAGACGTCCACACGCTCAATGTGGGGGAACGGAATCTGAAGCTTGACCTTGACCCGCATCAAGCCCGAGCAGGCCATGTCTTCGACAATCACGTCAAGGCCCTTGCTCATGACACCCTTGCCCACTCGGACCTCCAGCACCACCTTGGGGTTGATCTTGTCCTTCAATTGACGCGAAGTCAAGTCCATGGTATCATTGGGGGTGAAGCTGAATTTCCAGTCCATAATGACAGTATCGGGTTCCGTTTTAGGGTAGGTCTTAACATGCTCCAAACGCGGCGGCTTAGTACCGAGAACAAACGTCTTCAAGCGCAGGCTGTCCAAGAACGCCGGCGTGGAGGTGCTCAAAACCTGGTCAACCGAGTTGATAATTGTGTCGCAGAGAACCGGGGCATAGATGGGCCAGAACTTGACCAAGAAGCTGTTGATCCATTCGAGGCTTTCGGTGTCGGTTTCCAGGCGCTGCTTGGACATCTCCCGGTTGACGTCGTCGCGGAAATTGCGGCGCACTCGGCGAATCGACGTACGGTAGTAGGTGCTGCATCCCGCCATGACCAAGAGCACCCAGCCAATGCCACCGCCCAAGACAGCAATGATCCATGAAGTCAAGCAGGCAAGCACGATGATCGCGGCATTATGGTACCAATCCCCGAAAAACTTGTCGTGTAGTTTACCCTCCAAATATGTCTGATGGTCAAGTAGAGTACCCTCCTCCTCTTGCTCGGCAGTCTTCTCAATGGCGAACCGCGGAGCCCACCCGGTACGATTGCGCGCCCAACGCAGGTCCTCCTCGACCTCCTTTCCACCCTTCTCTTCTGCTGTCGTAGCTTCTTCCGCCAAGAGGGCAGTTGCGGATTGTGGAGGAGGCAAATCGTAGTCCGCAGCACCATCATCCTAGAAATTGGTTAGATGTGTCGTTGGGGTCTTCGCCAGAAAAAGCAGCGATGTCTTACCTTGTCGGTGATCACGGCCATCCCCTTGGGTTTCTTCGGGTGGTGGAAGTTGGGCGGCAATGCCTGTGGTCACCCAAGTCAGTTTCGCGAACAGCGCGCATCCAGTTCAGCTTGCAGGGCACCCACCGCTTTGGCTGCGTTCGCCTTATCTTCTGGGGAGGCATCCGGATCGAACTGGTAGGCGGGAGCGCCCGATTCGCGAGTCTCGTCAACCAGCTTTTCCTCAATCGTGTCAGGATTGACTTGGGACTGCGGGTCTTGGTGCAATTGCTGGGCGGTCTCAATGGCCCCTTCCGCCTTTAGCTCCGTCTTCTCCGCATCGGCGGACGCCATGTCGCCGGTCGGGATGTCGAATGCAGGTCGTCAAAAAGGTCTTTCTCAAGAACTAGCGACCGGACAATGATTGGTGCCTAGGGATGTGAGGGTTAGTTTCATGTCAGGTGGGACAGGAGGAAGAGAATCTGGGGATTGGAATTCGGGGATTCGATGAGGGGGTGGTGAGGGGAAGGAGAGGAATGTGAGCTTACCGAGGGGTCAGATACAGGGGAGGACCCAGGTAGACCGATAGATACAGAAGCAGAAAAGAACAAGAAGAGAAGAGGAAGAGGAAGAGAAAGAGGACAGAGAGAGTGTGTGTGGAGCGATGACCAATTGGGGCAGCTCCAGTCGCCCAGCCGCTTGCGTCAAGGAAGCGCGTATTACCAGGTGTACTCCGATATGATTACCACGTAACAATTGTCTCTCTACGCGGTGTAATATGATAGTGCTATTGTAATATTGTAACAGGGAAATCTTCCAGATCGAATGGGGAAAAAATAAAAAATAGAAAAGGAGAAGATCGGAGATCAGTGACGTACTCGTCCTTGTCGATCTCGGGGCGGATCCTGGGGTGCCTGGGAGAGGTTCGTCGGGGACCTGAGAATTTCTAGTTCCTGGGATCATGATCTTACATATTTGGTGTATATATAGAGAGAATAATTTAAGGTACAGAATACTGTATGCAATTGATCTCGGGGAAAGGTAGTAATTGAGGAATTTGAGAGGATTAGCTGACAGGACATGGCCATAGATACTCGAGATCTCGGCGCTAACGCGGAGGACTATTAGATTCGACCCGAGCTTTCATTCCGCACCGCCACCGTCATGGCTGGGCATGGGATGGGAGATAATGATATAGTATGGTATATACTCTTTATGGTATAATCATAATTGATATAGCAAAATATAACAAAATAAAACAAACAAGTGATCAAAGTACAACCCTGGAAATCGGGTCTAGAAAATACAGGCCAGCCCTACAGCCCCTCGCTAGGCAGCGACATACCTGGTCCATACCTCGCCCGATAGATGAGCTCTAATTCCAAGAATTAATTATAATGATATTAATTTCATGAATTATGATTAATTTTCCTACTCAAATCAATTAGAACTACTCTCAGCATGTAAATAGCCCCAGGACACGTGGACGTGCATGCCAACAAGCACAATCCTCCTCGGCACCCAAGATTCTCTAGTTCGTGATACGCCCCATAGTGTGCATCCACTTTCCGATAGTCGCTGTGATTTGGTTCCCAGTGCAGCGTGCAGGGCCACCTGCATGCATTTGCAGAATTGGATCTATCATTCTCTCTACAACCTGAATTTTCTCGGTTAAAGCTACTGAAATAACATACGAAGCCATCAGTATACAATCTTGTTGGCCTATACTATATCCTATAGTTACCCTCTGCTAGCGATGGGCAGGCAGATCCATGGATAAATCCCCACCCATCCACTAGTTTTTTCTTTTGCCTCGGTGCCAGATCTGCTTCGGCCCCTCAATAACCCCAAAATGGTCCCTACATTAGTACACTACTGTAAGACCCACGCCGACAGAAAATTACCGTAGGCGCTAGCCATCGGGAAAGATCTGCAAACCCCAAGGTTGAGCTGGCTGACCTTCATATGCAAGATATGCAAGATACCAGACTGTACCTCGAATGTGTCCACGGGTCTGTGCCCTGGTAGGCTACTGCATTACTCAAGACGTGGCCAAGGTAGACATGCAAGCTCATGCGCAGCAAATAGAATTTTTTTAAAAATACGGAGAATCCATGTGCCAGGAAAATGAAAATGAATAGGCTCATCACGTCTTCACGTCGTTGCAATTGTCCTATGTCGATCCACCATCGGACGATTGCAAGCCCAGGGCAATTGTCCGAATTTACCGTCCCAGACGGATGACACCCGCCGCCATCAGTTTCTGGATCTTGATCCGCACCTGCGGGTTCTTCATGTGCTCCTGCAGGGCAGCCGGGTCGCTCTTTGCTTGCTGGAGAATGCTCTGCATAACGGGGTCCTGCAGGATGGACATGATCTACAGTCATCGAGTTAGCATCCCATTTCCCAATACCATTAGAGCAAAATAGCAGGGGGGGGATCATACCTCGGGGTCGTTCTGAATTCGCTCCATGGTCTGCTGCTCCGTCTCGCCAGCACGGGCGCTGAACTGCGCATCAAGGCACTTCTGCTGCTGCTGCTCGATTTCACGAGTGTGGGTGCCATCGTCGTGCTCGCCAGCCTCGGTGAAAGTGTCCAAAGCCCGGTTGTACTCCTTCATCGCAACCAGGGCCTGGCCCTTGCGCATGTATGCGCGGATGAACTTGGGGTCACGGCTCGTGGCCTCGTCGCAGTCTTGCACCGCCTGCGGGAACGCCATCAACTTGATCAAGGCAGCCGCACGGTTGGAGAAGCCACGCGGGTCCGTGGGCGCACGCTTGGTCATCTCCGTGAAGGCATCCACAGCACCGGGCCAGTCGCCCTCCTGGAACTTTTTCTGACCGAGCTCACGGGCCTTCTCCGCCTCGGCGGGGTCCATGTAGGCGTCCTTCTCCGCTGTGGTCTTGGTCTTCTCAGCGTTGCGGAGCTTCGTCAAAGCATCGGGTGTGCGGTGCTCAGTGAGAGACTTGTGGTAGAATTCAATGGCCTGGGTTAGGTCGCCCATCTTTTCGTAGGCAGTGCCAATTCTTGTGAAAGCCCTGTCCCAAAACTGTCAGCATATCTATCATCTAACTCGGAGGTTTGCGGTTTAACATACTTGGCCAGCAGCTTGAAGTCGGCCTTCAGGTCACGGCCCTCCTCCACGGCCTTCTGGCAAGTCTCGACAGTGCCCTGGTAATCTCCCTTCTCGAACTTGGCCGCACCGATGTTATTCAAGTACGTGATATCCTTGTTGAGCTCCCAGGCCTTGGTGTAGTGCTCAATGGCCTCATCAAGCTGCTTCTTCTTGTAGAAGTCGTTGCCGATCTTCTTCTCCGCATCACCAGCCTCCTGAGCCTTCTTCTTGGCAATCGTCTCCTCGTCCTCTGGCTCGGGCTCGGGCGTCGGTTCCTTCTTCGGCTGCGAGGTGCTGGGCTTCGCATCCGGCATGGGCTCATCCTTGTCGGCTCCCGACGGGCCGCCCTCGCCCGGGCCGCCAAAGTTCATATCGATCCCGAGAAGTACACTCATGACCTGCAGAAAACGAGGGTCTCTGATCTCCTCCCCCACGCTGTTCGGGTTCTGTTGGATTTTCTTCAGCTTCTCCATGAACTCCGAGTCAGCCAACAAGCTCGCGGTCTTGGGGTTGTTGGCCAGCTTCTGGAACAGCGCCGGGTCATTGAACATGCCGCCGAGGCCGCCCGTAGGGTCACCCGATGCTCCGTCTGCCGTGACCTCCGCATTGATGGCCCGCTTGACCGCGCTGAAGCCCGACTTGGCTTGCTCGTTGCCGGGTTCGATGTTCAAAGCCTCCTCGTATGCGTCGTGGGCGGCCACTATATGATCAATCAGCCACAGATCACCTAAACAGACCAAGGTTTGATTAGCCAACTTACAGAGGTCACCCAGACCACGGTAGGCAGCTCCCTTGCGGGCATGGCCCTTGGACCAGTCGGGCTTGATGCTGATGGCCTTCTCGGCATCCTCCAAAGCTTTCTGGTATTCAGTCTGAGCCGAGTACACAGCGGAGCGGTTCGAATAGAGGATGTGGTTCTGCGGTTCGAGGTCGATAGCCTGGGAGAATTTCTCACTGAGATACGTCAGCTTCTGTCCCCCGTCCAAGGCGGGGTAGCACATACATGGCAGTAGGGTAGTCTTTGGCAGAGAAGGCCTTGTTGCCTTCTGCTTTCAAAGCGTCGGCCATTTTGGATGGTAGACAAAGGTCGGCAGGGAAAATGGGGAAATGCAGGTCAATAGGCCGGACCACGAGGATGCACTGCGGTTATGAGCTCCGTGGGAGCTTCTCGAAATTTCCGGGACACTTCATAGCCTCAGGCAGAAATGAATCTTCAGGCATGAAAGCAAGGCATACAGGCAGCAAGGCAGCAATATGTCGGAAGCTCCAACACTCTAAACCATTTCGGGTCAAGTCATTCCCCGCCACGAAAAAAGTCGCTGAGAAAACAGCGTGATTCATCGTTGACTCAGAACACTCACAAACACGATGCTTCCCTAACTCCCTGATTTCTTCGAACAGAGATTTGAGCCTGGTCGATGATTCTGTTCTACCGGCTGGTCTCCCGTCTCACCAACCATGGCCTCCGCGGGGTCTGACGTTGCCCAGCTTGCCTCGAAGCTCTATGAGGCGTGCTTAAACCAATTCGACTCCGAGCACCTGTTCTACCAAAATGATCTGCGGGGATTGAATGTCATTCCCGATGGCGACATCCCGCTCCTCCTGAATTGCACCCAATCCCTGGTGGATCAGAAGTTCTTCCGTCTTCTCCAGGACAAAAGTGATCGACTGGCATGGAAGGTTGTTCCGCGCGAGGATGCCGAAAAGTAAGGACTAGGTTTGATTTATGTCTTTTGATAGTTGCGGTCCGGCTGACCTCTGGGTTTTTACTTCGTCTAGACTCCGGTCTCTGAGCGCCGATGAAAGTCTGGTGTACAGTGTCATCCAGTCCACCGGACGGACAGGCATCTGGGTGCGCTCGATTCAAATGCGCACAAACCTGCACAAATCAATTCTCGATCGCAGCCTCAAATCCCTCGAGGGCAAGAACTACATCAAAACCATCCACAATGTCAAATACCCCAGCCGGAAGATGTACATGCTGGCCGGCCTGGCCCCTAGCGAGGAGATCACGGGCGGCGCCTGGTTCACAGACGGCGTACTTGATGCCAACTTCATCAACAGTGTGGGAGGCTTCATCGAATACACCGTCAGCCGGAAGAGCTGGTACGAGGTGCCCACGGCCGAGCGCGGCCGGGCCAAGCGCCTCAAAACTGCGACAGGTAAAGCGGACGTCAAGTCAGAGCAGCCAGAAAAGGCCTATCTGCCCTTCCCTGCAGACTACAAGGGATATCCGACAGTCGAGAGCATCACCGCCGCCGTCAACGAGAGCGGAATCACTCCAGTGCGTATGTGGGAACAAAGTGTGGTCCAGCTGCTCGAAATGCTCTCTTACGACAAAAAGCTCGTCGCCCTGAACGACGGGCGGAACTACAGAGCTCTCAAGAATCCCGAAGCGGTCAAAGCGAGCCAGGCCCGCAAACCCGCTGCCGAGGGTGACGAAGCCGAGGCTGCCAAACACCTGGTCAAAAACGGCATGACCGAAGCCCCCTGCGGCCAGTGCCCGGTCTTCCGACTGTGCTCGCCGGGTGGCGCTGTGAGCCCCGAGACCTGCGAGTATTTCGACCCGTGGTTGTCGAACGGCCTTGGTTTCTGAGGTCCTGTAGGGATACGAGAATGACTCGTTCCCCGAAGATATGATTTATTGACAACATGGGTAATCCCCAATGTCGACACGTTTGCATGGAAGCAGGGAGACGCGAGGAAAACAAAAACATGGGGGCATTGTGTGCATAGCGATGGCGTTTTGACTTTGGTTTGCCTTTCTTCTGGCATCGAATGCGCCTGAAAGGGGTTTGTGTGTACTCATCTGTACGGCATTGGTCTTTGGTACCGACCTACGAGCTAAAGTAGGTGGCCTCGCTACGTGCTTGGAAGGGCTGCAAGCCAGCAATTCTGTTGAGACAATAGAAAAAAAGATGTGGATCGGCTTCTCTTGAACCAAATGCTCGCGTATCCAACTCCGAGGAAATTAAACAAAGCCAGGTAGACCCCATGAACGCCCTGGGTATATCAACAATCATGCAAATCGTAGGAAGTAGAAGAACAAGGAAAACAAGGGCAATCCGCTCAAGAATTACTTGAGAAGGTTCTTCCTGCATTCATCGCAATACCACGTTCCAACAGGCTCCCGAGTCAAGCCCACACATTTCCAGTGGAACCACTCATAGGGACAATTATCATTGTCACAGGCGACCATGTCCCCATGACTGACAGTGCGACAAGTACAGTAGACCTTGGTATCTTCGTTACCCTCGTCCTCGTCATCATCATCCATGTCCTCGTCCCCGGCACCAGTATCGCTCTTGTCCGAATCAGACATGTCGGCACTGCTGAGCATCGAGTCGTCGTCCTCATCGCCCTCACCCGTGGGGGACTTTTTCGAGGTCTTGATCCGGCCGCTAGCACTCGACGAGCGCTTAGATGGCTTGCCCGAAGACTTGATCTTCTTCACCTGTTGGTGCGGAGCGACCTTTTTGGTCATGGCCTTCTTGACACCACCGACGGTACGCGGGCCCGCGCTCCCTGCCCGACTGGAGACTGGCGTGCCGGCCTTGGGGGTCCCAGGGCCCATGGACGACTGACGCAAGTTTGATGAGGCTGCGGGGAGAGTGCCGAGCGACGCGTTCAGGCGCCGACGCTTGCTATCCACAGCTCCGGCGGATGATTCGCGCTGCCGTTGCTGGAGGTGTACTACCGCCGCCGCGGGGGTAGCGGGTGCAGAGCTGCGCGCAGTCGTCTGGGCGGTCAATGCCGCTGGACCGGCTGCGCGGGGGTCGACTGGTGGAGTCTCTGCGCGGCGGCCAGGATGGGGTTCGCGTTTCCAGATGTCGGGTTGAGGGGGGTGGAGTAGGGGGTAGAGTCGGACGGGGTGGAATCGGGAAAGAAGACCTTGGGCGGGTCACGATATTGATTCTTGTTGTCGAAGAGTGAGGGGAGCGGCGGGTCGTTCGAGAGCAGGCCATCATTCTGGAGGTCGCGAATCCGCACGTCAAGTCTCTTAACCTGCCGGTCGAGGAGGATGCATGCCTTCTCGCTCAGCTGAATCTTCTCATCCTGTAGCTGCTGCGACCGGTCTAGGTTCTGTAGGACTGCCTTGCTGTATTGTTCTTCCTTTGGATTCGGCGTCAGGCTGCCGTTGATTTTGATGAATTTTTGGATACTGCTGTCGCGCGAATTGATGGTGGCCCGGCACTCTTGCATCACTTTATCCTTGGCTTGAATTTCCTCCATCAAATGGTTGATTTCTAGCGGAAGGTTCGCCACATCATGCACAAACTGCTCCAGGACTGTCGCGCAGTCCTCCGCACCGTGCGCCATCGCGGATTCGGTCGGGTCTCGGTGATCGGGGAGATGTCGGTGAAAGATCAACGGAATTAAATATCCTGAGTCTCTCTAATACTGGTCAGATTTGCAACCGATGGTGGATCAAAAACTGAACGCTTGTCTGTCGCATCGATCGGAGCAATGATCGCAGGGAGACTTGGAAAATGGCTGGTGCCCGGATCCGCTGACTCAGTTGACACCTGAGGTTCCTCCAGAATCCCGGGAATGAATGCATGCACAACTACGTCCACACTTCGTGTGGCCTATTTTTGCTTCGGGGTTTAGAAATCATAGATTAGGTAAGGAGGCAAAATCAGTTAATTATTACAAGAGCAAATAGATATATATAGGAAAGACAATATCCCAAAAATACCCTAAGAAATATATATATCTGAAGAGTAGTAGGACGAAAGGGAATGACCATTGTATTGGAGTTAGTTAGTACAGGCTATTATGCCACTGAGTGAGATAGATATTTTTGAACAATCTAGCTAAAAGTATTTCAAGAGTAAGAAGTCTTAGAAAATGAAAATCAGAAAAATAATAGAAAAGAGAGGGGGTCTACAGAGTATGAGGTGATATACTATTTGAAGTTTCTGAGCCCTGTGATTCGGCCTGTTTCATTATAGCATATTTGGATGGAGTATAGAACTCGTGAGGGAGCACATGACTAGTAGCTTAATTTTTGTTGTCAATTAACAGAATTAATCGCTAGTTTTTCGTCGGCTTACTTATTAGTAGCACCATATTCCTCCTCGTATCTCAGGAATGCATGCATGATAGGGCGAACAATTTACCTTCAACTTGCTGTATTATTATTCTTACTAGTAGAAGGAGGACATATACTAGCGAAAGATAAGGAGAACGATCCAACTAAAGCGGGAGATGGACGAGGCAGGTAAACAAGAGGGTGAAAGGGAAGAGCGAAGACGGTTTGATGAAACATATTGGCAAGTATCACAGACGCTAAAGAGACATCCTATAGAGGAAGACCATAAAAAGAGGCGACACCAACAAGCTGCAAGAAAGCGGGTTGCGGAAAGGGAACCGAGCGAGAGACATATATAATAATTACAAGAAAGTACGTAAACGTATGATAAAAGAGGATAGCGAACCTATTACTGGTTTCTTTGATAGGTCTTTTTATACGGTATATTGTTGAAGGCGCTCTTAGCGGCCGGATCTTTTGTTCGATATAAAGTGATAATCCCTTAACAATCCCCTGAAGTTGTTGTCATGTATAGTCTTATATTATTTCCTTAGTTTGTGGACTCGAAATGATGAAACACCCAACTCAAGTATTAGCTGCTGGATGATATAATTCGAATGAGACATCATAGGCGCTGGCCAACACGCTGGCATTAAAGCCTCGAATCGTGTACTGTCTACGGTAAAGATGGCCGAGAGCCGTTTGTGGATGAAAGACACCAGATTGCAAGTGATCAATACATGTACTGCCTCTATCCTGCCAGATGTACAATGCTTCTATAACCTTGCCAAACAGGCCACACTCATCAGGTGCAAGTAAGCCTTTGATCAACGCTATACTGCCTGATTAGGGTTTTGCCGAGGGCCATAGCGTAGAGGTCACGATCTACTGGTTCAGATGTCGTTTGCCATACTGCATTTTGAAATTGTATTGCAAGGATTCCCTTAAGGAGTCAAAGAGAAGAATCAAGAAAGAAAGTCAGCGCTGCCCCCATACCATACCCCTTACAAACAGTGCAAACACCATATCGGCATCTTCCCCGCGGCGCATCCAAAAGCAGCGACGCCATCTTGCAACTGCCATTTCTCTCTGTCTCATTGGAACCACACATCTTTTCTTTGACCTCTTATTCTCCTTCAGCTTTTTGCCAGCATACCAGATCATCCGGTCCACCAGCACAATGGCCCAGGAAGCCCCTCCACTGCCGGAGGGCATCTTCTCCCTTCTGGATACCGATCTGTACAAGCTAACGATGCAATGCGCGATTCTCAAGTATTTCCCTGACGTCTGTAAGTTATTTGACTGACTCGGGCCGGAGTTGGCTTCTGATCTCTGGCAGATGTGACCTATGGCTTCACGAACCGAACACCCCACATGAAACTTCGACGCGGGGCATACAAGTGGCTTTTAGAGCAGATGGACAGTAGGTATTGTTTGGGGGGCTGCAGGATACCAATGCTCACTATTGCGCACTAGAAATGGCCAATGTCCGCGTCACCGCCGAAGAGCGTGCCTTTCTCAAAAAGAAATGCCCCTACTTCAATGACGCCTATATCTCCTTCCTAGAAACCTTCCGTCTCAAACCTTCCGAGCAAATCGAGATCAAATTTACTCCGTCACAAGATACAGGCAGTGATGCGGATGAGGGCACCGTGGAATATATCATCAAGGGGCTTTGGGTCGACACCATCCTCTATGAGATCCCGTTGCTGGCGCTGACCAGCCAAGCATATTTCCTGTTCAGTGACACAGACTGGGACTACCATAGTCAGGAGGAAAAAGCCTACCGAAAAGGCTGCACGCTGCTTGAAAATGGTTGTATCTTCTCGGAGTTCGGATCGCGCCGCCGACGAGACTACCACACGCAAGATTTGGTCATGAAGGGGCTGTGTCGAGCGGCAGAGGACGGAAAGAAGCATGGGTGGAAGGGTGTGCTCTCAGGAACGAGTAATGTGCACTTTGCAATGAAGTACGATGTGAATGCTGTCGGGACGGTAGCGCACGAGTGGTACATGACCATTGCGGCCATCACGGACGACTACGAGAACGCCAATGAGCTGGCTTTGCGGTACTGGCTTGGGTGTTTTGGCGAAGGAGTGAGTATTCTTCATAGCCCTCGGACATGGGTTTTCCCGCTAACTCGAATGGCCCAAAGGTTCTGGGAGTTGCTCTGACCGACACTTTTGGCACACCGGCTTTCCTGGATGCCTTCCGCAAGCCCATCCCCGAATACACCAGTGCTGGCGTTGGCGCTGTCAGCACCATTCCCTCTGGCGCAGCCACCACTGTGGAGTCAACAGTGCAGAGCGAAGCAACCACAAAGCCTCCTATCACCGCACCCATCCGCAACGGCGGCAGCGAATCAACCAAGACCTATGCCCAGGTCTATGCCGGGGTCCGCCAGGACTCGGGTGACCCCACGTACTTTGTGAAGATGGTGCGCGAATTCTACGACCGCGAGGGCATCACCGATCTCAAGACCGTTGTATTCTCGGACTCGCTGGACATCGAGCATTGCCTAGAGTATAAGGTAATTGCAGAAGAATCAGGGTTCAGCCCTGTGTTTGGCGTAGGGACTTTCTTTACAAGTATGCGGTCTATCTCCCCTGTGTCTCGATGAGAGGATGTGCTAACTCGTTGCTCTAGATGATTTTATCAACACCTCCAGCGGAGAAAAGTCCAAGCCACTCAATATCGTCATCAAGATCGCCACTGCCAATGGTCGTCCTGCCGTGAAGCTCAGCGACAACATGGGTAAGAACACCGGCGATCACGAGAAGGTCCAAGAAGTCAAGCAAAAACTGGGCTACATCGAGCATACCTGGGAGCAGGGCGACGAGAGCAATCGCTGGGCGCGACAGGAATAAATGACCGACAGGCCTGGATAGAGTCTTGACTTGTGCTGGGCCTCGTAGAACAAGAGAACAATCATGATATCCAATCGAATAGAATCAAGCGTGCATGCATTAATCCCTTCAATCTCAAGTAATTGCAATTGGCGAAGTGATCGATGTCTCTAATCGCGGATCATAAAACGTGACAGGCTGATCGACGATCTACTCCGGGGCATCTTGTTGGACCAAGCTGTTTGGCGCAATGCAGCTTGTCAAGCCACAAGAATCCATCGCAGCCAGGATGCAATCAAATTGAAGGGATGGACTGGGTGTCCGTCAAGAACTACATGCTGGACATCGTGCTCACCGACGATCATCCTGCCATTGCGTAATTGCCTGAGGGGTTTCTGCGTCTTGGGGGAATTTAGTCTCTCGATCTGCGCGCTCTTAGTGCTGTGCTTCGACTATCCCCCCCCCCTTCGCCCTTCCGGGGTCCTCTCTTCGCACTGGTTCATTCTTTCTTCTCTGTTGTTGCCCTCCTGTAGTTTCTGGTGTGAGGAATAGACTGTAGGAATCATGGACGAGGGAGATACTCGACAGTCCAGGGCGACAGTAAGTGCAATTGAGGCAGCGTGGGAAGAAAAAGAATGAAGAAATTCCTGACATGCCGGTTTCATAGACTGGGACGAGAGAAGAGGCTGAGCCCCTGGCATCCTCACCGGCCAGAGGGAGTGCCCGAGGACTTGCTAACGATGGCGACTTCATCTCGCCCAGCAGAAGGGCCCCAACTACCGATGAGACACAAGGCAGCGCAAGCATCCCACGACGCAGCTCTGTGGTCTCCCGGCGCAGCGGCGGAACCCCCAGTCTGGCACCCCGGACCACACTGGCGGACCGAACTCAGGGGAAGTTCACGCTGGGCGGGCCAGAAGAAGCGCCCCAGCTGCGGCGATCGCAGGAGCCTTTCGTGCAGCCAGGCTATGCCGAGCTCAACCCTTCCTACGACCAGCCCGTGAATGCGAAGCCGGTCTGGAGTCTGGCCAAACCGCTGCCGCGCGTGGTGCGCTCGGGCATGGTGCCGACCAAGGAAGAGCTGCTAGAGACCCGGGCCAATGCCCAGCTGCCGGCGCACAACTCGCAGAGACTTGGTCTGGACGTCGACCCGAATGATCTCGAAAAGGGCCAGATCGGGAAGTCTATGAATCCGCGCAAGATGGCCGCCCAGGTCGAGGATGCCCGTCTGCAGCGCGAGAGCAACTTGATGAGCAAGCTCTTGTCTGGGGAGTCGACTTCACTCGGGCGTTCCTCGCGCTTGTCTCGTGCTTCGTCAACTCGTCGTAGACGCTCCTCGGCTTGGGATGTTCCGCATGACCAGCTGTCGACCGTTGATGAAACCGAGTCCCAGGCAGCCAGTGACACGCCGCAAGGGCATCCCGGATTGAGCTACGAGCCTCTCCGTCCTGTAGCAGAGGAGCCACTGCCCGGCACCGATGACGAGCCGGACACAGACATCGATCTCCTTGCTCTCAAGGAAGGGGACTACCCAGAGGACCTGCACCCGCTGGTGGAAGAGCTCGTCGAGGACGAAGTGCACAACAACCACACGACGTGGTCCGTCATCCGCACGCACCACCGCGAAGCACTCGCCGAGGGCCTAGCCGTCTACGTGCAGCTAACAATCGGGTTCTGCGCGGACCTGGCCGTGACGGTGGCCAACGCCGGCAACCCCAACAGCACAGCGTGGGCGTGGGGGTTCGCCACGATGATGGCCATCTACATCTCGGGCGGGGTGTCGGGCGCGCACCTGAACCCAGCAGTAACAGTAATGCTCTGGTTCTACCGCGGATTCCCAAAGCGCAAGATGCCCGAGTACTTCATCGCACAATTCCTCCCGGCCTTCTGCGCCGCGCTAACCGCATACGCACTCTACTACCACTCGATCCAGAGCTACGTCGGCACGAACCCAGACGACGCAGGCATCGTCGCCAGCTTCGTGACCGGCCAGCGCGAGATGTGGGTCGCGCCCACGACGGCATTCTTCACCGAATTCCTGGGGACCGTGTTCCTAGCCATCACGATCCTCGCGCTGGGCGACGACCAGAACGCGCCGCCGGGCTCGGGAATGAACGCACTGATCATCGGCCTTGTCATCACCTGTCTCAGCATCGCCTTCGCCTTCCAGACGGGTGCCGCGCTCAACCCCAGTCGGGATTTCGGTCCGCGTCTGGCTTTGCTTCTGCTGGGCTATGACTGGGACTTGTTCACGAACCCGTACTGGTTCTATGGGCCGTGGGTCGGGTCGCTAACCGGGGCTTTTGTCGGTGGCTTTTTGTACGACTTTATGATCTTTACTGGTGGGGAGTCGCCTGTGAATTACCCGCTTGAGCGCACGCAGCGCGCCATGAGGAAGAGTCGGATGAAGTGGAGGCGGAGGCTGGGTCTGGCGAAGGAGAAGCCTACTGATCGGGTGATGCTGTGATTGGGACTCACAACTTGACTGCATGCTATAATGATACGGTCTCTCGCTTTGCCCTTGTTCTCCCATCGAGTCAGGTATACTTGAGAGACGAGGTGTGCTAAAGCTTGTTTTATTTGTTTTTTCTGCGTTGATTGCAAGATTTTGGTTAGTACTATATAGTGTCGATGGTATGATCTACGAATGATGACTTGATTTATCTCTGTTATTATATTAAAGTTGGAGAGCCAGTGTACATGGAATTGACTGCGTGCTCAAGAATATCTCAATTTACAGGACCAAGTGTGTGTCAAACTGCAGTTCATATTCATCGTCTCTGGCTATATACAAATATTCATAAATACAATACAAGAAAAAGTTCATCACGTCCAGAGCATAGCTCTCCCAGTATACACCGTAGCACAGCCAGACAATCGACAAACACTATTCGATCAAACTAGAATATCTCATCGCCAGTCTGAAACCCAAGATCACGATCCAGATCCCCGGTGATATCCGGTTTGGCATGGCTGATCGACTGATGCCGTTGAGTGATTCCACTCGGATGGTCGTCATCATCCTTCAGCGTAAATGTAAAGAGGTCCTGCTCCTGTTCCTGTTCCTCCGATTCATTATAAAGACTTTGTCTGCGATGATGGTCATCACCCCGCGAGACGTCAACCTCGGGTAAGTCCGTTTCTCGGAATAGCTCTTGCGCCCAGTCGATATTGTCGAGGTCCTGGGCAGTCGGCGAGATAGTAGTGATTTGAGGTTCATTTGATACGTGCAAATCTGGAAACGAGTCGATGTCCATGGAGAGGAAGTTGAAAGGGTTGCTGTCGGTGGTGTTGTTAGGAGTAGCAAAATCGAAGTCGTTGGGGAAGGATGGCGGCGGAAGACGGGATTGAGTGGAGGATTCTTGTGTTGTTTCGCTGCTGTACTTTCTCTGCAGCTGCATACTTTGTTCATTGGGAGACGACGCTCTGGCACGGGCTGTGACGGTGTCGGGGCCAGCAGGCTTGTCCTCCAGGAATCGGAGCGAGTGGGTGGTGGTTATTGAGTCGCTACTTGGCTTTCTGGTAGAGAGCGATGCAGCAGGGGCATCTAGGTTGTACTGCATGACCTGGAAGAAGGTATTGGAGTTACTCGCTTGCATCTTGATGGCGGCCTCGATATTGGCAAACTCGGCGTCGGCGGCCGGGTAGATATCCTTGAGGCAGTGGAGCACCTGAATGCAGCGATGAAAGTTATAGATGCTGTTTTCGCGGACAGTCGGGTTGTCGGACATGGTGTTGGACAGGTGGGCCACAGCCGCAGGCAGGATGACGGTGACACCGGTCTGCGGAAGGAAGCGCGTGAGGTTGAGCTGGTTCAAGCCCTGGATAATATGGGTAATGCCGGCAGCAGCGTCGTGCATCTTGGTGCGCGCCGTGCTGCGCCATTCCATGCGCGACTTGGACTGGTCCTTGGTGAGGACTGCCCAGGGCCGGTGCAGTGCGCTGGTGGTGGCGTGGTAAAGCATGCGCAGCATAGCGCCGTGGAGCAGCAGCACGTCTTCGCCATCCCGGAAATTATTTTTTGAGGCTGGGATAAATTGCGCTTCTTTGGGGAGCGTGCTGAGCCAGGACTCGAGCTTCTGGCTGCAGCGTGAGAACTCCGACTCCGAGGCCTGCCGCGGCACCAGCGTGACAGTCGTGCGATCCGTGGCTCCGAATTGGCGCTGCGATGGTGTGTACTGTGCAAACAGCACTCTACCAATACATTGGCAAAGCTTCATATTTTCCATAAACATCGTTGCCAGTCGTTTCTGGTGCGAAGTATCCTCGAGCTGCCGGCAGCAGAAATGAGCCACCACAGACGGCGAGAATGGCTCGAAGTCAAAGTCCTCCATTCTCAGCATTGGTACACTGCTAGTACCCTCATTGACTTGCAGGGGGCGGCGCATCCCCATGGCGATCAGCCGGTCGCGTGAGTATAGACACCACCAGAGCCGGGTACGAAGCCGCCGAGTCCGCAGGTCCATATCGCTCGACGAGGGGTCTTTATTTAATCCAATGGAATGTGCTTGAGTGTTGCAGACCCCAATCCAATCCCAAATATCCCGCTGTGGGCTGTTTTCTGGATCAGACCAGTAGGTCATCAATAGCAGTGTTTGGAGAATCACGATGCGGTCCTCTTCGCAATCGAGAGAATAGAGCAACTGTGCCAATTCAAAATATTAGAGACTGTTAAAGCAATGATCCAAAGAGGAGTACATACCCTGAGTCGCGTAAAGAACTCGTTACGTGCACTCTTTCGTGTCGAGTATCCCGCCGCCTGCAAATGCTTGAGATCGACGAAAGCCGTGCCGACGAACATGACAGCCTGGAACAACAAGAGACTGACATTGCCATCTGGGTCGTTCTCTGCAACACAGCGCAGAAACTCTTGCAGGTTCAGCACCGGCATAAAGCTATGCACCCACTGAATATAGCATCGAAGCAACTCATTTCGCAGCCCGCTCTCGGGGATCGACAGCGCGCCGCGGAAGCGCAGAAACTCCAGGTCTTCAGGAGCAACGCGCGCCGGAAGAGGTTTCAAAAACCGCGGCTCGTCATCCAGGATCGCAGTCAACGGATCGAAATCAGGATCGATCAGGTCCTGAACAGCCGACACCATATTAGCCAAAGGCAAAGAACCACGTACGGCTGGATTGCCCAGTGTGCGCCAGCCACCAGCAAGCTTCGACTCGTGCAGCCATGGCGCCTGTGGATCGTATCCATCAGGGTGATGCCTCTTGGTCCCAGATTCGAGGCGACTGTCAGTCTGCTGCACCTTGCGCTTCATTGCCAGCGCGCGGCCGTTGGTTGAAGACATCTCTTATGTGAGGCCCGGCATGGGAATCCCGGTACTTCCAGACACAATCCAACACTACCTCCTGGAAAATAATCCGAGTGATTCAACATCAACCCTCAAAACACCGAGCAAGGCGGTGTTCGGGACTTGGGGAGATTGTGGGGGCATTTTGCGGAGGTTTCTTGGCGTCGAAGTGTAAATGCCAGCAAACCGGAGGATATCCAAAAGACCCCTTCGTTTTACCCTAAATTCAAGTACCTTTTGATCCCATATACTAAATATACTAAATAATACCACTGGAAACTGGAAAGAGAGTAAAGCTATCAACAGATCCGAGTCAAATTCAGATGAACTATCCTCGCAGACATCGTCACCAGTCCTTATACCTTTTCAGGTTGCAAGATATACCGGGTATACTTACCGGCAGTTGTAAGACCGTCAATAGCCATACACGCAATGCTGAGAGTAATAGTGAGATTAAACTTGAAGTACGAAGATCAGGTTAGAAAATCAAGGTGATAACACACAAATTCTCTTTGAGAAAAACGTAGGCTGACTATTTAAAATCCCATGCCGAGTAGAATCCTTGAAATGACACTAAACAGCTTGCCACAAGGCTCTGCGAGACACAAGGCAGATCCGCAGTGTATATTAGGTACAAGAGAGGGGGAAAAAAAGAGAGGATCCTAATTAAAGGCCCCAAATCTACCAGTCCACGAAGAGTTGTCTCAGGATTATGGTGCAAATAGGTCAATCAAATCCATCTTGAATACCACATCAACTAGGGTGTTGTTAGCTGCTGCTGCCAATAGTCGGCTTGAGAGCAAATTGTGTCCAAATTGGATGATATGAACCCATAGTTCACACTGTACATCAAGAAGCCGCTTCTTTTACGAGCAATCCACAGACAAAAATGTACTTGCAAAGTATGCCATCATACGGCCATGGCATCTACAGTACCTCCAGAGAAATTGAATGAAGATTGAATTGGACCATCGAGCCCAGTGCCCGGCCAGGTCCTTGGTATTCATAAATCCCAAACCACCCAGACACAACGTACCAAATCATGCATGCCATTCCCAAAGTATAGTACAAATATTCAATCCCATTAAATCGAGTGAGGAATGCCTATGCATCGTGTTTTCCTGGTCCGACGCCGATATGCTTCCACAGAGTTGACGGGAAACGTTCGAAATGTCCCGACGGAGAACTCAGAGGCGAAATAATTTTACATACTGCAGCAGGTTAGTTGTTCATTCGATGGATTGGCGAAACAGAATCAGGGTGGCTTACGGAGGAAGGAGGAATTCGCCGAAGCTGCTGTGGAGGAACGCGACACCGGCCTATAAGTAAAATCCGTCAGTTATGCTGCTTGTATCTCGAAGGCATGTGTGTCAACAAAACCAAACGTACACCGAAGACCAGGATGCTGCGGACAATGGTGGTGTTCTCGGGGGAGGTGGCTTCATCGTAAACGGTGCCCAGAAAGCTCTTCTGGGGACGAGCCGAGGGGTTCGAGACGACGACGCGCTTGGGAGGCATTTTTTGCAGAGAATGAGAGACGGATCAAAAGGGGAAAGTTGATGTGGAAGTGGTTGAGTTGATCGGGGAGAAATCTGTCGGCTTCGGGGCGCTTGGCGTCACTGCGTCTTTAGCTCGCGACGACCACCGTATATCTTTTGCATTGCGCCAACTGCGACAGCGACGCGAATGACATTGCGCCAACTATTCACGAAGAAAATTTGGTAAATTTGTTTTGGATCTTCTTCCAAAACTGCTTTCTGTGGTATTTATTTGACTGAGAGGTTGGTGGACGAGAATCCCGTCGCTCGTTGAGCGCCCATCTAGCCATGACGAGCGTCGATGAGCTGTTCAAGGTACGCTGCCCCAAATTTTCCCATATTGAGAGGCTCAGTCTGACCAGAACAGAAACCAACATCGGCAGCAACTCCCAAGCGCAAGTTCGAGCCCGTTCAAGATCCCAGTACGTCCTATGCTGACCCCGCGAATGCGCTGGTCGCGTCGGGCTAACAAGACCACGACAGACGAGCTCTACAAGGCGGCAAAGCTGGACGCTAATGGCGATGTGAAGTCCAAAGGAAAGGAGGCAATGGTGGAGGACGAGGTCGACGATGGTGAAGCAGGGCCTGAGCTCCCTCCGGACTTTGACCAGGAAGACGTGCCGGACGACGAAGAGGGGCGTTTCTTTGGCGGAGGGATGGAACAGAAAACAGCTCAAGCGATGCAATACATTGACCAACAAGAGGAGGAGGAAGCTGCGGTAGGTCCTCCAGACTGTGCTTGGCTCCGCCTTCAACGCTGACGGTGCTATACAGCTCGAGAAATTCGACTCTGCCTGGGTGCGCCGGTTCGCCCTTAGTTTCGAAAAGAAAATATCCAAGAACGCTGAACTCCGAGGCAAATTTGAGAATGACCCGCAAAAGTACGTGAAGGTGGAACAAAAAAGCATAGTCTACGCATGAGGCTAATTGGGGTGTCGCAGGTTCATGGCGTCTGAGGCCGATTTGGACACTGAAATCAAGGGATTATCTATCCTGTCCGAGCATCCCGAATTATACCCAGAGTTTGCCAAGATGGGCTGCGTCGGGTCTTTGGCTTCGCTACTCTCGCATGAGAATGCTGATATCGCAATCGATGTGATTCAGATCGTCAGCGAATTGACCGATGAAGATGTGGAGGCCGAGCAGGAACAGTGGGATAGCTTGGTCAACGCAATGGTAGGCAGGCAAATGGCTATTACAATGTTATTACTCACGTACTAACAGTCTCTAGATGGACGCCGACCTTATTGAACTCTTAACGCAAAATCTCACTCGTCTCGACGAAAGCAGCGAGACCGATAGAGCGGGAGTCTACTATGTGCTCGGTGGGTACCACTCCACTTCGAATGAGGATTATTGCTGATACTATATAGGCGTACTAGAAAACCTCGCATCTCAATCCTCACTTGCAGAGACGATTGGTCAGGATGCCAGTGTATTACCATGGATCCTTTCTCGTATTCAACAAAAGGAGATGCCTGTGAGCCAGAACAAACAGTACTCAGCGGAGATCCTCGCAATCCTCCTACAGTCATCCGCGAAGACCCGAGGGAAGTTCATTGGTCTTGATGGTGTCGATACTCTCCTTCAGCTGCTCAGTCAATATCGCAAACGGGATCCAGAGAAGGACTCGTATGAGGAAGAGTATGTGGAGAATCTGTTTGACTCCCTCATTTGCCTCGTGGACGAGGACTCGGGGAAAATCAAGTTCCTTGAGGCCGAGGGCATTGAGCTTGCCCAGATTATGCTCAAAGAAGGCAAATTCAGCAAACCCCGTGCCCTGAGAGTCCTCGACCACGCTTTGGGGGGAGTTGGAGGTGCTCCCGCATGCAAGAGACTGATCGAAGCAGCCGGGCTAAGAACGGTGTTCGGGATGTTTATGAAGAAGGTAAGGTGGGCATATCTTACAGAATACAACGCCAGGCTAACATCAACCAGCAAGAAAATCAAAACACTGAACATCTTTTGGGCATATTCGCCTCGCTTCTTCGGCTTTTGCCCGGTGGCTCTGCTGCGCGCATTCGCACATTGGCCAAATTCATGGAAAAGGATTACGAAAAGATTGAGAAGCTCATCAAGCTCAGACGTGAGTATGCCGCGCGCGTGTCACCTGTTGAACAGGGCATCGAAAACGAGCGTAAATCCTTTTCCAAAGAGGACCAGGAGATCATGGCGGGCGAATGGCTGTCCCGTCGTTTTGATGCTGGCCTATTCTCCTTGCAGGTATGCTTCTTTTCTGAATCAATTATTATTTCTGTGGTGGCTGACCTGTTGTTCCTAGACCATTGACGTTATTCTGGCATGGCTGATTGCTGAGGATGATGGCGCCAAGAAAAAGGTTGTGTCTCTCCTCGCAGACCGAGATGAAGATCTTTCTCTGATCAAAGCTACCCTGCAAGGTAAGCCTCGAAGTCTCCTTTTTTTCTTTGGTGTCATATTGCTGGTGCTGACTGTCCTTGTGTAGAGCAACTCGAAGGACTCGGTGAGGATGAACCAGGGCAGAATGATTTCAAGGATATGCTGGGCACACTTCTGCAATTCCTGTGAAAGGATGGTTGTCATCTCAAAAATTGAGTGTATTATATCATTAAAAAAACAGATTTGATCACCCTTGTTTCTATTGTCTTGTATACTTCACTTCTCCATCCATGCTCGGTGCCATGTCACGTGTATTCCCCATTAAGGCTAGCGCCCTTTTTAGTGGCGCAAAGCATCGAGATGGAGATCCCTTCACCCCATCATCCTCGGATTGTCTCCCATCCCTCCGAGTGTTCCAGCTTGCCCACTCCACTGTCTGTGCCAACTGCCAGAAGTTTTTTTTGGTCACTGACAGGTGGGTGCTGCAGCACGGGTGGTTCAGAAGGATCACTGCCTCCAGGCCGACGCGCCTTTGCGCTCTCTGACCGACCGGTTCTCTCACCTTTTTGTTAAGCAGCAGTCCCTGAGATTGCCACCATGGCAGACTACGATGATTCATATGAGGAGGAATTTTACGACGATGCGGATGAGGGAATCACCTCAGAGGATTGCTGGACCGTGATTTCTTCGTTCTTCGATACGAAGGGTCTCGTGTCCCAGCAGCTTGACTCTTTCGATGAATTCATCTCTTCGACCATGCAGGAGTTGGTGGAGGAACAAGGGCAAGTGGTTCTCGACCAGACGCTACCCCCCGCTGAAGATGAAGTCAACCCGATCGTCGTTCGTCGGTACGAGCTCAAATTCGGCACTGTCATGCTGTCGCGACCTTCAGTGACCGAAGGTGATGGAGCGACCACAATCATGTTGCCGCAGGAGGCACGCCTTCGAAACCTAACCTACGCCAGTCCACTCTACCTCGGTGTCTCGAAAAAGATCATGGAAGCTCGGGAGCGCCTGGTCGCCGATCGCGATGAAGACGAGGTTGCTGATGGCGACGAAGACCGCAAGAATCGTGGCACATACCTTCAGTGGGACCAGAAAGAACTTCCTGCGGAGCAGATGAAGGAAGAGACAGTTTTCATTGGCAAGATCCCGATCATGCTCAAGTCCAAATACTGTATCTTGAAGGATCTGAACGAGTCATCTCTCTATTCTTGGAGCGAGTGCCCCTACGATTCTGGTGGATATTTCATCATCAACGGAAGTGAGAAGGTTTTGATTGCGCAGGAGCGCAGTGCTGGGAATATTGTGCAGGTCTTCAAGAAGGCGCCCCCGAGTCCAACTCCGTATGTGGCAGAGATCCGCAGTGCGGTTGAAAAGGGCTCGCGGCTCCTCTCTCAGCTGGCGCTCAAGCTTTTTGCCAAGGGAGACAGTGCCAAGGGCGGATTTGGCCCGACCATTCGCTCTACTCTGCCCTACGTCAAGACCGACATCCCCATCGTTGTTGTCTTCCGTGCGCTGGGCGTCGTGTCCGACGAGGACATCCTCAATCACATTTGCTACGACCGTAATGATACCTCGATGCTGGAGATGTTGAAGCCATGTATTGAGGAGGGCTTCGTCATTCAGGACCGTGAGGTGGCGCTCGATTTCATCGCCAAGCGTGGCTCATCGCAGTCCAACTTGAACCACGAGCGGCGTGTGCGATATGCGCGGGACATCATGCAGAAGGAGTTGCTTCCGCACATCTCCCAGAGTGAGGGCAGCGAAACGCGCAAGGCCTTCTTCCTGGGTTACATGGTGCATCGGCTGCTCCAGTGTGCACTCGGTCGCCGCGATGTTGATGACCGTGATCACTTTGGAAAGAAGCGCTTGGATTTGGCCGGTCCGCTTTTGGCCAACCTTTTCCGTGTTCTTTTCACCCGCGTTACTCGCGACCTGCAGCGCTATGTGCAGCGATGCGTTGAGACCAACCGAGAGATTTACTTGAACATCGGTATCAAGGCTAGCACGCTGACTGGTGGGTTGAAGTATGCTCTTGCAACTGGTAACTGGGGTGAGCAGAAGAAGGCAGCCAGCTCCAAGGCCGGTGTCTCCCAAGTGCTGAGTCGTTACACCTACGCATCCACACTTTCCCATCTTCGCCGCACCAACACCCCCATCGGCCGAGATGGAAAGATTGCCAAACCGCGTCAACTTCATAACACTCACTGGGGTCTCGTGTGTCCGGCCGAAACGCCCGAAGGACAGGCTTGTGGTCTTGTCAAGAACTTGGCCCTCATGTGCTACATCACCGTCGGTACACCCAGCGAGCCCATCATTGATTTCATGATTCAGCGCAACATGGAGGTCCTGGAAGAGTTTGAGCCGCAGGTTACGCCCAACGCCACTAAAGTTTTTGTCAACGGTGTTTGGGTTGGTATCCACCGTGACCCGTCGCACCTTGTCAATACCATGTCTTCGCTCCGCCGACGAAATATGATCTCCCACGAAGTGAGCTTGATTCGCGACATCCGTGAGCGGGAATTCAAGATCTTCACCGATGCCGGTCGTGTTTGCCGGCCGTTGTTCGTCGTCGATAACGACCCCAAGAGTGAGAACCCCGGCTCGTTGATTCTCAACAAGGACCATATTCGCAAGTTGGAGCAGGACAAGGAGCTTCCGTCTGAATTGGATCCAGAGGAACGCCGGGAGCGCTATTTCGGATGGGACGGACTCGTGAAGTCGGGAGCCGTCGAGTATGTGGATGCCGAGGAGGAAGAGACGATTATGATTGTGATGACACCTGAAGACCTGGAGATTTCGAAGCAGCTCCAGGCTGGTTATGCTCTGCCAGAAGAGGAAACCAACGACCCGAACAAGCGGGTTCGCTCTATTTTGAGCCAGCGGGCGCATACCTGGACGCATTGCGAAATCCACCCGAGTATGATCCTGGGTGTTTGCGCCAGTATCATTCCGTTCCCTGACCACAACCAATCGCCGCGTAACACTTACCAGTCGGCCATGGGTAAACAAGCGATGGGTGTGTTTTTGACCAACTTCGCGCAGCGCATGGAGACCATGGCGAACATTCTTTACTACCCTCAGAAACCACTGGCCACGACTCGGTCTATGGAGTTCTTGCGGTTCCGCGAATTGCCTGCCGGTCAGAATGCCATTGTGGCTATTGCCTGTTACTCGGGCTACAATCAGGAAGATTCGGTCATTATGAACCAGAGCAGCATCGACCGCGGCCTGTTCCGCAGTTTGTTCTACCGTACCTACACGGACACGGAGAAGATGGTGGGCCTGACGGTGGTCGAGCGCTTCGAGAAACCCATGCGGTCCGATACGATTGGCATGCGCAAGGGTACCTACGATAAGATCGATGAAGACGGTATCATTGCTCCTGGTGTGCGTGTCTCAGGTGAAGATATCATCATCGGCAAGACGGCTCCGCTGGCCGCTGATGCAGAGGAGCTTGGCCAACGTACCAAGGCCCACACCAAGATTGATGTGTCGACGCCGCTGCGAAGCACCGAGAGCGGTATCGTGGATCAGGTGTTGATCTCGACGGGCAATGACGACCTGAAGTTTGTCAAGGTTCGCATGCGTACCACCAAGGTGCCGCAAATTGGTGACAAGTTTGCGTCTCGTCACGGTCAGAAGGGTACCATTGGTATCACCTATCGACAGGAGGACATGCCCTTCACGCGGGAGGGAGTGGTACCCGACCTGATCATCAATCCCCACGCCATTCCGTCGCGTATGACCATTGCCCACTTGATCGAGTGTCAGCTCAGTAAGGTATCGGCGCTCCGTGGGTTTGAAGGTGATGCCACGCCCTTCACCGATGTGACTGTGGACTCGATCTCACGGCTGCTGCGCGAACACGGTTACCAGTCGCGTGGATTCGAGGTGATGTACAATGGCCACACAGGCCGCAAGATGGTGGCACAGGTGTTCTTGGGTCCGACCTACTACCAGCGTCTGCGCCACATGGTCGACGACAAGATCCACGCTCGCGCGCGTGGGCCTACGCAGATTCTGACACGGCAGCCTGTTGAGGGTCGTGCCCGTGATGGTGGTCTGCGATTCGGAGAGATGGAGCGCGATTGCATGATCGCTCACGGCGCCAGTGCTTTCTTGAAGGAGCGTCTGTTCGACGTGTCGGACCCGTTCCGTGTGCATATCTGCGACGACTGCGGCCTGATGACCCCGGTTGCGTAAGTTCCATTGCTTTCTCGAGTTTCAAGTTTTATATTGTACTAACAAGATACAGAAAACTGAAAAAGGGCCTTTTCGAGTGCCGCCTGTGCAACAACAAGCACCGCATCTCGCAAGTGCACATCCCGTACGCCGCCAAGCTTCTGTTCCAAGAGCTGGCCTCGATGAATATTGCCGCCCGAATGTTTACCAACCGCTCGGGGGTGTCGGTGCGATGATCTTTCTTCTCAACTTCACCTTTTGTACTTTAATGATTTGCTGCAAAAAATGCGTGCCCGCATGGACTGATCTTTCTGCGGCGTCCGGGAGGGATTGTTAGCTATGGCATTTTTTTTTTCATCTGGCCATACATAGTTGAAATACCAGTCAGTGTTTGTACTGCCTTTCTCTGTAGTCTCACTGTCATGTCCTTGCATTGGCACTCTAGGATGATGTCGAGGCAAGCTACCCCAAAGAGCATTGATGAATGTGCTAGTTTGATACAAGGTCTGGTTTGGTTTTGACAACTCAGATACGAACTCGGCTCTTGACATCTAAGGACTGGGTTCCTTCTTCACGATGGGCTCCGTCGCAACAGGATCTTGTGTGCCAGGTTCCTGCTTCACGACTGGCTCCTGTACAGCAGGATCGTTCGCAATAGGATCTTGTGCGCCAGGCTCTTGTTTTACGACCGGCTCTTGTTTGACAATTGGTTCCTGTTTCACGACTGGCTCCTGCTTTACAGATGAGTTCGCGATCTCTTCCTCAGTCGGCTTCCGAGCCCAGACCCGACGGCTAATAGAAGTCAGTATACGGATCCTCCAACACCAACGAAAGAAACAAAAGATACTCACGCAGCCTGGTAAATATGCTTCCTCGGATCCTTAATCTCCTTCCGAATCTTCGCAATCAGCACCTGCACCTCCTCCTTACTCCACGGCTTCGGCGTCCCCCACTTGGTCAGGAAATACATGGTCCAGCCCTCCATGCCGGCCGACCACTGGTGGTAGTGAAGCCGGCCAGCCTCTTTGAGGGTGGAATCGCGCGGCCACGGCCCAATGGGCCACTTGTACACCCTTTCGTGGACGTCGACGAACCCGGCGCGTTCCATGGCGCCGCGCATCGTGTCCAGCGTGTCCAGCGGGTGGCCCCAGATGTCGGCGGCGGCAAAGATCGCCTTGCCCATGTAGATGATGCTGGCGTCTTTGGCGAGGCTGCCGTCGTCGCTGGTTACGCGGGGGTCACCTTCGACTTGTTCGATCCAGCCGCCGGGTTGGAGGTGGCTAGCAATTGTGTCAGATAGGATTCGAAGGGGAGACAGTGGTGTTTCACTAATTCCATCTGCAGGGCTTTTGACAGCTCACTTATAACACCGCTTGTACACGCTGTCCCATTCGGGGATTGTAAACGCCCCGATCATTTGGCGCAGGTGGATCAGGTCAAAGGGCTGGCGCCATGTCCATTCTTGTAGCACGTCGTCCACCTCCATCACGCAGTTCGGCGGCAGCCATTCCACCGGCGGGGGGAACAGGTCCACGCCGCGCACGTTGGCTGCGTGCGTGAGCTTGGCTCGTATACATGAACGTCATGTCGGTACTTACCTTCGGGGAACATATCGGCCACATCTCTGATTTCTCATCAGCAGGTGTTTTGCCAGACACAAATGCCAGCTACTTACACGGCCCAGCTCCCTCGGCCGGTTCCCAGGTCAAGCACATGCTATGGAGTCTGGCTAGCATGCAATGACTCGATATGTACGCAAGCGATTGGACTCACTTTGGGGTTCTTGACAGGTGCCTGGAAAAGTGGGTTGGGAGTGTTCGCTTCCATGATCAGACAGACGAGATGGCTATTGCAATCAGCATGTCACCATTGCACCAATTCCCGGCATATCACCACCCACCCGGCTTCAAGACTTTCAAACTGCTGCTCATCCGACGGGCCCCTATGGAAGTCAGACCGGGTCAAGATCGACGGGTTATTGATCTCACCAATAATCACCCTCTCGGACGGTTTGATATCTGCATCATAGTATGAGCCAAGCTATGCGCAAATACAGGAAATGCCTGTGTATTTTCTGATCCCTACCGTCGGCCATTTTCCATCACCCCCCGGTAAATGGATGATGCAAGAGATGTCGTCTCCCTGCATTTATCAGATGCATCAATCCCTGTATTTATGGACCACTCATTTTTAAGATGCTTACGACTCAAAGTCACTGGGCTGATATGCATCGTGCGTGGTATAATAGTCCGGGTCCTGGATACAATGAGCAAGGCACCACACTAAGGAGGACCGCCACTTACGACGGCAATCGGGACCTCGGACATGACTCGGACTCGCGATATATCAACCCAAACAAAAAAATAATAAGAAATAAATACAACGCTACCAGGGATGGCTTTGATGATTTGATACAGGACAAAAGAGCGAGAGGGCAATCCAACACCGAGAAAAAAAAATCGTGTCAAAGGATTCGGGGCTGGTTAAGAGGGAATTGGCCCATGTGCGGTCGGCAGATCTCTCCGCTCCTTTTCTCTCTTTCTCACTACGTGACACCGGAGCCTTGGGCTATGTATTCCTCATGGATCCGTCCATGATATCTTGCTCACCGGTTGATTCAGGGAATAATTCCTTCAACTGTCCTGCGGGGATGACAGACATGGGGGCCTTGGGACTATTGATCTCCACGGATGATTCATGATATTCTCGAGTCTGTGCAGAGTCTGTGCATCTTCACAGACTCTCCGAATGCCCCTCATCAGCGTCAAATCTCTGCAAATTATTGGCTGTACGTGGGGACCATCGTCGGTCACTGCGCACCATCACCACCAGCCAACCACCGCCGATGATTACCCGCCGACCCTCGATCAGCCATGCTATCCATTCGCTCTTATAAGGCTCGCACAGCCTGCTTTCTCTTCTCTTTCTTTCTTTCTTTTCTTCAGCGAGCGTTTGTTGTTTAGAGCTGCCCCCATTCGAGTCGACCCTGGCACTGGCTGCCCGGTCTTTTTTGTTTTTGTTTCGTTATATTCCATTCGTCTATACAACTTCTAATTATTCCCCTTTCAAAGCCACCACCAACCCCCCAAAACCCCCCACAGACGAGCTGTGCTCACTGTGCCATATTCTGCCCTGCCCGGCTTCGGTCTCCTCGAATCGTGAATTCTTTTTTCAGCCTGCATTTCTCGTCGCCGGCCGACGTGTCTGCTTTGCTGTTTCAGCTCTATCAACAAGCCTTAATTTAATTGCCTCGCTCGACCTTTTTATATTCTCGTTGTCGTGGACCGGTTCCCGTGCAACAGAAAAGATCTTTTGTGACTTGACAACCGGACTCTGGTAGTTTTTGGTTGTTCGACAGACCTCTTTTCCTGCTCTACGACGACTATTACTTTTCACTTTTTACTTTATTTTTTTTTTCATCTTTTTTGTGACCATTCCATCATGGCCACCGTTCAACTCAAGTTCTCCTTGCGGACCTCGTCCAACGCCAAAACCGTCCACCTGGTCGGCTCGTGGGACAACTACTCGCGCCAGCTGCCGCTGTCGGCCGAAGACAAGCCCGGTGCCTGGCTGGGCAAATTCCGCTTCCAGACGTCGATGCTGCAGCTGGGTGGCCGCTACTGGTACTACTACATCATGGATGGGTACCGCGTTTCGCACGACCCGTCGGTCGACTACACCGTCGAACCCACAACCGGCCGCAAGCTGAACATCCTGGACGTGCCGGGAGACAAGAGCAGCAGCCGCAGCAGCGGCGCCCCCAAGACCCGACGGGGCTCGACCAACATCGCCACGGGCCGCGCGCTGTCGCCGTCCAAGATCCACCACCCCAAGCCGTCCAAGCCGTACGCGTCGCGCCAGCTGCGCGAGGCCGACTTCGCGCCCACGGTCGACGATCTGACCCGCCGCTTTGCCGGCTCGCGTCTGTCGGACGAGTACTCATACTCCAACAGCCCGCCCAGCTCCGTCGGCTCGTCGCTGTCGTCGCGGTCCTCGGGCTCCACCTCGCCTTCGTCGCTGTCCTCCATGAGCGACCCGCCCCTGCCGCAGTGCCGCTGCGAGCGCTATGGCATCACCCGCAAGGGCGACCGCGTCAAGCTCGACTGTGGCGGTGACCGCTGCGGCTATATCACCGAGTCAGACGATGCCAGCTGCTCCGAGTCCGAGGACAGCGATGAGGAGTACCGCCGTGCCCGTAGTGCTGTGCGTCGCCAGGGCATTGTTGTGCGCCGCTAGACTTTCCTTTTTGCTTGTCCTCTGTCAAGAGTGGACTTGGTGATTTTTTCCGTCATACGCCTGGTTCTTGGTCCCAGGGATTCGGTCTTGGTTTTGCGACACTTGCTTCTATAAATTCAAGAAAATACAAAAAAAAAAGCCCTTTGCTGTGGCTGAACCGGTTTCACGCCACCTGGGCGGGATGGTTGAGAGAGAGAGAGAGAGAGAGAGAGAGCGTGTGTGAGACACGATCCCAGTCCGATGAACCGACAATATCCCGCTGGATCCTCCAGCCCGGGACCCGACAAGCATCTCTCTGTGTCCGGCTCGGGTTTAGTTGCCGACACCGCCATGAGAATGACCGTCTACGCTCTGGCTCTGGAACACAACCGGGAGACAGCCATGCGATATCCGCATCTCAGCTACATACACCCAGAAGAGGGGGTATGTGGTTGGATCAGGTCTAGTCTTGAGATGCCACGAGAAATGAGATATGACTTGATCAACTGCTTGCGTAGAGTAGTACAGTATTCCATGAATGTCGATAACCATGAGACATGGGAGTAAGGTAAATGCCCCAGATATAAAGGATGAAAACCAAGTAGGACCCTTTCCAATAACACCCTCCACAAAATCAAATTCCTTCCGCTGCAACCACCAGGACGGTGCCCCGCGGCAATCTGCGAGAGGGCGAAGGCGTCGCGCGGGCGTGAGAATTCGGGTCCTTTCGAGGTCCCGCTTTCGGCTTGGCCTTCGAGGGAGATGCTGCTGTCTGTGGGCACTGGGTATTCGCTGTATACTTAGTTCATAAATGCCGGTGAGAGGTTATCGGGTGGTTTTGCGCCGACGTGGGGGAAGGGTGTTGTCCAGGCTGCGTGGGTGAAGTGCACGGCGCCGTAGAGGGAGAGGAGTGCGTGGATGGCGTGAGTATCGAACCCCTGATTGTTTAGCGATGATACATGTACAAGGGAAATAAGAGAAATAAGTTATTTTTTATATTTAAACGTATACATACCAAGCTCAATGCCAGGGTTTCCCCCCCCCCCCCCCCCCCCCGATGACGTCCCAAACGCAGCTATCTTCTCTAGATCCGCCTGGTATACATAATTTATATATAGATTCATGTAGGATCACTCACCCACTGGACACTTTCCTGGCACAGGAGGGAGGCAGAGGACCGTAAGAGGGTCGAGGGACATACTATACTAGAGAATATCAAGAAGCTGGATGAATAGGAAGACAATGAAAATAATGAATCCAGGAATTGGGAATTGAGGTGCCCAGACCGACAGTCGGATATGCCGAACGTGGGGCTTTACTTCATTCTCCCATTGAAAATGTATGTTATTCCTTCTATATCACCATTCTGTGTATATTTACTTCATGTTTTGCATGTATATCTACATCTATAACTATAGCAAACAAGGCCTCAGCCCCCGATCGGCAGATCCATGTCTGTCTCGGCATTTCGTTCTGACTGGCTGGCTGTATCGTGGATATCTTCTCCAGCGCTGCGATTTTCCTATTTGGGCTGCGTATGATGATGTATGTTGTCCATGGCTGAGCACAAGCACAATAGCTTCCTCGGAAGTTTATATAGAGGGTGGCTTTTCTCGAGAAGGATATCTATTCAGATTATATTTAAAAGAAAGTCTGGGTTTACTCACAGTCTCTTATCTCTACTTGTCTTTCTACTACTTCTACTCTACTCTACTCTACTCAATTTACATCTACAGGTAAATATCTCCCATTCAATACCAAATTCTTACCACCTCACCAACAACAGTCTATCACCATGTGCTTTGGCTCCAAAGACAAAGACAGCGACCCCTACTGGTGGGGCTACATCGACGACGGCCAGGGCTGGACGGCGCGCCGCAAGTCTGAGTACATGAAGACGCCTGAGTACAACCCGGAGCTGCGGCGCCAGCTGCGGTAACAGTGCAAGGAGAATCAACGGGCGCCGGTGCCGCGGGCTGCATGTGAGAGGGGGTATAGTTAGGGTTGTATTTTGCGTGTGTGTATATGATATGCGATTTGTATAGTAGAGTGGTAGAGATTGGATTCGGCATTTCCGATTTCCATTAACATGGCCCGACATGATTATCAGAGAATAGTGAGCAAGTTCAATGTATACCGAACTTAGAGATAGCAATAATTAACGACTGCGATTATCGTACTATCAAGGACCAGCCTCTCATGCACATCAAGACCACCATCTCGATCTCGCCATGCAGCGACGCTAGAAACCAGAAACGCCCGCAATGCATAGCTCCAGAGAGCCATCATCCAATTTCCCTCTCTCTCTCAGCAATCCACCACACGCCGACAATCTAGCTCTCCGTTCCAGACGGAATAGCCTTATTCTCGGATCATGTTTCTGATCATCCACCACCGAACCGGGGTACAGTCGCGAATCAACCGCAGACAAGCTCACCAGGAGCAATAACCCAGAGGAATAGGTCCAGAGCAGAGCAGCTCAGTGGAGGAATAGTAGAATACAGGTGGCTGTTTTCATGAGAAAGAGACCCGAAGGCAATCCGATCAATGCCAGCATCGACCGAACAAACAGACCCAATCGTCCTCCAACACAACCCCCCAATCCTCCGCATTCCAAGATATTAGGAGTAGGATGGTCGATATGACTCGCATATCGTTGTCACTGTCGTTCCCGTTTTCGTTGTGATGTGTGTTGTTCCCCCCCAATCAAAACAGCAATGGCACCGCCATTGACCACACCTGTCTCCCTCCTCCCTTCCATCATATCACTTATTACCGACACGACCCCTTCAAACTGCAATACCCCGAGTCAGGCCAGCGCCCGTCCTGCGGCGACGTAGATGTCCCGCGCGCAGAGTGCTGCGTGCACGCGTACCCGACCAACACGGTCTTTTCCTGAACAGAGTGGCCGCGCTGGCCATACGCAGAGCAGGGGTCGATCGAGTGCTGGAAGTATAGACACCGGCATACGGAGTAGCGTTCGACAAGTTTGTAGCACATTGTTTCAGGAGGTAGTCAGACTCGGGACAGAAAGGATGGTGAGTCGACGTGAAATTATAATCGAGCAAAGAAAAGGAAAATAAAAACAAAGTAGAAGAGAGTCTTAGGACGCAATGCAAATTGTAATGTGTTGGTGGAGTCCCAGCCCGAAATTAGAGAGTGGAGATATGGATCAACAGGAAAGCATTGGCTTTGAAATGAATGGAAGAAAAATTAAGAAGAATAAGACAATACAAAAGATGCTGCAAAGAGGGAGCGACAAAATAGAGATATACACACGAAGAGAAAGAAGAGGAAGAAAGAAGAAGAACAAGAGGGGTTTATAGTGGCATGCCAACGGCCAGCCCTACGTGCCCCAGGCAGAAAGAAAACGGACGCCCCGATGGGGCTGACGAGCTTGGCCTTGGTCCACCGCCCATGTCTATCGTGATAATACACTACTGTAGGTCAAGGAATCAAGGAACAACCCGTGGATCACCCATCGACCACTAGGAAGACCCAGTCAGCAAGTCTTCAGCTCGACGTTGAGAGATGGGGGGGGGGGCTGCTGCATTTCCCGGGGAAAGGGCTGAGCCGCAAAGACGGTGAGCACTGCGTTAACGGGCTTAACGTGCTCCCCCCCCAGACGCCCGGGTCTGCGGCGTCGAGTCGGTGAGAGGGCCACATTGGAGCCCTGGAAGATTACTCCACTGTCGATCGCGATGATTCATCGGCCCCCATTTGGCTGCGCTAGCCTCACTAGCTCCGTATTTGGTATGATCGATGTACCTATAGGATAAGGGAACATACTGTACATAGCATAAGAGACACGGCTTGCCTACGGGAATGTACTGTAAAAAGGGATCTTTACGAGGGAACTATATCATTTACTAGAAGTGTAGGAGTATACGTCCTTACCAAAGTACAGAACCACTCAAGTAGACTCTGGCTGGTTATAGTGGACCAGTGGACCACATTAGGCTCCCGCATTCAGCTGCTGACGCTAAATCCCAAAATCTGAAATGAAAAACTGTCGGTCTGATTGAAGGGAGGACCCGGTGGGCTGTCAATAATGTATAGGGCTGAGAAACCCAATGGTCCACCCAAGCTGATCCCTCAGGCTGCCTACATGACAATTCCAGGAGATAGGAATCTCGCAAATGCATTTGCATGTTCAGCCGGAAACACCCAACCTAATAGTACATACACACCAAACAAATAATTCCTCCATTCGATGCCTAAGCCGACCCCAGAGCTCCGAAAGTCAACCCCCGGGCCAGCCCCAGTCGCAGCATGCGCAGGACGTCCGCTCCCTTGGTCGTTTCAGGCAGCCCAACACGCCAGTCCCAGCCGCGCTCCCGCCCATCTTTGTCGCTGGGCCGCGGCACCAACACCCCAGAGCTGCCCACCGAAGCCGGGTCCGACCCCGACCCGGAGCGGGTGCGGGCCAATTCGAGCATGTCGTTGCCAATCACCGAAAAGGTCGACGCGGAAACCCCAGACACGGATTTCTTGAGGAGCGCACGCGGCGATGGCGCCAACGATCCCTCCGACGTGCCGCGGCTGGCCTGCTGCTCGAGCAGAGTCGACCGGAAGCACTCCTCGCATTGTGCGTACACGCGAGGGGTGACCGTCTCCAGGTCCTCGATGGCCGAAAGAATAGTAAATTGTTGGGCAATCGTCAGGATCGGAGTGGGTTCTAATCGCAAATCAGAAGCTGGATAGAGGCAGGGACAAAACAAGACAAGAACTCACGGTTGACAAAGACCAATGCCTCTCCCAACAGAGCCAATAGCCCATCCACCTGCACTGCTGAATCGCGCTCCGGGTCATAAAGTCCTCCGTAAATATTATCAGCTGCACTCCCAATCACGGCCGCTAGAGCCTGCGCGGCAGCCCGCCGCCGGGCCAATGGCTTAAAACGAGGTCGCTGGCCCTCTTGAAGCTCCAACGCCTCGTCGCGGATCTCATAGAACCGGCGCAGCGTGGCATAGCCACTGAGATAGAATTGCAAGATTCGCGCGGCTTCTTCGTCCACGGAGGCAATCGATGACAAGCAGGATTTCGGCTCTTTGATCATGGACCGAAGTTCGGGGTCAAGGTCCGCTGTCGCAGGGTATGCGCGCGACTGGACCAGACTGTAGGAGACCAGCAGATCCACAACTGACTTGACCTTGCGCCGATTTTGGGCGCGAGCATAGCACAAAAGCGCAAGGCCAAAACTCTCGGATTTGGAGGTGGTCATGTCGCCAAATCGCTACAATAGAGCGTCAATGTTGCACCTCGCAAAGCCGGTCAAGTCAAACACATACCTCAGAAACCCGACGTCCTTGGTCTTCCAGTCCCAGATCTGAGCACAGAACCACCAATTTATCCAGTTGGCCGATGTTTTCCAACGGCAACTTGTCCACAATTTCCGCAACCGCCTTCTTCATCTGGTCGGCATCGTCTAGACGGCTCAAGACCTCTAACGCCATCTCCCACCCTTCACGCGCACCGGTTTCATTCTCGACGGAACGCCGGTCATATAGGCCAAAGGCATAGCGGCGGAGAATGTCATCTCGGCTCACACGGTTGGCAGACGCCTGGTTATCCTGTCCGAACGAGAGCACCATCAAATCGCTTTCACTCAACCCTGGCAGCTTCTTCGAACTGCCTCCCGCATCGAACCAACCACCAAGCCAAGCGACTTCGGCCACGCCAGTGGCGACGCAAAGCGACCAGGTTTGCAGCAACTCCACCACACCCTGTACGTTGCCTTCGAATACGGCGGCCAGGCCGACCTCCAAGCTGCTCATAGTGTTGGGTTGAAATCCAGCGTTTGCAGACGGCTCATTGACCGCGCTGCTAAATGCCAAATCAAGGCGACGAAGATACGCATCCCGCAAGTTGCGATCCACAGCTCGCAACTGGTTCCGTGACCCACGAGAGCGCTGGAAATCGTTGCTGGAGGTACTGGCACGGAAATCCAAGCCCGGGGCTCCGTCATCGTCCTCGCCATCCCACCACGCAGTCAGGCCAATCGTAGCCTCCACCCAGTCCCGGGAATTGGCCTTGATCGAAGCCGTATCTCCGAGGATAATGCGATAAAGAGATCGAAGGTTCTGGTAGATGGACCACGGGACCCGGCTCTCTGCCATGCGCGCAGATTGCGTGAAAGGCATGGGCTTGTGCCCAAAGTTGTTCAATCCGAAATTAACGGCCTGGAACCGGTTCTCTTGCACGGGCATCTCCGGGACCTCTCTGCCCTCCCCCTCGGCAAATTCTTCCAAGTCGTTCACCGCAGCAAGAACCCGCTTTCGGTACTGAGTCCAATCAGGGCCGGTGATATCCCAGTCATCATCCTGGAATCCAGGGCACGAATCCAGGATTTGAAGTGCCTTGTTAATACAGCGCTGGATATTCTGTAGCTGCATGCCGCGATAACCAGGTTGCACCAAGCCATCTTCCAGGGCAGAGCGCGCGTAGTTGAAATCTGCAGACCGGAAAACATCAGCCACTTCGGCAAAACGACCGCGGAGAACGGCCGCATTGATGATGTCCCAAAAATTCGAGGATGCAGTCGGATTGGGTTCGACATATCGCAGCGCCTGTAGATCGTTGGTTTGAGATGCATGGTTGCCGTTGAGCCAGTCCAGCAAGATCTGCGGTAGCGGCGTCGCAACGCTAGCTCGTGCCATGGCTTTCACCATGCTATTCGGCGTGGTGCGAGCGGCAGGGTTGGAGGCACTGGCGATTGGGGCAGAGGAGCGAGAAGGGTGGTGGATTTGAAGCAACAGCGACGCCAAGAAACTGGCCTTTACCAGATTTGGAGCCTGCTCGCCCGGCCCAATGCTAGACTTCGCACCGTAGGGCCGAGTGATTCCACTGCGGTCGGCGCAAGTGTCCCATGTTGCTGCAAGCTTGTTCGCAATGTAAGACAGGACAGCATCGATATCAACGGGCTTGTACTCCGTCTCCCTCAATTCATCATAGAGTCGGCCCAGCGCATCCTCCGTGTTAATGATCATGTCACTCGGCTCATCGACCGCAGGAATGCGTGATCGGGAAACGAGGTTGTGTAAGATCGAGGGCATCGCCGAAGCCTTTTTTGGTGACAGCTTTGTCTTGCGAACGGGAGACTGGTTAGCCCAGCGTTCATCAAGTCTCGGTCTCTTGGCGTCAGTGGGGTTTGTATAGATTGGCTTGCGCTGGCCGAGAGCGGGAGATTGAGGCGGCAACGGGTTTCCGAAATTCGAATCGAGGAAGCTGAGGCGATGAGAGGGTCCGCGGCTCATATCCATGTCCCCCTCGGCATCTTCAACTTCTTCTTCTTCTTCTTCCTCTTCCATCTCTTCCTCCGGTTCCATCTCTTCGTCGCCTTCATCGTATTCGTCATTGTATTCGCTCATCTGCGACGTAGCAAACCCGTTTGATTGTCCAAAGTTTCCCGACTGGCCAAAGGTGCTTCCATTGGTTGCGCCAAAGCGAGATTCCGACGCAGCGAAAGGCTTTGCTGAGGGTGCTTGGGTTCTTTTGGGCCCATAGTCGGTCGATCCGAAGGACGACCCGAAGATACTATCGTTGGTGTTGATGTTGCCCGATCGGGTAAACAGGGACTTGGAGGTCGAGAAATCGGGTTTTGAGAGTGATCCCATTTGGGAGCTGGTGTAGGGATCGGAGGGCGGCGGGCCTTGCGGTGTAAACGACTTTGCGGTCGAGGGCGGCGGTCCGGCGGGAGTCGTAGACACATTGCTCCAGAAGCTCCGAGACTTATCCTTGTCCGGAGTCGAAGGTGGACTCGAGTCGTAGGGGACCTGAAACGTCATTGTGGATGGTGGATTAAAATGGACAGAGAAGCGTCAAGCGCATCAGAGAGGAATGGAACTTTTGGGCCGCAATAGCAAAGACAGACGCGCAAAGACAATAATGGCCCGGGCAACCCCGATCAATCGCAGCAAGAAGAAAAGAAGTGAATTAGGTAGGGATCAATGAGAGAAGTGTCCGAAAAGCCCCATGGTCTGTGCGATTGCCTTTCCTTTGCTCTTGGTTTCCTTCTCGACGCGCCTCGAGATCACCGCGAAGAGGTCATGTGACTGAGATCCAATTGTATCATGTGATGTAAATGTTCTCATGTGGCATGGGCCACGTCACGTGGTGTTGTAAGTGTTTACGATCATGTGATTGTAGTGAGGCGTCTGCTGGCCCCAAGGAAGTCTTCAGGTTTCTAATATTAGGCCAAGCTGCGAATGCACCTGGGTGGCCTTGCGATGATCTTTTGATGATCTTGTCCTGAAAAAGGCTTGATCTCTGGCCCCGAGCAACTGAAAACTCGTCACGGAGCGCGCAGACAGGCCCATGGGGTGTCTCGAGATGAATCTGATGGTCTACATATATCCATGGTGATCGCTGGCAGTCGAGAGAGTGTCATTCTCTAAATCCCAAACCCACCGACCATGCCTTCCGCCAACAATCCCACTCTCCAGTACGACATCACCCACAGTGTCTGGGCGCACAACTACGACATCGCCGTCCACGGCTCGCATGTCATCCACGTGGATAACTCGAGCCTCACCCCAGGGAAACCAGACTTGACCTTCCACTCTGGTCCCAACTCCCACGCGCAGGTTGTGGGGGTCTGCAAATTCGAACACTTTTCCACCGGCACCAAAATTGGGCTGGGAGATCCCAAGCAGCCCAGCAAGATGATCTATGAGAAGATGCTCAAGGACGGGATCATGTCTCCTCGATACTCCTTCCGTGTAAATATCGGCGGGTATTCGAGGCACTTGACGTGGAAGAAAACCCATTCGATGGGCACGGGTCCATCAGGGAATTTTAAGTTGGTCGACGACACCAGCCAGCGGGTCCTTGCGGTGTTCTCATCGGCCAGTGCCTTTTCCTTCAAGACTGGCAATATCGCCCTCTACGTGGACCACGGCGAACCGTTCCGACTCATGACGCTGATGACGGGGATCGCGGTACGCGAAAGTCTCAGGCGCCGACGAAGTAGTTCTGCTGCAGCGGGAGGTGGGGGCGGGGGTGCGTGATGCTTGTATTTGCGTGTTTAGTGGTATGATACAGTGTTTTTTATCTATTTCTTCTGATCCACTCGAGCTCAGCAAGTGTTTCAGGCTATCGAACCAAGCCTTCGAACCAAGCCTTCGAACCCTGCCGATCAAACGGGGTTACATAACGTATGGTGTATCCAGCGTAATGGATGTATACAAAACCACAAATCTTGTTGCCTGCACAGCCCTTCGTAAAAAACCAAACAAAAAGACTGTAAAAAATTCCGATTCCCAAAATTCCACTTTCTGGAGAGAATATTCTGAGATGAAGAGAATGTCTCTTGAATGACCATGGCGCTCCGACGACCACATCGGAAATCTCGCCACGGATGCGTGGAATGTAAGAGGCGACGAGTCAAGGTCTGTATTGGGGCGACACACATACTCCACCGGCTAGCACCAACTAATTCTGATTTTCCCCAGTGCGATGAAGTTCGCCCGACCTGTTCCAATTGTGCCAAGCGCCATGCGGAATGCGAGTACGGGTCATCGACTTCACTGCTCTGGGCAAATGACGAGCCGGGTCGCTCGTCGCTGGCCTCCGGGTCGGACAGCGGCCCGCACAGCTCGCCGGTGCTGGGATCTCCCAACACCGACTCGCTGGGAATTCTGGGCCGGCTGAGTGGCGACAATGCAGCAAGCACATTGCCGTCGCCGGCCCTCAACCTGCATGACCTCGAGTTGATGATGCAGTGGTGCAACGCGACGTACCACACGCTGTCGCGCAATGAGCTCACAGATCCGATCTGGCGAAACATCGTGCCCGATGAGGCTCTGTCTCATTCGTTCCTGATGCACGGCATCCTGGCTCTGTCGGCCTTGCACCTCGCGCGGACGGGACCGGAACCCTCTCGTCGAGCTGGGTATTTGAACCGCGCTGTGGCACACCAGAACCAAGCGCTGGCTCTGTTCCGGGAACTGCTGGGCGACATCACCGATGCTAATGCCAAGGCTATGTTCGCCTTTGCCAGCATCGTCGTCGTCTATACATTTGGCTTCCCACACACGCCCGACGCACAAGACGCCTGGACCTGCGTCGACGACCTCTACCAGGTCCTGATTCTGACTCGCGGTATCCAACAGGTGATCCGGTCACCGGCCGACTGTCTACGAGACAGCCAGTTCGCACCAATTTTACAAGTGGAGGAAGTTCACGCATTTCTCTCCGAAGACGCGACCGTCACGATCAAGCGCCTGCATGAGGCCAACGAAAATTACGGCGCGCACCACTCAACCCATGACCGAGAGGTGTACCAGGAGACCATCAACAATTTTGCCGAGATGCTGAGCTGGGTGCAAGGCGGCATGACAGCGAGCACGGTAGCAGGGCGATGGGCAATTCGACTCCCACAGCGTTTCCTGGAGCTGCTCCGCCAGCGGGAGCCGTTGGCGCTCGTCATGTTAGCACACTATGGCGTGCTTTTACGGTACTTGAAACACCGTTGGTGCTTTGACGAGTGGTGCGTACGGGTCGCCAAAGCCGTCTGGGCGATCCTCGATCGGCGGTGGAGACCGCTGGTTGATTGGGCCATGCGAGAGATCCTCGGTGCCAACTACGTGGATGAGATTGACGGTTCGGTGCTTCAATGATGATTATACCCTGGAAATGAGCTGTTACTGTTGCCATGGTTCTTCTGTTCTTTTTTTTTTTGACTCATATGTCTTATATGGTGATCTCCGAATCCAAATCAACCAAACGATCTACACCCCCGGGGCACTAAACCATCACCGGCTCTGTGATCCGCAATCCATCCTTCGTCATGCTCGTCCCTCGGCCGAGCAAACAATTGATCTCGCTCGGATGGATCACGACAAAAATCACCATGAGAACGAACATCAACAGCCCGTCAAAAACGTAAATAAAAACCTCGTTGCTCATCACGAAACCATCCGTGCCCTGGATATACTCCACCACGCGAACAATCGACCGAACAAGCACCAGAAGACTGGACGAGTGCAAGGCAAACAAGTGTTTCCGCCAGGGGTAGTGGTCTGCAACTGAGGCCGCAGTGGAATGAGACGTCAGCCGGTGCTGGAAAAGCAGCGCGCTGACCAGGAAGAACCCGAAGAAGATGATTTGCACGAAAAGACCGCCGATGATGACATTCTGTCCGGTGCTCGCGGATCCGCCGTCGCTAGATGAGCCATTGGCTCCGCTGACCATGAGTCCGGCTCCTGTGAAAATGAAAAAAAAAAAAGAAATGAGCCGGAGGTGACTTCACGGGGATCATGCCCAGGAATAAACATACCAGACGCCTGCATCAGAAAGCTCAATACATCTCCCGCAACGAAGATCTTGGTCGTCCAGTTTACCCGCACAAGCGCAAACTTTTCTCCCTGAACCAGCACGATAATTCGACCCAGCTCCATATAGATGCTCGCCGCGAACAGTGCCGGCGCGATGAGGAGCAGTGTGCTCTGGATGATATAGGGGCCGGTGGTCCAATTGGGCGACTGTTGCGCCGACATCGCTCGACCGATGTACCCGACGAACTCGACTATAAGAACCGTCAAAAAGAGTCAGAACTGCCACGAATAATTATCGCTGTCAACTATTTCTGTTGCACTTACAATATCCGCCGATGACCAGCGGAATGAAGAACCATGTGCGGGTGCGGAGGAGATGGTATGTATGCAGCAGAGTGACAACGGCGAACAGAATGATGAAGAGGATTGCCGCACCCATGGAAGGGTAGTACTGGTAGGCAGTCCAGCCAGCGTGTGTGGAGGACATGGTGAATTGAATTGGTTTGAAGAGAGTGTATGTGTTAGAATGGAATGCTGAATGAAGATTTGGGAGTTCGAAGGATGGACTCGATGCTAGTTAAATACCCATCTCTGTCTCCCCCTGGGCAAAGAAAAAATCTTCCTGTCCAAAATATGATAGCCAGAGGCAACAGTTTTACCCACAGTCATCAGTCTAATAATACTGCGACTCCTGGGCAACAGAAGTATCAAATCCTCGTATCCTCGTACCCTTTACCGGATCAGGTAAGGCAGGGCTCGGAGTCGGATCTGGGCTCCACTGTTCACCCGTGGGCCACCCGATCCGGAGGCAAAAGAAGAATTTTGTAGATAGCTTGCTCTCTTTCGTATTGAAATCCATGTTGGGTTTAGTGGGTTATGCTACTTAAATAGTTGTGTTGATCGAGGTGGTTCAAGCTGATACCTTGGTTAATTTTACAACTAAAGAGCATTCGCCTGTACTGCCACTCCTGCTGGTTCTTTAGATGGATCTCATAGACAGCTTGACTCCGACTCTTGGTCATAAACAAATATCCAACATGCATGTGGATTGGCAGGGACAGTCTGGAATTTGATAACATGTATACATAGTATAGGGTAGAAGGGGAAACAACTCCAGGGCTATCTAAAGGGGGCGAGCGCATGCAGTAAGTAGATAGGGGAAGGGGGAAAAAAGAAATGAGCGAGACCGGAATCGAACCGGCAACCGTACGATGACCGCACACTGGAGTCGCAAGCGCTACCTGAGAGGATATTAGTAAAGAATCTTGAGTGACTCAGGTGATGTATTGAATCATACCATTACGCCACTCGCCCAATTATTGGGGACTCCGTGCGACCCTATGAACTGAGAAGAGATTCGCAAAATGGTCAATCGAGTAGGACCATTCGATCAATTACACAACATTTACATAGCATCAAGCTTGTAAGAAATAGCCCTCTATTATGTTGGTTAAGTATTTTGCTTCCGACTTTCAAGTTCAGTTGATGATTTAAAGAGAGATAACAAAAACTCCTGAGGTGTATATATACCTATTAGCTGTTTAGGACACCTCTTGTCTTCATTTCATGTACACAGCGTAGCGGTATTTTTTTTAGGTATCAAAATTAACCAAGAATCTTTGGGGGAAAAAAAGAATGTTCAATGAGCGAGACCGGAATTGAACCGGCAACCGTACGATGACCCATTGACTGGAGTCGCAAGCGCTACCATTACGCCACTCGCCCATTTGTACAATTTTTTGCGAGAAGTTTTATTCCAAGCTGGAGATTTTCTTCTCCCTATCTACCCTCTATGCACCAATTTTTAAAGTGTGTATGAAAAGGAAACAAAAGAGTTAATCAACCATAGATGCAATGAAAAATAAACAAGAAATTCTATTAAAAAGACTGCTCACATACCTGCTATGATTTTCTCTTGACTAGGGCAGAATAAGGAAATCCAGGAGTGGGTTATATAAATGGCCTGGTCCGGTGTAATGCTACAGCCCAAAGACGTATAGCCAAGCCACGATTGTTGTTGTGACTAGGTTAATAGCCCAAGCCGACGGATATAGTTTTTATTCCCGTTATCATCCATGGTCGATTCGATACCAGACAATGAATATGGTAGAGATGGGTTCTCAATTACCACATGGATGGATATACCACCGATTCCCCTATTCCCCTAGGCAATGAAGGCCACTGCTGTGAAATGTTGATTGATTCGGGACCAACTCTTGACCGTTCTTGAATTGAATCCCCGCTCGCTATACACACCAACCGCTCATCTTTTGTATCAACAACGCCAACTCCAGGCCATGGAGACTAGACAACACAGTGTCCAAGCATCTATATAGACAGGTAACCGACAGGGCCAAATCTACAGTTTAGCCTGCGCTTCCCCATTCTGCAACACATACCGATAGCGAGCCTTGCCAGCGTCCATATCAGCCAAAGCCGCATTCACATCCTCCATGGGCCGCTTCTGAATCCAAGGCAGAACACGCTTCTCAGCAGCAAGCTGCAACATAGAGCGAATATCATCGGGCGAGCCAATATTCGACCCCGTCACCTTCACACTCTTCTGGATTAGCGACCACGCCGTCAACGGCGGCAATGGACGCTCCGGAGCGCCGACCTGAACAAAGGTCCCGTCACGCTTGAGCAGCCGCAAATACTGCGCCAAAGGCATATCCGGAGCATCGACCGTCGACAAAACGATATCCAAAGTCCGGGAATAAGTCTTGGCCCAGCCCTTATCCTCGGCCGTCGCAATGAAGGCATCAGCGCCTAGGCCCTGCACCGCATCGGCGCGCTTGCTCGAGGACCGCGAGATAGCCACCACGCGATCGGCCCCGAGCGCTCGCGCAAACAAGATCCCTAGGTGTCCCAGTCCGCCGATACCCACAACGCCGACCGTCTTGCCGGGCCCGGCGCCGTGCTTGCGCAACGGCGCATACACAGTCACGCCGCCGCATAGGAGCGGCGCCGCCTCCGCCGAGGGCAGGGTGTCGGGGATGCGGAACACGAAATGCGCCGGCCCGCGCCAGTGCGTCGCGAATCCGCCGTACGACTTGCTCTTGTCTGCGTAGCGCCCGTTGTACGTGCCTGTCATGCGCGTGCAGTAGCTCTCCTGCCCGTCCGCGCATGCCTCGCAGTCTGCCCGCAGACAGGAATTGCTTTGCGCGCCGATTCCCACGCGATCACCGACTCGAATCGCTCGCGACGCTGCCGACGATGCCAGGGTTGATACGTCGCTCCCGACTCGCTCTACTGTCCCGATGATCTCGTGTCCCACCACGCACGGGTAATCTGCTGGGCCCCAGCCTGATCGCAGCGTGTGGATGTCTGTCCCGCAGATCCCACAGTGTGAGACTTTGATCTCGACGTCCGTTGAGGTGAAGGGCTTCGGCTCGAAGCTTGTGAAGGTCAGTGGGGTTGTCGCGTCGTGCGCCACCCAACCCTGGAATGTCTTTGACGGTGGAGAAGACGGCGATGCCATGTTTATTTCGTAAGAAATCGGTGGTTTCGAGGCAATTGCGGGCGTTGACGAGCGTATGTAGCGGCCGCGGCGCTGGGTGGAGACCGCGTGTGGGGAGAGGCGAGAAGAACCGCACGCTGGTTTATTGCACGCTGGTTTAGAGAACCCCGAAAAGAGTAGATCGAGAAGAGTCTTATTTATCGAAAATTGGAGAAAATCAGATTATCAGAACATCGAAAGCGTGGAAAGAAAGAGAATTGCCAAACATCCGAGCCGACATATGAAGGATGCGGAGACGGATGAGCCGAGGTTGCCAAGTTCAACATGCCATTAATGATACATCGACGCTCATATTTACACGCTATGTACAGTACAGATTAGAGGGTATCACGCTGCTAACTCCCTACCGAACGCCCATCAAATCCTCGAGCTCATCGCTGGCGAGGGCACTTCGGCGTCGGTTGCCTGTCCGACTGGACTTGTCCGGCCGGCTTCTTTTGCGAGACTCGCGTTCTTTGCGCGCGTATTCTGCCGCACGCGCTTCGTCTTCGACGACAGCTAGCTTCTGCGGCACGCTCATCTGCTTTTCGGTGGTAGTGTTCTGGAAGAAGCATTAGCACTCATGATGATCCCCAACCAGAACATGGCGTAGGGTTACTTACCTGGCGGGAAGTCTTTGAGTCGGCTCTCCGACGTGTCGATCGGCGAGTTACGGTCTCGGATTGATGCGCTTTAACCTGCATTGTCTCTTCGTCGGCACTGGGTTCGCAGGGTGACCCCTGCAGGCCTGGCGTGAATGAGACTTTTCGAAGACGTTTCGGCCGGGCATTGTCACTGCGCTCCTTCAACGCGCGATCAGGTCGCTCAGGAAGTTTGCGGAACTTCGACCGGTAATGTGATGGCTCTGGCTCAGGCGCGGGTTCCTCGGCATCGCCCATTTCTTCTTCCTGGTCGTCTTCCAGGATAGTAGGGACCGTGGTCTCGGCGGGATTCTGCATGCTCGTGTCGTTGGCCGAGGTGAGACTGAGATCGAGGTCCATGCCTCGCTTCAGCTCTTCCACCCGTACCGAATCTCCTCCGTCTGCAAGTCGTCGCTGCCACCCATCCATCATGACGACCACCTGCTTCCATCGGTGCTCCATCTTCTCCCAGCCCTCGCGTAGTCGGGTAATCTCTTCATCTCGTACCTCGACCTCTTCGAGAGGCACAAACGAGGGGTTGGTAAGAAGGTTCTTCAGATGATCCAGCACAGTCTCCATGCGCACGGACAGATCTTCGCACGATGTAGGAAGAGTAGTCACTGGCCCCAGGGAAGATTTAGGAGGTCCGACGCTGGTAGTCATGTCCGAGGGCCCATCCTCGCCGTTATCGTCCTCGCCCGGCGGCAACCCTTGTAATTCTTTTAGTGTGTCGACCGTGTGTCGCGCTAACGCAATCAGGGTATCATTTTCGTCGCTGAGGTTCTGACACAGCTCCGTCAAGAAGTCTGTCGTCTCTTGCTTCAGACTGTATCCCGGATCATTAACTCGCTCGCCGCCGCTCGAGAGGAACCGAGACCGATCCGCGCCAGGATGAATATTGATTGTAGTTACCCCGAGTCCCTCACGTTTACCCCGCTGGCGCTCTGCCAGGTGCGATTTGAGCTTCTGCATTTCGAGGTCCCGTTTGCGAATGTCGTTAGCGCATTGTGCACGGACTTGCTGGACTGTGGTCTTGAATCGCTGCACTTGGTCTTTAAGTCCTCGGATGGTAGCCTCAGCACTCGACACATTCGACTTCAGCGCACGCTCCTGTCCCTCGGCTAGAGCTAGCGCTCGAGATAGTTCGGAGTTTTTCGTCTTTAATTTACCCTGCGCAAGTCCGTGGTCAGTAATCAGTCATGTAGATAGTTTTGCAAAAAAAAAAAAAAAAAAATGTGTGCCTACGATCTCCATTGTTTGGTCGGATTCACTCGCGCGCAATGTCCGAATCGTCGTGGCCAGGCTCTCACGGTGTTCGGCTTCACGCTGGAACTTTGTTAGGGTGCTCATCAGACTTGGATTGCATTGGGACCGAACTCACATCTCTCCTCAGGACCAAATCATTGACCAGGTTGATCACCTGTGCCATTGTAGCGTCTGTCCCTCCATCTGCATCTTGCGGTTGCGCAAAGTCAATTGACTGGCCACCTTTCAGCAGGCCTCGAGCCAGGAGAATATTGTTAACATAAGTTGATGCAGCTTGTAAATTCTGTGACTCCATGGCGAAGGTTGGCTCTTCAAACAGCCCGTGCGACGCCTGCTTAAAGTGTGCTGCTTTTGGTCGCCAATCTTCTGACGATCATCCGCGGTCAACCCAAGCAGGAAGAAAGTAAACAACTCCGGTGGCGCGCAGACACCACATGTGCATTATTGCAGACACCGTCACGTGGGCGGTGAACACGAGCGCGTCCAAGGAGATGCTCCGCTTGATGTTAGCGTTAGCGCGTCGACACCAATTGTAGATCGTCCACACTTCGCACTCGGTTGATGGGCATGACTCAATATTTACCAACTGCAACTTGTGAAATGTGAAGGTTGAGTGTGACGCTGAAATGACTGGTGTCAGTTCAGCAAAGGTGTCGAAGTTGCAACAGCAAGGCCAGAGGTCATATCGGAAGGGTGATTTCAAGGCTGCTATTGAGGCCTTTGGCCAGGTGGGTCCTGTCCATGGCTTGTTGAACACGGCAATTACAGAGTGTTGCTTATACTAGAATTTCAGGCCCTCAATCAGCAAGATGTCGACATAATTGGTATCTTGGACAATCGGGCCGCCGCATATTCGAAACTGGGGCAACATGACCAGGCACGTCGGGACGCACGACAAATGATCAAACGGTCCCGGGCCCAGAGAGTTCCGCTGCCTGATGAAAGGGTGCGTTGGCTCCGGCGGATAGAGCTTTGAAATTTCCCCGGAACTACTTATACCGACTACGAAAGATTCTCGTTGCTCACGAAATACAGGGCTATCTTCGTTGTGCCAAGGTTCTTCTTCTGGAAGGAAAGCCAGAGAAGGCACTGGAGCTCTATGCATATGGCCTGAAGACTCTCCCCAAGGATCATCCACGGCGTGAAGTAAGTGCCTATTTGATTACTCTTCTCGCACTTCCATGTTGCTCCCTCGCATTTCCACATCACTTCTCTCACATACTCACATCCTTCCCCGTCTGTATACATTACTTTGCTATTTCTGCTTGATGCCTTTCTCGTGTTTCCACCATATCTTTATTCTCGATGCCAATTCACTTCTGACTGTTTATGACACAGTTACTCTCTCAGCTACATCTGAAACTTCAGGACAATATGAATAAATCTCTCGCTGACCCTATGACGGTCTTGCCCTTGGAGTTGATTGTGTATATCCTTGAGTATCTTGAATTCTCGGAGCTCGTGTAAGTGCTGTGAATTGTTTAAAACACAAAATGTATACTTACTATAACATCTAGGGTGCTTTTCCGTGTTTCCCGAAGTTGGGCAGCGGTCCTCATGTCGCTGCCAAATCTGTTCATGCATCTGGACCTTTCCCGGGCTCGCAGGAATGTCCCGACGTCTGCAATTCTAAAATATATCAAGGGATCGCGCACGCAACTGACCCATGCCACCATCATGAAACTCTTCCCCGGAGACAAAATCCGCATATTAGATATGCTGGGACGGTGCAAGAACCTGGAGCACTTGGATATCTCTCTTGGGGGATTCAACCAAAGGATATCTACCAAAGGTTCCACGACTCCCGCCAGCTCAAGTCCCTTATTATTTCAAGTGAGATCCCTACGAGCACCGAATATTTTGCCCGATTCCTGGCTGCCCTGCCTCAGCTCGAGCGCATTGCAATCTATGGCATCAGGTCCTCTGCCTGGGCTGCCATCTTCCAGTCAGGATGGCCCAGAACCCTTCCCAATCTGAAGACGATCGCCCTACAATCTGGCCACACAGCCATTCCAAATAGCCATGCACACCCCCTAGATCTCCTGAACCTTTTGAGTGTAAGATGCCCTTGTTTCAAATCTTCTGCTTCGTTGCTCACAGCTTTCCAGGAGCGAGAGCAACACACATACCCAAACCTGGAGGAACTGGTACTTTCCTGGTGCCCAGAGCGATACATGCCGTATGTCTTTAAGCCAGTTTCTCCCAGCCTCAGTGCACGCCTTCCACCTCTCCGCCGGATTGATTTCCGTGGCGTGACTCCTGGGCCCAATTTTCTCAGTGTCCTTCCATCTACGCTCGAGGAACTCCACGTGCAGGGAGGCGGTTCTATCAGCCCCTTCCTTGAGATTGATGCGACAAAGACCTTGCCTAACCTGACCAGTCTGGTCCTCAAAGATCTCCGGTGGCTCGACTGGCAGGTATTCTGGGCCCTGGCTGTCAACTCCAAGGCACCCCTCCGCGCCCTGCAGATCGACGCTTGCTTCAACGTTAACGTCGGGCTATTTCCCCGCACCATGGACGAGATGGTGACCGTCAACCCTGACCTCAAGTCTCTGAACCACCTGAGCCTTGTCAACATGCCCGATGTCACCACCGACTACGTGGGAGAATTGATCGAAGGCTTTACCAAGTTAAAGATCCTCGACCTATCCCACACTAAAATCACTGGATTCCTCGTCCGCGTGCTTGCCGATCGCCGCACCGACCCTAACTGGAACGGCGCCATTCTTGAACACGTCGTGGTTAGGGGGTGCGAGTCCGTATCCTCGGATGTTGTTCCGTACGCAGAAGCCAGGGGGCTCCACGTTTACAGGTAGCTGCGCACTGGGGTTGGGGACGATGAATTTTCACGGCAGTCATGATATGTAGTTACGATCTATCTTTGACCCAAATGGGCACTATATTAGAGTAATACCAAAACCACGGCGCAAGGTTGTTCTTTTTCTCCCCTAACAATACATAGGGAAATAGAAGAATAACAACAATCATAATTTGGCATTCTATATCGATGCGATGTGTCTACCCAAGTAAATGAGTATCTACGAGAACAATGGACCACTTCAAACCCCCCGTTCCTGGCACCAGCGCTCCACCTCGCGAGCCAGCTTCTCGCGCTGATCCCGCACCAGCTCCATCATCGGCTCGACCTGCTTGCGGTGCGAGGCGATCAGATCCTCCTGGCCATTAACACCATTCGACACAACGGCAACGCCCTCTTTTGGCGCAAGATAGGCGTCATAGATGGAGACCATGAGGTCCATGACGGCCGAGAGCTGGTTGGGAAGCCACTAAAAGCCGTTAATGTCAGCATCAATCCCATGAAAAAGTGTGTATGTTCATAAAGGACTCCCTAGAGTGTGAAGTCAAGGGAGACAAGAGTCTTTGACTTACCGTCACAATTGGACTGCCACCCGTGGCAGTCGGGTGCGGCGTACGGCGGATGATATACTCACGCGCAAACAGCCAGTGGCGCCACCGGAAGCTGCGGATGTGGTTGAGGGTTCTGAGGAACAGCACCGCCGTCTCAGAGTCCTGCACAGCGAAGTTCTGCACGCCTACTTCCTCGGCCTTTTCACGGATATAGGTGAGGAACTGGCGATGCGGGAGCGGGCGATAGGCGCGGAACTCATGCAGAATTTTGGTGAGGGGAGTCGACGGCATTGGGATCTGGCAGAGATGGTCGAGGAGCGGGATCTATGGGATTGTTGTTTATGTTAGCTGTACTGATAATCTTTGTCCTGAAGGGGCTGGAGATTGATACGTACGATGCTGTCATTGGCACCGCTCTCGCCGCGGAAGAAGAGAGGCTTGTTGTCTTCGACGCCTTCGTAAATTACTCCGTTCGGGAACATGGACTGCGAGGTAATGCCGAAGATGAACACGCGGAAGGAGAGATACTCGGATGGCTTGGAGTTCCCCCACATCTCTATACCGGAGTTAGCAAATCATGGCAACAAAAGAAATTGAGCCTTGCGAGGGAATCCCTGGCTAATGGAGAGGACAACTTACCTTCCATGGACGCCTCAATCTTCTCCATCGCGCACAAAATCTCCCGGAATCCATCGTTGATATCAGCCCGCGGAGCGTGCTGCTCCAGGTTGTCGACGACCTTGAGTGCACCGCTAATGAGGGCACCGGTCTCCTTGACCATGTCCACGTGGGTCAAAATAAAGCCCGCCTCAGAGCTCTTAGGGTCGTGGCCGCGCTCGAAAGCGCGGATCAGACGCAGGTTGGAGTACTCCTCCAGACCCTTGGAGGGATCAGCCACAGTGTAGTTGAAGAGGGCATAAGAGGCAGCATAGGACATGAAAGGAGGCAGGTCCAGACTGGAAAGACTAGTCAGCAACGATGATCTTATGGCAACAATATTTCCAGATAGCAGATGCAGTCAAGGAAAGAAGGGAAGGGAGGGGAAGAGAAAAACCTACAGCTGGGCACAGCGATACATAGGACGAGCAACAGCCTGAGGAAGTACATCACGACCAAGACCATAACCGTTGTCGGGATTCTTGCACCAGTTCTCCCAGCAGGGCTCAAGCAAGTACGAGGAGGCCAGGAAGGTATAGTCCCGGAAGACAGCGGCGACGGTGAACAGATCCGGAGAGCCGTCGGCAGTGACCAGCTTGTTCACCTCATCTGTTAGGTCTGAGAGCTCGGCCTTGACAGCGGGGCCGAGCTCGTATGTGGCCAGCAGACCAGGCTTGCCATCGGCCTTCACGACAGGGAGACGATCCACGAGAGAGGCCAAGGGCCCGAAGACCTCTGGCAAAGTGGAAGGGGCAGTGGCATAGGGCAAGAACCCCGTGGAGGTGGTGATGGTGAAGGGGTCCAGTGCATGGGACAGAGTGGAAGGGTCCTCGTTGACATGGGGGAACTGCTCCAGGGTTCTGGCGGAGGGGAAGGGGACTTGGGTTCGGGTCATGATGATGATGATCCAAGACAATAAACAATAGATATAGGACAAGGAATATATAATGGTCCAGTAGAAGGACAATGATATGTGCTAGGTATAGGGGGAAGGGGTGGTGGATAGAAGTATCAAGGCCAAGGACCAAGGTTGGGGAAGAAGTCAGGAACCAAGGAACCAGGAGGAATGGGTCAAAAAAGAGAAGAGAGGAATCCAGGGCACTTGAAGGATGAGAAAAGAAAAGAAAACTCGATGATTTGGGCGGGTGAGGAGCAGATTCTTATAATACTCAGAGGCCGGTATCAATTCCGGCCTCAAGCCCACCATTACGAAAGAGATAGAAGATGGCGTGGATCCGGTGACATCGGGCATTTGGATGGGTCTGTGAGTTCTGATAATGTTATGACACAGCTGAGGGAAGCCATACAGGGTGGTTTCGGTCCAAATGGACTGTTTCGACCTCGCTCTATACATCCAAGTGGTCGACATCAACATCCAGCAAAGAAGGGCAGGAAATGGTCACGGGGACACGCTAAGCCCGATCCAGAACTGGATAAAAGAGCCGCTTTGACAGCTTTCACAAAGGGCGGGCACTTGGTCAAGGCTATAAATGTCTCAGGAGATATCTGTCGACGACTCGGATATAAGATATTGCCACCTTGTTGCCATGATTCTGACAAGCATACTGGTTGCACACTGCCTGGCTGCGAGGCGTGCTCTATATTTCATCCGGTGCCAAGACTGGAGAATGAAATAATGCCCTATGATTGGCGGATAAGGCCAGATTAGACTTTCCTAGCGTCCTGAGGCCGGAATTCAGCCGGCCTCCGCGAATAACCGGCCTCGTTTTATATGCCAGGCCCGTTGGATATCTGCATGTCTTTGGATGAAAAGTGTGGGGTTATTAGGTTAACCCTCAAATATACTCTAACTTAACTTCTCGTCTACGGGCTATTTAATCTATCATTAAATACAAAGAAAGAAAAACATGTTAATGTTCAGAGATGTTTCTTGATATGTAGCAAGTCCTGTAGCAGACAAGATCTTATAATGCGACAATGGAATAGAATGAGATAGGCGATGCCCTCTTTATTGCCATGACGTACCTACTAAGCTTATATAGCACACTAAATTTAACGAACAAGTTTCTGGGCCTGGGGGAGTATAGCAGCAGTTGTTTTAGAGCGGAACTTGGTAGTCTGCCCCGAAGTAAAGGAGGAGCCCGATGTCACAAGGGATTATCAACCGAGTCGAGAAATTCACATTTTTCCCCAGTCGTATAATTCAAACTTGATGTCGGATAATTCCTTGAATGGATTGACATTTACTAGTATCATACCCAATAGAGACGATGGGAGTTCTTCTAGTTGGTGTATATATTTATACTCCAGACGAGATCATTAATACTAATTTCTTGCTATAACACTGTCATATTGATTTCATTTTCATTCATTGTATTATATATCCATCATCATGGATTGCTTGGGCTTGCAACAAGGCATTCGCCCTATAAGAGCAGCCGCTCGTAGTTCATGCCCAAGTGTAGATATCCTCATTTCTACTGAATGCACACTGCCTTGTCTCAAACCAGCCAGTATGACTCAGGGCTCTTCTGCTTGTTGCTCATATTATTTCTTTTGTATTGTTCCCTTGAACTGTAAAGTAGAGACGAGTTCATGCTTAACATATCATACATGACAGGGTATATTGTACACGACGCCAATTTATACATAGCATGCAAGATGCAGAATTTCCAGCTCCCACAACTGTCAATGAATGACTGGCTCCCCATGGAAATCACCCAGTGTAGTCCACCAAAAGTACATTCCCGAATGACCCAATTGTCCAGATCAAAGCCACGCCATACCACCACCTTTGAGTATGTTCCTCATGTCCCCGGACTTGGATTGTTGTCTGCTGGATTTGAGTCGCCAGCGTTTTTGGACACGTTCTGAATCTGGAGATACTGTTGCTCCAAGGCCTTTTGCATCTCGAAGTCGGCTTGACGTTCTTGGCGGACGCGTTGCTTCTCCATATCTCGCTCGACACCCTTGTGCATAGCCTATCAAACCAAGAGATCAGCACCAATCCATTGCCTCAAGATAGACCGACACTAAGTAACATACCGCCCTTTCCTGCTCTTGCGACCAGTGGACAAAGTAGACAATGCCTGCGGTACCCAGCCCAGTGGCAGCCAAGGTGATTTTGGATGCGCGTGACATGGCTGAAATCCAAAGCGATGCTTTGTCACAGCTGCCAAAGATTGAAAATCCAACAACAGCGCCCTCCCCGCAAAAAACATGTGCGGACGATCACCAATGCGACCAAAAAGTGCGGATCGTTTATCGATGGGCGGTGGCTGGCGGCACTATCCGCCCCCCACCGCCTTGGGGGGCGATGCGTGGCTCCGAGCTGTCGTCGCAGCTCCAGACTCTCCGCTCGTTGCTGGTTTAGAGTCTCTTTTTCTTTGCAACCCCCGTTACTTTACAGATTGAGAGGGTTCTTGGGCAGCGATGGTAAGCAGAATGTTTCTTGTGCTCGTGCTCAGCTGCTAACCTCGAATGAAACAGTCGGCTCAGAACTCCGCGGGCATTCAGACCCTCCTCGATGTAGGTGTTGACTGTGTGTCGGTTTCGGCTGGGAGATACTGATGATGAAACTATTAGGCCGAGAGAGAGGCTCAGAAGATTGTCCAGCAAGGTTAGTGTACTGTGCTTGTTCCTCTGATGTCATTCGAGACCTATACTGATATATTCTATCCAATTTAGCCAGAGAATGTATGATCCTCGAGTCTACCAGTCAGCACTTTCCCATGAAGCCATTTTCTTACACAATGACACAGATCGCACCAAGCGCATAAGGGACGCCAAATCCGAGGCGCAGAAGGAGATCGAGGAATACCGGAAGCAGAAAGAAGACGAGTTCAAGAAGTTCGAGGCTGAGGTGAGACGAGAGGGCAGCGCAAATGTTGTTGATTCAACAGGGATGGCCTGCTGACGCCAGTTTCCTTTCTAGCACTCGAGTGGATTCAAGAAGGCTGAGGACGATGCAAGCCAGGAGGCCGAGGCCAACCTGAAGGAGATCCAGGAGGCCGGCAAGAAGAAGGGCGACAAGGTGGTGAATGACCTCATCCATGCGACAACCGATGTGAAGCCGGAGGTGCCCGAGAAGATTGTGTCCAAGGCATAGAGTTGATATGATGGGTTTGGTTTGTCTTTACACGAGTATCAGCAGCACGATGCTCTTTCATGGCTATTTATCGATATCCAACCTTCGGAGAATATGAATTTCTTTTTTTTTCTTTGGGTTCCTGTGGCCATCGCATAGGTACAGACAAACGACCAGACCACTCCAACGCCGCAGATGTGGCGTTGCGAAAGAAGCAACCTGCTTTTCACCTACTTTTTGATACCCCCCCCCCCCCCCCCTGCCCTGCCCTCTTCCCCCTTTGAATCTCGATGGATTTCAAAAGGCAACAAGTATTCTGTGATATAGGGGCGAAACACGATCCTGGGGTGCAATGTTAGCAATGAGGCCAAGACCTCTTGCACCTTGGGGTGTTGGTCATTAGGGAAAAGCTGGGCCAATTCTGCAAAGAACGTCCGGAATTCCTCGTTGCTAAATTTCGAGATCGATTGCTGTCGTGGGACTTTGTCTCTCGTCTGGAGCTCCAGCAAGGTATTTTCTGGATCGGATTCGACAAACACCCATTCTTCCCCGAACCGTTCTGCCTGCACCAAGTCCCATATGGCATTTCGCATCCATTCCTTCACTCGAACATGAAAGGATTTCACATCCTTGGGCTTCTTTGAAAACAATTGCGCTTGGTATCCTTCTCTGGCCTCTGATCTTTCCACCAAGTCGCAGAAGCGTTGCAGCGTTGCCGTGTCCAACGGATCCACCAGCTGGATATGTTCCTCGCCCAACTGACCAAAAAGTTGCGAGTCGATCATGTCCTTGCGGGTGACATAGATAGGGACCTCCTGCAGACAGATTACCCAGTTCTTCAACTGAGAAAGAATCTCCCATTTAGGCCGTCCTAACGGGATCTCCCACATGCAGACACGTTCTGCCGGGATCATGGCCGTCTGGCACTGGACCGCATAGTCAAAGAGCAGCGGGACTGAGTCTTTGGATCTGTAGTGGGCAGAATCCGTACCAGGGAACAAGAGCAAAGTAGGGATGTCGGTCGTTGAATCGAACCACCGCGGGGAAAGCTTAGTGTTGGTATGACGCATGGGAGTATTTTCAATCCCTTCGATGCGGTCTGTCTCAAACACCACGTCGCGAGGTTCCCTACAGTCACGGGTAATCACTGGGGACTTCCGACTCTGCTTGGATGCCCAGGTACGCATGATGCTGCCGTAGCTTTCCAGCAAACGATGCGGCACTTCCACTTCGAAGACCCTGCATTTTGGAAGGCATTACTTCCAGATGAGATGCCGTAGCTCTGGCGGGAGGTAGGGGAAGAGATGAAAGTTGGTCTGATCACTCATGGATTGAGATGGTGAAGTGCGGTGTTGAGAAGAAAGAGGACTAAGATGGTGCGAAGTGAAGAATCTACCCTACCTTTTGTAGACTTTGACAGTGAATTCACTGAGATCCTATCTTTAAATAAGTGAATCAAATTTCCCTCCAGAAGAGGTATTTTACTACCCGAGCATAAGCACCAAGATATATTATAATATTTTACTAAGCTCTTAATTATTTTATCACTATCTAGACAGCTCTCTGTTTACTTATGATTGTTAATATATCAGAGTGAGTCTACGTTAAGGATATATTTTAATAGAAGGTTAACAATAAAGCAACCTATATAATAGACAGATACTTTCCAAAGAGTAAGATCCAAAAATTGCCTATCAAGCATATTCATCTAGTGACAGAGAATCCTAGAAACACTAAATTTAGAAGCCCTGTTCAAACCAGACTTTTCCAGCGACTTTTTCAACTCCACCTCGCCGAACTGGATGTCGGTTTCCCGGGGTTGACTCGGTTGTCGCAGGAATAACTTGTCAAAATCGATTGTAAGCGCCCCGTTTTGAGGCTGCACGTAGACATGGTTGTTTTCGCCTTTTTGAACAGCCACGACTTGTTGGCGGCGCTCCCGTCCATTGTTGTTTTCCCATTTTTCAAACACAAGAGAAGGCCTGGTCTGGTTGATCCTCAAGGTGATCACGGTCTTCACATCCCCCTTTGATTCTTGAAACCAGTACCGAACACTCGCGTTCAACTTCGACGGTGACTCCGAAAATGCGACCTCAACAACGAGAGATGGCCAGTCGTCGGTTCGGCCGCTGGGGCGCCTGTTCGGTAGGAATTGGCAGTCTGGCTGTCTTGCGCCATGCTCGCCAGAGCGGGTAGCAGGTCCGGTACTTCGGATGGATTCATCAAGCCCGAGGGGTTTAAGAGCTTCAAACAATTGTCGATCGAAAGCTGTGGCAGCAGCTCCATGCGCAGGAGAGACCGGCATGATAGCGAGGAGGAGACGTAGAGTCTTGTCATAAGCACTCCAGGAACGTAGGATGTTTTTATCGTTGGTGTTGAGGAAGTCACGAGTAAACGCCTGAGGCTCAACTCCTGTGAACAATATCCACTCACTGAACCCAAGATCCTCTTGCTGACGATGGCATTGCATTGCCCGAATCGCTAGAAACTGCCCAATTCCTTGATATTGGTATCTTTTAATTTGGGGTCCTAGATCGCCTAGAAAGCCCTCACCAAGAGAAGCTGTATTAGGCTCGGAGTCTGGCTTAGAAGACATTGTGATCAGTATAAACAGAGATTAGATACTTGTCTCTCTTGAAAAGAAGCTCAGAAATGCGAAGAATAAATTAAGACGCTGTCTTCAAGTCTCTGCCCGAAGTATCTGGTAGCCTCTTGCGAGGTGACATCAATCCGCGTAATACAAGGGGCCTGATATTGATGAAGGTCTTGCTCGGATGCCGGTGACATCGGAGATATCGGTCTATAAGGAGCAATTAATAATGGTACAGTAACCGATCGATGTTATGGCCTCCATAGTGATCGACGATTATCAACGTAGCATAGGATTCTCGAGTCATTTGAAATACCTCAACCTGCCTAAAAGGGAAATTCTCCCTGACTCAGTCACCGCCACGAAGGATGGAAAGCTGAATGTGCATCACAAGTATAGGTGACCCCGCTGGGGCCTTTTCAGCAGTCAAATTCTAGTTTCACAGCCAAGAGAATCAGATCTTGTCTTAGAATTTTTCCTTGCTGCCATTCTTGATCAAAGATAAACATCATGGCCGAGTTTCCTGCTCTCCAGCCCGAGTTTCTGTTCTTCATCCATGGCCTTACTATATCACCTGCTAACCGCTATCTAATTTATTCAGGTAGTGCTTCTCGCAAGAACCCTGTACGGGCTGTGGTAAGCACCGGATTTCCCTTGACATTATCACCAGGACCCAATAGACTAAATACATGCTTGTCTCATTCTGATAGCCCATGACCGGAGGCACGCTGAAGAGCGCTGCTGGATTCACCCCTGAGATTGATGCAGATTTTGTGAGCGTTGGCCATAACTACCTCCGTGGAGACGCGTTCGACAACACTTTGTTCTCACTGCCTTGGAATAATGGCGTCTTTAACAAGACAACCCTTGAAATTGAGGACCAATCTATGGCCAAATGCAATTAAAGCCACAAGAATACAAAGCCCTGCCGTGCACTCTACGCGCAGAATGTCCTCGATGTGGACAACTTTGACCTCTTCGATAAGCTCATTCACCAGTCAACTACCAAGATCAACCGCTCGAGAAGAGCCCCGGCCGCTTCCTGCTAGTGGATTTAAAACCATTGAAGCCGACCGTCTGATTGAGGAGGAGGAAATACCGGATTACCGAGCCGATCGCTTCTATCCCGTGCGCCTCGGCGAGGTGTTTCAAGAACGCTTCCAAATCATCGCGAAGGTCGGATTTGGCAGTTCTTCTACGACTTGGCTTGCTCGAGATCTAAGGTATGCAAGCACTCTTAATTAGCATAAGAGATCATCAGTGTGTCGCATTAAAAATCTATGTGCATACCTCCTTGGTCCACCGTGAACTTCCATGCTATGATCACCTTGCCCGTCGCATAGCACACAGCTCTCACCAAGGACGTACCGGCATCCGGAGACTACTGGAGTCATTCATAGCTACCGGCCCAGATGGGGAGCACATTGTCCTTGTCTTCCTGGCTGCACAGATGAGCCTGCGTGATATGAAGGTGGTATTTCGAAAGAGTGGACTAGATGAAGATCTAGTAAAGGAAGCTATTATTGAGCTTCTCAAGATTTTGGATTTTCTTCATGCCGATGGAGAGGTTGTTCATACCGGTATTACCCTCCAGCTCTTTTCCCCATTGATTCCTCCTTGTGTGTCGAGTGACTAACTTATGGGTAGATATTCACCCTGGTAACCTGCTCCTTGGTGTCTACGATAATAACCTCTTTAAAAGGCTCGATGACAGAGAGTTTGAGGTTCCTGTGCCCCGAAAGCCTGTTTCTCTTCTTCTCGGACAATATCTCTCTCGCGCCTATCACGGCCTCGGGAAGGCAAGGATTGGCCCCGGGCCTCATGCCGGTGACATCATGCCCTTGGAGTATCGAGCCCCTGAGACACTCCTTTGGGTGGGCTGGAGTTACTAAGTCGATATCTGGAGTGTTGGCCCCACGGTGGGTCTGAACTGAATCAGAATTCTTTCGATATGTGAAAGCTGACGGGATTCCGAGAACAGACCTGGGATCTTTTCCAGCCAAAAAGACTGTTCACAGCACGCGATGAGGATGGCGATCTTTACGATGCTGCCCACCTCGCCGAGATGATTGCTACATTGGGACCGCCGCTGCCTGAGTTCCTGGCGAAGAACCCAGAGAAGAGGGCTGACTATTGGGATGAAAGCGGTATGTTGCCCCCCCCCCCCAAGCTCACAAATGATGGTGGCGGAGAAGAGAAAAACAATTCCACGATGCCCCTTTTATGCTCTCAATTACTCACAGTACGTCTGTATATCCTTTACTAACTGGCATCACAGGGGAATAGTTAGGCCTGGCTCCCATCCCTCACGCCCGCACGATGGAGGCTCTTGAGACTCGACCCCAAAACAAAACAGGCTTCCTTCAATTCCTCCAAAGGACTCTGACTTGGTTGCCAGAGGCACGACCAGCAGCCAGAGCACTCTTACAGGATCCTTGGCTGAAGGATGAGGTGTAGATCTATCTAGACCAAGGTCATTCAATAGCCACGAAAGAATAGATTATGAAGACAGTCAAGGGACCGTAATGATTAGAAATATGCACTCATTAATTTTTTATTTTACTACCTTGTGACTACTTTGTGGGGGTCGATATCAAGGCACTCTAGCGCAGATGCCAGCCTGAGGCAACGAAAAATAGGTTTCCCCGTTGCGTCATCCCCACATCTAAACAACAACCACCTTCGGCCATGGGATATGCAGTCGCGATTCGGAATGCAGTCAAACCCCAATTGGTAAACTGCTGGCTTGATCAATCATCCTACCTGGCCCGTCGCGGGTTTCACGCGTCCCCGCGCAGGTTAAACTCAATCCTCGAACCGCGTCTGGAGGACCATGGCAAGGTCATTCACGACGAGTACTCGGTGATCCGAGACCACTATAGTTCGTATATGGAGACACGAGAGACTATTGTATTCATGGATATCTCTTGCTGACAATATGTGTGCAGTCGCCCCCAAACACCCAGTCGTTCTCGCCCATGGTCTCCTTGGGTTTGACGAGTTGCGCCTCGCGGGTCCATACCTGCCCGGTGTTCAGTACTGGCGTGGGATCAAGGAAGCACTATCAGCGCAAGGAATTGAAGTGATCACGGCCACGGTACCGCCGTCGGGATCCATTGAGGCACGCGCCGAGGAATTGGCCCGAGATATCGAAGTCGGCGCGCGGGGGAAGGATGTCAATATCATTGCGTATGTTGAGTCCTTGGCTTTATTTGGAGCATTGGCGTTAATATAATAATTGGTTTGCGTGCAGTCACAGCATGGTAAGATAGCTCTCTCCTCTCGTCTTCCAAACTGAAGCCGTTATTCATCTGTTTTCTAGGGGTGAGATATCGCGATGGAATACCTTTCGAATTCCACGAGCTAATGCAACGGTCAAAGTGGCCTGGATTCACGGTACATGATTAGCCATATTCGACCATCAAAGTTCAAAGTGTTGTCGCTGACCACCATTGCGACTCCGCACCGAGGTCTGGTATTACAACCTCTGTTTCTTTCCGACATTGTTGACTGACTACTTGACAGGATCGGCCGTGGCGGACTATTTCTTTGAACAGATCGGAGGTTTGTGAATGCATCTACCTTCGCATTCCCTCCCAAATGGAAGCTCACTCGACATGTCTTGCAGCGGACCGCCTCCCACAGATATACTATACCCTTGAACGATTGAATGTTGAGACCGGCGCCTTTGCTCAGCTGACCCGAAAGTACATGGCCGAGACGTTCAACCCTAGTACCCCGGATGTGGATGACGTACGGTGCGTACCACCACCTATCTATTGTGCTGACGGGGATCTGATTCGCGTCTAGGTACTTCTCGTACGGCGCATCCGTGCAGCCTAGTATCTGGTCTGTCTTCCGACTATCGCATCGGGTCCTCGCCGAGGCTGAAGGGCCCAACGATGGCCTGGTTAGCGTGGCCAGCAGCCGCTGGGGAGGCGATTCCGGATACAAAGGGACCCTGGTAGGCGTGAGCCACCTCGACCTGATCAATTGGAGCAACCGGCTGAAATGGCTGGCGGGGGAAATCACCGGCAACCGAAGAAAGTTCAACGCGGTCGCCTTTTATTTGGCCATTGCAGGTATGTTCGGTAGACGTGGATCGGACCTGGTCAACAGCTAATGGGGTTGGATTTTGTTTTCAGATATGCTGGCGCGAGAGGGACTATAACCGGGGTGTACGATGTATATGCGAATACCTCGATATTCCTTGCCCGGGATACCATATGCAGCCATATTATCTAGTACCAATGTACATAGATGGGCTGAAGCCGATCACATTCTATTATTATTATTGTGGGGCCGAGAGCGATCGAACCCTGTTTAATCGCGTGGAATTCTGGTGCCTGGAACACCGATGTCTTGAATTTTCTGTTTATCTTGAGATCTATGATGATGATATTCACAATGATAACCTTAGCCCTAGCAAAGAAATGCCCTATAGTATCCTAGACTTACTATATCAGAAAATACATATATGGACATTCCCGAGTCTTTTGCATCTTGTAGAATCCCGGCATCTTCCGGTTGATCGCAAGTTGCATATAAAAATCATCCCAGGCAGCGAGATCAACGTGGCTGAGCGAATTCGAGGCGCAGTTCAAATAGTTAAAACCACTGCGAAATCAGCGAGTGAACCGTGGGTGCCGAAGCCAAGTCAAATCAGTTGATCCCAGACGTCATTCCACGGGTCCGCTTCCCCTCGCATATAATCCGCATTTCTTCCCCCCTCCAAATCTGACAACCCCACGACCTTAACTCCTTTCACCTCCACAAGGAATTGTTTCTTGCGCCTTGTCCGATCAGTCGATATTCCCCCGATTTGACGATTTGATCGCACGCGCACCCCACACCAGAGAGCGAGAGCCCTAGCCAGGGTTTCGGGCGCCCGTCGCCATGTCCGCGACAATCCTGTTGGACAGCCGGCATACTCATTACACCAACCTTGACTTCCTGTCTGGCAAGGTTGTGCTCGGTTTACATACTGAAGCAGCGATCGGCGGCATCCAGGTCAAGTTGGAGGGCGAGAGTCGCACGCGCCTGTCCGGTCCTCGGAACCCACAGAATGTGAACTCCGATAAGAAGCGGACAGAGCTGGAGGTCCACAAGGTGAGCGGTGACTGTCTATTTAATACACCGATGCTTTTTTTGTGATATCTTGGACGTGTAGCTGACTGGGTTCAGATCTTGTACAAGGTCGCGACCGTCTTCCCTACGCCGGGTGTCATGCAGCAAGGGTCGCCAGCTACATCGTATACGTTCGCCCCAGGGACGTACGAATATCCATTCCAGTTCAAGGTGAATATGATTTTGGTTTGGTTCTCAACACACACAGACACATCTCGCCTAACCTCGGTCTAGTTCCCTTTCAACAATGCTTGCAGCACCCACAATAGCATGCTCACCAACCTCAACTTTAGCGGGTTGAAAGTTGAGATGGCCCGAGACACCAATCGCCATGTCAAGAAGACTCTGCCTCCCTCGTTGAGTGGTTTCCCCGGTGAGGCCGACATCAAATATTTCGTCAAGGCAACGGTCATTCGGCCACAGTTTTACAAAGAGAATATCCGGGCGGTGGGTGTCATATTGAGAGAGAACAAGTCCAATTGCGCTTGGTCAAGATTGCTGACAATTTGTTAGCTCGTGGGCTTGAATTTCTTGCCGATTGAGCCACCCCGAACTGGCAATCCCAACGAGGAGACTTACGCAAGGCGGCAACACCAATTCTCCAAGATCTCCAAGAAAAAAAATCTGTTCTCGCGCGTTTCTAATGCCGCACTTGGAGACATTTATGCGGAACCTCCTCGAGTGGCCTTGGATGCTCGCCTCCCCAACCCGTCTATTCTCACATGCAACGAACCAGTTCCACTTCGTCTAATCGCTAGGAAGTTGACCGAAACCTCAGACATTATCTTTCTCCAAATGCTACAAGTGGAACTAATTTCGTACACCAAAATCATTGCCCATGATCTTACTCGCAAAGAAACTGGCTCCTGGGTCATTCTGAGCCGCAGCAACATGCAAACCCCGATGGGCAAACCGGGCGATGCGGTAGGCACCGATTGGGTTATTGACCCTAACTTGTGGAACCATCTACCTCTACCTAACTCGGTTGCGCCATCCTTTGAGACGTGTAATATCGAGAGAACTTATGAGCTGGAAGTGCGAGTTGGTCTAACCCATGGCACCGTCAAGGAAATGAAGGTATGTGGGGATATTAACCGCTTGTGACATTGCCCATCTGACCTTTTTTTGTAGCCGCAACTCATTGTTCTGCCATTACGAATGCCGGTCAGGGTTTACTCTGGAATTGCTCCCCCTCAGGCCCTCCTGGATGCTATGGCAGCGGCAACTCTTCAACCATCACCTTCAAAACCATCATCTCGACCCAGCTGGCCGACAAACGAAGGTAGCAGCCGGCCGCCTATGCCCCCACGACCAATGGATGCGCCAGTGCCCGTCAGTACTGCCGAGGTTTACGATGATGCACCGCCCAGCTATGAGGATGCCATGGCGGAAAACCTAAGCCCGGTGGATGGACCACGCCGCGAGTATCACCCACCAGATACCTCTTCTTCCGGGGGTGCCATGGACTCTGGAACTGATGCCAAATCGGCAGCCGAAACGGGGAAGGCCCGTGAGGAGAGCCCGGCGCCAGAGGGATCTTCAGCGCTTCCTTACTGCCGCGACAGCCGCTCGTCCTCGGAATCCTTTGACATGCTACCCACCACTCCGCCCGAGTCTCATTCTGGATCCCCCTCCACGTCTCCGGTCAGACGTTCACAAAGTACCATGAAGGTCCCCCGGAATCCCGTGGATGAGGAAAGCCCTCCGCAGTACCAGCCTGTTGCCGAGAGCCACCAACTTGCCCCAAGTGCCGTGGAGCGACAGCCTTCCCGGAACAATCTTCGCCCCATGAATCTCGGCGTGCCTACCCGAAAACCTGTCCCGAGCCCGAATAGACGAGGACACTCTTGATCTTTCGAGACATAACCGCCTTGAATGTGACTATGAGCGCACCCATCGCTCCAATATGGTGCTGGTCTCACCAAACCTGGGAGCGAGAAAAAAGTCAACCCTGCTGGAATGCACATCTTGACATCCAACATAGGATCATGCCACATCTGTGGTATTGTCTCTTTTCTCACAAAGTCGCATACCCAATTTCCTGCCATGATCTGGCGTTTGTGGCCGAAGAATCCTTGGCCCATTTTTGCGCGGAGTCAGGTCGCGTCTCTTTTCTTCAACGGCATAATGCATATTTTAATAATTTACATTATGATGTAAATACCGAGACAGTGATTTTCGGTGACAGTTTGCATCATGGCATGTTTTCTTCATGTTCGTGCGTAATGTTTCAATCTTCAACTCTCCTTCCAGTCGGATTTGGACACCTCTTCTGCGTCATTTGCAATTCATATATCAGGATAGATTATTCAGACAGTTTTTCACAATTAATCCCTATGAAGAGACAATTACTTCTTGTATCTTCGTCTTCATTGTTTACAGATCTACGCTAGGTGCCCGAGGCATCAACCCTAATACGGTTAGCGCCAACCGTCCATCTCCACGTTTTGAGCTTCGTTCTTTTCTTTGTTGGCAGCTGCGACGACATCACTGCGCCTTGGACTCAATTCGGGGGATGTCCAATCAAATAGTCATGTGCCAATCGCCATAAACGTTTATAGTTTTATTTCAATCGAAGAACACGACTCATACGCCACTCCGACCACTGCACCCCCGAACCACGTTCTCAACCCCAGAAGCTGAACAACAGCTTCAAAACCACAGCTCTCGCGCTTTCTCTCGGCTAAATGGTTTAAAATATCCTTTAAATTCTTCCTCATTATGCGCCTTCACCTCATTATCTCGCGTCATGGCCTGCCCATCACGCGCATTCTCTGGACAACCACCTCGGCAACCTCTGCGCTGGGCGAATATGGAGTCCATCGCGCAGCCTCGGCCTCGGCCATCGCAGCCTCACGCACACCGAATATTGCTTTCGCGAACGGCGGATACACAATTGCACAGCTCCTGGAGGACGTGAACGAGGTAGTGCCGCTCGAGACCGAACCGAGCATGTTTGATCCCGAATACAGTGGACAGTGGGGCTTGGAGGATTATGTCGTCGAGGTCGGCGGCTCGGAATGTCTGCATTTTATGGAAGTGGATGGAATCCTTCGCGATGGCGATGAAGTTATGTACGTGTGGATCCCTCTGGAGAGAGGTGGGAGTAACTCGCGCGCCCGATTCCAGGACGCGACATTGACGATTTTACTGACTTTGCATGCTGTATCTAGAATCCGTGCCCTGCAGCTGTCGGACCTTCGAGCGCGGCGAATCTGTGGCCGTCACCAGATTACGGCCGAGGGCAAGCATCTCGTCGATGGTGTCCCGTTTGGGTCACCGTTTCTGAAACGGACGACTTCCGCGCGACCTGGAGTTTCTATTCCACCTAGAAAGAAGCGTCGCACTATTTTCTCGGGCTGGGATCAGACTCTGGACTATCCACCCGCTGACCCGAACGCTGACGAAGAAGGCGATGGCGACTGGGTGCCGCCTGGTGACGCTGGATTTGGAAAAGAACTGTCGATCTTGCCGGCGGAGCACGAGGAGTCCGATCTGGGAACCGTCATCCGCCACCCCATTGACCATGATGCGGAGACTGACAGCGACGCGGCTGAATTTGAGCCGGAAGAGGATGAATTGGAGAGCGAACTCCAAGCTCTTAAGGAGGATTTCGAAGAGCCTGCATCCCAGTTTATCGACATTAGGAGAACAGCGAGTGGGCCCACCTTGCGCTCTACGTCTACAGCCAAGCGACCGTCGTCGGCCGATACTCTACGCAGAGGGTCACTGGTTGGGGCTTCATCTCTTTCTAGCAAACGGTCTCGCGGAGACGAAACGTCGCCGAGGACCTCTAAGGCCGTGAGGTTCAACAAGGGTGACGAAGATATGCCTGACCTGCCGGAATCTGATGAGAGTGCTGTGGAGACACCGTCAACCTCTAAAACACCCAAATCGCCCAAATCGTCCTCGCCCTCGTCTACTGACTCCAGTGATGCCTCATCTGAGGATGACTCCTCGGAAGAGGATGAGTCGTCCGATTCGTCATCTGATTCAGACGATTCCTCGGAAGAATCCTCGTCGGAGTCAGAAGAGGAAGAAGTTTCTCTGCGTTCCCAGAAGAAGCGATCTATCATGAATCCACCCGGTCAAGGATCAGTGCGGACGCGAAAAAGCAACAATCGGTACAAGCTTCGCCGCCGTCTCTCGAAGCTGAAGGAGCTCGGTGCTTTACCAGCGGAGGCCGACTTTGCGGCCCTGCGCTCGTGGGAAAATTCTAACGGAGGCTGGTATATCCCCGAGGAATCGAGCTTTGTTGTTAGTGCCCCGAGCAAGACGTACAAGAAGGAACAAGAGCAGAGGGAGTTCGAAGCCAAGCGTCAAAAGCTTCTCCGGGACCTGGCATCTGGTGGTGTCGATGTGGACGAGACTTCGGAGAAGGAAAATGTCCCGCCGCATCAAGCTGCTGCAATGGAGGCGGCTTTCTCCGAAGAAGCAGCTGACGCCGACAAGTACAACAATGAACTTGCTAACCGACGGACTTTGGATATCGCCAGCTCTCGACGGATGCTGTTCGGATCTCTTGGCATGCGAACGCCACGCACCAAAGAAGATGAAGACGAGACACGGCGAAAGTTTGCTGCCCAGGCTAGTACTGTTCAGCCTCGGAAGAAGACAGTGGACACGCAACCGGTCGAGGAGGACAGTGAGTCGGACGTGGATTGGGAGAACAAGTTGGTCATCCGGGCTACCGAGTGCGTCTTTGACGACATCGAATTGAGCGCGCCTCCCTTCCCCTTCGAACAACGCTGGGACTCGGATGCCGATGCAATCATCCGACAGCGCAAGGGCTGGGGCAAGAAGCGGAAGAGAAAGCAGAGAGCCCAGGTCTACTATGGCAATGAAGAAGAGCAAGACGAGTACGAAGATGGAAATGGAGGCTACGATGATGGTGATATTCAACTCAACTACGATGATCCTGAGCCGGAAACCAACAAGGCCCCAACTGCGGAGGACCACAAGGCGACGGCCACGGATGTCCCGGATGATCTTCCTGCTCTGCCCAGTGACTTGGATTCTGTACCGGATTTGACCGATAGCGATGCAAAGGTTGGGGCAATCATTGCCTTCCGACAGCTCGACATGTCCAAGGCTACCAACTGGCAGCCCCAGATGTCCGAATATCGTGTGGCTGAGATCCACGCCATTCTGGATCACGGCATGCTCAATGTACGACTCGCACAGCGTCACCGAAAGCCCAAGGATGACGCTGTCGATCCAGATGATGACGAGCCCCGTCAGTACAGCGGGTTTGAAATGCCAGGGCTCGAGGACGACGAAGAAGAAGACGACGGCTATCGCGATCTCACCTTTGCGGAGCTCAGCGACCCTAAGCTTCTCCGACCTGCGCCAGGGCCTGTGGATGCCGAAATGGCGGGTGGGGACAATACGGAAGAAGGTAGCATGTCAGTGCATTGAGTTTGGTTGTGGTTTCTGTGCGCTTACCTGTCCCCTAGTGTTTCTGTAATCCAGGACTTCATGCCGAACGGCCAACTAGCAGCTCCGCCTGCCGACATGGATCTTGATGAAACCACCTTCATCACCGTTGTGACTGACGACAACCAGCTCCAGACGCCTCGCGAGTCTTTCGCGCGGGCGTCAAATACCGCGTCCCCCCAGCAAACCCCTGGCGGGGTGAGACTCCCGCAGACGCAAGCTCAGAACGGACACGATGAGCGCAGCGGCATCTTCACAGTGCCCTCGCCGTCTTTCTCCGGGTTTCACTCGGCTCGATCTGTGGCACACGATAGCCCAGAGCCTCAGGTCGAAGACGAAATCGAAGAGAGCAATTTTGAAGGACGTACCCTCGATGGAAATAATCTCGATGGCCATACCTTGATCGGAGAACTACAGTCCGGTCTGGCAGACAATTCCAATCAAGACTTCTCTGCGCTGTCCTTTGCGTCCGTCAATCAGTCTGGCGTTGAACTATCTCCTGAGCATCAACAGCACGATCGCCGGGTCGTTGATGACCAGCCTGCCCCTTTTGCCGATTCAGCAGAGGACGTTTCCCGACCTGACTCACTACTGTCCCCGATTCAACGGCCGGAAGTCTCTGGCTCGGGGATGTCTCCATCCGCAAGGGGTGTCGAGAAAAGCCCCAGCGTCGAAGGGAGCTCGGTCCAAGCTCCAGACTCATGGGAGAATATTCTCGATATGTTGAAGAATGGTCCAGTAGGGGGAGATGACCAGGAAGGAGATGAAGATGAAGAGGACGATGAGGATTACGAGCGTGAGGAAGATGACAATGAAGACGAAAGTGAGGATGAAGAGGATGAAGACAACGAAGACGAGGACAAGGAGGAAGATCAGGATAAGGACCAGGACCAAGACGACTACAATATGGACCACAACCTCGACCTGGGTTCTTCACGCGAATCATCACAGGCCTCGCATTCAGGTCAACCACCCAGGAGCGGCCAAGCAGAGCCTCAGTCCCAGAAATCGGCAGCAATGGAGACCGAGTCGCCCCCGGCCTCCACCCGTTTGAAACGATCTCTTCGCTCTCGGGATTTAGGTTCTGCCTCCCAGCCCAATGCCTCCCAGACATCTGAAGTCGTGGACTTGACTGCCAGTCCGGAGGCTTCCTCGCACCCAGCACACACCAACCCAGAGCCGGAACAGTCGCAGAGCTCCGGGGAGTCGGGGTGGGTTTCCAAGCCGGGTGCAGACCAGGATACCCTCCCGCGATCATCGGGGCGACAGACCCGGGCTTCTTCAGGGAAGGTGCAGCGCATGACTGAGGTGAGTATCAGCCCGCAGACTCAGCGGAAGAAGCCATGGTCGCGGAAGTTCTGAGTTAATTGGTGGGGTCGATATCTACACCAAAAGTACCTACGAGTAGGTACTGGTACTTATTACTGTTGTAGGGATTGTATGTATCTTTGATGCTGTATGTATGGGTGGCATAGTCGTTCGTTTAGCGGATATTTTCTCAAGTCAATTCAATGAGTTACGGCATGAAATCGAGTGGATTAATAAGTATTATTTGAGCTTGAGATCCGCTTCTTTTTCTTCTATTGATATATTCTTTTCGATAGATGTTTATTCCTGAGGCAAGAAACTTGGAGATCATCTGACAAAACGTCAGCGTTGATTGGCGGACAGCGATGATCAGCGTGATGTCATTTGCATACACTACAAGATCGCGAAGTCGATTCCCTCGAGATGACGTGAACGACAAGCCCGGAGAGAATCCAATGGACTCAGTAAAGAGTGCCCTGGAGCTCGATCATCGATCATCCTAGTTTTCCCTCGATAATGCTCCGCAGTCTCCGGCGTCGCCTCCCAATCCGTGTCCCCCGAGTGCCATCCAACGCATCCCAGCCCCGGAGTTATCGGTGTGGCTGTCGCAATCACCCAGGCTGCTCGTGCGCCTGCGGTAGCCATCCCTCTCTTTCTTTTGTATCTTCGTCATTCTCCACCTTCTCATCCTCTGCCACCAGAACACCATCTATTTCCGCATCACCCATAGCTGTATCTGTGTATCCTCCCTTGCAACTCATCTTCCACCCCGCCAACCCCGCCCGCAGTCTCTCCACACGCACCATGGCCACCCAAGAATACAAGCTTAAGGATATCGCCTCGTTCGCGGATCTCCAGCCCATGGAGAAACTCGAATGCGAGGTCGAAGGTATCCCCGATGGCAGGGTGCTGGTCCTCAAGTTCGATGGCCAGGTCCATGCCATGAGTCCGCGCTGTACACATTATGGTGCGCCGATGAAACTGGGCGTCGTGGCGCCGGATGGTCGGATTACTTGTCCCTGGCATGGAGGTAAGAGTTATCTTGTGTCAGCTTTTGTTCAATCACAAGGAGCCCCAGAAGAAAAAGACTATGAATGAATGGACGCTGACGGTATGGGCATTGAATAGCTTGCTTCAATATTGGTAGCGGAGATGTTGAGGATGCTCCTGCGCCAAATGCTTTGAATAAGTTCGACGTCTTTGAAAAGGATGGTGCTGTGTATATTCGAGGCACCGAGACCGATATCAAGGCTGGGCAGAGGAATCCCGTGGTCCAGTGCAGTGTGTCGAAGCCAGAGGAGCGGGTTGTCATCGTCGGAGGGTGAGCTTTTACCCTTTTCTTTTCTTTTTCCAAAGCTTCCCCTTATCGCATGACAGCATTGTGCTGGGTGATAGCAAGTGTCACTAACATCCACCAGAGGAAGCGGCACACTCGGTGTCATTCAGGCTCTTCGCGAGTTGAAATACCCGGGCCAGATTACTATCATATCGCGCGAGCCATACCTCATCATCGACCGCACCAAGCTCTCCAAGGCTCTGATCACAGACGCGTCCAAGATTCAATGGCGACCACGGGAATGGTACACCACCGCAGCGATCGAAACCATCTCAGACGAAGTAACCGGCGTCGACTTCCAGGCGAAATCCGTCTCCACAAAGTCCGGGAAGTCCTTCCCCTACACAAGGCTCGTGCTCGCCACTGGCGGCGTGCCGCGCACACTCCCTCTGCCGGGGTTCAAGACCGGCGAGCTTGAAAACATCTTCACGCTGCGTGGAATAGCCGATGTCCAGGCCATTCTGGCTGCCGCTGGTCCCGAAAAACCGAAGAAGATCGTCGTGATCGGCAGTTCCTTCATTGGCATGGAGGTCGGCAATGCGCTGTCCAAGGACCACTCGGTCACGATCGTCGGCATGGAGGCCGCGCCCATGGAGCGCGTGATGGGCGTCGAGGTCGGGCGCATTTTCCAGCGCAACCTAGAAAAGAACGGCGTGTCGTTCCAGCTAAACGCCGGCGTTAGCAAGGCCACTGCTGCCGAAGCCAACCCCAAGTCTGTGGGCGCCGTACACCTCCAGGACGGGACTGTGCTCCCCGCAGACCTGGTGATTCTCGGCGTCGGCGTACGGCCCGCCACTGACTTCCTGCGCCAGAACGCGGCCGTGACGCTTGAGAAAGACGGTTCCCTCCGCACAGACACCCACTTCTCCGTGCCGGGCCTCGACGACACCGTTTTCGCCGTCGGCGACATCGCCACCTATCCGTACCGCGGGCCCGGCGCAGACCTCAGCGCTGGTGGCTCGCCCGTCCGCATCGAGCACTGGAACGTCGCCCAGAACTCTGGCCGCGGCGTTGCCCGCGCTATTGTGCATGCGCGCCATGCTCCGCTTGCATCCCTGCCGCCCAAGGCTTTCATCCCGATCTTCTGGTCGGCTGTAGGCGCTCAGTTGCGGTACTGCGGAAACCCGGTGAATGGGTATGATGATGTGTTGCTCCATGGGGAGCCTGAGAACGCCAAGTTTGTTGCGTATTACTGTAGGGGGGACACGGTGGTTGCTGTCGCGACCATGGGCATGGACCCGGTCATGACCAAGTCGGCAGAGTTGATGCGTCGTGGGAACATGCCCGGCAAGAAACAGATTGTGGACGGTGTGGATGTGCTGCAGGTTGGCGTTCCTCAGAGTGTGAGAGTGTGATAGTGTGAAAGATGGGTGAGATAGGAGATGGGAGATGGGGTGGAAGTTGGAAGATACTGAGGGAAAAGAACACAAGTGATATAGCATATGGATTCTGGCAATTGACATATACACATTTGACATCAACAGAAAAAGAAAATATTAAAGAGAAACCGGAACGCCCACCGAGGATGTAGTTGATAGACTCTCTTCCAGTCTAACCGTGGACCTTTTCTTTCTTCTTGGACTTGGACTTCTTGTCCTTTTTGTCTTTACCGTCCTTGGTCTTCTTCTTCTTATCCTTTTCCTTCCCTTCGCTCGGAGCCTCGATGTCCACGACAGAGACATTGTGCTCGGCCGGCGGGGCCAAGGGCACAATGCGCGTCACACCCCTAGGCGGGATGTAGAGTGACGGCGGGAAGGACCGGCCCTGGCGCTCGGCCTCCAAAACAGACTCCTCTTCCGCGGGGGAGAGCATCGTGCCTTCAATACTCAAAAAGCCTCGATCGCGATCCGTGCCCGGGATGACATCGACGTCCACGACGCGGAACCGCACAGATCCACGCACCCGGTGCCCCGAGACGGACTGAAAATAGCCCGTGGCCGAGTCGTCATCGTTTTTGTCGTCACCGCCGATAGTAATTTCCTCTGCTAACGCGGTGGGCTGGAAATGCTCCTTGTCGGCGTCGAAGCCGGCCGGCTCGCGGTCCTCGCCCGACTCATCGTCGGTAGTCGGGGCGCTCTTTTTCGCAGATGCCCTGCCCGCGGACTCTCCTTCTTCATCTTCGTCGCCCGGTGGAACCCACGTCCAGTTCTTGGGCAGGCGTTTGCGCTCAATGCCAACAGAGAAAAGATTGAGGACGACGGCGCCCAGAAAGCCCTCGGACTGCACGTTGACCAACCCCTCGAGGGTTTGGCCGCGCTTTGGGCGGAAGACGAGGAAGGTCGCCGTTAGATACACATACAGCACACCGTACTCGTCGGCGGTGGTCGCGAGAGTCAGCGGCTGAGGGTTCGGGTCGGACGACGGCCGGCCCGTCGATGAGGGCGGTCGGCTGGAGATGGATGCATTCGAGTATGCCAGGACAATGCCCTTCAGCGGCGGGAAGTAGGTCAGGAGCAGCGGCGAGAGATGCTCCGCGAGCAGCGAGGCTAGCGCATGCGTCGGCGAGATGGAGATGGGCGAGAGGGGCAGGTAGATTGTGGCCGTGGTAAGCGTGAACGGCGAATCCGGCTCGGTCTTGGGCTCGGTCGATGTCGTGTCCGTGGCGCCCTTTTTGCTTTTCGAGCTGGCACTCGACTTCAGTGTCTCCGTTTGCTTGCGCTTCTTCGACGGCGTTGCATCCTTATTCTTGTGCTTGCGCTTGCGCTCGTCCACAGTCCGGGCCGGGGAGGTATCAATGTCCATTGCGTCGACGGCCATGGTGGACGCAATTGAACGCTCTCGCAGAGCTGTCAGGTTGGGATTGAGTCCAAAAGTTGGGGTTTCCTTTTCGTACTTCGTCGACTTTTTTTTTTTCCCCATTTTGATTTGTCCCAAATAGAAGGCGGTGGAGACAGGCGGTGAGCGGAGGGGGCCAAATGGCGTCTAGCACTTTGGGGGCCACAAGACCGTGGTAATCGCCAGGTGGCAGGCGAAGAAGAACTTGTCAAATATCTTTGCAAGAATGTCGCAAAGTGACTTTGATCAATTGCAGTCTGCTGCATCCTCGTTTCTTCCCCTCCTGGGGTGGTCGGTGCTTCCCAATGTGAGTGGATCCGCGGAAGTGTCTTGTTTATTCGCATAATAGACATTCAAGCTTATGGTGATCGACAGTATGCAACGAGCTTTCTCCAGAGCGTGTACTATGGGATCACTATTCGTGCCGGCGAGCCTCGGCCGCTCCCGCAATCCGCGCGGTACGAACGACACCGCCGTCGCATCTTCATCTTCGTAATCACCAGCTACCTCCTCTACACCCTCTACGAGACCTTTCACCAGATCCAGCGCGCCGGTGACCTCTACCAGGTCCTGGGGGTATCGCCTTTCTCCGACGAACGCTCGATCCGGTCGCGGTTCCGCCGGCTGGCCGCCCAGCACCACCCCGATAAGATCGGCCTGGACTCCGGGTCCGAGGCTTACTTTTTGTACCTGCGCCGGGCCCAGGAGACTCTTGTGGATCCAGTGAAGAGATTCGCGTACGACCGGTTTGGACCGGACATGAACAGTTGGGGCGAACAGAAGACCGCGCGTGATTTTATCATGACGGCGTTGACCCGCACGATTGTGCCGCAGTATGTTGGCGGGTTCATCGTGATGGTGGCGTTGAATTGGCTATGGTGGGCGAACTGGGGACGCTATGTGAGTCTTGGAGAGGAATTGGGGAAAGAGACAAGAAGACAAAAAATAAGCTGACTTTGCTCTAGTGGCGCTTCTATACCTTTGCCGCCCTGCTCGGCCTCGAGATCGCCTTGATCACTCAACCACAAGCGGTGTTTATGCCAATCACCTATCTCCCTGAGGAGATTCGCGCCTGGCTTCCCGAGCAATCTTTCTACCTCCTCCCGTTCCAAATCTTGACTCTAGCCCGTCGCGCGTCCATCACCCTACACATCTTCATCTCGCAGATCGCTCCGGCCGATGCGAATAACTCCGATAGTGCCGGCGACAAGGTGTCTGTCAAGACCCTGCAGCAGTGTACCCAGCTGCTGAATGTGACACGCGCAGCTGAGCGCGAAGCCACGCGGATGCTGCACCTAGGCCAGGCGCCGTTCCGCGGTGACCGCGAGAGCGTGTCGACCTTGCGCCGTGGCATGAAAGAGGGCTTAATCCTCGGCGGAGTGCGCTCCAGCCCAGAAGTGCAGCGGGCAGTGGAGCGGGTTCTGGAACGGTCCAAGACCGAGGGTGAAAGTCGGACAGACTAGAGAAGAGTTGGCCTGATGTGTTGTGTATAGTACGTAGACCCGACCGTAGTCTTCCCTCGACACTTGTGTACTTGATAGGGCTTGTGGATTTTCTATAAAACGATGGCATTTACATATTATCTCCCAAATGCTTATAACATCTATAGCCTTTTCATTATTATCATTGTGAGCCCAGAAGTATACATTCGTAGCTATCATTGCGTTGTTTAGCATTGTAGTTGGCGTAGACCTGTATATTCCATTTCATATGCCATTTAATGTGTTATCGTGTCTTTCATGACCCGGGGTGTTTCTCGTTCTCTCGTCTAATTTAGGCGCCCAGAAAGAGCCCGGTAGAGCTGCACTCGGCCATAATGCATTCTCTCTCCCCCCAGCTTCCCCCAGTCCCTTGAGCTGACACCTCCTTTTCCCTCCTATCTCATCATCAAAATTTTATTCCATTCTTTCTCTAAACTTACGGTCTATACTGACCAGATATTTCCTGGAGCACATATCAAGGTACCTAGGGAACATCCATCTGGTCAACTGGCATGCTCACCACATGGACAGATGATAAATCGACATAACCATTGCAAAGATCCAATTCAAAACATGGATTTTGACGATATAAGCCTGGACGAGTTTGACAAGCTAAAGCAAGACTGGGTGAAGCTCTGTTCAACCTCCTTCCCAGGGAATCTGTGAGCCGACGAGCCGTTATCGACACCGGGATGACTGTCTCCTCCACTCAATGCACTGTGGCTCCTTCAACTTTAGCTTCCGCCTATACTGGGACGATGGTGCCGAGGACTGGCTGATCCGGTTCCCCTTGCCGGGGAAATCCATGATCTTGGACGAAAAAGTCTGCCGAGAGGCCCTCCTTATGCAGTATGTTGCAAATAATACCTCGATTCCCGTGCCCCGCGTCATTGCCTATGGGGCCGCGAGTGAGAATCCGACGGGCTTGGGATCTTTCCTCATCATGACCTGGATCGAAGGGAAAAAGATGTCGGACCTTCTCCGCAAAGAGGGTGACGCCTGTCAAAGAAAAAACACTCAATCCGATCATCGGCCAGCAGATCTTGCGAACCATCTATGGACAAATGGCGGGAATTCTGCTAGAGCTCTGGGCTCTCGACTTTGATTCAATCGGAAGTTCTGGGCAAAGGCCTCTCGGTGGACAGCCGACCGCTGACCCTCGAAATGAACGAACTCATGCGCACTTGTGGATTGAAGGAAAGCATGTTTTCATCCCGAGTTTATTCTAGCTCGACTGATTATATTGCATCGCTCCTCGACTTGCAATCGTCTCATTTGGAGCAGCAGTAGAATAGCATTTATGATGACGTCGATTGCCGTGAGAAGTATGCATGTCGCCATTTGATGAAGGCCGCGGCGTTGAACTTCATTGACCGGACCGACAACTACGGGCCGTTCAAGTTGTTCTGCGACGACCTGTGCCCTGGTAATGTGCTGGTGAATGACTCGCTCCAAGTCACTGGGGTCGTTGACTGGGAATTCTGTTACGCTGCTCCTGCACAATTCGCCGGCAGCATTCCATGGTGGCTGCTCCTCGACCGGCCACACACAATCATTGACAAAAAGGGTGCCGGTGATTTCCTTGCAGAGTTTCTTCCTAAAGCGGAGGTATTCCTACAGGCTTTACAGCAAAGGGAATAAGTCCAAGGAACCACAACAGGATCAATCCACCTTTCTCAGTGCATGCGTGAGTCCATCCGCAACAAATTCGCCTGGTCTCGTCGGTGGATCTGATTTACTGGGATTTATTGGATGAATATTGCTGGGGGCCGAGGGCGTCCATCGCAGAACGAGTCCATCAATTGACGTCGGATGTTCCACTACATATCGAGACCGAGAGCAATTTGTACGACACAAGCTCGATCAGCTTCGTGAGTAGTCTGCCACTTTGGGTCTGGATACCCCGGTCGAGTACGAAGAGGAGCAATTCGGTCAGCCATCTAGTAGAAGGACGGAGACCCAAATGACTGGTGATTGTGTTATGAGGATAGCAGGCGTTGTTTCTGCGACAGTTGCCGTTAGTTTATGCGATGGCTTCGTCGGCGAACACCTTGACAAAGCAGATGAGGTACAAGTCGAAGGTCGTGACGAGTAGACGAGTCACAGAAAAACTCGCACGGAAAACTCAGGTTGGTTTCGGGAGACTGCGGGATTGTGGAATGATCCATCATCGGGTTTGGAGTGTATTGGGAATGTGTACGGATCATGTTTACTGTAGAAAAGTCGAATGACAGTAATAATATAAGAATATCTACACCATTCAGTTCAATACAATACACATATTTCTCTTCGAAAGAGTAAAAGAAAAGAAAAGATTTCTTCGAGGCCATGTACACATCGGGGCAACTTGGGCAAGTATGAAGGCCCCAGGTACCTTCAGTATGGAGACCCCATACGAAAGGTACAAAGCCACGCGTATGGTATGGTCACGCCCGGAACTTGCCCTCGCTGCTTCACCTTCAACCACGTTAATTATTCAACGAGTTAGACGAGATGCGATCCACGATCCCTTTTTTTGCCCCTTACTCTCTCCCATCTCCTTCCCTCTCCCCCCTCCACCTTCTCTCTTCCCCCTCCCATTACCCTTCCCATTTCCATCAGACTATGCTTGCTCCACCCTCGACGACCCTTGAGACTCTCGCTGCACCCTAACAAACTCGAGCTGAGCCGGACGGGCGGACACGTCACGATCACCTGGGAATCGCCTCCCTACATCATCGTCCACCGTCACCCGCTTACCCTCAACTACCCTTAACCCATCCTCACACCTCCACTTCGACTCGACCCTTGATCCTCGACCGCAATTCATCATGCCTGCTGCAGGCCCCGGCAACGGTCGCTCCAAAGGCCCGAAGAACAATGCCAACAACTCCATGGTCGTGGTCCTGAAGGTGTCGGCACACGCGCTCCAACAGTTCGGCAGCCACGACACCAAAAACACGCCCCAACACCGCGTCGACACCAAGAACCCGGAACGCTCCTCGCCGGCCTCGTCTGCCGAAGCCCCGGCAGCGCGGCCCTCGTCGGCCGGCAATGGCTCTGATGCCGATGCCAACTCGACCCCCGCCACCGGGGCAACTCCAGCTGACACACCGCGCCGGAAGGGAGTTCCGGGTCCGAAGCCAGGAAACAAGAGAGCAAATGGTCAGACCGAACCAGGTGCTCGGTCAAGGGGAAGACCCGGCCCCAAGAAGCGGCCTCGCCTGTAAGTAAAAACATTCCACATCGGCGATGATTTTTTTTTCTGTAAGGAAGATCTAGTTGAGCTCACATCATCACAGAGAGGAGGGAGCCGATGCATCAAAACTGCCTGCTGGACAGCGACTCGGCCCCAAGGCCAACACCGGTGCCATCAATGCTGGTCTGCGGGCCCTCGACCGCACCGGTGCCCCCTGCCGCAAGTGGGAGCGCAAGCCCCTGCAGTTGCGAAGCTTTACGGGTGTCTTGTGGCAGCTGCCTGCCTGGCACAGCTTCAGATCATCCAAGCTGGAAGAGCCTGTCAACGGCAAGGTGGCTGCCCTCGAAAGTGGTGACAGTGACACCAAGCCCACCCTGGCACCTCCCGGCCCGGACACAGTCAATGGTAGCAGCGTTGTCACCAGTGAGAAAAGCAACTCTGGCGACGGGGATGTCACCCCCGGCCCTTCAAATCCAATCGAACCCTCATCACCGGCCATTGCTATGGCAGCTTGAGGCCACATGACCTTATATTGTATATTATTCTTATGTGTCGCGCTTTCTTGTTTACCTTTCTTTTCATGTCTTCTGAAGGTATGTTACTTGTCAGGTTCTGGGATGGCGTTGCAGGAACTGGACTATCCGTGGACAAAGGAATGGGAATCGAATCATGGCCTCCTTCAGTTCATGCTAGGGTCGCCACAGCTTTATCTTTTTGGGGTTGTGTATTGTATATAGGCCTCTCAATCAGCTATTGGCACCATGGGAGCACCACCAAACAGGCGCCAGACGGCCAATTGCCGAAGCTGGTCAAGAAAGAACTTCCCCTGCCTTCTCCCGAACAGGAACAAGTGCAGGTGAAGGTGTCCCATGTGGCTCAGAACCCTACGGATGGTAGGTTTGGAGGTTGCTCTCTTGCAGTTCTCAATTATGATTTCTACAGGATTAGCGGTGGTATTTGCTCTGGATGGAAAAGAGTGATTTTTGCAATATTCCACCCAGTTGAAACTCATTGAATATCCTATCATAGTACGCTTTCAATCGTTAATATATCTATCATTACTATTACTACTATCATTAACAAAAGAAAAAGAGAAAGAAAAAGATCACGAAAAACTAACTCCTATAAGAATCGCTTAATCCTCTAATTAAACGGTATCCCTATTAAGTATATTTCTATCCCTAAATTTTTTACTTCTTATTTTCTTTCTTTTTTACGCCCAAGGACGTAGTACACCACACAATAACTTCATCACCCCCCAGAATGATGTGGGTGGCCAGGTACCTCGTCAAGTACCAATGCAACTTTGAGCGTCGGAGACCAGGGCTCTCCTTTCCCCGCAATCATTGCATCGCCGGCTTCTTGAGACCAAGAAACTTCGAATTTCCAAGGGGCTCTTTGACGTGACTTGATTTTTTTCCCCTTCAGAGGGAACCGGGCAACGGTGGTGTTGCAAGAACAACATCTCGAGATTCATCGCTGCTTCCGGTCACCAGATGACCCGCTCGTCACGCAACGTCAGCAGAGCCCCTCCCACGGCAGATTTGACCAGCAACGTTATTTTTGTTGCAGGCCCCAACGTTGAGTTGTTCCTTTTCCCTTCTGGCATCATTCGGAGGGGGGGCCGACAGGTGACAGCATGGCCGACGTTCCTTTCCCCCCATCCGGTGGAGCTCGAGGAGCTCCAACATCCTCATATCCCGGCCCCAGCATCTCCTCCGCTCCACGCCGCTCTTCCTACGCCTCTGTGGTCTCAGGCAACGCCTTTTCACCCCCTACTGCCGGCTCCTTCGCCCATCTTCTCAACGACACTAATCCAGTTTCATCCTATCCACCGCCCTCCCAGCCCGACAGTCGCCTCCACCGGGCCCTGTCCGGTGTCGATGCCGCAGACATGCACCTAAACTCCGCCTGGAGGTCCCCGGCGTCCCCGGACTCAGTGCCCTCCTACTCCCGTAAGTTCGCCAGCTACCTGCGCCCAGCAGAATTCCCACACGGGCCGGGTCTGGCCGATGGGCCCTCATTCTTCACCCCGTCCTACCTCCGCAACTCCCGCTACGTTTCCCGCCTCGACGACGCCCATCGAGCCAAGCTTGCTGCCCAACACCGTGATGCCTCCTCGTCTACCTCAACCTCCAACCCTCCCCTCTCCGCCTCGTCCAGCCATGTCCACCTGCCCCGCATGGCCCCGTCCCATCGCGGCATGACCTATGAGATCATCGAGAAGGAACCTCCGACCCCCGCCGACCAGCTTATGCCACTGCCCATCCAGTGGAGCACCTCGGACAAATATGCTGGCCTCGAGCTGTCAAACGATGGTCTCGATGTCCGCTACACTGGCCCCGTGCACAAGCATGACCACGAAGCCGCCGCCTTGCGCGCCGACCACCCCATGCCGCCCCAATGTGGAATATACTACTTTGAGATTAAGATCGAGTCTAAGCCGAAGGAAGGGTATGTTGTGTGTCTGGAACCGGCTGGATCAATTTACTGATGTGATGTGCAGGATGATCGGGATTGGCTTCTCCAGCCCCAAGGCCTCCGTCGAGAGACTTCCAGGCTGGGAGCAGGAATCCTGGGCGTACCATGGCGATGACGGCAAATCCTTTTTCGGCGAAAGCCAAGGCCAAGGTCGGCCGTATGGCCCGACTTTTGGGGTGGGAGATACGGTGGGATGTGGTGTGAACTTCTCCACGGGATCTGCCTTCTTCACTAAAAACGGCGTTTTCTTAGGTATGTGATCCTGTGGCCTACTGCTGAATCCAAGCTGATCGATTTAGGTAATGCGTTTCATGAACTTCGCAATGTGAAGCTCTATCCGTCCGTAGGGATGAAGAAACAACCACCGGTACACCTCAAGGCGAACTTCGGACAGGAGCCGTTTGTGTTTGATATTGACGGCATGGTCCGGGTATGTGACTCGAGATTTTGGTGGCTTGTTTGACCAAACTGACCGTTCAACAGCACGAGAGGGCGTCTGTTCATTCAGAGATCAACGCCACGAGCACTGATAGTCTCCACCCACCGCTAGATGAACCGGCACTGCTGCAGGAGCTGGTTGCGCAGTTCCTCGCCCATGATGGCTACGTGGAGACAGCTCGCGCATTTGCAGAAGAGGTGGCTACCGAAACAACGGCTTTGCAAAACGGTCGCGATGAGCCATTGAAAAAGTACGAGGTGGAAGAAGACCGGGAGGCTATTAACCGTAATAGTAAGTGGCTCATCCTTGTAACCTACCTCGGCAGGTATTCATGGTCGGCATCCTAACCCATTTTCAGAAATCCGCGCTGCTATTCTGGACGGCGACATCGACAAGGCCCTCAAGCACACCAAGGCTTATTATACTAATGTCCTCGAGGACTACCCCCATATTCACTTCAAGCTCCGCTGTCGCAAATTCCTTGAGATGATGCGCCGGTCGAATGAACTGTTCGCAGCCACGGCCGCAGCCACCTCCAAACGGCGCCAGGACACTTCGTCCGGAATTTCAGACGAGCATGCTGTCTTCGATCAGGAGATGGAGCTCGATGACGGCGAAGGCTGGGAAGCAGATGGCATGGACACGGAGGAGCCCGAGACCGCAGCGCAGTTCAGCGAGCTCCTCACCGAGGCTGTTCAGTACGGGCAGCAGCTGCGTATGGACTATCCATCCGACGAGAACGGTGGCGACAAAAAGATGCTGGAGGATATCTTCTCGTTGGTCGCGTACCCAGATCCCAAGCGGTCGGTGCATGGGCATTACCTCGACCCGGCAGGCCGGGTGGCTGTGGCGGAGGAGCTGAACTCGGCCATTCTCGGTGAGTTTTTCTTATACCATCTTTGTTTTCTCACGTACTAATCTCTCTGCAGTCTCTCTGGGTAAATCCTCTGCTGCTGCCCTGGAAAGGCTCTACCAGCAAACGGAGGTGTTAGTCAACGAGATCAGTGAAGATGGCGGCGCTGGGGCGTTTATCAATGTTCGGAATGACATTTTGCTTTAATCGGCACTGGAGTAGGGTTTTTGTTTTTCGTTTTTCTTTCTTGACGACTTGATTTTCTTTCTCTTTTTCTTTCCCTTCTTATGTCTGAAGGTATGCGCCAGAATGTTGGATTCCTTGTCGAGGATTTTCTCCCCTAGTTCCCCTTTTCTGTTCTACCTCAGACTTATCTCTTATTTGCTGCTCGGAGAGAGCGAATGCATGGCCGTGTCCACTCTTACTTGAATGATATCCCAAACTCTACTAGCCGTCCCCTCGAGTCGGACCCACAGAATTTTCAGCTGTTGACAATGCTGTGGGTCCGACAGCTGAAAATTCTGTGGGTCCGACTCGAGGGGACGGCTACTATCTATAGTGGTTTTCAAGTATTGCTGTGGTATATATTGCCATGGAAAGGGTTTTCTGGACCAAATGAGCAAATGAAACACTCGTCACTGCAATAGATCCCCAGAAATCTTCAAGTCATAAGTCTCAGAGGTCCCCAGCGGGAGTCCGGGTAGGATAAGTGGATTCTAGCTGTCCACGTCCTTCCTAAAAAGGCAGGCATCGTCCTGAAGTATGACATAATCGCTTTAGTCAGCCGCCAAGTCATCGGTGACCTGGTGGATGGCTTGGTGGATCCGAGCTGATTGTTTCTTTCTCCGCTTTTGTGATCAACTGTGACACAGGTCCAAGATCCATGTAGAGAGATCTCTCTCCCTGGATGATCTGGCCTGTCACGCATCGCTCCCCCAAGGGGCTGCATTCTCGTGCCGCCCATGGATTCCCATCCGCATAGCTCGGACCCGGACGCTGTCCCCGGCATTCCTGCCCACTCAAGCGCTCCCACCACCCTGCGCTGCTGCTGTGGGCACGATGAGTGTGCGCTGCTCGAGCACAACAATGTCACCCTCGAGGGCCTCGAGAAAGACCTCGCCATAGCTGCGAGACTCGGTCAGGTATGTGGATTTGACGTGATTAACGTCAGTTGGGTGTCACGACTGTTCCTGAGGCTGGCTGAGCCATGCATGTTTGATGCATCATTTGTGGTCATTCCGGAGAAAAGTGCATAATTTTGTTCCTTGCTTTTGTTCCTTCTCTCTGCTTGGAGGGGAGTTTCCCTGTCCCATACCCACAACCCCCCCCCCCACAGGCCATACACATATACGCCCCGAGGGAATCGTCCACGCCTGCTTCCTCTTCCCCATGGCCACCTTCGGACTGCGGTCTCCTGTTCTCTCTCGCTGCGTTGGCGTCCGTCATGACTACCTTTCATGATTATTCTGCCACGGCAGGTTCTTTTGGGTCGTCATCGCTGACCTTTGCTTTGCAGGCCCTGCTCCACCGCCATGAAAGCTACATGGCCGAGGCGGAAGAGGACCGCCACCGGCTGCTGGCCAGCGTGGATGCCCTCGAACGCGAAAAGCGCCAGGTTCAGGCCGAAAATGCGCGCATCGTCGAGGAGAACCGCTCTTTGCTAGAGCAGCTGGATAGCTTGAACCAGGCTGTTGCTGAGTCTGACGAGCATGTCAACACACTGACCTTTACCTTGGAGAGTACGCAGTCTGAACTGCGCAAATTGACGGTGGCTGCTTCGCGTGCAGCCGATCTCGAGGCCCAATTGGCCCTTATGGAAACGGAGCAGTCCAAACTGCAAGAATCGCTTTCTTCGGCTCAGGATGATGAGAAATCGGCTGTGCAACGGTGGCGGAATGCGGAGAGCGCATTGAGAAACCTTCATGATCAGGTTGACCGCATTGAGAAAGAAGCGCACGACGAGCGTGAACGACATTCTGAGCTGGTTCAACGCATGGAGCGGAAGAGGGCCGTGGAGCGTGAGCTGGATAATGCTGCGGGCCGTCTCAAGGGCGCTGCTGCTGCGTCCGATCTTGACCGCCATGTCGGTAGCACGACTGTCGTCTCGCGCTTCGTGAAGGATATCCTACAGGACAACGCCAACCTGCAGGTGGGAATCATGGAGTTGCGTGAAATGCTTGAAAGCTCGAATCAGGAGGTGCAGAACCTGCGGGGTCAAGTTCTGTCTCATCAACCGCTGGCCGGCATTGATGACGAGGGTCATACTAACTGTGCGCCTTTCACAACTCTGAGCGAGGAATTGGAGTCAAAGGAACGCCGAGTCTCGCAAGAATTCCACATCCACCATCACTTCCACTCACCGACCTCCAAGAAAGAGAAAGGCCCACTCAACCGTCGTGTCAAGAAGAGACGCCCCGCATTGGGAAGCCCGATTCCCTTGCACTCCGCAATGGGCGCCCAGTCTCCTCGCAGACCCGTTCATCGATCGCAGTCGTCTGGCTCGTCCATGTCTACCATCCTATGTCCAACTTCCATCTCCATTCCGCCCCCATCTTCCCGTCACTGGTCGTTACAGTCACCTGTCACGGATTCTCTTGCAAGCTCACCGCAATCCGCATTCCGCACATCGTCAATATTTGACCGTATCGATAAAGGATCTGATTTCTCTCAGCCTACTAGCCCCGACAGCGCTGTATTCTCCTCGCCACTGATGGGTGCACGCAACCTCAAAGGACTTGACATGCCATTCAGGCCGCTGGCTGGTTTCGATAACATCGACACATCAATAGATGATTCAGTAGAAACATTTGATGACGAGCATTATGATCAACTGGATATTGGTGAAGCCATTCCTCGGCAACCTGCGATTCCGGAAGAATCAGAGCCATCATCAGGGCCATACTTGCGGTCCGTCGCTGGCGAGCCTCCCGCGACCACCGAAGAAGACCCATTTGGCATGCCAATGCAGTTCTCGTCTCTGCGCAGGTCTGTTTCGCACGACAGCTTGTTCTCTGTGGCTGGCATGGACATCCATACCCCGACCAATCGCCGCTCACGGATGAGTGACTGGCATCCCGGCAAGCAGATTCCCCAGCGGATGGTGTCACCTAGTGTTGAGCTAGTCTCTACGCCTCCCATCATCTCCGCTCCTACCATCACGGTCGATCGGGCCAATGCCTCGAAGCAGTCATCCCGGTCCTTGCTGGCATCAGTGGCCGCAGGAAGTAACCTGCCGACTGATTCCTCGTCCATTGTTTCTACCGATACAAACAGCACCAGCTCGACTGCAACTCCGGTTCCTCGCAAGTCTGCGACACTGGGTCGCCGCGTGGGTGGCTGGGTTTTGGGCCGCTGGGGCCTGGCCCCAGTATCTCCAGATCGCGATTCCCATGAGCCTACTGCCGATGCCTCGGAAGAATCTGTTACATCGCCAACACCTGATACCACTCATCACACTCATCGAACACCTAACCCTCTTGCTCCGACACCACCCTTGGGTTTCCGGTTCCCCGGCGTAAACCAAAAGGGGCCCATCATGGGATTTCGTCCTCCACCCTCTGCTCCCACCGTGGTACATGCACAGGGGATTGACGAAGACCTACTGCGAGAGAGCCTAGCCGAGGAACACGGTTGAAGTCTCCAAACTTTGCACTCTTCAGGTCCTTTTCCCCTGCCTATAATTATCCATACCTTCTTTTAATGAGGCTTCCTCCTGTCACGATATTATCTTCGCAGTGCACTACCATTCTTTTTTGTGAATTCTCTCCCCATGGCATGGCACTTTACTTTCTTGCATTATCCGCTATTTTACGGCGCTTGGTGGCAGTCGCGCTTATGATACCCCGACACGGACGCATTCTTTCTTTACTTTAATTTTTTTTTTCATCTCCCTTGGTTCCCCTTGGATGATAGGTTCTTTGGTTTCTGTCGATGGTTGATATTTAGCCTTGATATAATCAAATCTGACTCGCAACTAGTCACTTCTCATTCTATAAACCCTGTCTTGGGATACATAAAGTCCACGAATAAGCCATATCAAGCAGAACTGCAATTCATTGCGCAAGCGAACCCTAATCGCTTTTCTCTATGGGTCGTCATGGTCTCGTCTCAATCATTCGTGCCTTACCCGCATGGGCCGGTAAATAAGTAGGTTCCCAACCTGGGGCTCATTTGCTAATAATCTAATGGGCACCTGACATGGACCGCGATATGCAGTAGGTCCGGATGGGGATACTGGTAGTATGGAAAAAGCCCGTCTGGTCTTCTGTGGGCGCGGATTCGAAGGGAAGCATGTCGACGGCGAAGGAGTTGGTTTCTATGGGCTTTTAGCTATGGTCCACAGGTGGGTACACATAAGCAGCAAATGATCTGACGAGGAAACAAGACAACTTCAACTTACCACATCCAGTCAGAAACGTGCGAAACGTGTCTTCGTTGCGCAAGGTTGCGGAGATGATAAAATGTTCGACGCCGTAGTTCTCGAAGAGATCACGCACTGTCTTCAACAGCAATGGCACAAGGTCTGCATCATAGACCTGAGAGTCGTCAGAAAACAATGCCTCAAGCGACAGAATCAAAAATAGAAGAGAAAAAAGAAGATACCAAGTCAGCACCGAGCGCCACATCAAATTGCAGCCCTGCATCTGAAACAAGCTCGGCCAGATCTCCCGTCGTGTCCAAAGGTGTGCCCCATTCCCAGACAGCGGGATAGATGGGCAGAGACGCTCCAGACTGGTTCAGCGACACACAAGCGCGCATATTGTCGATCAGCGCCAGCTCACGATCAGTAGCCACGACACTCTGCACGCCGAGATAGCGCGCACAGAACAGCGAGACAAGGCCAGTCCCGGCGCCGAGCTCGAGCACCCGCTTGCCATGGACGAGGGCCTCGCCGACGGCCGACGCCAGAAACGAGGCTTGGTGCAGCGCCGCCTCCCAGGTGCGGAACCCCGTGGTGCCGGCAGAGAGGATCAGGCCGCGCGATTCCGAGGTAATGACGCTGCGCTCTGGGTCGTTGAGCTCTCCTGCTGATGTCGGGGCAATGTATTTGATGTGTGAGAGCTTTTGCGCCTGCTCCAGGGCCGAGGCCTTGGGTTGCGCCACGAGGCTGCTCCAGCTGTTCATGAGATCGTCTTGAATCTCCTATTTCGGAACAAAAAGAAAGGAAATGGGATCCATTGGTCAGAGCACAGTTCGATTGGTCCGTATTGAAAACAATTGGCATTATGGGATAGAAGATACATGTCATAGGAAAGAATGCAAAAGGAAAGGAAAAGCCATACATCTTCCTCTGGATCTTTCAAGGAATTCTCCATCCGCGAGAGAATCAACTTCAATACTCGTTCCCGGTAGTTAGCTGGTGGCAGAGGAGATAATGTGCTCTCGTTGAACATGCGTTCGTACAGCGCCGTTTGCACCGAGGGTTGAACGAGGACTGCGCCATCAGGTAGAGCAAGATGCTGCGGGTCCACGAGTTGGAAGTACTGAGCCACCAACTTGTGAATGTCGGACATGGCGAGAGCGCAAGAGACGGCTCGAAGGGAAAAGTTACCCAAGTAGGAAGTCGCCAATAAGAATGCACGTGATTGAGATAAATGCAGGGTATTGATAGGGGCACCCCAAAATTTTCGCTATTGGCACCCCAAAACGCTTATGTAATAATTTTTTCTTATGTAATCTTTTTTTCTCCCACTTCCATCACCATAGCAACCATATACTACATATATACTCTATCTTCTGCTTTATCTCTTTTTCTGCTCTACTATTACCCTGCTAGTTCCTAGCTTTCTGCCTACCTCGCTTACTTCGTCTACTATACCATGCAAACCACGCAAACCAACCCCACTATGCCTACCCCCGCCAACCCTGCTGCCGCTACCCCCGATTTGCCTGCTATTCTGCATACCAATTCGCCTGATTCGCCTGCCTTGCCTGCTATTCTACGTGCTGATTCGCCCAATTCGCCTACCGCTGCGCCTGCCCCTGCTACTACTGATTCGCCCGGTCTACTACCCCCACCACAACAAACCTTCCCTAATCGGGATGAATTGGTTGATTTCGTGCGCCAGTGGGGTATAACGCAGGGGTATACTACCACTATCAAGCGGTCTAACCCAAATCGGAACATCTGCATACATTGCGATAGATCTGGGGTATATTCAGACCGAATACAGGCACCTGCTGGCGCCAAACGGCGCCAAACGAGTACGAGGCGACAAAATTGCCCTTTTTGGGTATATGGGAGTCGCCAGAAGGGTTCTGATTGGCTACTTCGGGTGAAAAACCCTACGCATAATCATTCTGCTGATCTAGATATGATAGCGCACCCAATCGCACGTCAATTTACCCCAGCGCAGAAAACCTTAATTCAACGACTCTCTGCTATTAGACCGAAGCATATTATTAGTGCGCTATATAGCGAGTCCCCTCGTCAACGAATCATACCACGCGATATCTATAATATGCGAGCAGAAATTCGACGAAAAGAGATAGGAGAACGTAGTATTCTTGAATATCTATAGATACTACTCGATTCAGAAGGTTATAAATATTCATTCAAACAAGATAATATGGGGCATATCGAATTTTTTCTTTTCTCTCATCCTCAGTCAATTCAATTGGCCAATTCATATAATAAGGTATTTATCTCATCTATTTTTATATGATTTTATTGGCTAATATTTTAAGGTTTTTATTATGGATTGCACATATAAGACTAATCGGTTTGGTATGCCTCTATTTTATATAGTAGGTATAACGCCATCAAACCATATATTCACTGCAGCTCTATGTTTTATGCCTGATGAGGTTGAAATAAGCTATATTTGGGTGCTTTAGACCTTTTTTGATTGGCTAAATCTCTTATCTGAATCTGATTTTCGTCCGATTTTGGTAACTAATCGCGAATTAGCTTTGATGAATGCGATATATAGTATCTAGGGGTATCATACCCCATATTTACTATGTATTTGGTATATCAACAAAGCAGTTTTAGCGAGGGCAAAACGAGATATCAGCCAATCAGACGAAAATACTCCCCAATTCGATGAATTTATACGTGTATAGTGTCAATTGGTCCAATTATCTACCGAAGATGAATATAAGGTTAATCTTGATAACCTTAATCGGACCTATAGGAGATCTCATCCACCAATTATACGCTATCTCGCAGATATATGGCTACCCTATAAAGAGAGATTTGTCTATGCTTGGACCAAAAACCTTACCCATTTTGGTAATAATACATCATCACGTGTCGAGGGGGCGTATTCGGTCCTAAAACGGCATATGAATACTTCTACTAATGATTTACTCACTGTGTGGAAGTCTATTCATAAGGCTATCACCAGCCAATATAATCTGATTAAATATCAGATTAAAGCAGATCAGATAACATATCTGATACTAGCATCTGATTGGCTATATACCTTTCTCAATAAGCGAGTATCTCGATATTCGCTGAGGCAGATTGATATGCAGCGAATCTATGCTAGTAGGGCTACCCCAGAGGCCCCTCTTGGTATATACACCAATTATTGGACGAGTACTATGGGGTTACCATGCAAGCATCGAATTGCTGATTTGCTCGCAAAAAAAGAAGCAATCCCATTGGCTGATATTTATCCATTCTGGCGAATTAGGGTTGAAGATTCATCTGATATCGCCTGGCAGCCATTGCTAAATCCCCGAATTCAGCCTGCTGCTTTCCCAAAAAGGCAATATACGCAGATATCAGATGGGAGCGAGGGGGCTAGACCAATCAAAAAAGGAAGGCCCCCCCAAAGTGTTCGAATTGCGGCGAAATTGGGCATACATGTCGAAGTTGCCCTATTGCCAAATAGGGTAATCTGTTTTTGGTGGTTAGGATAAGAGGATCATGTGATTAGAGATGTGGTTGAAAATTATCATGTGATTAGAAAATAGATAAAAAAAAGATTACATAAGAAAAAATTATTACATAAGCGTTTTGGGGTGCCAATAGCGAAAATTTTGGGGTGCCCCTATCAATACCCATAAATGCATAATGTATTACCTAATAACACAATGACTCAGCAGGTTTCTCCTCCACACGTGATATGAGCCTAAAGAGGCTAGCGGCATCCTAGCCGAGCCCACCACCGCACGAAAATTGAAAGTCGACACCAAGTCACGTCGACCTTCCTCCATCCCAACGCACACCCAAAATGGCCGACACCCCCGTTACCCTGCGGACGCGCAAGTTCATCCGCAACCCTCTGCTTGCCCGCAAGCAGATGGTCGTGTAAGAACCCCCTTTTCCCTCGAAATTCGATCTGTGTGCGCGGTGGTGTGGTGTGTGTGCGGGAAGATCTGGAAAATGCGCAACTTTGGGAGGAAAATATGGCAAGGCATCGGGGATTGGCAGACACCACACCATAACGCACCCATCAATTCTGTGACCCCAACAGCGATCTGACATCTCTGCGCTTTCTTAGGGATGTCCTCCACCCCAACCGCCCCAACGTCTCCAAGGATGAGCTCCGGGAGAAGCTGGCCGACCTGTACAAGTCCAACAAGGACCAGGTCTCCGTTTTCGGGTTCCGCACGCAGTACGGTGGTGGCAAGAGCACCGGCTTCGCTCTGGTCTACGACTCGCAGGAGGCCCTGAAGAAGTTCGAGCCGCACTACCGTCTGGTCCGTGTCGGTGTTGCGGACAAGATCGAGAAGCCCAGCCGACAGCAGCGTACGCTTGCCTTCCCCCCACCTTCTTGATGTGTTTCGAATCATTTACAAGGCCACATGCTAACTTTACCCCGTCTACAGGCAAGCAACGGAAGAACCGCTCCAAGAAGTTCCGCGGTACCGCCAAGACCAAGGGCCCCAAGAAGAGCAAGAACTAAGCGCCTCATTCCGCAACGAGTCAGCAAGGGGAATAAAAATTTGGTGGATCGGAGTTGTCCCACCTGTGCTGGGCAGGTGTGGTCGGTTGTGTGTGGGGTGGTTTTCTTATTTTTCTGTGCGCGCGGCGACGTTGCCCTGACGCAAGTCGCTTGCCGGTGGAGAGAGCGGATGGAACCTTCCCCCCCCCAATTCCTGTGCTGCTGGATCTGATGGTCCCAGGAACCTGATGACAACGGCGTCAGTCAGTGTGTGTTCTTTTGATGTTTTAGGGTCATCAGATTCAACTTGAAAACAGCGCGGGATATGAGAATCCGGGCCTTCGGCTGTTGGCCCGGCATGAATTACATTGTCTTGTCATTCAACCCTCTGTATACCTACTTGCTGGTTCCATGGAGTAGATGCGTATGGAGAGTAGACTCGAGGGCTGAGTAAGGCCAGTGTGTGGATGTGCATTGCCGAGGTCTCTGCTGGTGTCTACTCCTAGACAGTATACGACATGAAGCACTAGTCTACCCCCATACTACGCTTCTTCGTACATCGGTCGTACCATCTGCAATTCCCCTCTCAACCTACAATTATGTAGGCCAGGTTATCGAATGCTCCTTGACAGAACTGCATGTCTCAAACCCGAGTATCTCAAATCGTGTGCAGGGATATGCCATGAACTATGCTTAGGGACAAGGTCCAACAATTCCAAATCTCGCGCTGGGGTGGGATTCGATCCGGTTGTGCAGAAAAGACTGAAGCATTACACAACCTTAGTTTTCTTTTCTTCCCATGTCTTGAACTCTGAAGCCAAGCACTCTCGAGTTAGGGCTGGACAACCGGCCAATCGTCGGGTTTTCCAAGGCCAGAACTATAACCTTGCGATCAGAAACAAAATTCAATGACAAATAACCCTGTGCAACAATTTCAAAATAGGAGTATATCCAACCCAAGAAACAAAAAGATAAGCAATCATAGCATTAGCAATAGCAGTAGCAGTAGTGATATCAACCTTGAGATGACTATGACTGCTTCGGAACCACTCCATAACCATTAAATAGAAGTAATAGATGAAAACACACAAACTTGGGAACGTACATCACAGGATGATTAATGCCAAGAGTGTCAGTAGGAAACAAAACAGAAGAGAGAAAAAGAAAAAGGCCGTCATGGAATAACATCAAAAAACCAACACAAAAACATGCAAGCATCCACCAAGACAAGAAAGAAAATAAAATAAAAGCAACACTCGCAGTTGCCATTGGATCCCTCCAGACCCTGGCATCACTGAGACACAAGAAGCTCATCGCAGCCCTCCATTTTTTTTAAAAAAAGCACAAATACACTGCAGATGTCAAATCGCCCTGTCCCGCCTGACTGCAGACTCGATGAAATGTGAAGGAGGGGGAGGTTATTGGTGTAGTGTCACAGAGCCCCTATCTCTCGGTCCTTCATTCATTTTATTTTCTTTTCTTTTTGATGGTGTGTCAGGAGGGGTTGAGTGAGGGACGGTAGGATTCGAAGCAGGGATCTCCCATTGAAGCAACCAGGTATGGAGTATGGGGAGGGTAAAGAGCAACCATCTCCCGCAGAGTAGGTGCAAGGGCGAGATGGTAAAGAAAAGGCCTAAAAATTATGATAACCCAAAAGCCCAGTGGAGAAAAACAGATGAAATAAACAGGACCGGGGGGGGGGGGGGGGGGGGGCCCAAAATAAACTCCGTTGGACACAACAGAGTCTAGTAGGCTTGGTGGCCCAACGGCGAGACAGATGCCCGGTGGACATTCTCGACCAGGGGCCGGTGATATTCCGGCAGCGTATCCGGCAGTAGGTTGAACGAGAACGCGCCGGGGGTGTCCGGGTGTCGGACCCGGGTGTAGGGCAAGCCGTTCATGAGCGTCGAGGCCGAGCATCGTGCATCTGCTCCATCTGCAGCCCGGGCTTTGGTCTTTTCGCTGCTGGTGTACCCGTAGATTTCGGGCGTGCAGTCCGTCGTGAGGGCCAGCAGCCGCTGTCCGGCGTTGTGCTGTTCTCGAGAGAAGCTGCGTGCCAACCTAGTGCCTGCCGGTGGCGTGCGGTAGTCAGCCGCCGAGGAAGAGTCCAAGGTCTCTAGACCTGGGTATGGGGGGTTGTCGGGACTAGTGGTGGAAGGGATGGAAGCTGTGGAAGACAGCGCGGGAGTTAGGTCTTCGCTGGTCGTCGACATAGGCAGATACCCAAACACCAGTTCTGGGTCTGGGCCGCTGGACTTGGTGCGTGGTGGGGAGCTTGTATTGTAGGGCTCATGGCTGGGAACATTGGCCATGGATGCTGTTCTTTGGTCGAGAGAGGTGCCGCAGCGCTGATTCCAGAAAGGACCCTTGAAGTCGGCTGCGAGATTCATGCCAGGAATCCCCTCTGGCATGGTCGTCAGACCTGTGGCGTTGTTTTGGGGCTTTTGGTTTCGACATGTCGAGGGGGTAGGGAGTGTTCGGTCTGCACTTGTTGTGTCTGCCATGGCTGTGGTGGTTGGAGGGATCTCTGCAGACAGAATCCCCTGAGTTGGAAGCACATAGGAATATGCGGGTGGATTCATGGAGCCGTTGATTTCGGGGTCGGCAAATAGCCCTCCATTGACAGGTCTGCCAGTGTTGGGCATCGAGCTCCAGGCCTTGGGACTCCATGCTGGTACTCCGTAGTCAATCATCCCAGATGGGGTGCTTGGGAGCATATAAGCTGGGGATTGGCCGTTGTAGTTGGCCGACTGCTCGTCGTCATAATGGATGGAATTATCCATGCCAACAGACTGTCGTGGAAAACCATGGGCATCGATGGCACTGACGTCGTAGTCTGCTGTCCGCTGCAACGGCACTCGTGCTGAGGATGAGCCTATAGAATGGAGGGCTGACTTCCCCGGCGTGTGTGCTGTATACATCCCCAGCCGGGGAGAGGGCGCAATAGCAGATCCCGTAGGAGGGTACGGGAATTGATTGAATGGCAGTTTCGAAGAGTTCACCTAATTCCACCACAGATTAGTCTTGGGTTGCATAGGCGGTCAACATGATTGCATTTTCAAGCTTACCCTCAAGAATTGGCAGTCTGTGTTGCCAGCACCTCGGCAGTTGGAGCAGCCCTGGCCGTCACCGGAATCACCACTGCACTTGATTTTTCTTCGCCGGCATCGTTCACACTGTTGAATTGTCAGTATTCAAAGAGGGTTCACCATCATAGGGCAACTACATACTGCCACGGGAACTCGACGTCTCGGGGGATTGCGTAGCTTGCCGTCCAGCTCGGCGGCTGGACTGATACAGCTGTTCCTCCGGTGACTGAGCTCATGCTGGCCGACACTCCGCATCGGCTGAGCCATAGAAAGTACAGAGCCGCGCCTGGCTGGCTCAAACCCAGTACTATCAGCGTAGTATGGGTGGTCCATTGCTGGGGAACACTTAGCTGACGGGTATGGGGCAGGTGTCAGGTATGTCCACTCACTGCTTCCGACAGGCAGATGTCACCTAGGGCTTGTCAATGAATCCTCGGGAGTACAAGAGAGAACACTAATGTTCCTATATGTCAATGATTATCATGCTTTGGTGTGATTGTTAGAGCGAGGAAAAAGATAGGAGATAGGAAGAAGGAGAAGAAGAAGAAAAGATAGAAGGTGAAAGGATGTCTTTGGAAGTAGGGCTAGATTTAAAGCCATGTTTTGGTAACAAGGCGTGATTGCCTGAGTGCTTTTTTTTTCTTGTATAGGAGAGGTCGCCTTGCCCCCCCTATTTTTTTTTTTCCCTTGATTTTTCTTCTCTATGCCCGCGTCTGTATTGAGGTTAATTCTGTGGGGAGGGGGCTAGTTGGTGAGCCCTATGATAGCGTACACTGTCAGTACTGTGACCAAAAGTACCTCTCAATGTGTTCATCGATTGTATAAATTGATTTCTTTTCTTTTCTTTTTTTTTCTGGGCACCGTTTCGTATTTTTTCCTTTTCTTTTTTAGGGTCGTTGTACCCAGGGGAAATGATATGCACAGTTCCGTCCAATCCAGATTCCCCAGTCTACACAGATGGCCAGCATGAAAGACCAGCAGGACTGCCCCCGGTGTTTTAGAGGCTTGGTTTCACAAAGTAACGTCACACGGGACATGACCTGATAGCCATGACGAGAACAGACCCAGACGGAGGGGAAAGACAGCGCTTTCTGCCAGGGAATGTTTCAGCCAATCGACCTGGCCTCTCCACTACTCCTTATCACTCGGATTCTTTGCCACGGGAAGACCTGGTCTTCTTGAGAATGACCCTGAGCAATCCAGCCTTGGAAAAGGGTTGGAGATGTAGAGCGTCCCGGACAGCTGCTGTCTACGTTTGCAGAAGAATCCCAGTGCCAACTCGGATCTATTGCTTCCGGAGGTGGAGCAATAGAGATGAAGATCAAGGACAAAAGGGTGAATGTTTGCTCGACTGATTGGGTCAGTCGAAACGCTGATTGGTGTGGCGTTGGACTTTCTGGGGCCCCTTCACGATGCATCAAACAGTCCGAACTCGGCCCGGGACGTTGAGGCGAAAACATGGGCCATTGTAAGGTCTGGATCTCTCTCTCATATTTGCAAACGATATCTCCAGACCTTTTTCTTTTTCAAACTTCTTTTCTTTCCCCGGGGTGTCTCAGACGGGTGCGCCAATGTTTCTCCCGATAGAAAAGCTTTTGTGACACCTGTCATTTTCTTCGATCAGCCGATATAAGCGCATTTAGGGCTTGAAATTTCTCCCCCCGAAGCGCAAGCCCAGAGCAAGGCACTCGCAGGGATCAGCCTGAATGCGCCCTGATCATCGACTTGGATGCTGTCGATCAGTCGGAGTGGCTGGTCTTCTTTAGCGCTTCCGCAGCCGCGCCGCAGCTAGATCGAAATGGAAACGTCAGAAAAAGCAACAAGAAAACCAAACCTCGGCAGTTGAGATGCATCACCAAGGTCCAAACTCTGGATCGTAATTCACGCTAAGAAGAAAACAAAAGAAGACTCTGCAGGGGCCGATCGCATGCAGAACGTAGAAAAGTCTTCTTTGGAACCCTGGCCAGTTGACAGGTCGCTTACACCCTTAGCAAATACCTCCTAGACAAATGTTCGCGCTATTGGAAAGGCTGTACCCGACTAACAAAGAGCCACAGGTATGGCAAGCCCCGGATTTGGGAGAAAAATGTGGCCAACCATGGCACCCCAGGAGAAACCGAGTGTCAGGATACGGAGAGGCATCTCAGTGGCCAAGTCAAGGCGATTCACTCGCGGGTTTCGAAAGGCAAAATTGGGGGGAGTCCGCGGGGAACCTAGCGGCACTCTGAGTGGAGGAGTTCCAAGCACGCCGCGCAAAGTCTGACAATGCACGATATTCGGTGGAAAGGAGAGCGAGAGCGAGGGCCAGAGCCAGGAAAGACAAAACGGGCCAAGCCAGCTGACTCTTCGGTGAGTTGACTCGCCAGGGACAGTTGGCATTGGGACCAGGCCTTCCTGTTGCAGCTACGATGTAGGGGGAGTAACAGGCCCTTCCCCTGCCTGTTGCTCACCTCCAGAGCCTTTTCCCGGTCTTCCCCCAGGTTGAGCGGTAAGACGCTTGCTCGAGGTTGAATCTCCTCCCATCCACGTGTATGGCTCTTGATCCCCTCCCGAACGACGATATGATGCCGTTGGGGGATGCTGCAAGAGACCGCCCGTTTTGCCCCCAACGTTTCTGCTGTGGAACCGCCCGCAGAGGGGAGAAGGGAAGTTGTAGGCAACAAATCCCCAAGTGGTACTGTGTACATGGTGGGAACGGGCAACCAGGAAAAAAGGTCATCGGCTTGTCCCATCCGGGGAAAGTGGCTTATGCCAGGCCGTGGCGCTGAAGGCTCGACCTCGCCAAGTCCTCAGAGACATTTCTAGTCCTTTTGGCTGGGACTGCTGCTGCATTTGCCCATTCTCAGAAGCCGGTGAAGCCACAAGTGGGTTCGACGATTCCAGAATGGAGCCTGCTTCTCCTTAATAAGATCTGCTGCAGCTCGATCTGGAGACTAAGGTTTGGAGGTATCTTGTCCAACGGGGATGCTCGGAAGATATGCCGCTCGATTGACAAGAGAGCGTTGTACAGAAGAGGCATCCGGGTCGATCATCCGGAGAGATCTGGTCCAGCACGCACTCATGCATAGCATCAAAAATGCTCCTGAACTCAATAATTGGAAAATTTCGTCAGTGTTGTTCAGTGTTGTCATGGTGAAGAGGGAGGTGTAGGAGAGATGAAAAGAGTGGAGCAGTCCCAGTTCCCCGTTTCCGCGTGATTGGCGGGAGATCCGACTTCTGCGGACTTGCCCTTCGACACTGCGCAATCAGTCGCGTCTGTGAGCTCCGCATTTCTTGCCCCGGAGTGACACAATGAGCGCGCTTCTGGAGACCTCGCTTGGCGATATCGTCATTGACCTGCTGGTCGACGAATCGCCGAAAGCCTGCCAAAAGTGAGTGTCGCATTTCGCGTCAGTCTTTGCCGAGTGTGCTGCACCAGAAACTAAGCTGTTCCTCTTCTGTCATATAGCTTTTTGAAGCTGTGCAAAACCAAGTACTACAATTTCTCGCCCATCCACAGTGTCCAGAAGAACTTTACCTTTCAAACCGGCGATCCACTCGGTCCTGATGCCCCCGAAAGTGATGGCGGGTCGTCAATTTGGGGTCAGCTGGATGGACCATCCCAGAGAACATTTCCCCTCGTGCTGCCGCCGAAGTTGAAACATACTGAACGAGGCACCGTGAGTATGGCGACAGTCCCGGCTAAGACCGACCCAGACCAAAAACTTGCCGCCAGCCAGTTCATCATCACGCTCGGGGACAATCTGGATTATCTTGATGGGAAGGCAGCTATCTTCGGCAAAGTTGTCGAAGGCTTCGATGTCCTGGAAAAGATCAACGACTCCTTCATCGATGACCGCGGTCGACCTTTGAAAGATATTCGCATCCGGCACACCGTCGTCCTCGATGATCCATTCGACGATCCATCTGGCCTGGTTGAACCCCCCGAGAGCCCTGTGCCATCCAAGGCTCAACTGGCCACAGTGCGGATTGCAGACGATGAGGATCTGGATGATGATATGGACGAGGACGCGATGGAGAAGCTGCGCCGCGAGCGCGAGGCTCGTGCTCAGGCGTTGACCCTGGAGATGGTGGGCGATCTTCCGTTCGCCGAGGTCAAACCCCCGGAGAATGTTCTTTTCGTTTGCAAGCTCAACCCGGTCACCCAAGGTTTGTTATGCTGTGCTTCCACCCTCGCGATCAATGCTAACTACGAGCTGGGTAGATGAGGATCTCCATTTGATCTTCAGTCGCTTTGGGCAAATATTGTCTTGCGAAATTATCCGGGATAAACGTACTGGTGACAGCTTACAGTATGCTTTTATTGAGTTTGAGAACCAAAAGGACTGCGAACAGGCGTATTTCAAGATGCAGGGAGTTCTGATTGATGATCATCGGATCCATGTGGATTTCTCACAGAGTGTAAGCTCTCTTTTCCATGCCCTTGGTGTGGATGTAATCGCATGCTGATACTTAAACCAGGTCTCCAAATTGTCTGAAAGCTGGCGTAACGCCATCGTCACCAAGCGCCGACCGAGAGGCGGGTTCGGTGGCGTCGCAGATCTTGAAGAGAAACGCCAATACCGAGTGTCAGATAATCCCCGTGCAGAAGAAAATGACCGGGGCCGATATGGAATGATCCTGGACAAGTCTCAATCATCTAGGCCATCTCACGCTTCTCGTCAGGAGGGTTCCGGCCGCAGTCCCGGACGAGATTCCCGTCGCGACCGGCGAGGGAGTCGAAGCCCCCGGAGACGTGATTCAGACCGACGTCGTCGATCGCACAGTCGGAGTCCGAGGCGGAGAGACTATCGGAGAGATCGAGATCGAGGCCGCTATGATGATCGCGATCGGCGTGGGGATCGGTCCCGGTATTAGCAGACCATGGACAAGGGAATATAAACCCCTCAAGTCAATAAAAGCATTCAAGACAAAAAGAAAAGACAAAATCTGGAACGGGTCCCGCTGGGGCAAATTCGGAATAGAATCAATGTGCAAGTGGGCAGGTTTTAGGCATAGTCCCTTGGGCGCACCCTAAAAATAACCGGCTGGATCCATCGCAGTTTCGGTGTAGTCGCAGTACTTAAGCCTGTTCAACTTCACCCCGCGATTTAGTTACTTTTCCCCCTCCCTCGCTTTTCCTTCCTTCACCCCCCCAACTCATTCTCCCCTCGACCTTCACTCATTCAATTCATTCATTCATTATGGCCGGTGCAATTAAGGAAACGGTCTCTAACCTAATTGAAAAATTCCAGGGCTCTGCCGAAGAAGCTCCCCGCGAACCCTCGGCCGAAGAGTTCCAGCAATTACAGCAGAAATATGCCGACGCTGGTCAAGGGCACGTATTTGCCTTTGTTGACGAGTTGAAGCCTGTCGAGAAGGCTCGGCTCTTCCACCAGGTGTCCAACTTTGACCCCACCCGCATCAACGAGCTGGCCACCACGGCCTTGAACCCTCCCAAGACCGAGCAGACGACCGTGTCGCTCGAGCCCCTGCCAGATGTGGCGACGGCCTCGATTCTCGACTCTGATCCCTCGGATATCCAACGGTGGTACGATGAAGGCTTGAAGCAGGTGGCAGAGAACAAGGTGGCGGTGGTGTTGATGGCCGGTGGGCAGGGAACCCGGCTCGGCAGCTCTGCTCCCAAGGGATGTTTCGACATCGGTCTTCTGAGCCAGAAGTCTCTGTTCCAGCTCCAGGCTGAGCGGATCTCCAAGCTGCAATCTCTGGCCCAGAAGGTGAATGGTGCTGAGGCGACCATCCCCTGGTATGTCATGACTAGCGGGCCTACGCGCAAGCCGACGGAGGAGTTTTTTGAGAAGCACGGCTACTTTGGTCTGAACAAGAACAACGTGACCATTTTCGAGCAAGGCGTGCTGCCTTGCATCTCCAACGAGGGCAAGATCATGTTGGAAACCAAGGGCAAGGTATGGTGCAACCTTTGCGACTCGGAGATCTTATCTAGGCGGTTCTGACAATTTATTCCAGGCTGCAGTGGCCCCCGATGGCAACGGCGGTATCTACCAGGCTCTCGTGACGTCGGGTGTGCGGGAGGACATGCGCCGCCGCGGCGTCCAACACATCCATGCCTACTGCGTGGACAATTCCCTGGTCAAAGTGGCTGACCCCGTGTTTATTGGGTTCGCTGCTTCCAAGGATGTCGACATTGCCACCAAGGTGGTGCGCAAGCGCAATGCCACCGAGTCGGTGGGCCTGATCCTGCTCAAGAACGGCAAGCCGGACGTGGTTGAGTACTCCGAGATTGATAAGGATACGGCCGAGGCCAAGGACCCCAAGCAGCCCGATGTGCTGAAGTACCGCGCCGCTAACATCGTCAACCACTACTACTCATTCCGCTTCCTCGAGTCGATTGAGACCTGGTCGCACAAGCTGCCGCACCATGTGGCCCGCAAGAAGATCCCCTGCATCGACCCCAGCACCGGGGATGTAGTCAAGCCCGAGAAGCCCAACGGCGTCAAGCTGGAGCAGTTTGTCTTTGACGTGTTCCCCATGACCCCGCTGGACAAGTTCGCCAGTATTGAAGTGCGCCGCGAGGACGAGTTCTCGCCTTTGAAGAACGCTCGTGGCACGGGCGAGGATGACCCGGACACCAGCCGCCGGGACATCATGAACCAAGGCCAGCGATGGATCGAGAAGGCCGGCGGCGTTGTCATCACCGACGGTGAGGCATTTGGCGTTGAGGTGTCTCCTTTGATCAGTTACGTAAGTACTGATTTCAACTCTTCTAGGTCCATTTAGTCTCACTAACGTATGTATGCAGGGCGGCGAGAACCTCGAATTCCTCAAGGGGCGGGAGATTAAGGCGCCAGCGATCCTGGAGAAGGAGGAGTAGATCGGACTATGACCGACCACTTCTAACTAGCTACTCATACAACTAGAGATCCCGTGTGGATCTCTGCATGTTGGCTATATCTGAAACATTGGCACGAAGAAATGAAAATGAATTGCTCCCAGTCTTTGAGGAATGGATCTCCCGCGTTGCATCTGTCACTGTGGAATGCAGGGGCCAAGAACGTACATCCATGGATAGACCTATCCATCCACCTGAGTTGGAGATCATATTAGAGTGCTCATAGATCACCAGCCCTAAACTGACTAAATCCTCGACGCTCAGCCCTTACGCAATACGGAAAAGCCCGGGAGCTAAAGCGCCGTTTGATGAGTTTGCATTGCGTCTTCTTTTTTCGCCCTGTTTCTCTCCTCTTCCCTTCGATCCCAAATTTCCCTGGTCTCGCTTTTTTGTCTTGGTGGTGTGCTGTGAGGGTTCTCTCTTGAAGTCTGGTGTTGTCGAGTGGTAAGTTGTTGGTTGGTACTTTTGTGTGTGCTTTTTTTTTTCTGTGTCCCACTTTTTTTGGGTCTCGTTTCTTTTTTTTTCGAAGTGGGCTGTCAAGAACGTGCTGGTTTCTCTTCTCCAAGGTTCTCATCAAAGCTGACAAGGTCCTAAACTAGACCTGATTGACACGGATTCGAGGAGTCATTGGAAGGGTGAGTGAGAACCTTGTTATCGCGGTGATCTCTCCAGTTGCCCACCCCACGCGATCTACGTTTTCCCCTCCGTCCCTGCATCCAGGATCTGTCGGCAGAATAAAGAAATTCGGAATCATGGGACTCGAAGCACAACATAAATAATATGTTTGGTGCCACGCGATATCCTTATGCGACCCCAGAATTCCCATTTGCCGATTCCAGTCAAGGATGGAGAGGAGGGGGGTTTCGCAGATTGTCATGACGCTGTTATCGCTCTCCAAATCGACCCCCGAACTGACCCGGTCTCGATAGAATTGTTAGGATGATGTTGTCTCGTCGTGCGTGCTACAAGTGTGGCAACATTGGCCACTATGCGGGTTAGTAGCAGGGAATATCCATAAAAATCATGGTTCAACATGAACTAACAAGACTAGAGGTCTGCTCTTCCTCGGAGCGTCTCTGCTACAACTGTATGTCAAATCCCCTCTTGCACATGTTTCATATGAAGTTTTGCTGATTCATCTGGTTTCAATAGGCAAGCAGCCTGGTATGTTCGACCTCGGTTGACGGTCCTTGAACCGATTGTCTAATTCACCACAGGGCACGAGTCCAGCAGCTGCCCGCGTCCCCGGACTACCGAGAGTGAGTGATCTTGTCACTTCTCTTCTTGGCATATTGCTAATATCATCTAGCCAAGCAGTGCTACAACTGCCAGGGCCTCGGCCATGTCCAGGCTGACTGCCCCACGCTGCGCCTGAACGGCGCCAACGGCCGTTGCTACAACTGCAGCCAGCCCGGCCACCTTGCTGTAAGTTGGCATTTGGCGTGTATTTTTCTGTGCAGAGAATTGACCCTCGTTATAGCGCAACTGCACCAACCCCGCTGCTCCCGGTGCTGGCCGCGGCGCGGGTGCTTCTCGCGGCGGCTTCCAGGGCTTCCGTGGTGGCTTCAGTGGTTACCCTCGTGCCGCCACCTGCTACAAGTGTGGCGGTCCTAACCACTTTGCTCGTGACTGCCAGGCCCAGGCCATGAAGTGCTACGCCTGCGGCAAGCTGGGACACATCTCCCGTGACTGCACCGCCCCCAACGGCGGCCCGCTGAGCTCTGCCGGCAAGGTCTGCTACAAGTGCGCCCAGGCCGGTCACATCTCGCGGGACTGCCCGACCAACGAGACTGCTGCTCAGCCGGCCGTCGATGCTGCTGCCCCTGCCCCTGCTCCTGCTCCTGCCGCGGCCACGACCGCCGCTGAGGCCAGCACCGAGGCTGCCCCCGTGGCGGCTGCGGCTCCGACTACCGCCGTTGCATAAACGTGTCTCGAGATTCTTGTCTCACCACCCCGCATTTCTTTCTCCCGGAATGCCTAAATTCCATTTCTTCCTCCATCTTGTATTACGGTCAATTTCCCTGAACCCCGGTCGGTCGTTTCTCACCTGCGGAGTCCCTCCACCAATTTCTTCTTTTGCATATATTTACCCACCCTTTGTTTTGGGTTCTGGTTTTTATGGTTTTGGTGCTTGACAAACCGGCTTTGTTTTCTTTTACTTTTTCTTTCTTTTTTTCCCTGGTTTTCTCTTTTTTGTTCCCCCTCAACTATCATGTATACGACGATCAACCTGAAAAAGTTTCCTTGTTTTTTTTTTCACGAAGCCCCCGGACTTGATGGTTAATTCAAGTCTTACGATCGGCGTCTATTGTTCACCCCACGGATTATCTTTCTCGATTTGACGAAATCTGCTCTTGATTGGTTGCGGTTTTCCCAGATGGGCCAAGGAGAGACGAGAGATGAAGCATGGCAAGGACGGAGCGGATGATGGATCTGTGAAGCAGAGAAAGGATGATTTGGCTGTTGTATGGAAAAATGGCTTCCAGGTGGGAAGACTCGGTGCTGAGAATATGAGACCGCAAATCCGAAAAAAAGAACTCTTCTACTTTTTCTCTTGATGCTTGACCAGCGTTGACCCCGTGACTTTTCCCTCACCTTCATTCGTAACTAGCCGACTTCTTCTCGTTGAAACCCTCAAACCATCCATCGATTAGCAGCACTTATTATCCAATTCCATCGCAATGCCTGACTCGGACAGCGGTGATGAGTTTAATGACGAGGTACAGTCTAGTTCCCATCCCAAGCTCTCGATCTCACCGAGTTCCTCGAACACACTTAACTTCTCTTCAACTACACAGAACTTCATCGTCGATATCGACAGCATCCAGGCCCATGGGATTGGTGCTGCTGATATCGCCAAATTGAAGGCCAATGGATTTTACACTGTGGCAGTGAGTGTTTCCGAGTACCAGACAACCAACATCAGCTAACGGGCTATTTATCAGTCTGTTCACGGCGCTACGCGCAAGACACTCCTAAAAATCAAGGGATTCAGTGAAGTCAAGGTGGAAAAGGTCAAAGAGGCGATTCAGAAGTGCCTGGTATTGTCCTCTGTGACATTGTCCTGGGTCATTATCTGATCACCAAGTCCATACTAGCCATTTGCCTCTGGATTCGTGACTGCCATGGAACTCTGGCATCAGCGGAAGAAGGTCGTGCGCATCTCGACGGGGAGCAAGCAGTTCGACTCTATCCTCGGAGGGTGAGCAGCCGTCCCCTAATCTGTCGTGTTATAATGCTATGGCTGTCTCAATCAATGCTTACCCACACATTCCGTCTCATTAGCGGATTCCAAAGCATGAGCATCAGTGAGGTCTTTGGCGAGTTCCGCTGCGGCAAGACCCAACTGTCACACACCATGTCCGTGATTGCACAGCTGCCCAAAGAAATGGGCGGGGCCGATGGCAAGGTTGCTTATATCGACACCGAAGGCACTTTCCGGCCAGAGCGCATCGCACAGATTGCTGAGCGCTTTGGCGTCGATCCGGATTCCGCCCAGGAGAACATCGCCTATGCCCGCGCTCTCAACAGCGAGCACCAGCTAGAGTTGCTCAATACGCTCAGCCGTGAGTTTGCTGCGGGTCAGTATCGGCTTCTTGTCATTGACAGCATCATGAACTGCTTTCGCGTGGACTATTGTGGCCGGGGAGAGCTGGCAGATCGGCAGCAGAAGCTGAACCAGTTTCTGATGAAGTTGGCTCATATGGCAGAAGGTGAGATAACGTTTCTTTCCCTTTGCACATTGGCATCTTGCGATTCTTTTCCGATTTGTTGGTTTATCATAAGATCCACGTCGCTGATCAGCAATTCGGTTCGCAGAGTTCAACGTGTGTGTTCTGATGGTTTGTGAAACCCCATTACTTGATCTTCAATGTCCAAGGCCATGCCTCACACCTGTTTCCAGACAAATCAAGTCCAGAGTGACCCTGGTGCAAGTGCCTTATTCGCTGGGGCTGATGGCCGCAAGCCTGTGGGAGGCCATGTTCTGGCCCATGCCTCTACTACGCGGGTACTTCTCCGCAAAGGCCGCGGAGAAGAGCGCGTGGCGAAGATCCAAGACTCGCCTGGTAAGTCTTTTGGTCACATTTGCCAGATTTGTTTAGATATTTGTGTTCTGACTGGGTCCTAAGACTGTCCCGAGCGAGAAGCGACCTATATCATCACCAATGGTGGCATCAATGATCCCGACAAGGTGTGAGGAATGTGATATGAAACTATGCGAAAATCTTCAAGAGGGAATTGTCTGTTCGAGCTGCGAGATTTGATGTTCCGATGAATTCGATGTGGTCTATATATTTTTTTTCAGTGAGTATATATTAGAAAATACTTTATTATGGAAGGAATGATAATAGATATGAGCCTATGGAAAGAACACAATAATGTTAGAAAAATTAGATCAAGAGATATTTATCTGTCTCCGTTATTTGCTAACTGGAAGAAAATCCATTTCTAATACATCCATGAGTTGAAGGTTGAAGGTGTAGGGTCGTTCTCCAGAAAGCCCCTGGTACACCGCCCGCCTCAGCCGCTCCGACAGCCCGGCACAATTTTGCAAAACTTCGAAAAAGTTGATTTTCATCCATCCACGCCGATCGCAAAATGAAAAAAAGGGGCAGTGGAGATCGCAGGGTACACGACCCTACCTTTGAAACTCCCTGAAACATCCGTCTCCCCGGGGCCAGCAACGCATTACCTCTATCTCCGGCCGCACGAACCTCGCATCCCAGACCCCGACTCCTCTCGCTCGCTTTTCGTCGTCAACGTCCCCATTGATACGACTGAAATCCACCTGCGGTATCTGTTCGGCACCCAACTGTCAGCCGGTCGCGTCGAGCGGGTCCAGTTCGAAGATGTCCCAGTGAAAAAGCGCGGCGTGGCCGCCGCCACCGAGAACAATCTCTCGCATCGCAGCAAAAAGCGCAAGCGCGTCACCGTCGACGACCTCCAAAGTCGACTGGATGATGTGGCGCTCCCGTCTACCTGGGACCGCCAGTTACAGAAGAGCGGCGCCCATGCCATCGTCGTCTTCGCCGATCGCCCGAGCATGGAAGCTAGCCTGAAAGCCGCCGCCAAGGCCGCGAAAAAAGGCACCACTCTCGTCTGGGGCGAGGGAATCCCCAAAGATCGCGTGCCAGTACTCGGTTTGCAGCGGTATCTCGCTCATGAGCGACTCCGTTACCCGGATCGGGCGGCGCTGCTCCGTACCGTTAACGACTACATGACGGTCTTCTCGCAGGTTGCCGAAGCCCGGAAACGCGCCGAGTCGCAGAAGGCGCAGGAGCCGGACGAGGATGGATTTGTCACTGTCACCCACGGGCCTAAGTTGAACTCGATTGCCCGCGAGGATGAAGTCCGAGAATTGGTCGAGAAGCAGAAAAAGAAGGCCGAGGGTCTGGAGGACTTCTATCGGTTCCAATCTCGGGAGAAGAGGAAGGAGCGCCAGAATGAGCTGCTGAAGAAGTTCGACGAGGATAAGAAGAAGCTACAGGATATCAAGAGCCGAAGAGGGAAGATTCGGGTATGTGCTTTTCTTCCTTCCCCTTGAGGCTCTCAAGCGAGAATTGGATACTGATTTGGTGCAACAGCCGGAGTGAGCAAAAAGTGGCATGGGCTAGGCGTTTTGAGGAGTTTCAGCAGGACCAAAACCCTGGGGGTCCTGGTGCATCGGTGAGTCGTCTCTCTTTCTCTGCTTTGCTAGTCACCCCATTTCCATGATGAGCTCGCTGGGGCCAGAGTAGCAAGACGCGCTTTGCCCGCTGTCTGCTATGCCTTGAGAATCCAGCGATATCCTATCATCTTCTCACCTTTTCTGACATGGAGCTTCCATGATACTCGGATTGCACGTGTTCTCTTGGTGTCACATATGCTGACCATCCTACTAGTTCTATCTGGTGGTTTCATGACTCAAAATATGTCTATTATACCGATCTATGAATACAATATTTGCATCCCAAGATTTGCGACCGTAAGAATTTAGGACTCCGCGCGATGTCTCTTCCCGGGGGTTCCCGCACAGACCGGGCTTGGCATGACATCCCACCTCTGGATGTCCCCAGCTTCGTTTCTTTATCTGATCCTGGGCCACAAGAGACAGCGTTACTCCATCGCTAGCTGCGAAGATGATTTACCGTGGATGACGGTGTGATTAGGTTCATCGCATCGTCGAGGGTCAAAGCTTCGTTGCGATAGCCAAAACCCACAGTATCTACCTGTGCTCTCACTCGACTGGTATATCCAACTTGAAAGCTTTTTGATTCGCCTCACTTTTTGTTCCCTTGTCCACCACTGAATCGGAAAGGCTTCTTAATCCACCCCCATTATTGCACAGTTCTCGAGATGGCTCCAGTCTCTGCTCCAAGCGAGCATGATTCCGACGACGACGTGGAGTTCGAGGATGTGCCTCCCCCAGGTGTAACCCAGACCAGTGGACCTTCATCAACGCGTCCAGCCGCTTCTCATGTTGAATCATGGAGTCCCTCACTGTCTCTTCCGCCGCAGCGGGATCACCCTATCCCCTCCGGCTCCCAGGAGGAGACCCAGCTCCGTGGCCGTTTGAGCTCCGGAATTGAAACCATCACCTACCGGCAGATGAAGTCTCATCTGGGTATGGATGCCCCGAACACGCCTGCCTCGCAGCGGAGGTATGAGAGCTTCCAGGAGTTTGCGGACGATGTTGAGCATCTAGTTGATATACTGTGGGCCTCGGCAACGGGTGAGTATACTTCATTATTATATTATTATTTCCATTGTTATATCATGCTTGCGTGTTGCTCTGGCTGCATTCACCTATTCGGCCAATCCAAACTAACACGTCTTGTAGCAACCATCCAAGTTGAAGGCTTCATCACCCTCGCTGGCATCGTACAGATGTCCATCCGCAGCTTCATATTCGAGCCCCACCCCATGCTCAACATCCTCCATAAATTTGACGAGATCTTCGCCGGCCTCTGCACCGCTACGCATCCTCTCACAGGTCTTCCACTTCCGGCCTTGCCGTCGAACCGTCCTCTCGTGACCGAGACGCAGAAAGTCCGGATCCGCAGCCTGGCCGAGACCACCCGCTCCGAGGTGTTCTCGTATCTGTCTAACCCGGACGAGCGTACTGCTCCTGATGTCGATCTGGATGATTTTGATTCGGGGGATTTGGAGACCCCGTGGATGCTGGAGGCGACGCGCATTTATGACAAGACTTTGATGTTGCTAGGGGACCAGGGCGAGACTGATGCATTGTAATTTATTTTGTGGATGAATCGGAGTTTACTATGTCTTTGCTGCTAATTTGGGTATGCGCATATTACCATTAGATAAAAACCATGAACTGGTCAATTGTCTTTAGGCTTACACTCCAGCATGCAGAACTGCGTCATGGGCTGCAGGCTATTATGATGTTTATTGATCAAGTAATATCATGGAGAAGTTAGGGATACCTCAGAGCATCCTTAGTCTTGTTCCCTCACCGGAGATATTGCCCATATTTATTATTATCTAGTGTCATTTCATATTTACTCGTAGACAAATTTCATCGATTCCAGAAGGCACTAGAAAGAAAAGAAAAAAGAAAAAAAAATCCACGAAGACAGTGGAGTCAGACACAAAGCGAGGCCCAGGTACCGGGTCACCTTCGATACCTCGTAGGAAAAGTGTAACTACTAATGTTTACAGTATGCAAACGATGTTTCGGTACATTCAAATTCAGGTAACAAAGAAAGTGCCTCTGAGCAATTTCTTTGGATCGCCGGTCACGAACTAAGTGGATGAGAGCCCTGAAAGTGGATACGTTGACTCCTGCTCAGCCTCGGGGCTCAGACCATGCTCAGCTGGCGTGGCACAGGATGTGGTACTAGAAATAGTGATTGAGTACGGAGTAAAAAGAATATCTGCCCAAAAAAAAAAGAGATTCCAGGTTGTGTTCGAGTCTTCCCGAATTCTATAGCAGAAACTTATTCGAAGCGAAGCCGGAGCTCTGATTTTCAGTGTGTGGACGCCAGAGCTGGGTTCCATGGTTCGACAGAAATGAATCATTATTAATCCATATATCAGCTTGGAAATGGTCCACGGGTTCAGCTGGGTTTGGTATCCTATGGGTATCTGGAGCAAGCGAGGGCATGCCCTATCCAAATCATGCCGACAGCTTCTATACTCTGCAGGGGTACTACCTACTCCTGTCAGGAAGTAAATCATAGTCAATATCTTCATAATATATCTCTTGGTTACCGAGGCAAAGGGTCAAACGAAGATCCCTAGCGCCAATAATGCAAGGGCACTCCATTCCGGGAGGCAGAGATATCCGATCTGAGGTCATAATCTTATGAAAACCATCCCATCTATACACTGGACATACTCTCACGAGGAAATGATATCAATTGATCCGCACTCCCTTACTCTAATCGACGACACTGTCGACACCTTCCTGCTGCATATTGAACCTAGGTAATCTACCGACCTATTTCTTGAGAAACAGGAATTCCAGCAAACGCGTCGCGTACCGCGTTAATTGAAAGTTCCTCCAGCTTGCCAAGCTTCCCATGAGGATACACGAGAGAAAAGAAAAAAAAAGAGAAATCTCTGCGGGCCCCAGTCGGGTAATTCCAATACCAACGGCCCACGTCCCAATCAGCTGGCTTAGGCGACCATCCGCAAAATCCCATGGTTCTGGTTTCTGGTTCAGGTTTGGAGTCCTGTTTGACCCTTTACACCCTCAGTTACACCGGGCAGACGCGGGTGACGTATTGGAAGAGTCCTTTTTTTTTAGTTCCTTGCGTACAAATTGACTGGGGATATGCGAAGAACCTTGCTTCTGGAAGGTTGGGTGCTTTGGGCTCTGCAGACTGCAGTATACACCTACCTACTATAGTAAGGTATACTATCCACCATGTGTGTATATACTGCAGATGGAGTCGTCAAGGGTGTCTTTGGGTACAGAGATGACGCCAAGCACCACGATCGTCATGAAAGGAAAATACTTGGGCCACAACCAGTATACAGGACATATCCATGGTTCAAAAGAGAGTGGGTTTCTTCTTCAGGTGGGATTTCTGATATTCCTACATTCGATACCGGCAAAATACTTTCACCCAGCTACAGCAGCTCTCAGGCACTCCAGTACCACATACTGTAAGCTGCGAACGGAAGCCCCGATTCCCGGACCTACAGTAAATGATTTACAGTATGTATGTAATAAACGAGCATTTGACGAGTCACATTGCGAGGACGGCGACAGCTTGGTCCTTGCAGATTTTATGCATTGTCCCCCTTCCTTTCTTCCTTGGGGGGTCGTTGGCACACTCTCTTAACTGCGGATCTAGCGGAAGGGGCGGGGCTCCAACTTGCGATCGGCCATCCTCGCCTAACCGGGTCTCACAATGACAATCAGGTCAGGATGGAAAAGAGGCCCAAATAACCCTACAGTCGAGAAGGAGGTAGAGTAGATGATTCAATTGTATATACATCAAGTACTATGAGTACTGTACCTGATGTATGCATACTGTACACGTAATAATACCACGTATTGGTCAGAACCATACCACCCAGTAATTTCGCACTTCCCCTCTCCCTCTCTCTCACTCACTCGCTTTCTTCGAGATTTCATCGCTTTCTTCCTTTTCCTTTACCCCTCCTCTCTTCACCCTTTTCCTATTGTTCGGATCACCTTTGATTTTGCTTTTTTCTTTTCTTTTCTTTTCTCGGGAGTTGTGCTGTTCCACCTCTCGTCCGCTTCCTCTTTTTTTTTTTGCGATTCGCATTCGGTTTTCTTTGCCTTGCGGAAAGTTGTTTCGAGAGGTTTTCCATCGTAAGTGTTTCACTTCTCGGTCTTCGCATCAGAAGAAGAAAAAAAAGCCTCTTTCATCATCGCCCTCCAAATCATCTCTCTTCCCACATTCCATCTATCGCAGCGTCGTGGACACAAGGCGTTTCTCAGAATCTCTTGCGCCGATCGGTTCATCTGTCTTTTCGCGCGATTCAGCTTGATCGCTTGTTTTGAAGCCTTGACCAGCTCTTCGGGATACACCTCCGTCCATCTCTCGCACTATATCCACTCGTCGCCGTTGTGGAAATAGCTACCAAAGCTGGTCGCATGATGCCCCCCCGCAAGTGTGTAAGCGAAGGGTGGATCGGGGGATGCGGACGGTCGTAATCGCCCACAGACTCTGGAATGGACGTGGACGGAAACGGCCGGCGCATGGCGACTTGTGGGCAATCATGCACACCCGCCTGTTTGTTTCGCGCAGCCGACCGTCGTCTTTCTCCACCTGGGTTTTCGAGACGATCGCCCTCCAATGAATCGCTTCATTACGCTTCGTCTGTGGTGCTTCCCCGAAGAGCTTGGTCTTGGCGATCTCCGACATACCGCACTTTGCGGCTGAGAAACTGTGTTCTACCTCTTTGCGATCATCTACCCACGATTCCTTTCTATCCTTCTTCAACCTGCCTCAATACCTCTTCTTCTATTCCCCCTTGGCATGGATTGATTCCAGCTCACATTTTTTAACCCGTCGCTGCTTGATCTTTCCACCTTTCTCCGCATTTTATGGAATTTTGCTCGGAAACCGCTTTCTAGGGGAATTTTTTTTTTTAAATCTAATCGTTGATTTAGCAGGAAGCTTAACGCCAATCTCTTTTATTTTTCTCGGGTTCATTACGAAGTGTGCTCTTTGATCTCACGCCGGTCTCTCCTTAACGACTCCACGAAGCTTCAGTCGCCCGGACCGTTTATTTTTACGTCGATTTTCGGACAAGTTTGATCTTTGCGCCAAAATGTCGTTCCAAAACTTCGATTCTTTTCCCAACCAGGACCCTGCGACTGGTGCTCCGGCTCCTGCCGATGCCACCATGACTGGACAGGCCGACCCGACCACCGCTTCCTTCCAGGGTTCTGCTGGTGAGCCTGCCGCTGCTCCCGTTCCCCAGCAGGGCGCCGAGGGCAAGACTACCCTCTGGTACGAAACTCCTTAGCAAGATTGCATAAACGTTTTCTCACCGTTTTTGATAGGATGGGTGAGCTCGAGCCGTGGATTGATGAGAACTTCATCCGCAACCTGTGGTTCCAGATGGGTGAGCAGGTCAACGTCAAGATGATCCGCGACAAGTTCTCTGGGTAAGGCAATGTCCCCCCCCCCCCCCCCCCCCCCTCTCCAATAGGTTGTTCAAAATGATCCTAATGTTGGTAGTAGGAGCAATGCTGGCTACTGCTTCGTTGACTTTGCCTCCCCGGCCGCCGCTGCCAAGGCTCTCTCGCTCAACGGCACCCCCATGCCTAACACCAACCGGGTCTTCAAGCTGAACTGGGCTACCGGCGGCGGCCTCGCGGATCGCAGGTAAGCAAAAGTACCTGAATCCCCGTGTTTTTTTCACCTCCCACTGACGTCGATCTAGCCGTGACGACCGTGGCCCCGAGTACTCCATCTTTGTTGGTGATCTCGGCCCCGAGGTTAACGAATACGTCCTCGTTTCTCTCTTCCAGAGCCGCTTCCCCTCGTGCAAGTCCGCCAAGATCATGACCGACCCCATCAGCGGCATGTCGCGTGGCTACGGCTTCGTCCGCTTCTCCGACGAGAACGACCAGCAGCGCGCTCTCACTGAGATGCAGGGTGTTTACTGCGGCAACCGCCCGATGCGCATCTCCACTGCTACCCCCAAGAACAAGGGCCCTGGTGTTGGCGCTGGCGGTGGTATGGGCATGCCCGGTCCCGCTGGCATGTATCCCCCGATGGGCGGCCCGCCCATGGGCTTCTACGGTGCTCCTCAGCCCATGAACCAGTTCACCGACCCCAACAACACCACCGTCTTCGTCGGTGGTCTTTCCGGCTACGTCACCGAGGATGAGCTCCGTTCGTTCTTCCAGGGCTTCGGCGAGATCACCTACGTCAAGATTCCCCCCGGCAAGGGCTGCGGTTTCGTGCAGTTCGTCCAGCGCCACGCTGCTGAGATGGCCATCAACCAGATGCAGGGCTACCCTATTGGCAACTCGCGCGTGCGCCTGAGTTGGGGCCGTTCGCAGAACAACTCCGGCCCCGCCGGCAGCCCCTACCGTCCTGCGCCCCCGCCTCCCCCCATGTACCCCTCCATGGGCATGCCCCCGGCCCACCAGTATGGCGGGTTTGCCCCGATGAAGGTTAGCAGCCACCCAGGCAGCCCGGTGCCGGAGCACCCTTGAATCGGTTGGCTGACACACAGTCTTTCCAGTAAGCGTTCCTTTGATTGAAAGCACCAGCAGGAGTTGTTTGCGTCATTCCAATGATGGGTCCTTTGTGTCATAACAAATTTCGCGATTCCTGGTTTCTGCCGAGGCTCAAGCTCTTATAGCTCTTGATGAGCATCTTTCTCCTGTGCTACGCATTTCCGTTCTTCGTGAGCGCTTTGTTTCTCTTGTTATTTGTTTTCCTTTTCTTTCTCTTTTCGAAGATCTGAGCTCTTTCCTTTTTATTACTCTCCTACGATCTGTGTCTTTTTTCTTCTTGTCTCTTTGTGCTTCGTACTTGCGATGTCTCTCCCCTTTGACGCTGTCGTGTTTTCCAGCCCCGGGTCTCTCTGTTTGCGTGTAACGGACGTGCGAATTGTTCCTGCGCTTCTCTCGATACTCCTTGGGCAGGCATTCTGCGAAAAGTTCCATTTCTCCTCCAATCCAAGTTTCCTTTGTCTCTTGATTTCCCCTGCCCATCTCTTTTTCTCTTTCATTGAGCAGCCAAATTGAATTATGTTCGCTTCGAGGATGTTTGGGGAGGGTTTCTTTCTTTTGGTGAATCTTACCCTTTTTGACTTGGTTAGATATGACGGCTTGTACAACACGTTTTGTTCCTTGGTCCATTTGATATGTTGGCGTGGACCTCTCAATTTGGTTGGGCTTTTGGTTGATTCCCCTGCTGTAGCCCTGGGGAGTGGATTCTTTTGGAGAGTTCTCTGATGGCAGTTCTTGTCTTTGCTTTCCAGATGATTCCCCCTTCGCTTCATGTCCTTTGCGCGGCTGTCTGGGTTTTGTGTCCCTCGATCAGACTGTACTATCTATCCTAAGTACCTCAATTCAAGGGAATATTTTGTTTTTCAGCCATGCAGCAAATACTGGCGTGGGTTCATCTCAGTTGCCTCGGCAAGTAAATGGGCGAGGCCGTCGGTGATGGCACCTTCCCAGGGCATTGAGGCAAGCACGCGATTCAACTTCTTTTCTGTTCTCATCTCTCCTCATCGGCCACTTACACGGCCATCTGCTCTCTCGCATCCGAAATGCGCTATGAAAACTGGGATGTGCTCCTCTTCCCCTCGGGCTCCAAGGTGCCCATCCAGGAGTTCAAAACACAATGCTTTGTGACCAAGGACCGAGATTCCCCCTACATGCAGAATCCCTCAATTGCGGTCTCACCCTACTTTGTGATGCCCGGCAACTTCGGTCAAGTGCCCGTCCTCACTACTTTTATCCCCAGTCTGCCCAAGGACAGCCCATTTCGCGTTTCAATTCACAGTTGGGAGAAGCCTCGCCCGAGTCGCCTGATCGAGAGTTTGATGCGACCCGATGATTTGCTGCTCTATGAAGCGCGCGTGTTCATTGATGGGCGCTGTGTTGCGTGAGTAGCTCAGCTGGTCGTGCATGATGTCGGGGGGCGCCAACTAAATTCTCTCCAGAGGGAGTCTCTTCGGCGAGAGAGCTTCATGGCCACATGTCCTTGGTGAGTGAGGGCCCAAAATGTAATGGTTTGGTAGTGTATATACTGACGCATGTCTGGCAGATCTCAGTTCCCGTATCGTTTGTTCCACTGCTTTGCTTGGTGATCCTCGAGCCTCTGACCATATCAACAGACATCGATCGAGATGGCAACCAGGACAACCTTCGCTTCCCCTCTTTCCACAACGAGATTCTCCAGCAAAGGCACTGGGATGCAGGAGATTTGTACGGACGGGTCAAAGTCGTTATCGCCGAAGGGTTTTCTCGCCCACTGCGCTCGCCCCCGTTTGAAAGAGTGAAGGATGTCATTGCCTTGTCTTTTCAACATGCACCTCTAGGTAAGTGCCCAAACGCTGCCGAGAAGCGACATCATTAACACACAATCCAGGCATTCTGGAATATTCCAACATCGCCTGGCCCAATTCTAACATGTGGTCTCAAGCCTCGCGGACCGGATTCAAGTACATTGCGGGAAGCGTTTACGGTGATTTGAAGGAAACGGAGGATTCTTCTCACGGCCATTCGCCAAGCAAACCTGAGTTTCGCGCGACGGCAACCCTGAGCAGTCAGTCCAGCGGTGGTCAGGCCATGCTCTACAATTCCTGGGCTCCTCACCGTGACTTTCCTATGCCAGCAACGCAGTGGCCAAGCTATTCTCGAGACCCTCGATGGGAAGGATATCCAGAGCCACTCATGACAGAGACAGACCCTTACATCCAGTTCACCGAGGCCGCCTGGCGCCATCGAGGTGCCCGGTCGTCTCGAGAAGACGTGCCTATGCCCGACTATATCTCTAGTTCTACCAGCAGTCGTGCAATCTCAAGCATGACCGGGATCAGCTACGAACACAGCAAGCAGCCCAGCATCACCGCTCCTCTGAATGACGACCAGTACCATGAGCTGATCCAAGCCCTAACTCCCACCAAGGGACCGACCATCGGTACCCGTGCCCCGTCTAACACCCCGTCGGCCGTGATCACTACCGTGAAACCCTCTGCCGCCGCGGAGGCGCGCTCAGCAAGCTACGCCAGGACCAGTGGCCGTACCTCTGTTCTGCGAGAGATCTCACAGTCCAGCACTCGCGAAGTCTCCGGGTCAAGTCTGAAATCCAATCCCCAAGCCGAAAAAGAGGCAACGCCGTCAAATCTTGGCGTCAGTCCCAGTGGAAATGTGAAGAGCAAGAAAGAACGCACGAAGGAGCATATCAAGGAGACCCTCAAGGCGAGCACCATGGATATTTCCAAGGAAAACAACAAGGAGAACCCGAAGGAGAAGGAGAACGAAGCCGTGGAAATCGCGTAAGGGGAAGATACTGTTGGGCCAGTTTAGTTATTATTACCTTGCCCTCTTTATTTATAGCCTATCACTACCAAATGTCCCCGTTCTCAAGTGTATTAGTCTATGTGATTTTGCCTCAGGTCACACCTTCCCTTGACTTGTTTTCCTCTTTGCCTCCTCCGCTCCCACATCATCAAGTGTTTGTCTTTCCTTTGTTTACTCCTCTCTCTCCCCCTCTCTCTTGATCTATAGATCCTTTCCCACCACTCCCCTTCGCAATACACGTCGTTATCAAATGGCGACGCGAACCCCGGCTCAGAGCATCCCAGAGACAGGCTTGAAGCCTGTCTCTGCCGTATCTTCTGCTGCTCCTGCCTTTCCAACCCAAGATGACTCTACTACCAGAGTTGAAAGTAACCACGGGCTAGTCGTCACAAATCAGCAAACACCTGTGTTCGGCTGCCCATCCAACTTCACATCGGTGTTGGTTTCAAGGACTCTCGGGTCCACGGTAAGACCTGAAATCCAACTAACCTCAACTTCCTTCCAGGGCTGGCGTGAGAACAATAACAGCTCCTCTGGTTTGCTCGATTCCCGTGAAGACTGCATCGCTGGCGTGCCGTTGACCTCGTTCCCCGCGCCCCGGGATGCAAGCAGCGATTTGAAAAGCTTGCCCAATACAGCACAATCTGGTTTTGCTCAAGTGGCTCTGGGTAAACCTTTGTCCAAGCTTGAGCCCGACCAGATTTTCAATTTCCAGGCTCTATCTGCTCCTCGTCCTTCTCCAGACCGGGTTGACCAGAATCCCGAGAACTATCCCGAACCGGTACGTGTCACATCGTGAAGCAGATGAGTGGTGGCTGTTCGTTCTTTAGTCGGACAGTTGGCTGATTATTGAATAGAGTAGCCTGGGGTCTCTTGTCGTTGGGCAGTTGACTGCCAGCCAAGTGCTGTTTTATTTCGGTGTTCTTTCCATTATGGCTCGCCTGAACCCTCAATATCACTTCAAATACGGCGGTAGGGATGGGAGGAACATCGGAGCTAGGCTCACTCTCTATGGGCACACCATCCTTGTTCAGCCTACCGCGGAAACGGTATTGGAAGCTAAAGTCGCAGCATGTCGTGGAGCTCTCGAGGGCTTGCGAGAGTTCAACCCTCAGTGGCTGGTAGCGCCCCAGCCCATGGATCGTCCGACCAGCCCTGACTGGAACTGGGTTCAGATGCTTTATGGTGAGTTCCCTCTTTTATATCCTCTGAATGAAGAGTAGTTGATTAAGTGGGTAAATGAAGAGCATTGTGCTCAGCAACATTGGCCTGAGCCTATGTATCGGGACAGCAGTAACGGGTTCAGTTGGCACTGTGATGTAGTGGTCAATGACGGACTATTTCGCACCGCGCGGGGGTGCATCAATCTGTCGGAGGGACGAAATACAGTGGCCCATATGACCCTGTATCAGCTCCTTGTGGGACAGATTGGGCCTAATGTGTCCATACTTCCTCCTGATCCGTCATCATCCCCAATGGAGGAAGGCGAATTACGTCCCCACAAGGGTGAGCAGTATGGCATGATCCAAGGCTCGGGATTGGGGCATCAAGAAGACGGAACGCTTGATCAGCCTGTTTGCTCTGCAAAGGCGAAAACCTCCAATCCCTTGCCCAAGCAACTGCCGATACGCAGCAGGCGGGGGAGGAAAGCATCCTCCAAGGCCCAGTATTTTGCGCCTAACGGTAATGCAAATCTAATTCCTCTGGCCAACAGTCGGCTGGCTTCTATTAAGGAGCCGGTCCAAAAGAAGGAAGGCCCACTGGAAATGCTGAAGGCGATCCAAAAGGCACTGACCCAAATGCCCCGACAGGCTTCATATATGAGAGTCCTGGAAAGTAAGTCATGTGAAAGTTATTTTCTTTTTGCCTTCGTATGGTCGGCTGATAGCAGTATACTTCATCCATACAGAAATCTGCGATGTCCTTAATGCCAACTGCCCGACCATCCGCCGCGAAAAGAATATTTCCGATACTTCTGGGAATTCATATGTGGTCTTGGCTCGGTTCGACAACAGGAATCCTTACCTGAACCGCGCCAGTCCCATCTGGCTGGCTGAAGTCTCGAACCCCGACCCAGACTTAGCTCATGGTATCGGCGTGAAGAAGCTCATCCTGTGGCTTCTAAAGATGGTCAAAGAGGATTCCGGGGTGACCAAAAAGGCTTACAATCGCGAGCTGGCATTTCTGAAAAAACTCGAGGCCGAAGTCGAAAACCGCCTGCGTCGTTGAAACCACAGATGTCGAAGTTTGGGTGCCAGGTGCACGTTTGTCCCTTGTTCGTTTACTTGAATGTGGAGTGTTTGTCTTTCAGTTCTGTGAGAGTCTGCAGACAATATTGTTACGGGCATGACTATGTTGGGTGTGATGTTGCGACGTGTTGAGTAGATAGCATTCCAAGGCTAGGGTATCGAGTCTATGTACAAGTCTCGACACTGGTTTCCCTCTCTTTTAACAAATCGTCACAGTATTATTCTCCCTTGGGCATGTAATACAACGGGTGCCAAAAGTTTGGGTATAGCACTCCACTTTAGCAAAATCTATATTCTAACCCCTTTTTCTGTTCTCTCTACTATACCCAATACGCCATATTTTGGTACCTAAATTAGTGCGAATTGTAGGCAAAACAATGAACCATCAAAACCCACGCGCGTAATAATTATTTTTGCTCTCGAAAATGGCTTAAGTCCCACTAAAATCGCTCGCGATTTGTACCTTAGCCACACTACAATTTACCGGACTCGCGATTGCTTTGAGTAATACTATACTCTTAAATCATCGCCTAGAAGTAACAGACCTTCTAAGATCAGCGACTAGACTATTCGATATATCTATCGGATAGTCTATCGGATAGTCTATCGGAACCCACGAATAAGCTATAGAGCCCTCGGAGCGAATACCCCTTATTTACCCTCTCGATCAACAATTCGACGCGTTTTAAAAGGCTATCGGTTTCGAAAATATAAAAACAAGAAGTAAATACCTTTATTAAAGCCGGTTATATATAAAAAAAAACGCGTTTTTGCACGCGAATAGGCGAGTTTTTTGGATTAGGAGAATCTAATCTTTTCTGACGAACATTCAGTCTAACGAATATTGAAGTCTAGGGTCTAATTTATCATTCGATTTATCTCCGAGGCCTACCGAAGCGATCTTGTGAATCTTCTTAGTCATAGAAAAGATATTTCACAGATAGTTTGGGCTAGAATCTGGATTAGTGGTCGTTTAAAGATAATGATCATAAATCGCGATAAAAACGCTCCTCGACAAGGTTATACTACGAATTCTTATCTCAATACTCTTAAAGAGGGTCTTTTGCTAATCTATAGGCTAGGCTTAATATTCCAGCAAGATAATACGAGAGTCTATGTGGCTGATATCTTATAAGAGTGGTTCGAAAATCATAGAATTTAGGTTTTAAACTGGCCTTATTCGCCTAACCTTAACCCTATCGAACTAGTATAGCGGTTTTTGAAGCTTAAAATCCTTTAATTATATCCTTAGCTAGGTAATAGAAGGTCTAAATGAGATTAGGAGGTCTTTAAAAAAGCTATATACGACGCTTAGGATCAGCTTAATCAAAACGCTATTAATAACCTAATTCGGTTTATACCGCGTAGGCTTGCCGCTGTACGCACCGCGAAGGGTTAGTATACTAGATATTAATCTCTTTTTTTAGTGTATTTAGTATAAAGTTCTAATATATAATATTAGGGGAGTTATTCGGGTTTTAATATAGTAGGGTAAACCTGAATTATAGAGTGTACCCAGACTTTTGGCCGCGTAGTGTAAGCAAGAGACCACGACTCCTAGCTTCGGACTTATTTCATGATGAATACATAGCCCCTACATCCTATCCTATCTTATTTTCTCCCAGTCCTACCCAAGCAAACAGGGAATCGAGTCGTCTGATCCAAGAGGGAAAGAGCAGAAGATTATAAGAATTGAGATCAATAAGAAAGAAAAGGAAAGGAAAGGAAAAGCGAAACGTGAGGCATTCGGTTGATCAAAGTAGAGGAGAGGTAAAGGGGAGTCAAACTGCCAGAGGCAAAGGACGTCCAGGAGCTGTGACAAAAGGAACACGGGCAAGAAAGAGAGATAGAGAGATAGAAGAATCCAAAGCATGAGTACTTGAAGGCAAGAACAAGAAAAGAAAACGCATACTGGGAGTATCAACTTGGGAAAGCAAGGATTAAAGTAGCCACCGCCAGGGGAGAGAGAGTAATCATAGTAGTAATAGAAAGAAGAAGCGAAGAAAACTCGTAGGTCACAGTGCACTTAATCTCGAATACAAAGAAGATCCAGGCAGTCCAAGCGTCACTTTTGAGGTGCTGGCTTCGAAGGGGAGAATGGGATCAACAGATACGCCAACGCCAGTCTCATAGCAGCATATGCGCGCACACACACACCAGATAATAATAATAATAATAATAATAAGGCAACAAAACAGCCGCAAAACAAATCGAGTATCCGCGAATCCGCACTGGAGTGATGATCAAATGTACAGAAACCAAAAAAGCAAGGGTATATCGGAGGTGAAGAACCGTTAATGACTGGTATACGTTCACATAGGGTCGCCGGCCCCCGTTTCAACACCATCGGGGTAGGATATGTTGGGATCAAACCCGAATGTAGTTGTGTCCGCATCTGTGTTAAGGAACGTGTCAAAGTCAAAGTTCTCGAGCAGATTAGGGTCATCCAAGGCCCTGAAGTCGAGGTCGAAGGCGGAGGGCTAAGATCCAGGTCAGTACCCATGTTAGGTCGTGAAAGAAGAAAGAAGAAACATACATCAGGGATGCTGAGGTCATTGAAAGGTTGCTGGGTCTGGTCCGGTGGAGGTTGGACCAATTGTTGAGGAGCGGGTGCCGAAGTGGGCTGCGGCGCAGTTGTAGTCGCATTGGCCCCGGCCTTGTTGAAGGAGTTAGGATGTTGGGGTGTGACGGGCGTCGACGGGGTCTGGTTGGCATCCGCCGTCTCGGTGGACGGGGTGGCAGCTGAGGCCGCATTGGCTGCAGCCGAATTCTTCTTGGTGGGCCGCTTTGATTGAGATTCAAGTTAGCAAACGAGGGTACGTGAGAGACCAGGCTCTGGGGAACGACGTACCTTGCGGGTGTCCTTGCCGTCCTTCTTGCCCTTTGGAGCAGGCTTGTTAGCCTGCTGGGGCGTGGGAGGCGCATTCCCAGTGGTCTGAGGCGACGCCGGGGTGCGTCCAGCATTGGCACCAGCCGCAGGCGGTGCCTGCGGCGGGGGCATCGCGCCCCGTTCCTGGGGAGTACCGGCCTGAGGCTGGTTCGCCGGCGAGTGCTGGGGCGGGATCGGCTGTTGTCCGGGCTGCCACTGCCCACTAGGCATGCGGTTGGCCGCGTTGGCGGGCAACGGTTGACCCATCTGGGGCCCAGTGAAAGCGGGGTTGGAGCTCGGAGGGCGCATGTTCGGACCAGGGAAGAACGGAGCTGCCATATCCGGTGGCATTTGACCACCGTTGAGGTTCATCGATCCTGGCGATCCTCGGTTCTGGGACATGGCGTCGGCGGCACTTGGCGATCCGGGGAGACCGCTCTGAGGCATCTTGGGCGTGCCTCGTTTCATTTGTTCGCTGGGGTTCGGAGATGCACCCGCCCTACTACCTTGGGGAGAAGTGCCTGGTGGCAAACCTTGCTGCCCGGGCATCGGGGGCTGGCCATCAGTACGGGCCATGCTATCCTGCTCTTGACGAGCCATCATCAAACGTCGCTTATTCTGCTGCTCCAGCAACATAAGCTGCATCTGATAATCCTGGAGAGCATGGTTGCCGTGCTGACCGCCAGGTGTGGCCATCCCGGGTCGGACCTGTGGCATCTGCCCGTTCGAGCCGTAGTACTCAGGACCCATGGGGTACATTCCTTGGCCGTCCGGCATCGGCACCAGATCCGCCTGATTCGACATCACACCGGGATTCATCATACCACCATTCGGCATACCCTGGGAATTCAATGCTGAGCGCGAGTGATGAAGGGCCAAGTTTTGAGCATATACCTGCATGGATTTCTGTTGCGCCGCTTGTCCCTGCTGGAACTGCTGGAACTGCGCTGGGGTCATTCCTCTCTGGGCCATTCCATTCTGCATCAGCAACTGCTGTGGAGTCGGCTGTCCAGGCATTCCTTGTCCCTGGCCACGTCCATTGGGTGCTAATTGCTGTCCGTTGGCCGGACCACCTTCAATGCGTGGGCGTTTCGACGGCGATGGGGCATTGTCTGCGGATGCAGGTGACTGCGGTCGATGCCCGTTCATGTCCACTTCAGGCTGGTCCCGCTGCATCTGCTGCATTAATTGCATCTGCTGGGTCTTTTGGAACTGCGCTATCTGATGTTGCGATCTGTAGCAAGAGTGTCAGTATCGTAAGCGCCAATCAAGCATACACCAATCAAGCATACAGGCCGGAAGTGTTGTTTTGTAGCACTGTCTTTTGCAAATTAGGGGGGACCATGCCGTTCCGTCCTCGCATGTTTAGCGGGCCCATTTGACCAGGCATCAAGGGCTGCTGTCGCAAAAGTTGATTGTGCTGCTGTTCACGCATACGCATGAGATTCTAAAAATAGATAAGCATGATGAACCGGCTATAGTGGTGGCAGGCACAACGACAACGTACCTGGGTATGTTGGAGATACTGCCTCACGTCATTGCTGTTGCCCTTCTTGCGTTGGGCCCAGAAAAAGTCCCAGAAGAGGCTGAACCAGTCCAGGAGAAATGATGACTGCTGGCTTTCACTGGGGAGACTGGGGCGAGGGAGGCCATCTGGGATCTTAATCTTCTCGCCGTCCTTCCCATCAGTCATCATGGGATCACCGTCGATCCCATTCATCTCGCTGTCCCGCCGGTTACCAGGACTAGTGTTGGAGTCGGTGTTGAGCTTGATGGATTCATCCTGCACAAGGGCACGTGCACAGTCATGATATCCACGTTTCAAGAAGTAATCATAGATGTAGGTGTTGAGGTTGTTGATCATAATCTCAGGATTATTCATGTTGCCATCATTACGAGGAGCCGTGGAGCCGTTGTTGATCATGGGGACACCCCCCACGGGACCCCCAGCCCCGGGGTTCATCCCAGCGACATTCATCGGGTTCATGGTGGCGAACGAGGGGACCTGCTGTCACCCTTGTCTAAATTGCTATTTGCGACTCAAATCCAGAAGAGAAAAGGCCGGCGCGCCGTCTCAAGCGATCAGGGCTCACGTGGGGTGGAGTAGAAGCGACGCGTGGGAATGTGGAGGTGAAGGAGTCGGCACCACCTTGGAGTCGATCTCAGCAACGCGTATGGAATGAGCGCGCAAGCTGAATGGGTCTATTATGGCAGAAGTCAAGCCTGCAATAGAAGCCCAGGGAAAGATATACCGCCAGAGAGGACGCGGATGAAAACGAGGGGATCAAGGCTCGGGAGGGCGACGATAGTCTATGGGCTCGACTGCAAAAAGGGATGAGCGACGGTCGACACGATGAAGCAACAAAATGCGCGATCAATAATGTCTGAGTGATGACGGAGCAGGGAGGCGGGAAGTGCGCACAACCGGGGAGGTTGGGATGGGGGCGCTGCCAGACAAGCCCGATCGGGCAGATTTGCGGACCACAGACAAAGAATTTGGCATGCAAAAGATAAGATAGGAAAGGTAGAGAAAAAGACAAGAAAAGAAAAGAAAAAAAAAAAAGAGAAGCCCAACTCAAGAGGGGGAGAAAGACTCCAAGGGGAGAGGACGAGATGTGGATCTCACAGTAGAAGGGGAGGACGGATTGAGAGGGAGCCGGGGGGGGTCACGACAGGCGCTGCACTCTGCGGGAGAATCGCTTGTTCGGAGCGGATCAACCTGATCGGAGGTCGGGGGCGGCGCTGTCAGGCGTATTTCTGGGCATGCAATCTGATCGGGCCCATTGAAATGTGCAGTCTGAAGCACCGGGGAAAAGGGGAGGAAAAGCAGTCAGAGGGCGAGGCGAAACAGAATATGAGGGAAGAACAAATGCGTCGGGAAAAGAGAATAGACCGGGAAGGGAAAAAAAAAGACCAGGAGGATATGATACCTGTGATGGGCCCTGCGATGGATCCCAGCGGGAGTCTAAAAAAGTAGGGTAAGCCACCCACCCGCGACAACGGAGGCTGGACAAGTTAGAGATCGCGCGATCCAGATGATCGAACCAATGGACAGGAACAAAATTTCCCACAAGCAAAGAAGGACCAGAGAGAAAGGGGGTGGGATGGGGAAAAGAGAAGGGAAATTGATCTGTAGAGAAGAGAAAAAGGCGAGGGGCGGAGATCAAGTGGTACAGTTGGTCTGTATGTCAGTACCCAGCAATACGGTATTGTGTCCGGTCATTGACAGAAGTATACATTTCTCTCCAGTGTTTGACCTTTTCTCTCTCTAATTTTTATATAGTCCTTCTTTGTTCTATATTGGTTGTGGTCTTTTCTTGTCTTTTCTCGTTCTTTCTTTCTATCTTTCTATTTCTTGGGGATGCGCTAGCCAAGCAGAGCGCGCTACGTTTGGCTGTAGAGCAAAGCAATGCGCTCTTTAGCAGTGTGCGCAGAACTAGCACATCTTTCTTTCCTCCTTTTGATCCTTTCCAATTCCCATATATATATATATATATATATATTCTATATGCATGATAGTTTTCTTATTTTTTCTTCCTCTTCAAAGAGCAAGTTCTTGCTTGAATTCGCTCAATGGCGCGCTGAGATAAGATCCAGATAGTGGTATTGTCATGGTAATACAGGAATGATTGCCAGCGGGAGGATACAACGAGATCGACGAAGGGAAGCCGATCATGCCATTCCACTTGACTGATCACGTCCCCGACAGGGCTGTCCCGCCGTCATGGTTCATCTGGCTATTTAACTCAATAATCATGGGGGGAAAGACAATCCAAGTCTACGATGCCATAAATCAATCGCATGGCATTTCTAACATATACATCAGAAAAAGAGAATCAAGTAAAGCTGGAAGCATTGGAGAAACACGAAGTATAAAGTCAAACGATCTTCGATCGGCTTCGGAACAGATCCAAAAAGAAGAAATTCCCCCGGAACGCCGTCATCTGGATACTATGCACACAATGGTCGCCTCGTTAATCCTCTTCCGGTGGCATCTCGTCTTCGATGTATCGTACAAGTGAGACCCGCATCTCGGTGGTGTCGTCGCCTCGCAACACGTCACTCACAAAGTGAGCCTCGATCTGCATTTGAACCTGGAATATTCAAGTCAGCGATCAGACCCAGGACAAGGGAACCTTATGATGCGTACCATCTCCAAAGCCCCGCGGAGCACGCCGCACAAGATGTTGGAGAACCAGAGTTCATCCTGGGCCCGCCCATCATCTGGAAGCTCCACAAAGTCGGCCAGAGGGTTTTCCTCAAATATGAGGGAGAACTGGTTGTTGTCGCTCGCCCAATTCGTGACTGTCGGCGTGACATTCAGAAAGATCTTGAAGCCCACCTAATGGAATGGTCAGCCGCCCTGCCCCTTTTATATTTCCCAATCCATGCCTCCCAGAAGCCTCTCACGCACCTTGGCAACCATATCAGCGGTCTCCCGGAAGTTGGCGCATCGACCCACGCCAGACTTGGCCAGAAAGTCCTCAATCAACCGCATGCCAATACTGTAACCCATCTTGTCCAGCTGCTTGTTGACTTCCTGGTAGTCACTATCATAGTCTTGGCATAATTGAGCCACAATTGTTCCGTAGGTTAATGTGACCAGCTCCGCGTTGACTTTATCGACCCTCGTCCTGAGTAGACCCGGGTTAGTCCCGAAGGCGATGACGGTACAACAGCCAGATCAATTGACAATGGCGTTGCAATCCACCCCGTAGGGCCATTCAGCTTACTGACTTCCAAATTCTGCAAAGATGATATTAGCGGGGACGGTCCTAAAACGAGCGCCTCTCGGCTTCACGCACTCTTCTCCTATTCTTGAAGCCTTCGTCGATGACATCTTGCTTCATGTACTGACCAGCTGAAAAGTCGGTCGAAGATGACAGAAATATCCAGTATCCTGACACGTACACACAACAAATGCGACAAGTCAGTTAGTGGCCAAGCTGGTTGATTGTGGGGGGTGGTAGTTCTAGAGTTAGTTGGGCTGTACACTCCTCTCTCACCGCCGAGCAGAAGTGGGATTATCGTTCTTCCCGACCTTTGGAATCTTGTCGCAGACCAACCCTCGCTCTTGTCTTCCTCTTGCTCGTCGCTATTTGACCTTCGCTTTTCCGTTCATTTGTACCTTATCACCTCCAGCCTGCCCATCGGCCATGTCTGGAGAGAAACGCCCGGCCCAAGAGGCCTTCGGGTCTTCAAGCCAGCTCGTGGTCAAACGAAAGAAGTCCGATGCCGACCTCAACCCCAGCGCAGTCGTCAAAAGCTCGTCGCAAAATGGATCTCTCGTCCAGGCCGTATGTGGCATATAGTCACCAGATATCAAGGGAAGAAGACTGGCTAATCTGAATCTGCAGGTTCCTCGAACCAGTGGGCTGGATGCCCCCATTATGGAACTCACCGGTAAAGCGCTATTGCCAATTACTATATGGGTATGAGCTCACAGAAGAGAAAAATGCAGGCCATTCAGGGGAAGTCTTTACAGTACGGTTTGACCCGACCGCCCAACACATTGCATCCGGTTCAATGGACCGATCCATTTGTATGTCCCGTCCAACCATCCACCTCGGCCGCTGTTACTGACTATGATATGTGTGGGGTAGTGCTGTGGAACACTTATGGCCAGTGTGAAAACTACGGCCAATTGATAGGCCATAAAGGCGCGGTTTTGGACCTGCAATGGTCGCGCGATTCACGAGCGCTTTTCTCGGCGTCGGCGGACATGACCCTCGGGAGCTGGGATCTCGAGACTGGACAGCGTGCACGCCGCCATGTCGGCCACGAGGAAATCATTAATTGCCTTGATATCAGCAAGCGAGGGCAGGAGTTGCTGGTCAGTGGCAGTGATGACGGGTGCATAGGCATTTGGGATCCGCGGCAGAAAGATGCCCTCGATTACCTCGAGACTGAACTCCCCATCACAGCGGTCGCTCTCTCTGAAGCTGGGAACGAGATTTATAGCGGTGGGATTGACAACACGATTCATGTGTGGGACCTCCGGAAGAAAGCTATCGTCTACTCGATGACTGGGCACACCGATACCGTCACATCGCTGCAGATCTCACCCGACTCACAAACCTTGCTTTCCAACTCTCACGACTCGACAGTCCGGACATGGGACATCCGGCCCTTTGCCCCAGCCAATCGGCAGGTGACTACGTACGATGGCGCCCCCGCCGGGCTGGAGAAGAACCTCCTCCGGGCCAGCTGGGATCCCAAAGGTGAGAAGATCGCCGCAGGGAGCGGCGACCGCAGTGTAGTTGTATGGGAGGCCAAGACTGGGAAACTCCTGTACAAACTCCCCGGTCACAAGGGCACAGTCAACGACGTGCGATTCTCCCCTAATGATGAACCGATCGGTAGGTCTCTTTGACTCGGGATCTGAGTGAACACTGTGCTAATGTTTTTCCCAGTTGTTTCATGCTCGTCTGATCGTAACTTGATGCTCGGGGAGCTGGGGAAGTGAGTGTGAAAAGGGAAGGGTCTGAATGCTGTCATGATGTATCGGGCGTCGAATTGATTTCTTCACATATATCCTGGGCTCTGCGGTTGCTCCGGACACCAAACTCCGGTCGACCAGCGAAGGTGGAATCGAGCCTTTGCGACTTGGAAACAACCCATCAACCCGCGTGGTTGTACTGCGACCCACGGAGGCTTCAGATGTCACCTGTACCTCTATCGAGCCACATAAGGGTGAAATGTACACTATAATTTTGCATCACATTGTCTCGTTGTTTCCCTGATCGACCTGGTAGATCGAGGCAGGAACGGTTCTTGCTGAGTTCTGCTCTTCTCGCATCGCCTCTGCACCAGTCTGTAAGCATCATTTGGAACTTTCGTCTTCAAGAGTGTGTTACCCTCCACGATCTCCTTATCGCAACAGCATTACCGCAGCCTTGATACCGCGATGTTGAATTCTCAAGAAATCGTGAGGTGGAACACATTGGTCAACCATGGGCTTTTTGCTGTCATGATCCTCTGCGTGATTCGTGAGGTCCTTGAATAATATTGATTTGGTGTCAAGTACTAACCTATCGAGAGCAGACTGTGCATTGTCTCTGGGCGACCTGATCTTCGAATGGGGAACCCCTCTCTCCGTATATTATGTGCTTCTGGTCATTGATGCCTTCGTGTTTGCCGCTCTGGGCTACTGCTGGGTTCGGTTCATCCGAGTCTCTGGCCATCCCACCTTCCTGAGATGTTCAGCCGCAAGACAAGAGGCCTCTGTAGAGCAGGGGTCTCCTACCGAAATGTTTGCTGTCGACACAGCACCCCCCAAATACAGTGGCACCGACCCAGAGGCATGGCGTCCTGGGGTCCACGCTGGTGCCGGTTCTGAATACTGAGACGACTGGCACAAACCCCCGAAGCGTGATACCTGTGGGCCACCGCTATGGTGATCTGTTCTGCGACAGTTCGAGTGCTATGGACTGTCTGCAATCATGTTCGAGAATCAGCAGTGATATGGTTCTTTGGATCGATGAAAGGATTAATGAGAGCTAGGAACGTATACTTAGCAATTGAATCCATGAATATCCGAGTCTCGCCTGAGTATATGTTCCAGTAGTCTTGGAGCATTCGCCAACCCTGGAAGTATACATTCCCAGTCACTTCTCAGCGACCGCGGCGCTCTATGTAGTACGCGCAAAATCAGTGTATCTAATCGATGTATTTTTCCCTTGTCTTCAAGAGCTAACTAGATTTTATCTTTTTTTATCCTATCTTATTTTATATGATATTCTGTATAATACTTTTTTAAGATGTTATTTAAACTATGCTGTCGGGCATGATGCAATCGGGTTCATGCGCGAAAATGGCTTATCTGGCCGTAGCCGACCTCTCCGCCTTTCTCCCCAAACAAACCCTGGGTGGCCTTGCTCAATTCATCCCCAGGATTTTCCCAGAGTGGTCTTTGAGCGACAGACCTCTCGTCCGATCATTCCATGCCCCCTGTGGCCGCAAGCTTTGTTTGGTGATGCGCCCGCGATGTGGCAGCTTACAGATGTGCAACCTCCGATCTGCAAGGCTCATGGTGGTCTGGGCCATCCTGCTGTCATGGCTGACGCTGGCCCAAGGCATGCGAGGCCATCAGATTAAAGAGTTGAGGTGCGCGGTATTTGAGAAAGGGTTCTTTGTGTCTTGATTCGGGCTGACCTCTCTCTACAGACAGGAAACAGAACGCATGTTTTACCACGGCTTCGAAAACTACCTCGACCATGCCTACCCCGAAGACGAGCTGCGCCCTTTGACCTGTGGCCCTCTGGTCCGTGACGAGCAAAACCCGGAACACAATGATGTCTTGGGCAACTACTCCTTGACCCTCATTGACAGCTTATCGACTCTGGCGATCCTTTCGTCGAGCCCGGAAAGTGGTGATCGAGCCTTGGCGCATTTCCAGGATGGAGTAAAGGAGTTTACAAGGCTCTATGGAGATGGGTCGTCTGGCCCTGCTGGTCAGGGAGAGCGATCAAGGGGGTTCGATCTCGACAGTAAGGTGCAGGTGTTTGAGACTGTTATTCGAGGACTCGGTAGGTCTCCCCCTGCCCACGAAGTATTTCCCTTGTTTACGTTGAAGTTCCCCCATTGCTAACGCCCTGCACAGGCGGACTACTCAGTGCTCACCTCTTCTCCGTCGGCGAACTCCCCATCACCGGATACAATCCATCAAAACAGGAGGCGAATTTCGCGAGGGCGTGGGATAAAAGTGACTTCTCCAAGGCCGATCATGGCATACCATGGGGGAATGGATTTGTTTATGACGGTCAGCTGCTCCGACTTGCCGTCGATCTGGCGAACCGTCTTCTCCCTGCCTTTTACACAGAGACCGGTCTCCCGTATCCTCGGGTGAATCTACGACACGGGATACCTTTCTATGAGAACTCCCCTCTCAATGCCAATTCCGGAAGGGATGGCGAGAATGGACCGCGGAAAAGAAAGCCCAGGTACCTGGCAACGTCAGAAGTCACTGAGACTTGCAGCGCCGGCGCTGGCAGCCTCGTTCTCGAACTCACCGTCCTGAGCAGGCTTACCGGCGATGGCCGGTATGAGGACTTGGGCAAGAGGGCATTTTGGGCGGTTTGGACACGCCGAAGTGAGATCGGCTTGCTCGGGTTTGGAATCGATGTAGAGTCAGGAGATTGGGTAGGGCCATATTCGGGGGTAAGCCACCATGCCAGAGAACTGCGATGCAGTCACACGGCGTTAACAAATCTATAGATTGGTGCTGGGATTGACAGCTTTTTTGAATATGCCTTCAAATCCCACGTCCTCCTGTCCGAAGGAGAGCGGCTGCCTTTTGATTCCAACAGCCCATGGGAGGCACTGGATGGCTACTACGCGCCCTTGACTGATTACCAACACTCGCCGGAAGCCTTCTTGCAAGCCTGGGAGGAATCCCATGCCTCAATCAACCGTCACCTGTACCGGGGCGAAGGATACCAGCATCCTCATCTTATTGTCGGGGATGTGCTGACTGGTGCCACCCGAGCCTTCTGGATTGACAGCCTGAGTGCATACTATCCAGGTCTTCTTTCTTTGGCCGGGAGAGTGGATGAGGCCATTCAGATTCATCTGCTGACGACCGCGATTTGGACGCGCTTCTCGGCTCTCCCTGAGCGCTGGAATGTGGCAACGGGCGACGTCGACAACGGTCTTGCGTGGTACGGAGGCCGGCCCGAGTTCATCGAGTCCACTTACTACATCTACCGCGCAACCAAAGATCCCTGGTACCTACATGTGGGAGAGATGGTGCTACGGGACCTTAAGCGACGGTGTTGGACCAAGTGTGGTTGGGCCGGTCTGCGGAATGTCCATACCGGCGAACTCATCGACCGGATGGAAAGCTTCTTCTTGGGCGAAACCGCCAAGTATATGTTCCTGCTCTTTGACCCAGACCATCCGCTGAATAAAGTCGATGTGCCGTGGGTCTTCTCCACTGAAGGCCATCCTTTGGTTATTCCCAAGAAGGCGGCCGCGTCACAACGGCCCCGTCGCCGGCGGCACCAGTCGTCGCCATCGGCACCCAAGCTTGCGGAAGGCATCTGTCCAGCCAGCCCTCTTCCACCGACTTTTGGCGGGTCTTCTACTGCGTCTCGTTCCGATCTCTTCCACGCTGCCAGCTTGGCCCGCTTAGATCTCATGCCCGATCGAGGAGCGGTTGAGGGCCCCATCTTGGAGGATTCTCCCAAGCATCCGAGCGTTTCCGTGTCTGACCTGTTGTCACCGACCAACTACACATTCTACCCTTGGACGTTACCTCCTCAGCTGGTCCCATTTGACGCCACCAGTGCACCGATGGCCATTCGGCCCTCATTCGATATCTCATTCCCATCACTCCCCGGTGGGATCAACCTAGGACCTGGGGCATTGGAACGGGTCCAGGATGGGATCTTAGTTAAAACGGTTGGAGGGCTCCGATTGAGTATGGTTCAAGATGGGTCGTTGGAAGAGCCAGCGTCTGGTTCCGAGGACAAGGACGACGGTTACCGGGTACAGGTGATCAACAACGTTCCTCTAGGGAAAGATGAGAAGGTATTCCTCTCTCGCCAGATCACCTTTGATGTCGTCGATCCCTATGACCCAAATTTTACCCGGATTCGCGACTCCAACATGCTTGACCTCGTCATTGACGTTCTCCCAGAGCCCTCTCGCCGAAGCAATGGTTCTCCTTCTCCACGAGCTCAGCAATCTCCAACAAAGCATTCAAAAACTCAGCACGGCCACCACCAACCCAGCCCCCAGTCGACGCTGACGCCGTCGACTCTCCCGAATCCTCCATGAAAGCTATGCTGTCGTCATTTATTAGTTCAGTTTCAGCTCTACTCCGTGACGAGCCCGCCGAAACCACCCCACTTCGACTCAGTCTCCCTGCCACCATTTCCAGTGGTATCGGAGCGGGCCCGCTCCCGGAAGTTGAGGACGCAATCACGACGTCGCTGTTCGGTGGTCCGTCCCATACCTCCCTGTCCTGGTCCACGATCTACTTCGCTGGCGAGATCTGTGACGAGCGGGTTCTGCGCGACGTCGTCCAGAGCCACGAGGTGCTCGTCATAAAACGTGGTGGCTGCAGCTTCTCCCACAAACTACGCAACATCGCCGCTTACCGGCCATCGCGCACCGCCTTGAAGCTTGTTGTAGTGGTTTCATACGAAGACGAGAACGGTGATCCAACCCCCTCGGCTGGGGACTCTTCGGGGCAAAAGGAGAATCGGGCCAAGTCCGGGCCGTCTCTTGCGGCCTTCCGCGCTGAGTCCTCCCTCATCCGCCCGCATCTCGAGGAACCCCAGATGACCGCAAGTGGCATTCCCCGCCGCCATTTGGTTAGCATGGTCATGGTCGGCGGCGGCGACGAGACGTACGAGCTCCTGCGCCGTGTGACGGGCATCGGCATCAAGAAGCGGTATATGATGCACTCGCGTGGCATACCGATCACGAACTTGTATATCTTGTGATTGTCCTTTTGCTTGGGTTAGAAGGGTTTGGAGTCTTGCATTCTCAGTTTGTGTGCATATAGGTCATAGGTTTGAAGATAGCCCGGTATATACCATGGCGTGGGGAGTTGCTCATGATAACTCGAATTGATATTTAAAGCTCGTCATGACAGGCTTGAAAATAAAGGCGATAATAGAACAAGAAGATCTATGTTTCAGCCATCGATTGAGTACCCATATACGGTATACTTTAGCCCTAAGCCCCGATGTGCCAATTGACAGTCTTTCATTTCACATCAAGTTCCCTGTTAAAGCTTTGCCACCGGCGACTGCATCTCTGCCTGAACCTTCTTCCACGATTCAATTCCTCGCCGAGCCGCAGAAGCCGGCTGGACAGCAGGATCCCGCATACGACGGTCAAAGACTTCGAGAGATACCCAACCGGCAAACCCCTTCTCGACAATCCATGCCCTCGCGATCTCCGACACAGGCAGGTACCCGCCCAGGTGAGTCTCCAGCGGGAACGGCCTCGCATGCTTGGACCAAGTAAACTGCGAGGCTTCTCCGGGGAGGTACCAGGGGTGTGACGGCGAAAAGGGTGGGTCGAATCGCTCGCCGTCAGACAGCTGCACATAGAAGATCCTGTCGAGCGGACACTGCGCTATAAATCGACGCAGCGAGTCCCGCAGGACACTGTCTGCTTGCGGGTACTTTCCCGGCACAGCCCTGGAATCGGCCCACAGCTTCGTCGCCTCGTGGAACGTGTCTAGACACAGTCCGAAGTTCGGACGGTCCACGGCTTCCACTACGTGCAGGGCCGCCTCCCACGTGGAGATATGTGTTCCCCACGAGAGGGCCTCGTAGGCAATCGATACCACCGGCTGCGCGGCGCGGCCGAGATCTGCTAGCTGCTGCAGCTCCGAGATGACCACGCGTTCGTCGCCCGTGCAGTCGTGGCTATACTGCGACGGGATCTGGAGGTACGGTGCTCGCAAGACCCGGGCAATCTCCATCCACTGCCGGGCAACGCTCAGTCGCTCGGCCAGAAGTGAGTTGTGGCCTTCGTAGTTCTCGAAGGGCGCCAGCGACAAAATCTCTAGTTGTGATTCTTCGCAGATGACTCGTATCTGCTCTGCACCTTGGATGATGGGGAGGTTCTGGGATTCGGCGTATGCATTCAGGTCTGAGAAGACGATCTCGATGCCGGCATATCCATTCTGCGCGGCGGCTCGGATTTTCTGGTCCAGTGGGTGGCTTGAGTGCTGGCTCAAGGAAACACTGCTGATTGCTAACTTGTTGGGAGCCATTGTGACAGAAGGAGCTGTTTAGATATTATCGGAAATGTCTAGCTCTCTGAGTCCTGGGGAGTGTCCTGCGTGAAGTATGTCTAGCGGAAGTTGGTTTCCGGGGGGATCGCTGGAGAAGCACTCCGAGTATGGACATGAAGTGGCTGGAATTGTTGGAGCTCTGGTGTCGATCACAATGCAATCGGATGCTCTGTTGTTTGTTCAGAAAATAATTCGAGGGATGAGTTGCTGTGTGGTGACGAAGTATATAAACCTGAAGCTCACCTGTATTGTAGACCTCAGTAGATAAGTTTCCTACAAAATAGTAAATAACAACACCGTGGAAACTACTAGTACAATAAAGAATGGTCCAGTAAAATACACCCATCCAAAAATTCATTCAAGAGTATTCAAGCATTGAAGAAAGCAAGGAAAGCAGAGAAGGGCACCATCGAGTTTACCCGCAGCCGGATGACACCAAATGTTGACAGACTAAGCACCTACTCACATCTTCTCTACTCTCTCTCCACACGCTCTCTACAACCCTCATCTCACTCACCATGCATATCAACATAGGCCTCGGGCCCAAATCTGAGACCGTTCTCCCGGTTTCAACCAACACCGACGCAGATACTCTCCATGGAAGCACCCGGGCCGAGACCAAAGCCGACTCGAAACACCTCTATTTCGCCTACGGGTCCAACCTCTCACCAACCCAAATGGAGCACCGCTGCACCTTTAACCCCACGCTCTCCGCCAAACCCGTCGCCATCGCCCTCCTGCCAAAATGGCGCTGGCTAATCTGCGAGGCCGGCTACGCCAACGTCCTCCCGCCCGAGGGCATGCGCATCGGGCCACAGGACTCGGAGCTAGCGCAGAAGGTCCCCATCTCGGGTGCGGAGGATGCAGTTTACGGGGTGCTCTATGAGATGGACCCCCGCGATGAGCAGATCCTCGATGTATACGAGGGCGTGGACCCGTGTGCGGATGAGACGGACGGGTCGGCGCCTGTTGGGCCGGCTGTGCGGCCGCGCAACCAGGGCGAGGGCTCCTACAACAAATGGTATGTCTCGGCGCCTGTTGTCCAGTGGCTCCAGCCGCCGCCCGAACCTCGGGATGAGGTGTCTGTGTTGGTGTATGTCGATGAGGAACGGGTTTGTCTTGCGCCGCCCAAGTTTGAGTACATCGCGCGCATGAACCGTGCTATACGGGAGGCGGAGGGCTTGGGGGTTCCTGCACATTGGATTCGTAAGGCTATGAGGAGGTTTATCCCCGATCAATGAATGATACCTGTGTTTTACAATCTATGCATACACATTGTTTACTTAAATAGAGGAAAAGTTCCCGTGGAATTGGCATTAGTTGTATCAACGTCACACATCCGTCGAGTCACATTGCATAACATATAAAAAAAAGGTATCTGTCTATATTGGTTGGGTCGGGATTCGTGTCAAAATCAAGTGGCAGCGGTGGGCCGCTCTTTTCCAGCATGGGGACAGGTGCTGCGTAGGTCGAGAGCAGACCCCGAAGGTCATTCGGATTGTGTTTCATTAAGCGGACGCGGGGCACACGAAATCCAGAGCAGACGCGAATGCTCAGATTCGGCGATACCGGTCATCGCGAGAACTTTTTTTTATTGTTGGGGTGAGAGGGGGGCCAAAAGAATTAAGCCTGGCCCGTGAGAAGCGTGTAGACTGGCGCAGAGAGCTTCTCGCGTCCCTTGAGGAATTCGAGTTCGAGGATAAAGATGAAGCCCAACAAATCGCCGCCCATCTTCTTGATCAGTTCGCCTGCAGCGTAGGCAGAACCACCTAAGTCGTTGGTCAGTATTCTGAAATAGAAAGAAAAGAAGACAGAGGTAGTGGGACATACCAGTGGCGATGATGTCGTCAACGACAATCACCTTCTGGCCCGACTTGACGGCATCGGATTGCATCTGGAAAAAGTCCTGACCGTATTCCTTGTCGTAGCCCTGGGTCTCGCAAGGACCGGGCAGCTTGCCCTGCTTGCGCACGGGGACAAAGCTAGCACCGAGGCGCAGAGCCAGGCTGGGACCGATCAGAAAGCCACGGGCCTCGAGGCCGACGACAACATCGGGCTTCTGGCCATTGTAGCTGGCGAGGACGTGCAGTTCCAGAGAACGGATGAGGGCTTCGTGCAATGTCGGATCGGCGAAGATGGGCAGAATATCCTCAAACAGAATGCCAGGGGAAGGGAAGTCCGGGAATTGACGCAGGGCGGCGCGCAGTCTTACTTTAAGACCGGCGAGTTCGGCGGCGCTGGAGGGATGGGCGGAGGAGTGTCCGGCGACTTGGGCGGAGGCATCAGGAAGGGAGGACTGGGACATGATGAGAGGAAAGAGGGGGGGGAAGAGGGGAAATAAAAAAGAAATAAAAGGGAGAGAAAGAGAAAGGGAGAGAGTGAGAGGAACAGTAAGAAAAAAAAAGGGTAAAATTACGGGGTCGCGTTGATAAGCCGATTAGCCCCTCGATGGTCTAGATGTATACTGTATAGTGTATGTATATATATTATTCCTATGTATAGTACAATACTTTTACTCTCAGACTACATTAAATACTCGAGAATTATCTCTTGCTGTATACATATCCATGGATCCATAGATCTATAGTCTATTGGTCTACTATGTTTCTCCCTCATGGAGCGGTCAGATATACAGTCAGATATACAGATATACAGTATGGATATGTACGATATGTACATATCTAGCGGTGTAACAGTGTGTCACGCAATGCCCATTCGAGCTGGTTTCTAGAATCCGCCTATGCAGCCAGGTACTTTACAGGAATCCGGCTGGGGCCCGTCCCGCTGCGGGCCTGGTTTGTCCACACCGAGTCCGTGTTGATCTGCGCCCACTTGCCTAAACCTGCCTGCTGATGAGAGGAAACGAAAGAATGAAAGGAGGGGTTGACAAAAAAAGGGTTGGGCATTTCCCTTCCTCCTATCCATAGATATAGGGTTTGGTGTTACCAAAAACGGACAATGTAGGGTTCATGATGATATCGAGATATACTTCCCCCAAAGGTATTCCCCCCAGTTACTCTCCGACGTACAATACTCAAGAGAGAGGAAGCACCCTTGTAAAAAAAATGACTCACGGACCCCGGTCGAATGATTCCAGACCGAAAGAGAGGGGCATAGGACAGGCGTCTGATCGTCCCATGGCGACAGATATCCACCGGATAGGCTGAGATCTTTTCTAATGGTTCCAGACAGGCTGATCCTGAAACTTGTTCCACTCGAGACTCGATCGCCTGGGATGCTGCTGCATGACTTTGGGGGGGGGTTCTGCAGATGGTGGGGTTGATTCGTCCTGAGATTCGTACTCAAATAAACAAAGAGTTCCGAAATACATGATGATATATTATATATAGTTACATTTATTCTATACGTTTTTTTTTTTTTTTTTTTTTTTTTGTTATTATAAAAAAATAGATATCTCCATTATAGAGGAAGAAAATGCAAAAACAACCAACCCCTTCACTTCACCCTAAGAAATTTAGGAAAAAAAAAATTTAAAAAAGAGCCGAACGCGGGGGTCGAACCCGCAGCCTTGAGATTAAGAGTCTCACGCTCTACCGATTGAGCTAGCCCGGCGAAGCTTGAATTCCGGCTGAGAAACAAAGAATTATGTTCCTACATACCAGATCCCTCCAGGTCAGCTGGCAATCACGTGGTGCACGGGCCCTCGCTTCGCTTTTTTTCCGGCGCTCGCCCTTATAAAATGCTGCCTGCCCATGTTTTTCACCTTGCTTTCCCCTTGATGCTTGTGCCTGCTTGCAGGTCCCCTTCATCCTCGATGAATTTGGTCTTGTAATAATTTTTCAATCTCTCTCCTTCTCGGGCTACCATGTCTCCTGCTCCTCTTACCGATATGCAGCCGGATCTGCATCAGGACCAGCTCCAGGCCGTGGGCAAAGCCTTCGATGCGTTACTACTAACTGTGTATCGGCTTACCTCCAGAAACCATGAGCTGACCGAGCATATGGACGAGGTCTATCGCGAGGTAATTCCACCTTTTTCCTTGTTCTGTTGTTTCGTTCTTTCGGAAGAAATTATCTTCCCTGTCTCAAATGATGAGAAAATTTGATTAGCTCTAGATCAGGAGTCACATCTTGTGGCGATGACGGATTAACATGTATTATCTGATGAGATACTGCCTTTGCTTTTTGCGTTGTATTTGAAACCTCGGTTTTCAGACCTTGCTGACAAGCATTCTTTCTCAGTACGCAGATGTCATAGGTTCCCTGCCTCCTCCAGATAGATCTCGGGCCCTGCATACCCGTACCAAGTTGCTCAATCAGCAGAAAGAACTGCAGCAGGGCCTCGTACACAGCAAGCCCCGAGTTGAAGAACAGTCGCTGAATTCCATGGACGTAATGAAGACGCTCGCGTCCCACCACAATGTAGATGAATCCACTACAATGGCCATCGTGGACGGGGTCAAGGGCTTCAAAGCCCTACTCCGATCCCAGAATGGTCCTTTGCAAGTTTCCTCAGCCTCGTGCATTCTCGCGCGAGGGCCGGATCCCTCGGTGTCGCTGGAGCAAGACTTCACGACCAACGGAACCCAGGGCAGCCTGCACTGCCCCTTTTCGAAACCAAACCAGACATCCGAGGGTCCAGCGGTCAACGGCAATGGCGATGCGCCGAAGATCCAGATTGATGATACCTGCGGCCACGAAAACTTGGACCCCATCAAGGCCGAGCAGGACGAACGCCACTCCAGCCACACCCCGTCCGCCCGATCCTCAAATGGCCGATGCCCTGTCTCCCGTTGTCCAATCCGGTTTTTGGACAAGCATTCACCAGAAGAAATCGCCGAATACGTCGAACGACACAAACATGAAATTCCCCGAAGCCATGCCATCTGTGTTAAGCGGTACCAGCGAGACCCTCAGAATATGCGACAGCTGGATGTTAAATACGGGGGCTTGATCAACATGATCAGCGGCCTTGGTGTCAAGCATCAGGCCTTTTTGCCCAACCGTCAGGCGAACGGGGGTGGCGACGAGCAGACCTCGCACTCTGCGTCCAGCGAACGGGTTGAGAAATGGGCCGAAGATGTGGACCTGACCACCCCCGGCCCGCAGAACGACGACGACAAACGTCAGAGTCACTTTGACCGTCCCCTTCGCGAAGTCCGGGTCGGCGAGTCCCCAAGCCGGCCTTGGGGGATTCCTGTTCCCGTCGCCCACCAACCTAGTATTCCCGCGCCGTTCTCTGGTTCGGCCTCTGTTCCAATTTCCCCTGATACTCAACCACCCATCTCCCCGGATCCATCACCGCCGGTGGCACCCGAGCCAAAACCAGCGGGTCGCTGCCCTTTCGGTCACGATGCTCCTCAGCCAAACCCCGATGCCGCTAAAATCGACCCGCCTTGGGCTAATTGGGGTGCTGGACAGGCTGACCCCGGTGACCAGGGAGATGCCGGGGCAAAGAGCAAGAGCGAGGGTCCGACCACCACCAAACCCGACTTGCCGTCGACGCCGGCCCATGTCACTTTCAATGGACCGGTGTTCTTTGGCTACTCCGCCGAGCAGACCGCCAGCTTGATGCAGCAGCTGGGTGGCCTGGGTCAACCATGATCCGTGCCTAGGTGCCTATCTCGGCGTCTCTGTGATTTTCTTTCTTGTATTCCTAGATATTTTGTGGGCTTCCGGCGCAAAGAGAGACCCGTAACGCGTGACGACGAGACGACCTTGACTTCGATTGGACTTTATGAGCCAATTGAGATTGAATGAACACCAAAACACCATTTCAGTTTATCTCAGAGATAGATCAGTGTATAGCGCATTCAGCGTATATTCTATAGCTGTAGATTACCACTGAGAACCTTGCAAGCAAAATGCCGGTGACGTTCGGAGAGCCGCTCTTTCTCCGAGGGAAACTCCACAGGCGGGGCAACTTCTGCTATTTAACTCCCGCCTCCTCCTTCACGTTTCTCCATGTTGCGAAGCTGCTCGCGTTTCTTGCCTCTGTCTCGATCACTTCCATCTCGCTTCGTCGCGCCCATTTCTCCCCGATACCCTTCTGCCATCCCAATGTCTGCCAACATCTCCACCGTCTCGGCCAAGGATGCTTGCCCGCGTAAGTCTCGACTCACAGTCATGGTGGGATGGCCATGGAGCAACAATTGAATTGCATTGGATCCAATTGCTTGTCGAAGCACTAGGAATGAGAACCAGCTGGGCTAACTCGATTTTCTCTGTATAGCTGCGGGCCCCTATGTACGTCACTTCTATCTACTCCTTCAGCTTGTCGAGCTCCAAGAGAGCTGGCCACGCATCTACCCTGACGAAATAAGCATTCAAAGCACATGACCCCAGGAAGTTGTCTGACCTCTCCGTCTCAAACAGTCCCAGGCTATCCGTGCCAACGGCCAGGTTTTCGTTTCCGGCCAGATCCCCGCCGACGCCTCGGGCAACCTGGTCGACGGGAGCATCAGCGACAAGACTCAGGCCTGCTGCGACAACATCAAGGCCATCGTCACCGCGGCCGGCTCCAGCGTGCAGAAGATTGTCAAGGTCAACGTATGTTTCCCTCATTTCTTTTCTGTAGATCCACGCTGATCAGAGCTATATGGGTAGGTCTTCCTCACCGACATGGCCAACTTCGCCGAGATGAACGCCACCTACGAGAAGTTCTTCACCCACAAGCCAGCGCGGAGCTGTGTCGCTGTGGCGCAGCTGCCCAAGGGCGTGCCCGTCGAGATTGAGTGCATTGCTCTGGAGTAATTGGTCCCTAAGGATCAAGGAATCTCTACGCTAGAGTAGAACTGGAGAGCTTTGATTTATAAAAGCCAAAATAAAATAACCGCAAAAAGAAAATCAATTATGCTATGGTCGTGGAAAGCATGCTGTGGGCTTTGATCGAACCTATTATTCCATTCCTCGAGTAACATGCGCGCAGACAAGCAGACGGGCCAAAGATGGGAATCATAATGTCAAGGTTCAAAGGCAGAGGCAGAGAGTAATGTAGAAACGGCGAGATGAGACGATGCAGAGATTGCTGGGCGTGGATGTATAACGCGCGCAAAACCAACGAAAAGAAAACCAGGAGAAGTATACACTGCTTCTCCCCAAGGACCTCCCTATAATACTAAACAGCTCATCAGCGCCGCGGGATGATCCCGCCCATTCGGCCTCCAGCACCTGCCATCAGACTTTGTTTCACAATGGCATCAGCTGCCGCGGCGGCGGCAAGTCTTTCCTTCTGGCGACTGCGATCGCGCAGGTAGCCAGTGGCTTCGGGCCGCATTCGGAGAATTCGCAGAATCATGTCATCGTTGGGGTCAGCCTGCGCGTCCCGTCGCTTCTCTTCTTTAACCTTCTTCATGGTCCCCAGGTTACGCGAGAGCATGATGCTCTTGGCACGGCGCGCAGCCGGAATCCCAAGACCGCCATGACCGGGGCCTGTGGCGCCCAGGTGGGCGGGTGCAGACACACGATTGCGGTTTGCCTGTTGGCGGTTGACGTTGGCCGAGGCCATGCGCTCGGAAGTGCGAATGAGGTTTTCTGTCGGCTCAAAGTAGAAGAAGTTCAGGGACTGGATCTCGTGATACTTGGGTGATTTCAGAATATCAATCGGGACCCCATTGGCTTCACCGGTTTCATCGTCAATCGCATGGAAGAAGTTGAGGAGCAGCACTAGCCAGCGTGATACGATGTCCACTTCTTGTATCGTCAAGGGTTTTTGGTGGGACGGTTTATCCGACAAAGGTGGCACCAGCAGACCCTCAATAGTGGCTAACACCTCTTTCCACAGGCGGGCCATCACCATCCTCATGGCTTCTTCGGTGAGGGTCATCTTCATAATGGCGAAGTTGTCGTTAAAGTAATTAAACAGCGGAGTCAGCGCATTTTCGACGTCCACCGGCGTGGGCCCCGTAGAAGTCGGTTGTGCTCGGTTGCGGTTCAGAAAACTTGAGACGCTAGAGATGCTGAGACCGCGGGAGAGTAGCGATTTCAGAGTCCGACGCGACAGACAGTGGCCAATGTACGCCGAAAGCTTCTCGGTGATTCTTCGAGTCATATCTCGCTCGGTACGTTTGAGAATCCGGAAGGCCTTGCCAAAATAGAACTGGATGTCATCCCGCTCTCCTTCCATGCTGACCCGGAGTAAGAGCCGTCCTTGAGTGTCCAGATCAAGCCAGTATTCTCTGGGCAAAAAGTCGCTGAAATGAACGGGATCCAGTTTGATCGAGGTCCGGCCAACGTAGTCATGGTCACCCACGGCATCCCAGTCCCAAATCGTGGCGATGATATTAAGAGGGCCCTGGGTTGTGATATCCACCGCGTCCTCCCACCGTGGATTGAGATTGTTGTAGATGATGCGAGTTTTCGCAATCCGCTTCTGGTATTCGTCTGTCAAGACCACGTACGGATCACTGCCACCGTTCATGTCGCATGCCTTCAGATCTTCCGCCTCCACCACCTTGATGGTGAAGACATAAGTAGTGGACTTTCGGATCTTCTTCAACTGTGGCGGCGTGTTCTTCGCAATGACATCGGCGCATCCATCCACATTGATTTCACGTTCGAGCTGATCTAATTGAGAGAGAGCATATTCGATGTTGTTCAATTTTACCAGAGACTATTGGGTGGGCATCATGGTTAGCTAAAAACATTCGTTGCCAGTTCCCTATGTTCCGGACACATACCTCTGAGGAGAACTGGAAGGGTTCGATTTTGTCCTTGTTCGTCCATGTGTCTTTGGCAAACTGCATTAATTTCTCCTGTGCGGTTTGATTCATCGCCGCTTCTTGTTCGGGCGTGAGGCGATCCATCTCTCGGGCAAACATCTGCTCCAAAGATTCGCAGTACTTGGCCACACCCTTGCTAATAGAATTCGAGAGAGCGGTCATGAACTTGGCATACTGAAGGTCATCATCCCACTCCAGCTGCACCAGGTTCTCCACCACTTGGTTGAACGAGCGGAATATGTCAATGACCGAAACACTGTGCCGATACTCTTCGGGAACGATATCCATCGTTTGGTCGGCACGGACTGTAAAGGCGTCCTGTCGAGTGGCCTGGTTGACCCAGTCCATAACCGTCTGGTCGGTTAGACGAAGCCACCTCCAGACAAATTCCTCCACCAGGCTCTCCACGTGGAACGGGAAGGGCACACTACATTTAATCAGCCAGTTGCTTCACAAAGATCAGCAGTTTCGATTTTAGGGGTTCATACCCCTGAAGTGTGTTGGTGAAAAGGCTTCTAACCGTAGCCAGTTGCTTGTAAAGATCGAATCCGTCTTGGATATCGATCTCTTCACCCCTTGCCTTAGCCTGTTCGATGATTCTGATGACCATTTCATGAGCGTCTTCAGCAAACATGGGAAGTACATTCGAGCATAGGGTAGTGTAAGGGTTCACTCTGCGTATTCGTTAGGTGAAGTCGTTCAATTACACAATTTGGAACCACATACCCCATGATTTCTGGGTTGTTCCTATACCGCTTCTGAATCTTTTGTGCCAGTTTCGAGATTGCGTCGCCAAGCTGGATGACATGGTCGATCTGCCAAGCTTCCTGGTCGACCGGCACCAATTGACCCAGCAGGTTTTGGTATCTCGCCGTCGCTTTCTGGGCCAGCCCGTCTTGTACATAAGAGCAAAACCGATCAATGTCTTCTGGGTCTTCGGTATAGTTTGGATCCATCTGAATGTGGCTTTCGAGAATGTACATCACCGGTCCGATGGGGCGTGGCTTTGTCTCGAAGCAGTCCATCATGACATCGTAGAGCTCCCGCAGCAAAGCCTCGTGAAGCTTAGACAGTAACTGCTGCATTAAGAAAAGATCGTGTACGGTCCATCGTCGCCGGTCGAAAACCGCCGAAGCCACGAAGCTACTGCGCTTTCGGCTCTCGCTCGAAGGTGATTCTTTCACAAAGGTGAATGCCGAGTCCAGGGTATTGAGGTCAATTTCATTGTCCACGAATTTAGCCTGAGCCACATCAAGAAACAACACAATCCGGGAGAAGTTGGGAATCCGCCAGCGGAGACATATCTCATTGAGCATTTCCGTAGATTGTTTCGAGAGCAACTTCATAGATGGCACATCGGGGGTGGCTTGAGTGGCTTCAATTTCCCGGTCCCGCAGGTCGTGACCCAAGGTTTGGGAGAGAATGAACCGGTATAAAGCCCTGGGGTCCGAGGGAATGAATGTGTAAGTATCTGATTCTTCCGAGTCGTCGCCTGCTCCGCTCACAGACAGAGAGCTCAGGTCAAGGGGCTGGTCAATAGCATAGGATGTTCTGTTGGTTCGACCAGAGGATGTGCGCGACAAGTCGGGATCGTCGTTAGGAGACGGGTTGAACTGCGGAAGAGCTCCCGGGGTGCTCTTGGCCAGTTCTGGATTCGACTGAACGATTGCAAGCATCATTTGCGAGAGATCGGGTCCTTCACTCTTCTTCCAACTGTCATACGCATCGTCGGTCTCAAAGTCTTCTCGCGATAACGTCTTCCGAGTTTGGAGATTCAGATGGGCTTGATAGGTTTTGAGATCCTGCAGAGCCGCCTTCTCGGTCCAGGTCAATCGGTGTTTGTCAATGTCGGACTGCGCTTGGGTCGGCGCCACACCAAAAATCCTGGCCACATGCTGGACCAGGGGCATGTCCTTCACGTCGTAACTCAAGGGAGCGACGACTTCTGTTGTTTTCGCCGTCCCATTCACTTCCATGAGATCTTGATCTTGCAGAAGCAGTTTATTCTCCAACACCGATAAACGATTGGCCAGCTCTGGACGGTCCTTTGCCCAGTCATTTCCCTTCAATATGAGAGCAAGAAGGCGGACGAAAAGCGCGACATGCCGGTCAACCATGAGTTTCCAACTGTCATCGTCTTGTTCCTTGCCCTTGCTCAGTTCTTTGATGGCATTGGAATAGAAGATGAGGACCAGATCTTCGGCTCGCCGATCTTTCTCCATGCGTTTGCGAAACGAGTCCTCCTTCAGCACATTGAGGAAGACGGCAAATGTGCGTACCACCAGATGGTCCTGGTATTCTTTTCTCTTCTCCTTCCCAATTAACACACCTGTCAACCGCTTCTCCAGCTCGGCTACAAACCCATGGGGGATCCTCGTGCTCTTGGAATCCCTGACGAGCGAGAAGTCGCTCATGAGATCATGGATCGAAGTCGATGCCCGCTTCTGCCGCGCCGGCGCGGCCGGTGCATTCTGGATGCGACGGGATCGAGGGTGGAGGAGATAAGCGAGATAGGCTACCCGGAGCGCATGGCTATAGGCCATGTTGGCGTTGAGCGGGCGTCGCCTCGAGGCAGAGGAGTTGTGCGAATGGCGACCTTCATTCTGGAGGCTGTTGATCCGTCGGTTGACTCCTCGGGACTGGCTAGATGCTGTCGACATGGGGCGATGCGTGGTCGAAGTCGTAGAGAGCTAGGCGAGTGACAGAGAGAGCGAAATGCAGGACCATGGATGGAAGAGGACGCAAAGCCGGCATCCAGGTGGGAGAAGCCCGACTTTTTATGCCTTGGGGAAGTGGTGTGGAACACCTTGGAGCTGGAGGGGCGTGAAATCTTTATGAAAGGAGAGGAGGGGGGGAGATGAAACAAAATCAACTGACGTAGGCGCCCAACCAAAACAATGCCATTTACCGCCTCACAGTCACAAACCCTGTGGACGCTGGCTTTCTTTTGTTTTTTTAGGGGCTCTGGTCAATTCTTTTCAGTTTATCTGTCAGGGAATGTGCTCCCTGTATTGATGGAGATCAATGCAATGCCAAGAAATATATTGCTGATGCTCTGTCAAGTTCCTATATCTACCTATGGACCTACAGTACCTACCGCATGGCAAAGCTTTTTCTGGGGTTCGATATTCAGCAAAGTGTACATTTCGCTTCTGAGCCAGCTCACTCGACCTTGGAAATACAATGACAAAATATCTCCCGGGGGTGAATAATGACGGGTCATGACGCTCAAGGTCATGGCGCTTCAAATGCAAGGGTGCAGTTCGGCTGAAACAATCCACTGTGAGATTTCGTTTGACTTGGTACTCAGACTGCATGGAATACAAAGTTTGCGACATGGCTTTGCATTGGTCTTTTGGTCGCTTTGTTAGAGCATCCAAGTCGTCATGTGGCAATCTGCAACATGCGACGGGTCCTACCTACAGTGACAGTGGCGAATTGAACCCAGAAGTGTTTTGAAGTCGTACTGTTATAGGACCAATAAAGACCGGGAGCTCGGGAAAATCAGCCCGTAGATCCTCAAGGGATGCCGAATAGAGAAAATCGTCTTGGTATTTACACACAAACAACACAGGGGAACCAGATATCAATCACCACTTGTCCTCACCGGGCTTGCGGGCCTGAAATGAAAAGAATTAGCTTTCAAGTTCACTCGAAACAAAAGATAAAAGACAGGGGTCATCTCATCACACACCGACAGAGCATTAGGGCCGCCGAGCTCCTTCTCCAAGCCATCGGCATAGGTCTTTGGCACACTCGGCTTATCGGGGTAGTAAAGGCTGACGGCACCGCAAAGGCCCAGGAAAGTCACGACGAACACGCCCAGGTTGAGAAAGCCCTTTCGAGGGGTGACGTGGGTATATTGCTCGGGACTGAAGACACCGAGAATCTCGTTCTCCTCGTGAACCGGCTCTCCGAAGTTCCGCTTCTCCTGTTGATCCCACCAGCCGCCGTAGGGGTCTCTGAACTGACGCTTCACTCGAGGGGGGTTCTGGTAGCCGCCATTCTGTTATAATGTTAGACGTCTTCGTTACCCCCAAGGAATGGCGGCACAATTGCCCGGCAGAGATGATACCTGTAAGGGATCCTCAACTTCGACAGCTCTGAGAATTGCAGCGCGCGAAAACGAGGCGCGGGGAGCAATAGCGTGGCGAGCAGCCACCTGGGGCAGGCGCCGGGCCAAGATACGTTGGGACAGCATCTAGAGGAATTGAGGGTCAGAAAGGATGCCAAATAAATCCAGATTATCATCAAGGGGAACCAAATTGGAACTGTCGAAGATACTTACTGCTCTGCTAAGCAAGAGGGGAGCAATGAAGTCGGGTGGTAGACAATGGGGCGAGGAGTGGAGGAGCATCGCCGGAGCCGATGGAGGTTTGCGGAATGTGGCCTGAGGCAGCCAGTCACTGGACTCAGGCATCCACGCGCGGCGCGCCTCCCAGTCATCGCTCCAGACAAAAAACGAAAAACCCACTCCGTCACGTAACCTCCCCATTCCCATCTTTTCCCGTCCCCATCCACGCCACCGTGCCGATAAGCATGCCAAACTTCTGGTGGTGCTTCTTCTCGATAACAGCTACTCGTTGATGCCAAAATCTCCCATTTCGACTGCGCCATCGTTGGGATAACTGGGGTCAGCTGCGAAGGAGGCCCCTTGTCGTCTGTGGCTCCAAGTCATGCAAAACGGCAGCCCCGACGGCCCATCACCCCACGATGAATTTGTAACTCCTGTGTCTCATCCTGCACCCCGCGACGTGTCTGTTCTTGAGCAGTCAACCGATACTGCCCCCCGCGAGTCAATCCCTTCCGAGTCGAAAGACGATGAAGTGGTCCATCGGCCTGAAGGACCCCCGTCCAAGAAGCGGAGGCTAACGGATTCTACCCCATCGCGACACTCGACACCCCGGCCGCCCTCGCCACCTTGGAAGAAGGCCGGCGCTGAAGGTCCCACGTCTTTTCTCCTAGAGGGCAAACGCAGGTCTTCCCGCACCAACACGGTTCCTCTCGATCTCCAGCCTCCGTCGGATAAAAGACACACGCGAGCGGCCCAGCAAACTTCTAAAACCAAGAACGCTCGCGATGGATCAAAACCGGCCACGTCCTCGCCGTTGTCGGTGCGTGCGGAGGTCAACGGAAAGATTGGTGGCAAGGTAAATACCAATGGATCACCCAGGACGCTACCCAAGAAGGGCGCAACGAATAAACAGCGAAGAGTATCACAATCACCAGCGCCTAAACCAACACAGTCACGCACGAGATCCCGGAGTTCTGGTGCCCTTCATCAACCGGTCGATGTGACTTTGAATGGCACCAGCCCTCGTCCTCTTCGCGATCGCAAATCCATCTCAACGACTTCTCTCGCGGCTCCCGATGGCTTCAATGACGCCGAGACGAATGTCGAGGAGCACGGCCAAGGTTTGCAGAAAGTTCCACGGCTACGAATCAAAGTGAAAAAGCCAATCGTTCCGATCCGACACCCCGGCCATATAGCAGGCAAGAAACATACATCGTTTAGGGAATGGATGGATCATGAGGATGCGCCAAGTGTTTTATCACAATCTGAAGCTCTCGAAGAGGCTCGGAGACGCGATGAAGTTTTGACAGCTGCAGAGCCCGGCGGACCGCTGAGCTCGGAAGTTTGCTCGGCATATATCACAGAACAACAAGAGGAGCCTCCTCCCCAATATTCGCATCAGGATCATCTCGTGGCGCATGCTCTCTATTTTCAGAAGCTCCTTGACAAGGAACACAAACGTCACCGGCAGATGGCCAAACTATTTGCGCAATGGTGCGCAGATGCCTACAGGAAACGCCACAAGAATCCTGAAGATATACTTCGGGAGCAGCAGGAGGAAATGCGCGGGAAACGCAAACAACTCGCCAAAGACCTTCAGAAGATGTTCGATCTGGCACGCGCTGAGATTGACCGGACGCGCTTGGCACGGTGGGAAGAAGAGCGAAAAGTGGAAGATCAACAGGCTCTAGATCGCGCCATCAAGAAGTCTACAATGCTTTTTGAGAAACGTCGATCTGAGATCTTGGGCGAGGTTCCCAGCGACGCTCCCGCTTCGAGCGAAGACGAAGATGCCGAGACAGATTCTTCATCCGGCTCGGGCGACGAAGACAATGAAAGCAACATGTCTACCTCGGAGTCTGAGGCTGACGACGAGACGAACGTAGATGATGATGCCACATTGACGGCAGAAGAGCTTCGGTTAAAGTACGCCAACCTGCCAGCTGATGAAACTGCGAATCAAATATCTGTGGTATTAGGTGGCACAGAACCGACAAGAGATATCCAAATGTCATGTGTTGAGGATGTCACGGATGAAATCGATTCTCAGGCGGCACCGACAGAGCCGCAAATCGACGATCTTGATTCGGTGCTTATGGAAGATAGCGATCAGTCCACTGATATGGATGATGATATGGGCGACAGCGACGAAGATCGAGACACCAGCGATGCGGAATCCGACGAGGCGAGTGGCGATGGACCTGGTTTGCTCGGCTTTTTTTCTTCCAAGGACATTGCCGCACCCGACGTTGATGAGGACGATGAAGCTGAAATCTCTGATTATGGCCAAAGCAACGAGGCAAAAAATCTTTCGGACGCTGAAGATGAAATTGAACCGGAGGATGCAGATGAGGTCTCTCTCGTTCCCAATGGACCAACCAATGAAGAGACCTCGGCCGAAGGCACACCTTTGCATGTTGTCGAGGCTTCTGAAGAATCTCCGGCTGTTGGTGAAGATGCTTCTCTTGTCGATACACCCATGGAAGATGGGTCTACCGAACCAGATCGTGCTGAAGCCACTGCTCCAATTGATCAGCCCCAGCCTGTCGAGATGGACCTTGCTTCTGCCAGCCGACCCAGTGGAGAAGTGTCGAGTGAAGCCTCCCCAGGAACTCTTGCGACCAAGCCATCCGAGCCAGAATCTGTCTCATCATATGAACCTGGCATCGAGAATACCTTGCTGGCAAGCCACTCGCCTGCGCCTGGTCTGAAGACACCGATTCCGCATCTCCTACGAGGCACACTCCGTGAATACCAGCACTACGGATTAGACTGGCTTGCGGGTCTCTACAACAGCCATATTAACGGTATCCTAGCCGATGAGATGGGTCTTGGCAAAACGATCCAGACGATTGCCCTCCTAGCTCACCTTGCCGTGGACCATGGAGTCTGGGGCCCGCATCTAGTGGTTGTTCCCACAAGCGTGATGCTTAACTGGGAAATGGAGTTCAAGAAATGGTGCCCGGGCTTCAAAATCATGACCTACTATGGCAACCAAGAAGAGCGGAAGCAGAAGCGCCGCGGCTGGATGGACGACAATGCATGGAATGTGTTGATCACGTCTTATCAACTGGTCCTGCAGGACCAAGGCTCCCTCAAACGACGGAATTGGCACTACATGATTCTCGATGAAGCACACAACATCAAGAACTTCCGCTCGCAGAGGTGGCAAGCTCTTCTTACGTTCAGGACCCGAGCCAGACTCCTCTTGACCGGTACGCCGCTTCAAAACAACCTGACCGAATTGTGGTCTCTACTTTTCTTCTTGATGCCTTCCGACAGTGACGGAACAGGCGTTGAGGGATTCGCCGATCTAAGAGATTTCTCTGAATGGTTCCGACGTCCGGTGGAGCAAATCTTAGAACATGGAAGGGAGACGATGGACGAAGAGGCCAAGCAAGTAGTGACCAAACTACACACCGTTCTTCGCCCCTACCTTCTGCGTCGACTCAAGGCCGACGTCGAGAAACAGATGCCCGGGAAGTTTGAGCATGTGGTTTACTGCAGACTTTCGAAGCGACAGCGGTACCTTTACGATGGTTTCATGTCGATGGCTCAGACGAGGGAGACACTCGCATCGGGAAACTTCCTTTCAATCATCCACTGCCTCATGCAGCTCCGCAAGGTCTGCAACCACCCAGATCTCTTTGAAACTCGACCCATCTCCACCTCGTTTGCCATGCCGCGGTCGGTAGTTGCAGACTTTAACCTCAAAGAAAATCTCGTCCGGCGAAGGCTGCTCTATGATCACCCCCTCACCAAGATTGATTTCGACTTTCTCAACCTGGCGCCTGTGTCCCGAGAGGTTATTTCTCGGCGGCTGGCCGATGACAGCATTCGACTGATGGCTTTTGGTCCGTTCAAGACACTTCGGGAGCGCCAGTACAACCGAACCAACTGGCAGATGGGATTTGACGGTTCCAACATGGAGACGATCCTGGAATCGTTGGAGAACGCCAGCCGAAAGAGGAGGATGGCGGAATTGGAGCGGTGTCTATATTTTGAATCCAAACGGCACGGCCGCCGGCCTATATACGGTAGTAGCCTCATCGAGTTTCTCACGGCCGGGACCAAGGAACACGCGTTGTCTAACGCACCGTTACGAAAGCGCTCGATGGCCGAGTGGCTGTCGAGCCGGTCATCGGTCCTCGCGTCGATGATCCTGACTGTTGAGGAGCGGTCCCGCGACATGGATGGTTACGTCCAGAGATTTGCCTGCGTCACACCGGCCGTCGTCGCTGCAGGCATGACAGAAGCCGCCCTGACCCCAGTTGAAACGCGGCTCTTGACCAATACGCGGAAAGACCAGGCCTACGACCCCTTCCACGAAGCGCGGATGCGCCTCTCCATCGCGTTCCCGGATAAGCGACTGTTACAGTACGACTGCGGAAAACTACAGCGCCTTGACCAGCTGCTCCGCGACCTCAAGGCCGGTGGACATCGGGCCTTGATCTTCACCCAGATGACCAAGATGCTCGATATCCTGGAACAGTTCCTCAACATCCATGGGCATCGCTATCTCCGATTGGATGGTACTACGAAGGTCGAGCAGCGACAGATGCTAACGGAGCGGTTCAACAGCGACCCTCGGATCCTGGCGTTCATTCTGTCGAGTCGGTCCGGTGGGCTGGGAATCAACCTCACGGGGGCCGACACTGTCATCTTCTACGACCTCGACTGGAACCCGGCGATGGACAAGCAGTGTCAAGACCGCTGCCACCGGATCGGGCAAACCCGCGACGTCCACATCTACCGGTTCGTGTCGGAATACACGATCGAATCCAACATTCTCCGCAAAGCCAATCAAAAACGGATGCTGGACGACGTGATCATCCAAGAGGGAGAGTTCACCACCGACTACTTCACCAAGCTGGATGAGCAGGGTATGATGGAGAGCGACGAACGCGACGGACACGACGAAGCCAGTGCGGCCATGGACCGCGTCCTGGGCAACCGGGTGGCGGGCGGGTCGCGGGTGTTTGAGCAGGCCGAGGACAAGGAGGACATTGATGCGGCCAAGAATGCGCAAAAGGAGTTGGAGCACGCCGACGATGGCGACTTCGAGGATCGCGCATCACATGGGACACCGGCGCAGGTCGAGACTCGGGATGATGGACCGGGGATCACACCGGACGAACCCAGCCACATCGACGAGTATCTGCTACGATTCATGGAGTGGAACATGAGGGATGAGCCTTTGGTGCTCCCACCGGATAAGAGCAAGAAGAAGTCCAAAAAGGGCAAAGAGCACCATCTGAAGCGGCGACGTTGATCACCCCCACCGACCGTTGTGAATTCCATTTTTCTTTTTTTTTTTTTCTTTTTTTTTCCTTTGTTTTGTTTTTCTTTCATTTCCCCGGAGTCGTTTTGGGATATGGGGGCCGTCGCCAGTGAGCGAGTGTGTATAGTACATGTACCTTGGTCCAGAGGGATTTTTGGATTTGAATTTGTTGTCGGCATTGGCTGTTCCCTCTCTTCTCTTTCTCATATGAAGCTCTCTCCAACTTTGATAATCTACGAAACTCTGTTTTGACTCCACTGGGCACATCCGAGAACATATCCGAAGGACATCGGAATCTGACAAATACTGTTCATGAAGCCGGAGAATATACCATTCTAGACAAGTGGATCTTGCACGTCCAGGAGATCCAGACTGTTGGGTCTTCCCGACGGTGTGTGTTGGGGGCCGGAAGATCATAGAGACGGATTGGACCCTGACTCCTGGACGGACTCTACTTTACCTCCGTGTGGTTGAAAGCTTGCTGTTGCAGTCGCCATGGCAGGATTCTCTGGGGCTGGAGTTTTTTTTTTCTTTCTTTTTTTTTAAACCATGGGAGAGGAATGTCCGAAGATCAAAAGAACGTATTTCTTCGTATCTCCAAGAATTGACTTTGAATGCCCTACAAGTGCGTACATACTGTATATACGGATATAGACATACATCCATAGACCATGCTGTACGAATATCTGTCAATGCAATGATTTTCCCCTCGGATCTATCGCGGTCGATCCTCAAGCCACTCGGGCAGGCTACTCCGAGCCAAGCTCAGCACGGGCGTTGGGAGGCTCGAAGGGAGAGAGGGGAGAAGGATCCCAAGGCAAACTGGCACTAGTAGGCCAAAGTGGGGTCAATGGGAGTAAATGGGAGTTGAACCTCGGATAATATACGATAGGGATACGACACATGAAGATGTCCAGCGGTTTCTGCAGGACAATCAATGTCGCCGAGGATTCCCCGTTGGAGATGGGAGAACTCCACCAGGATTTCGCCACCATCGTCCTATGAGAAAGGACATTTCGAGGGGTGGGGGAAGTGGGTTCCATTCCTTCATCTGGAGAAGGAAAAGGATTGCGAAAAGCTTTTTTTTTTTTTCTTCTTGGTGATTTGTTTCGGGGGGAGGGGAGAAAAGAACCCCCATGAGCTGCAGCAGATCTACGGAGATCTGGAGATCCTGGCGATGGCGATGCTGATTGCGCCAGGAAGACAACGGCGGGCATTAGGTTCGGGGGTATAGCAGAAACGGGTAAGTTTGGTGTTTTTTTTTTTTTTTTTTTTTTTTTTGCTTTTTCTCTTTGCATGTCAAGTGAATCACCTCGGTCAAATACCCGATCTCCTCGAAGCAGTAACGCGCCTTGTCTGGTAGCCTCGTCCCGAGGATGAGGGACTGTTGATCGACAGATCTTTTCATCTCTTGAGATGAACAGTCAATCTCTCTCTCTTTTTTTTTTCTTTCTGTATACTGCGCGAGTCAGGAGGATCCACCCATTGGGGGGTAGGCAGCTACCTCGGACGAGTCAGCGTTCATGGCTTGAAGAAGAAAGAAAGAAAGAGAGAGAGAGAGACAGAGTTTGAAGGCACTTCTCCAGATTCACATCTCCCGAGGATGTGCAGATCCATGGATCTTCTTATTCATGATGGAATTGGTACCTGCCAGATCTCGAGACAGTTCGGCAGTTGCGATGTGACCGATGCAGCGACCGCGCAGCACCGGGGTGACTGCGCAAGCCTCGTGCATGTGGCAACCAGGCGTCAACTGGATGCCTTACCTAAGTAGACTTGGACACTTCCAGTTCGGCTTTACTTCCTCTTCCTTACTATCTTACTATTTTATTATTTTATTTTATTATCCTATGATATTATTTTATGATATTTTCACCTATTATCTTATATTATTCTTTTGAGGACCCGGGCAGATGTTTCCGATCGATTGGCCGAACTACGGTCCCACTCCACAGTGTATGATCCACTTAGACAGTTGGAGACAGCCTTTCCCAGCAGAGTGGTGCCGGTCGATAGTGTTGGATTGGGGCACATGATGGAATCCTGCGCCATTTCCACATGTTTTCTTTCTTTCCGTTTATGGTAGTGTGAGGATGATTATTATCATTTTCTTATAGTTTCTTATATCTTGTATTCTTTGATTTCTGGATTCAACGGCCATGACAATACAATCTAGTAGGGATCGCCCTTGGCCCCGAGATGAGTTTCCTTAGTCTTTTAGCCCCTTAGACTACGGACTAGCTAAGAGCTAACCCTCAGAGTCCCCCTTATCTAGCCTGAGAATCAATTCCGCGCATCTCCGCACTGTCTTGGGGCCGAAATCCTTCTCGTAGAGGTTGCCGAAAAGCTGCAGAATGGTTCCGATGCTTCACCGTTCGAGAAATACGTCCGGCAGGATTGATTCTTCCAATACGATATAATGTATACCTTATGTATACTATTATAATATCTAACATCTAATCTAATATAACATAACATAATATCATATAACCCGGTCATGCGCCAAGCACTCAACGAGGCCTGGTCAACAGCATCAAAGAAGGTTTGATTCCGCTTGAACATGTCAAGAGAACTCCACTTCCCTAATGACATAGGCCGCCGAGTGGGAAAATTGATCGGCGGTTGCGAGAGACCCACGGCTCCACTAAAAGAACCAGGTCGGAGCTGGCAGCGACATCTCGTCATGCAAATCCCATGATCGACCGTGGACACGGGGGGGACTGTTGCCCTAAGACTCTTGGGCTGTTGACAGACCCGAGACAATGGGCAGTGAAAAAGAGATATTCAAATATTCTCCCAACCCGCTTCCAGACTGGCCGACTCTATATCGCTCCTCCCCGACTCCCCCCTCCCATTTTCTTTCTTTCTTCTGCTTCTTCTACTTCTTCGATTCTTATATCTTTCTTCAATCCTGCCCACACTGACTTTCTTCCCCTTTCTCTCATTTCTGTCTTTGTTTCTCGATTTCTTCACATTCATAGAAGGATGAAGACTTCGATTTCCTCGGACGTGTGGGAGAAGAAGAAAGCCTTGATTGCCAAGTTGTATATGGAAGAGGAATGGCCTTTGAAGCAGGTCATCAAACAGATCCGGTCCGACGACTTCAACCCCAGGTAGGTGTTGGTCAACAGGTCTTTTCCCTCACTCGCTGACCATCCCAGTGAAACCCAACTCCGCAGCCGACTGAAGAAATGGCGGGTCACCAAACCCTCCCGTCAGACTCGAAAGAAGCCCCAGGCATCTGGGTCCGGTGATGATGACTCGGAGAAAGAGGGCAAGGGCAAATCGACCACGCCCCCCATGCGCCATCGGCCCTCGCCAGGGTCGTCTGCACGAGAGACAACGGGCCCCGAATGGACGATGGCTTCTGCGGTATACCCGCCGACGGAAATCCCGCACACACTGGACCGACGTGCACGCAAATGGAATCCACCTCTGGCACAGCAGTTGACCCCGAGTCCGTCGGGCGAGAATGGGTTGGCGGACCGAGCTCATCCCTTCTCAGACCCCAGCCCAACCATCTCCGCCTTTGATCACTCTGCGCAGCCCTCTCCGGTCGATGAGGGTCTGATGGTGAACACCGCCGTGACGCCGACCTATCCTAACCCTGGCTATCCACTGTCCCCGGACTCGTGTCTCCCCAGCCCAGGAGCGGCGACGACCCCGGGAGCAATCTCCGCCTGGCCGAATCGTTCTGTTTCTGTGGACTTGGGTCTGAATCTGGGAATGCATACAGCTCCGTGGTATTCGATGCCGTTTGAGGCCATCACCCCGCCCCCAGGGGCACCCCACTCCACCGCCTCTTTGGCCCCCTCAATAGCGGGTTATCGGGACCACATGTCCATGATGGTTCCACCGGGCCCGAGCCACGTCTTCCCTTCATTCGGACAATATCCGGGTGAGCCACCTGCTGAATACGCGGGCTATGGCGATGCCAAATCCTGGAAGCGAGCCATGTCTCTTCGGTATGACTTCGCGGGCCCTCCAGAGCGGGTGGAACAGGAGAGGAAACCTTTCCCGTCTCCGGGCCCACCCTTCACGTCTGTGGCTCCGACGCAAAGTGGACCACATGCCGGGACGTGTGCCCCCATCATGTCTTATATGGGCCAGGACCCAATGGCACAGAAGCCTCCTGGTGTTGGCTACTAGTCGGACAAGGTCCCCCCTTATGGCGCTCGTGGGTTTGGTTGCTATGTGATACCTTTTGTGTTTTGTGTTTCTTTTTCCTTTTTTTTTCTTCGGTTTTGCTCTGTTCAATATGGGAGGCTCTTTGTGTTTGATAGATTCTGGTGTTCAGTCGGGACTTGTGGGAGGTGAATCTGCTTTAGATTTGGGCGTTGGGATGTGCCTTGATACCTCGGGTTTCTTGTACAGTGCTGTTTTGGGTTGAAGTACATGTCGAATATTCCATTGACGTTCTATTTATATATTTATATACATATACTATACATGAACTATACATGAACTATACCCATCCTGCCGGATCGTACCTTTGTCCCCTCGTGCCAAGACCCTCACATCTGATCAACCTCGGCATCTTCCACGCGGGGAACAACATTTTCGCCTGCTCAACTGGCTTCAGCCGCCACCTATCTTACAATCTCCTCTGGATTGAAAGTATTGCAATATCCTCCAGTTCATCCGTTCCAAACGTCTTGCCCACCATGCGCGCTGTTCAGGTCAGCGAATATGTCAAAGTATGTTCTGCTATGCATCTCAAGAAACCCAAGGCCGGCAGCAGCGACGATCGAGCTACAGTGGCATGGCCCGGGGCACTTACATGTTCCTCTCAATCTAAACCAAGCTTAATATTAACATTGGGCCGTTCTTACCATGACAACAGGGCCCCCTGGACCTCCAAGTAACCACCGTCCCCACGCCGACACCATCTCCCGACAAATATCTGATTGAAATCCACTCAGCCGGCACCAACTTCTTCGACATTCTCCAGATCCAAGGCAAATACCAGCACCAGCCGCCGTTGCCGTGGGTCGGCGGCGCCGAGTTCGCCGGCACAGTGGCAGCAGTGCCGACCGCAGGCGGGTCGTCCCGGTTCAAGGTCGGCGACCGAGTCTTTGGAGCAACACAGGGCGCATATGCCACACACGTACTGGCACCGGAGCAGGCGCTGTTATCGGTACCGACGGGGTGGAGCTTCGAGGACGCAGCGGGCCTATTTGTGACGGCGCCGACCTCGTATGGCGGACTGGTGCACCGGGCCGGGGTGCAGGCGGGCGACTGGGTGCTGGTGCATGCGGCGGCCGGCGGGGTCGGGCTCGCTGCCGTGCAGGTGGCCAAGGCCCGTGGCGCGACGGTCATCGCCACAGCCGGCACGCCGCGCAAGCGCGAGATTGCGCGCCAGTTCGGCGCTGACTATGTCATCGACTATCGTGGTCGCGCTTGGCCCGACCAGGTCAAGAAGCTGTGTGCGGCGCACCGCTCGGGCAATGGCGCTGCCGGTGTCGATATTGTCTATGACCCCGTCGGTATGATCGACGCCAGTTTGAAGTGCGTTGCGTGGAACGCGCGCTTGTTGGTTATTGGCTTTGCTGCCGGCCAGATCGAGAAGGTTGCGCTGAACCGCGTGTTGCTGAAGAATGTCAGTATTGTGGGCCTGCATTGGGGCCAGTATGCCCGCTTCGAGACTGAGACTGTTGCCGCCGTCTGGCAGGGCATCTTTGATCTAGTTGCTCAGGGCAAGTTCAAGGGCACTGCCTTCAAGGACGAGAGCTTTGTTGGTCTGGAGAGCGTGCCACGTGCCCTACAGGCGCTAGGAGGCCGCGAGACCTGGGGCAAGGTCGTGGTGAATGTGGTGGGCAACGAGAAAGCCAAGAGTCGGCTCTGAGGGCAGTTTACACTATATTCAAGAGGTATCCATGGACATTTGGATACGATACAAAGCACATACCTCGATATGCAAGACACAACCATCGAGCCAGCAAAATAAATTCCATTTCTTCTATCTTCGGTTTTTTTTTTTTTTTTTTTTTTTTTTTTTCCTTCAGGTGACATGCTTTTGAAACAATCTCGGCGACGGCAATGTAGGTGCGCAAGGAGTCATGCTCTTGTGGAATAATTGAGCCCATCTACCTCGAAAAGATAGGGGAAAAAAGGCTCCAGCAAGTCATACATGAACTATGAAGGCCCTGAGAATTCTTGCTTTAGCAACTCGGATGTTTCGAGCTAGGCTCCCTCGCAAAACGTGGGATCCTGCGCAATCCAGCTCCAGTCGGTCACAGCCACAAGACGTGGCATTGTGTCGACCGTCCATAAAAGAGTCCGTGGGAAGTCCGGGGAGGACTGGGACAGCTGTATTGAGGAGTTGCGGCTGGTCTAGGTTTGGGGGGAAAAGGGGGGGGGGGGCTGCGATCTAGGATAAAGATCTGATAATAGAGGTCAGCAAGATTGAAAAAGCAATGAATAATCAATCGACGGGCAGAATGCAGCATCAGATTCTGGCCGACGCACGGCGTTGGGACGAGGTTGTTTGCGATTCCAAGATTCCTATTTTGCGTCGGGAGATTGAGGCTCTCGCTTAGTGGCTGAGTCAGCGCCAATTTTAGCAGCCCTAGAGGTCCAGTCTGAACTGCCATGATCTACTTATATCTTATATCCACGGGGAGTAAACTTGTATGAGATCGTTCTTGGTTGATTTTGTGTTTGTGTCTGTACCTCTCTATCGAAAGCAGGCAGAGAATGCAGTGGTCCCTCATCGAAAACATCGTTAAGATCTGTCAGGTATATCTGAACATATTAAGTCTGAACTGGTCCTGGAAAAACATATCAAGTCCATGCGATCATATTGGAAGACAGCAAAGAAATACAATTAAGAAAGACAGGCGGGGGAGAAGAAGAAGAAAACAGCATTATCATCAATCGGTCGTTATTTATCGTGTCTCATTTTATTCGATGCAGTTCAATGATGTCTCTCGCGCATCTGGACAACGGTAGTCCATCCTTGGCAGCACAACCGGCTCATACGATGTCCACACCAGCAGCATTGCACATAAGAAGGATGGTAGAGAGGAGCAGAGCGCGTATCAGCCGTTGCGGCGCTTCGAGTTGCTGGCACGTTGCCTAAAGCGCGCCTCCTCTGGGACGCAGGCATAATCCGCGGGTCAGCTTCTGGGGAAATGAGTGGGTTTTGCTTCGGGGTAGGTCGGCCGAGTCGGGGCTCTGTAGGAAGCCGCTCCGGACATGCTAGTTTAGCATATACCTCCGATGGCATGTCGTGCCAGTATCGACAGCGGCAGCAGATGACAAAGACCTTGGCAACCATTTGATCCTTTTGGTGGACTTTCACTCTCTCAAGAGGCTTCCTTTTCAGTGTGTTCATTGGCCCAGGTCGGGTGGGCATGTTGCCACGAGGTTTGACTTGACTGATGGCCAGTTCGGCCGCGGCAGGGGCCTCAAAAATAGGAGTAGAAGACGGGATACCCGAAGGTTGAGGTGGTGGATTGCCAGAATGGGCTTCGGAAGAGCTGGGCGTTTCCTCATCGGCAGTGTCGTAATTCGAGAATTCGTCTGGAGACGAGTTTCGTGACGAGGAACGGCTGTGCCGCGGTCCGTTCATACCCCGGGGAAACGGTTTATTTCCAGGCAGTTCATTTGCAAACTGATGTAGGTGACTGGAAGGCTCTTGAGGATAGCTGGGTGCTGTAGACCGGGGCCGCATATATCTCAACTCTCGGGTGGTATTCTCTGGAAGGCTCGTATATCCGACGAAAGGCTTGGGAGAAAAGGGCATCAGAGAGGCGGGGATTTTGGTCTCTGTTGGCTTTTGCTGGAGTTTCGGTTGTGGCCAGTTTTCCTGGGACCTTCTACCGCTCTTGACTGGAAGCTGTGGTGGCCCACTTGATGACTGCTGATGGTCATGGTGGTTTATCTCTCTTGGTTGATTTTGAGCGGTCTCAAAAGCGTCGGTGGATACCACAGGCAATCGACTTCGCCCTCGGGGTTCCTCAAACCGATATTGATTCAAGAACCGCGATGGATGCAACACTTTTGCAGGAACAGAGTTTTGAGTCGAGGAGACTTTGGGGATCGTGGTCTCCTTCTGATCGAATTCATCAGTCGTGGTGGGATTAGCCGCAAGCGGGGAGGATTTGTATGTTTTCTGGTGATAGTGCGGGCTAGGATCCGCCTGAGCTTTCTTGGGCAAGTTTCCAGTTGAGTTTCCTTGTATTGGTATAGCCGTAGGCACCTGAGATGCTTTCGGGGCACCCTCTAGAAAAACAGTGCCATGCAACTTGCGCGCCGTGGCCCTGGCGGGCAGCTGATCCGCGGGTTCTGGCGAATGAGTATCGGACTGTGTGGTATCTCTCGATGATGGCAACGTAGCCCAGACGCTAGGATTGTTCTGTAGACCTGGAGTATCAACCGAATTTCCCGTCGGTGCCGGGTCCCTATTTTCATGCTTGAGAGCAGCAGTAAACAATTCTCGGTCCAGGTCTGTTGAAGCATCCATTGACTTGGGTTTAAGCAATGACTCGCTTTTCTGAAACGCTTTCTCCGTGGGGAACAAACTCCGGGCATTGCTGCTCCGCAGTCGAAACACCTTCTCATCCGCGTCATATCCGCCATTCTTCCTCTGCCAGGCCTCTGCCGTCTTCCAACTTTCTCGGAGGTCATCGGATTTTGTCGTCGTGTGAAGAGGCCGTTGCAGCTGACCCGACAATATCAGCGAGGTACCATGTTTCGACGCTAATTCTCGGGATATGGCAGTCCCAAAGCGTTCAGGCAAAGTCAGAGGGAGGAAGGGAGGCCCTGAACTTGCTGGTGTCTCCTCTTTATTTAGATTGGTGTCAGCAGACTGGTGTGCATGGTCATCCCCATCCACAGAGTTTGCACGCGATCGAGATGATCGCCTCGAGCCCGAGAAGAAGGCCGTGAAGGCGCCGGCTGACTGTGGCCGGTCGGCATTGGCACTGGAAGACCGACTGGAACTACCCAGGGGTTGCTTCTTGGTGAGACGACGAGAGTTTCTCTCAAAAATGCCATTGTCCAGCCTGGTCTGGGCCTCTTCCAGTTTCTGGAGACGCTTTTCTAGCTCCTTTCTTTCAGCCTCCAATCGCTTGGTGACTCGCTTCTCTTTGCGGGTTGTGTCTTTGTGCCAGGTTGGGGAGCTACAGATTTTGTCTCTTGCTCCTTCGACATCACTGATTCCACCAGTACCACTGACTGGTCGTAATGCTATTTTCTGGGATGCGACATCATCGTCTTTGGAGACAACCGGCATAACCGACGGACTCGATCCTGGAGTGCTTGTCGATGGCATCCGAGAATGTGGGGTCGAGTGGGTGAAAGAGCTGGGTCCCGTCTCCTCGTGCAGAGATGGTTTCGCATGCTTGATGTTGTCTAGCTTGGGACCATTGCTCAGAGCTTCTTTGTGCCATACCGAATTTGAATCGGACGGCTCAAGTTGACCGTCACCCGTGAAACTGTAGCTATGACGTTCCTGTAGAGAGTTAGTGTGTGATGAGCTGTCTCCTCCACGGCCATGATGAACTTGCCTTGTCTGGTCGGTCAAAGTGCAGAACACGATGGATGTGCTCGGAGATTGACGATCGACGTCGCCTGCGGGGCTGATCGTCCGACATACGTGCGACCGAGTGCTTTAGGAGCTTGTCAAGACATCAAGCATGGGCTTCAGAGGAAAGAGAAAGAGGGAGAGAGTTCTGTTCACAGGAGAAATTGCCAAAAGGGCAAACTCGGAGAGAGTAGACGAGAATGCGAGAAAAAGGTGTCGAAAACAAATTTGCAACTTGCCACTTAGATGCAGTCAATTCTGAGACCTGCAGCCCGATTCTTTCTTAGTTTCTTGTTCGGGGTGTCTCAAGATTCCAACTTGGTTGGCATGAAAATCCTCTCCACAATTACAGCTTCACTTTCGAATTCCTTGAAGTTTACCCAAGATAATGTCATCTACCGGCACAGCCCCGCTTGGCGACTTGGACCGTTGAACAACGGGGAGTTGACATCCCTCTTCTTTGACGTCTCTCTTACCACCAGGGAAGATGAACAGTACTCACCAGTTGTCTGACCCACCAAGCTATGAGGCATCGCAATCGATGCCTCCAGCCAGGTCAGGGCAAGACCAAGGGGACCCCCCTCCATATCACAACTGGCAGGAGGCAGTACCCGATACAACGGCATTCCCTCCCCCACCGATCACAGGATACTACTGCTCGGGCACTGGGAATGCATCCAGCGATGAGGCAGAGCGGGCTCACCGATTCTGTGACCAGACACCCCTATGGCTGCCTGTCAGGCCATCTCCCCCGGTGTACCGCGGTGTCCAGGAGTGCGAGCTGCGACCCGTTCAACCACGAGAATTTCGCGGGGAAATCTCTGCACCCGCTCGAGGCAGCTGGACGGTACGAAGTGTGGATCGGAACAGCGATTGTGTGATCTTGACGCACCTGCCTCTGTATTTTGCTGCCGAGGACTCACCCTTGATCCGAGAGCAGGAGAAGATGATTTATTTCGAGATCAAATTGCTCGGTCTGCGAGCTGGACCAGGCGGGGATTCCAGTGGGTTCTCGATTGGCTTTGCGGCACAGCCCTATCCTACCTGGCGTTCCCCAGGCTGGGAAAGAGGAAGTCTGGCGGTGTTCTCGGATGATGGCTGTCGGTTTGTAAATGATTCATGGGGTGGTCGAGATTTCACCACGGCCTTCCATGTGGGAGATACAGTGGGGTTGGGCATGGTGTTTTCTCTGTCCGATGGCCTTGCCACAGGGGAGAAGAAAAGGAAGAAAACATGCCGGGTCCATATCTTTTTCACTCGAAATGGACAACAAGCTGGGGGATGGGACTTGCATGAGGAAGTGGACGAGGAGTCTGGTGGTGCTGAGGGTTTGGAAGGAGACTATGACCTCTATGGAGCCATTGGGCTGTTTGGTGGCGTGGACTTGCAGTCTTGTTTTGACCCTGCAGAGTGGCTTTGGAAGAGATAGATCTATTTTAGGGGGGACCATCCATAAGGCTGAAATTGTTTCAATTATTTATCTATTTATTTATTAGCTTTGCTTCTATTCTCATCTGAATTGCTAAATGCTGATATATACATAGAGATAGATAGATACATACATAGGTGGAAAGTTCTCTATGCACCAATCATGGAAAAAATCAAGTAATCCAGAGTCCTTGATTAGAAAAAAATGAATTGACAGAAAAAGAAAAGAAAAGAAAGATCAGGGATCGCCAGATAATCCAACGGCCCGCTAGGGGCTTACACATACGCACCTGCAGGAAGGCGTCCAGGCTTCTGCACGGGTACACTTCATCTTGCATGGTTCTAGAAAGGCTGTTGACCAGCTCAGACCAGGATTTTTCCTGGTAAAGGTGCGCATTAGTGCCTCGGGGGAAGTACCAGCGTGCATCCGGGTCATGCGACGGGGGTTAGGGGGGAATGAAGTACACCTGGACATAGGTTCTATGTCCCTATAAGTCGAGATGCAGCAGGATAATTACCTGACGTCACGCCACAACCATAGCATGGCTTCGGGATTGACTTGAGAGGTGTATTTCCAGTGGAGTAAGTAAGTAATCTGCGTGTATATGTTTGAATCCTAGGAAGATCACTGAAGGAATTGGATAGGGTCTACTAAAATATTATCATAGCCCCCCCTAGGATTGTACTTTGGTTGGCGCAATAACCGCGTAGTATATGCATAGCCAGAACATTAGTACCAGTTGTATAAAAAAGAGGTATATGAATGGCTGAGAAGCTACGATATCCATAGATGTGTGCTAGTACTTATCCAGGTATATACTTTGGGATATAGATATAGCATATGAGTTTAACTAAGAATTTAGATATAGCTTTTTCTTTTCTTTTCTTTTTTTTTTTTTCTCTTTTCTCTTTTCTTTCTCTTTTATATCTTTATATATTATCCCTCTTCCCCTCTCTCTAAAGAGTATTTCCACTCCTGCGAATATCAAGATATACACGCTCAGCTGGGGGTGTAATGACAATACTGGGAAGAGAAACCTTGAATGAACCCGGTGGAGACCGTAGTCGGTGATTATCCCGAGACTAAGAGGCCATGGTTGCAGGGGGATGCAGCTAACGAAGCCTGTAACTTCAACCGCCTGCAACCCCCACCCCAAAGGAAGACCCAATAATGTGTCTTGATATGATGTCCACGGAGTGTCGCCTGAGACTCCGGAGAAGAAGATGGGGCCTTGATTCAGCAAGGCGATCACTTGGGAGAGATGCATCCCGCGTATCGCTTTTCTCAGAATCACGACATATGCAACGGGTGGAGACGAACTTGGCAAAAATCCAAATCTCGACTTTGAACACTTCAGTCAAGATTCTCCACCCAGCGTGACGCTGGTATCACACACACACACACACAGAGAGACCTGACCCACTAGGATGTTGGATGCGTTCCTGGTATTTGACCAAACCTCGGGATGGACCATGTACTGAAAATGACATTCTGAGTTTCTTATTCGACGGGGAAAAAATAGGGTGGCTAGGACCAAAGGAACTTCTGAGGGGAAAAAAACAAAACAAAACAAAACAAAACAGTCTGATCGACCTGCATGTCATCGCTTGTTCGCCCCGTCCTGACAGATTCCTGGAGGATCCCGTTTGGCCCCCAATGGAGAAGAGGAGAAGCGCCGAAAGTGATCTCGGGATTCTGCTCCACTTGAAGGCCCCAAGGTGTCTTTTTCTTTTCTCTTCCTGTTTTGCTTCTTATAGATCTCTCTCTCTCTCTTTTGCTATCTCTATTGATATCTCTGTTGTTATTTTTCCTGGAAAGAGAATCAGTGAGAGAGAAGAAGAAGAAGAAGAAGAAGAAGAAAAGACTGGAGCCGGGCATGATGTGGATTCGGAAGCTACTGGATTGTGGAGTCTCTGGGCTTCCTTTGTCTGGGGCCCACGGGGAGAGTCCGTGCAGCCGAGATACGCGTCTGTTTCACTATCTCCATTCAGATATCTCCTATTGAGGTTGAATTATGGATATCATGAATCATGGATATAGGCGAGAGTAAAGGAAAGGAGAGAATAATAATCAAAGCAAAGATCATAATAGTAAGAATAATAGTAATAATAATAATAATAATAATGAAAACAATAGGATTGCCACTTAGCGAACAAAAGTACTGGATTGCGAGTCTCGGGCTGTGCATGGGATTCTTACTGTAAACTTAGACTATACCTAGACTATACTTATATGCTATGCCTATTATATACCGTGCCTATACCCTAGTACGGCGAGATGCCCCCATTCGGCCGGATGCATATCAGCTTGGAACCTTGGAATGGTTCGACTCCCTTAGACGCCAAAGCGCCCCGAGTCAGCGGCTAAGACATTCCATCGACTTCCCTCGTGACCGGGATTTGCCTTTGCGCCACCTTGCCTTCTCGTGTTATTTATTACTTATTTTATAGATATTCTATTCTATGGATATTTATTTAATACCATGTTCAATAAATTGGTTCGTATTTTCTTGATTTACATCTTGATCTTGCACGCATTCGGTCCCACTCAAGCTCCGAATAATACCGTTATGTTGTATATGAGATCCCCGGGTATCCCATGGGATGTATAGTATTCCTTTCGATTCGAGACCTTTGCGTCCTCGCGCCCGATGTGGGTTCGTCACACTGTTTTTTTTTTTTTTGCAACCATTCAATATGCACGTTAAAATTAAGGAATGGACCACAAGGCGCGCAAACCATAGTCGATCCCAATTCCAACGGTCCAGTGGAACGTGGACAATATGGGCGCATTCTTCTGCCCTAACACCTTGGAAAGCTTGAGCACAAGCCCTTGAATGTACCTAGACGTAATGATGATCACAAACCTTCATAAGAAAACAATCACCATAATCATAATCATAATCATAAGAAAAAAGTTTCTGGGCACCAATAGAGCAAGATGAGCTGAACGAGGGGGGGGGGGATCTCGCGTGCATATGATCGAAGATGGTCTCCTTGAGGTTGCCTTTTTTTTTTCTCCTTTGCTGTGCATGTAAACTCGTCGATCTTGCTATTTGCCTGCGAGGTACCGACCGGAGTCAATTATGATCTCCAAGGACAAGTAGCTGGTTTCGTCATTTGGTCCTATAGAGTATGTACTGTATATCCATAGATATATACACATTTCCTGTAAATATGGGAATAAACACTGGATCCATGGTTCAGAGAAACAATCAACGGCCAACTTCTATATTCAGTATTCAGTGTATAGATAATAGATAATCTATGACCTCTAGGGTATTTCGAATTGCCTTGCGAATACCAGTAATACCCACGTACTTTACCCAGCTCCACTCCATGTCACGGCGCAGCATGGACCGCCGCCAATCCCTCTCCACCTTTTGTCTGCTTCCCATCTAGATCCAGGGTCTCTGACGCACGAGGCAAAACTACACCTGCAGCACTCTCAAAACGACAACAGAACTGGGGCGGCTTTGGATTTCTTTTTCTTTTTCTTTTTTCTTTTCTTTTCTCTTTTCTCTTTTTTTTTTCTTTTTCTTTTACTGACTATTTGCTAATTATTTTACTGTTTTCTTTTTTATATTATACGGAGTTCTTTTTCTCTCCCTGGCTCCATTATCCGCGGATTAGTATCAGGATTGTAGGCATTGCCGTCCCTACAAATTAATCCACTACACCCATCTGGTCCAAAGTACCTCTTTTTCTTTTTTCTTTCCCCCGTTCGCCCTTTTCTGGTTTTTTTTGGTTTTTTTTTTCCTTTGCCTCTTTCTCTCCCTCTCTCTTCCCTTTGATTTTCCTTTTTCCTTTTTCCTTCTTTTCTCTCCTTTTGGGTTGGTTGAGGAAGCTTTGTCTCCCGGACATTCGTTTTAAAACACATCTGCTGTCCTCGCTCTTTGTTGAAAACCAGCCAGTCTTCGGGTAATCGCAGTCGGTTGATTGTTGGCAATTGGTCCAGTGTGACCCTCGAGGTATATTCTACAGTGCTCCCCCGGGTTCTCGCATCGTACTAATACCTTGTGATTTGGCCCAGTAGGAGAAACAAAAAGAAAGAAAGAGAAGCAACTACCGAGGTGGCACAATCCAAAAAATACTGAGAAAAAAAGAGAGAATCCCAATTAAAGCACACATTGGGGGAGGATATATAAGGCAGTGTGGAGCATCATGGCATTTCCTTTCATGCGAGCATTTGTCGCACTCTTGTCAGTATCTTGACCTACCCCTTTTTTTTTTTGATCCTGGTCCCCTTGGAAATTCGACTGGAGACGGTTCAAACCCAATGATTAAATGAGGCTGACCCTCGACAGTTTCTATCGCTATTTTCGCCTCGTGGTGAACCTTCTCTCCTTTTGGACCTTCAAGCCGATCCCACCACCGGAAAACCCGAAGCTGACCTCGCAAGATGTGACGGTAATCATCCCAACCCTGGAGGGCTGTGGTGATGAGCTGGTGGAGACAATCCGAACGATTCTGGAAAACCAACCGTACGAGCTTCTCCTGGTGACGATCGAGGCCAATCGGAACAAGGCCGAAAAGATGCTGAGCGCGATGCCGGCATCCAAATCGAGGATTCGGCTCTTCACCGTGACGCATCCCAACAAGCGGCGGCAGATGACTCGGGCGATCCCCGAGGTGACCACGGCTATTACGCTGCTGGCCGATGACGATGTGAGCTGGCCAGGCACTTTGCTGCCATGGATTCTGGCGCCCTTTGAGAAGGATGACAAGTACGGCGGAGTGGTGACTTGCCAGCGACTGCGTCGAGCTATTGCACCTACCCTCTCACAACGCGTCTGGGGTTTCTTGGGGGCGTTGTACCTGGAGCGACGCAACTTTGACTGTGGAGCGACCACCCATGTGGATGGAGGGCTGCCTTGCATGTCGGGACGCAGCGTTGCGTATCGGACCAAGATCCTCCAGAATGAGGGCTTTACCTTTGCTTTCACGAATGAGGAATGGTGGTGGGGGAAATACCAACTCAATGCCGACGACGACAACTTTATCACTCGCTGGATGGTCTCTCATGGCTGGGAAACGTACATGCAGTACCACCCCGAGGCCGAGGTGCTCACCACCTTGGAGGACAACCCTCGATTTTTGAAGCAATGCGCCCGGTGGTCTCGAAGCAACTGGAGGAGTAATCTTACCAGTATGTTTCACGAGAAGCACATCTGGTAGTAAGTGGAACCTTTTTTTTTTTTTTTTTTTTTTTTTTGCTTTTTCCCTTTGTCAAACGGGGCCATCCTGAGTCAAAGTCGACACATCTTGGTTCATTGGTACCATTTGCGAAGCTGTCTGAGTGAGCAACACACGGACCTAGTCCACGGGTGCGTAAGATGGAAGGGTACTGAGACTCGAAAGAAAGAGAGGGAGAAAGGAAGAGGAGAGAAGAGAGATGGCCCCAAATAAAACACATGACTTTCCAGGATTTTCTTGCTAATCAGCTGTGACAGTCGTCAGCCTTGGAGCTCGTACGCCGTCCACTTGACCACCTTGTCTCCTCCAGCCTTCCTGGGGGATCTGCTCCTGGTCTGGTTGTGTCACAAGGCTACTGGATCGTGGGGGGATCTTCTGCATGATCGGGCAATGAGTGCCCTCGTGTTGTGGATGTTTACCAGCAAGTGGATCAAACTGCTGGGCCACTACATCCGCTATCCGGTGGATGTCTTGCTCCTGCCCGTGTCGATTCTCTTTGGATATTTCCACGGCGGCATCAAGATGTACGCCGTGCTCACCCTCAACGTGGTCAGTATTTCTTTTTCTCGTATTGTTATTTTCAATTTCTTCCTTTTTCTCAGCCCTGGGAACACTCCCCCCGGTTCCCAGCTTGGTGGGTTGCCTAAGCGAAAACCCCTCCTTCTTCTCCCTTCTATGACACGCCATCGCAACGCTTTGATCTCAGTCTCCTCCCTCGTGCAGCTGGATTACCCACCTTCTTCCCGTGCGAGCCATTTTTTGAGGTTCGCCTACGCGTCTTTTGATGTGATTTGGCTTGGTGCTTTTTTTTCTTATCACACGGGAATCTCTCTCGCTGACCTGAACTCTAGACTACATGGGGTAGCCGGGATGGCGCCGACGATTATGACGCAGAGCGCATGAAGAAGCGAACCGATGCCGATCGCATGAAGCAACCTTACTACCCCAGCTATCTCACCAAATAAACCTTGGGACACATACATCCCTTCTGGTTTCTTGGTCTTCTCTCCCGTCAGCTGCTCCCATCCTACTGGACCTCGACTACATTCCCCCCTCTCTTGACGATGAAATGCCTTGAATGACACCTTTGCTCTGACCATGTTCAGCTTGAAACTTCCTGGGGACTGATTTTAGACCCCCATTCTCATCAGTTTCATCCGTTCATCTCCTGTGTTCCTCGGGGAAGACAGGAGGTATTGCCCTCTTAATGGCTTTTTTTTTTTTTTTTTTTTTTTGCCTTTCTCTGCACATGATTGCCGGGTTATCAAAAGGTGGCCGACTTGGTTTTCTTATTTCTTCTCTTTGTAAATTACAAAAGCATGGGCGGATGTCGTCGATTTGCGCTCTCGTGCTCTCTTTGCGTGCTGTTCAGCCGGTTTGATTTGCCTGGACTTTTTGATAGCATTCCAATGTCTTTTTCCATTTTAGATGCAGGGGCGGGTGTTTCTTCTTTCTTCGTTTTTTTTTTTTTCGAGTTTGCCTGTCCAGTATTCTGCAGAGTGAATCAGTTCTAATCGACTGGAATCATGGATAACTATGAGCTTCATGGATTTGTAGGGGAATCCCTCGAGAGGGGAATGGGCTCGTGGCGATCGGCCCGAGAGACCTTCAAAAAAAGTCCCCCCAACACTTGCACCTTCGCAGACTCGCCTTTGCGCTCCCCCCTCCACGCAATCTCTTTTTCTTCTTTTTGTTTGTCGGTTTTGATTTGGTTCGTTGTTTGAAGCATCATGAGCTTTTCTCATGTGCTCCCATCGCGGCTATTCTTCGCTGCTCGACACAATCCATCGCTACGCCAACACATCCATTCATCTCCTTTGCGAGCGGCCGTTGCGCACCCGGTGACTGCTCACGGACCTCCGCCTAAAGCGCCTGTGCCCAAGTCGAAGGAGCAGCCAGAACGGAAGGACGAGACCGCCGATGAGGCACCGCGACCAGCAAAACCCTCGGCGGCACTGAAGAAGCGGTTTTGGAAGGATGTCCATGTCCACGGGAAACCAGGTATGTGGCCATTGACTGGTCTTGAGGGAAGGATACAATTCGCTAATCACCTATTCCAACCATCCTAGGAGAATACCAAGTTCTACTTGACAAACGTCCGGTCCGAACACCAACAAAAGAAGTTCTCTCTATACCCCCGTCAAAGCCTCACTTGGCGCACGCGATTGCCCTCGAGTGGGATGTGATGACCTCGGCCCAACAGGCTCTGAAGAGCCATCTCATCCCCCTCACCTCCCTGTCCGCCCGCGCGACCGATATTGTTCGGGAAGATGCCCAAGGCCAAGATACGACCAGAGACCAAATTATCACCACGGCCATGCGCTACCTGGAAACCGACACGTTACTGTGTTGGGAGCCCGAGCGGGAAGCTCATGCGCTGGAAAGGATGGACAGCGAGGAGAAAACGGAAAGCCTTCGTGAAATCCAGATGAAGGTTGCCAAGGATATCATGGATTTTTTGTCTACAAAAGTCTGGCCGGGCTTGGAAATTATCCCCATCCTCGATACCGAGAGCATACTCCCATTATCCCAGCCGCAAGCTACCCAGGACAGCATTCGCGTCTGGATCTCTGAATTATCCCCCCACGACCTCGCAGCTCTCGAGCGAGGCATCCTGGCATCCAAGAGCCTTCTCGTCGCGGTCCGATTGCTGGTGGAATGGAGCGAGAATTTCCGCCACCTTCAACGACCGGAAGCGAAGAAATTCGGCATCGACGAAGCAGCCGAAGCATCGAGCCTGGAAGTCAAGTGGCAGACGGATATGTGGGGAGAAGTCGAGGATACTCACGATGTTGATAAAGAAGACTTGAAGCGACAACTGGGTAGTGTTGTTGTCCTGGTGAGTGGTGAGACGAGATAGGCCTCGATGCAGGGAGATATTTGTATGATAGAGCTGTATGTACGCGTAACATCAATCGCAACCGTGATCCATGTATAGCTTGGAGCATCCATGAGAAAGACAGGGCATCAAAATACTGGGAGATCCGCTCCAAGGATCACCGGGTTGCCAAGGCCGGAGATCATCTCTCATCCCCCCCCCCCCCCCCCCCCCCAAACAGTAGGGGCATTGCGCTCGAATTTCTTTGCCCCCTCAGACTCGACATTCTCAGTTTCAATTTTGTCCTATCCCTCATGACCTACGCCCAATAGCCCGAGCGTTTCTCTGTGTGTGTCAAAACATGTCTGACAGACCTGAAGGGTGAGTTGGTCGGATCCATGGTTCTACCCATGGCAGGACCCTGGAGATGCTGGTGTCACTGGCCTCGTTTCCTGGACTTTCAATGAAACTGCTTCTGGCAGATCGCTTTCTCCAACCCATTTCCCATGTGAACTCGACTGACATGCCGCTGTCTCTCAGGCACAAACGCTCTCGAAGTGCGTTGGCGCTGGCCCTGCTGCACCGCGACAAATCCAAAAGTGAAGATAAAGAAGGCCTGGATGACGGTGACAATCGCTCGGTCGCCTCCGCCTCGACGAATGGCTCCTTAGGCCACGCTCGCAGTCGCAGCCGCCACAGTCGTCCAAAGCAAGCCCAAGAGGCGAGCTCTCCCCCCTCGCAAACTCCCCTCGAGCGAATCCCCTCCAACCAAAGCGCAGACACGATGGAAAAGGTGCCCTCGACGGCCCATACTGACAGTGGTAGCATGTCTCTCGACCAGTCGGTGCGGACCTTTCGCCTGTTTGAGATTCTCCGCAGCGGGGATACCAATGCGATCTCCAAGGCGATCAAGGAGACCAAGGATGGACAGGGAGCGAACGCCCTCTACGGCACGACGGTGCTCCACCTGGCTCTTCAGTGCGCTGAGCCAGAGGTCGTCGAATACGTGCTGTCTGTTGGGGACGACTTGGACATTAATGCGCGTGACCGCGAAGGAAGCACACCACTCCACATTGCGGCCCAGCTGGGACGGGTTCCTCTTGTGCGCGAGCTACTGAACCAGCCCACCATCAACGACTCGATTGTGAACTACCGGGGCCAGACGCCGCTCAATGTGGCGCGGACACCCGAGATCTTCCAGCAACTCCAGCTGGCACGGTCTCTCTTCATCGACAGCAAGACGCAGGAAATCCAAGCCTTGATCGGCAAACGAGATTACGAAAACCTGGAAAAGCTACTGGAAGAGCCTCGGGTGGAAGGAATCTTGGATGTGAACAGCCTGGAGTTGGTCACTGACTGTGTCACGACCCAGTCAGGCGGTACGCTACTGCATGAAGGGGCTAGAAACAAGGATGCCCAGTTGATTGAAATTCTTTTGACCCATGGCGCGGATCCTTTTCGTCGGGACAAGAAAGGGAAATTGCCACAGGATATTACCAAGGACGACAAGACCCGGGCGATGCTGAAAAAATCCCCGGCTGCCGCGATTGCACAACGGGGCATACAGGAGAAGGCGATCTTGGGCAATAGCAATGCCCAAGGGCTTTCGGGTCGCGTGTCGATTGGCGACGCACCTTTAGCAGGCAAAGATGCCCGTGAAATGAGGGGGTATCTCAAGAAATGGACTAATTACACTAGCGGCTACAAGCTGCGCTGGTTTGTCCTTGAGGATGGCGTTTTGAGTTACTACAAACATCAAGGTGAGCGGGCTCGTTTTGGATCTTGGTCTTTCTTCCAAGGCTCTTCGCTGACCTTTCTTGCAGACGATGCGGGCTCTGCCTGTCGTGGAGCGATCAACATGAAGATCGCCAGACTCAGCATGGATGCACAGGACAAGACCCGGTTCGAGATCCACGGCAAGTCGTCGGTCAAATACCACCTTAAAGCCAATCATGTCGTGGAAGCCAAGCGCTGGTTCTGGTCTCTGAACAATGCGATACAGTGGGCCAAGGATGAGGCTAAGGAAGAAGAGCGGCAACGCTCCAAGACCGCCGAAGCGCTTCGCCAAGCGAAGATTGACCAGACCGACGGGCGCCCAACCGAGACCCCGTCTGAGTCTGGTCTCGTCCACAGACCTAGTGTAAAAGGTTTGGCACCTCCATCTCTCGGGATTCCTAGCAGCAGCAGCACCAGGCTAAGCACGTATGCTTCTCACACTACACTGGACACCACGGCTGGTGACGAAGAGAGCTCGGCCTATGGCTCGTATGATCAGAGCACTGCTCAGAATGAGGTGAATAGGGCTATTAGCCATGTTACGAGTGCCCCGGATGTGGAAAGGGAAGAAGACTTTGGCGACGATGTGTCGAGCCATGAGGTGCCTGCCTCCGACAAGGATGCCCTCAATATCACCGCACAGTCCGCGAAACTTCAACTCGATCTCCTCGCAAACGTGGCTGCTTCTTTGCAAACAGAAAGGTCCAAGAATCCGGATATGTCAATCGGGGATCCCGCTGTCGAACAGGCCCTTGGTACCTATGAGGCTGCTGTCAGCAGCCTCAAGGGCTTGGTACAAAATCTGCTCAAAATCTCTCGGGACCGGGATTCTTACTGGCAATACCGCCTCAACCGGGAGGAAACCATGCGCCAGATGTGGGAAGAAAGCATGGCACGAGTGGCTCAAGAACACGAGGAGCTACAATCCAAGATGGGTGAATCCGAGGAAAAGCGAAAACGCACCAAACGCGCCCTGAAAGAAGCACTGGAGGGTGCCACGACTAGCAGCCGTTCGATCAGCGGTGCTCCCTCTCGCATACTGGCCGAGGACTCAGGTGCGACGGAAGCCAGCAAAACCGAAACTCCCCCAGAGGCTGTGGCGGAAACAGACCAGCCGGGTCAGGAGGCCGCCGAGTCCACCCTTTCTCGGAAACCGTCGGTGCTCTCTCAGCTCAGCAGTCTCTACAACTCCGAGTCGGATGGGGATGAATTCTTCGATGCCATTGACGCGGGTGAGATCGAAGTGGAGGATTTCAACAAGACCGCTGCCGCTGAGACAGAGAAACCACAAGATGAGACTGCTGAGCTGCGGGCTGTCAAAACTTCGGTCATTAAGCCCTCTTTCCAGGGATACGAAGAGCCGGTGAGGAAACGACTCAAGATGGACAGTGACAACCGACCCAAGATTTCTCTGTGGGTGAGTAAACGACATCTTGAGTTTCTGGGTTTTGTTTTGGAGTGCTCACACCGTTTCTCTAGGGTATCCTGAAATCCATGATTGGGAAAGACATGACAAAGATGACCCTGCCAGTTTCTTTTAACGAGCCGACTTCATTGCTTCAGCGAGTGGCCGAGGATTTGGAATATACCGATCTCCTTGACATCGCTGCCGACCGGTCAGATTCGATGGAGCGTCTTGTCTATGTGGCCTCGTATGCCGCGAGTGAATACGCCTCGACGATCGGCCGTGTGGCGAAACCGTTCAACCCTCTTCTCGGTGAAACTTTTGAGTATGTCCGGCCAGACAAGGGCTATCGATTCTTCGTGGAACAAGTCAGCCATCATCCACCGATTGGTGCCGCGTGGGCCGAGTCAACCAAGTGGGATTACTGGGTGAGTTAACCTGCTGCTCAAGCAGGACGGAGTATGAAGCTAACTAGGACCCCTATAGGGCGAATCTTCTGCCAAATCCAAATTTTACGGGAAGTCTTTTGACGTCAATTTGTTGGGCACATGGTTCCTGAGGCTTCGGCCCATCACTGGCGGAGAGGAACTATACACCTGGAAAAAGGTCACATCCTCGGTGATCGGTATCATTACGGGCAATCCGACTGTGGACAACTACGGTCTGATGGAGATCAAGAACTGGACTACGGGCGAAGTTTGCTATTTGGACTTCAAACCTCGCGGGTGGAAAGCATCTTCGGCCTACCAGTTGACCGGCCGAGTCGTCGACCAGGACGGCTCTCCCAAGTGGAGTATCGGCGGCCGATGGAACGACAAGATCTTCGCGCGTCACACCCCTGGCTTCGAGGCTCCCATCTCCAGCCAAGATCCCGAATCCGCCAAGTTGGTGTGGCAAGCCAACCCTCGTCCCACGGGTGTGCCTTTCAACCTGACTCCCTTCGGCATCACACTTAACGCTCTCTCCGAGGGTCTAAAGGAATGGCTGCCTCCCACGGACACCCGACTACGACCCGATCAGCGCGCCATGGAGGACGGCGAATATGATCTTGCTGCCGATGAAAAGCATCGCGTCGAGGAGAAGCAACGCGCCAAACGGCGAGAGCGGGAAGCCAATGGCGACGTGTACGCGCCACAATGGTTCACCCGGGCCAAGTGCCCCATAACCGGAGAGGATTACTGGGCTCACAATGGGAAATACTGGACCAGCCGAGAGGCCCAAGATTGGAGCCTTGCTGAGGATATTTTTTGAGCTGTTTGCTGTGTATAAAATTCTCGGGTACAAATCCAACGGATTTGCCTTCGGTGGCCATTTGAAAACCCCTTCCTCAGGGAATATAGGGAGCTATGATGTCCATTGTAGCTTGCGGTATCTAAGTAGTTAGTATCCGCAGAGGCCGTGTAGTTCTTGGGGTTCCTGGGATTCTTGTGCCGTTGTCTCACGTGATCTGAATTTTCCCGCAAACCCGTCTCCGACTGAGGAAGTCTCACCCTTTCCCCACGCGTGGATTCATCATGACTGGCGGCTATACCTGTGCCCAGTGTCTCCAGGGGCTCCGGCGTGGAGTGCAATCTGCAGGACCGCAGGTTCGCTTGCAACGCCTGGCGCATTCACGACGGAGCGCCGTCGCTCCATCCGTCATTCGAAGCTTTGGCTCACAACGCAATGGTCGATCGCTGGGAGAAAGCAAACTTGAACTCGGTAAAGGCGTGACTGGGGATTCAAGCTCTGTATCTAAATCTGTCCCCTCATCACTCACGCAGAGAGCGGCCTCCACGTCAACCGGGCCCTCCGTGGATACGCGAGCTCTATTGAAACTCAACAACCTGTTTCACTCATTTTCGAACTCGCCCTCGTCCGCCATCCGGCAACGTGCTGCATTTATCAAGCAAAATGCCTTCTGCCCTCACCCGAGCCACCAGCAGACCCGTGCCCCCGTCTCGCCGCATGATCCGGAAGCGAGGAAAACAACCGACGCCAGCTTGCCTCCGGCTCACTCGCACTTTGAATGCCCCGACTGCGGTGTACCTATCTACTGTTCTGAGGGTCATTGGATGGACGATTTTGAGGCGCATCTCGAGATTTGCGATACCATTCGCCAGATCAATGAGGATGACCACGACTTGCATTCCGGGCGCTTTTTCCCCGAATTCTCCTACCCCGGCGTTCAAGATGACAACTTCGTAATCAACATGACCAACTGGGATACCTACCTCTACACACGCGAATTTGAAGCCATCAACCATGACCGCCCCATGCGCCAGGTGACTCGCATGCTCACCTACCCGCAGACCATTGCGAGTGTCTTACATGAGCTGAGCCCTTATAACGTTCGTGCCAGTGGACGATTGACTTCTGAAGGACTGAAGAGTCTGAGCGGTAAGTTTCGATACCGATATTGAGTCTACAGCGCATGCTGTGCTCTTCTGGGTCAGTTACTGATCAACCCTGTTTGGAGGATCTAGCTCTTCGATACTCTCTGCACCCTCCGAAAACTGGCGAGAGCACCGACATCAAGGGTCTCCGTCTTAAGGCGCCCCCGGTCCGGATCTTCATCCTCGGCGCTCGTGCCGAATCGTCGCTGCCCCGTGAAGTTTGGATGCAGCTCTCCTACATGTTCCCGCGCGCCTTGCTGCATCTCGTTTTCATTGGACCGGAGAGCATGGCAAACCGTGATGCCGAGTTCCCACTCCCCGACCGGGTGCCCGAAAACCCGTTTGGCGGGATCGTCGAGGATCGATTGGGTGGTCAGATGAAGATTACCACCTACGTAGACTATTTCCACACCATGTACCAGGCACAATACTTCCAGCCGTTTGACCCGTACCTGGACTGCTTCATGCTTTTCCACCCAGGTCTGGGTCACCCGGCTAGCTCACATGAGTGGGAGCAAACTCTCCCACAGCTCTTGGAGACCAAGATTCCCATTCTCTGCACCGGCTATACGCAGTGGGATATGGAGCGCGACATCAACTGGGTCCGTGAGAAGTGCGGTGGCGAGTTCGACGTCCTTCTGGAGCCTGGTGAAAACATTTTCCGCAGTTTGCGCTGGGATTTGAACGATCTCGATCCGCATGACGTCTCGTGCGGGAATTGGGGTTTATGGGCTTTCCGAGGAAAGAGGTATGTTTTTCTCTGCTTTTAAACATGCCTTCCCCCCTCCCCATGTTGAATTGTGGCTGATTTACTTTTGTGTAGGTACGAGGCTACGTTCCAGGAAAACTAAGCGCGGCGACAGCTTTCTGTATGATATGTTTGGGGGCAGTTGTAGTAGATAAGCCCTTGTTGGAGTCTTCTCCCCAATATCACTGTATTATCTATGATATCCAGTAGCAACCGAGTGCCTAGGTGTAATACGTGGTGACGCGCAGAGTGCGCCAATTTGTAGCTAGTAGGCTCGCACGTCGTTAATGACTAGTAAAAGGATCTGAATGGTTGTACATCATTTCCCAGGTAGGTAATCGTACGCTGATCTGGGAGACCTAGATAGATAAACGTGGAGTTAAACCGTGAAGATGAAGGAAGAAATATAAATAGAGCTCGTTAGTCTTACACTCGTAAGCTAAATATGTATGACATTCAAGCATCCGCAAAGATGCACACATCAATGCCGAAGAAATCCAAAGATCAACCAAGATAAGAAAAAGACCCAAAGGTAGAAGACAAAGCTTGGATGAGATGAAATGGGAGTAGAAGAAGAGAAAAGGGGTATAGGCATCAAGAAGTCGGAAAACACGTCAAAAGAAGTATATCGGTAGAAGGAAATGTACCATGAAGGGAAACAGAAAGGACTGTGTCCAAATGTCCAGAAAACACCATTCTAGATGGGTTACTGGATGGATTGCGTCCCCCACATGCAATCGGGCCAGTGGGATCATCGAGATCCTGGGGCATTCGCGATGTAGCCCAATTGGCGTTTATGCCAGCAGGAAACCAGCGAGGGCCATCGCACCAGCGGCCATGGCGCCTGGCTTGTGGAGGGAAGCTGCGCCGTTGGCCGGCACAGAGGTCGAGGTCGGGATAGTGGTCGCACTGGTCTCGGTGGATGGCTCGGCCGCGACAGAGCTGGTGCTGGCGACCAGAGCCGTGGAGGAGCGGGGAGTCCGGCTCGGAGTAACCGAAGACGAAGGGGTGCTGGTGGACCGGTGAGGCTTCGAGGTTGAGGGAGGCGTCGGAGTAGGCAGCGGAGGCGTGTAGCCTGCTGGAGCCAGGGTGAGAGTCTTGGTGACCGGCGAGGGCGAGGGAGCCTCGGCGAATGCGACAGGGGCCAGAGCCGCGGACAAAAACAAAGCCTTGGAGAGCATGGTGTGGATTAAAAAGAGTGAATGGAGCTGGAAATGAATGCGACAGCCCGTGTCTAGGGATAAAGAACGACGAGAACAAAAGCGATGAGAAAAGGAGCGAGAGAAGGGAAATGGGCTCATTTAAATAGATGGACGCTTGTCCTGTTCGGTACTAGGTACTGGGTACCACGCCAGACCAGCGTCGTGCTAGATGGGGCCAGGTACCAGGTACGAGGTTACACACATTATATTTCCTAGGCGACGGGCGGAATGTTGGGGATGGCATGTTATTTGACATTCTATCGATATCCATGATACCTTACCACATTATCAGTCAGCCTATGCTCGATCGAATACCAAAAGCCAGTGCATTAAGGTCGACCTCGGAGGAACCAGGAATCAGATATTGTTCCGGGTGATGAAGAGCTTGGTTTTATTTGTGAATTAGTGTAAAGCACTAGGCTAATAGTAGGCTTAGGCATGGAATTTGCTGCTGACTGGTCACAAGGGTATAAGACTAAAAAAAAAAAAAAAAAAAAAAAAAAAGATAGATAGCTTAGATTAGGAGAGGGAGAGAGGGCTATATCAAGAGTATATATATTTTACTTTATATTTGTACATAGGTATACACGAGCCAGAGCCACTAGGGGGTATCACAAAAGCAGACCGCCATCCCAAAAGTCCGTTTTATCGAAGCATCATCGCACGTCACAAAGCAATATTGTCGAAACCAGAGTCAGGGCCCAGGGTTAGATCGTTTGGACGGCCATGACTACCAGCGCGACTGTCACCCAATACCCACTGGCATGCAGCAGGGTCACCAGCGGAGCCGCACCCGAGACCGATGCGTCGGAGTCGGCGACGGTGGTGCCGTTTGGAAGCGTTCCATTGATGTAGATCTTGTTGGTGCCATTCTCCGTGACAACGTGGATGTTGCTGGTGTTCCTGGGCGCGGTGCCGTTGAAGAGAGACTCATAGTAGGTCTGGTTGTTGTTGTTGTCGCAGCCACACTCCGAGTACTCCTGGCACACGCAGGTGATCGGGACTGACTCATTTTTGTGCGAGGTATCGTTTCTGAAGTGGTACCCATGGCTATAGGGGTAGGCGTAGGCACCGTACAGCCATATACCGGGGAAGAAGGCCAGCGCCGCCGCGGGCAACAGGAACGGGGTGACCCCCAAGGGCGATCGCCGGCCAGCTGCATAGGGGGCGCTCGCACCACCCGCATAGTATCTGCCACCGCCGTACGCTGGCTGGACACTCGATCCACGGGAACTTGTGCCGCCGGAGTTGCTGGAGGAACTGGTGCGACCACTGCTACTACCCCGGCTTCCACTCGAACTTGAGCGGCCGCCCCCGCCACCTCCACTGCTTCCACCGCGAGCTCCTCCTCCTCCTCCTCCTCCACGGCGCTTCTCTAGATCAACCTCCAGAGGACCCTCCGAGACGGTATCGGCATCATGTTGAACAGAATCCGTCGGGGGAATGGAGAGAGAAATAACCCCAGTGGACAGGAGTAATAGGAGCGTTGTCCAAGTCAGCTTCATGTTGAGTTGAATGTATAGCAAGAACAATGGAGAATCAAAGAAGAGTAGGAGAGTAGGAAAGTAGAAAAGTAGAAAAGTGGAGAGATGATGCAGAGGGAAAAAAAAGCAACCATGACGACACCAGGACCCTTAAATACGTCCCCCGGGCCACGTTGGAAAGGAGTCAAAAACACAGCCTCTAATTTCCGGCCTAAAACAAAGACACAAAGATGATCCTTGCCCATTTCTCCCTCTGATATTTGCAGACAAAAACCCACTTCGATCATCGCCTCCACATGGCAAGGCGCACAATCTCGTAAAGAGATCCTTGCGCTGGTGGCACAGTCTTCATATTCGATGACTATGGATTATGCTTTATTCATGTAATACATATCCTGTCTGCATCTTGTATATCTCGTATCTCTCGATAAGTTCTGTTAGATCGAATTCGGCGTAACTCATAGACTTGTATCGTAGAGAGGCGTGGGTCCCCGGGCAGAAAGGGACCTTGGGGCATCCTCTCCCCTTTACTCCCTTCACACAACTTTCCCCCCCTCTCTCTCTTTTTCTCCCCTGCGCCATGGTGCGTCAACGGGGTCTATCCAATGCATCCTCGGCATCCTCTGCCCCAGACCAAGAGCTGGGGAGTATGTATGATTACCTGGCCAAGGTCATTCTCCTCGGACCCAGCGGCGCTGGAAAGTGAGTGACATTCCCCACGTATTGTGGGGAGGAGGGGGGGGGGTTTGTCCCTCACTGACGCTTCTTTCTTTCTAATCGAAATCAATAGGTCTTGTCTACTTCATCGATTCGTGAAGAATGAATGTACGACCGACATACTGATCCTCCTGGCTGACGCTCGTTAACACGCATCCACCTTCCCGACAGGGCGAGTACTGTCGTCGCAAACCATCGGAGTCGAGTTTTCTTCCCGGATTGTCAAGCTCGGATCGGGTTCGCGACGGAGACGGATCAAGCTACAGCTTTGGGATACCGCAGGTACGGAGCGTTTCCGATCAGTTTCCCGGTCCTACTACCGGGGCGCCGCCGGTGCCATTCTCATCTACGATGTCGCTTCCCACCCTTCCTTCACGTCCCTTCCAACCTTCCTGATGGATGCGCGCGCGCTGGCCTCCCCGAACTTGACTGTCATCCTCGCGGGGAACAAGTCCGATCTGGGATCAGATGCATCGTCACAGATGGAAGCAGAAGATGCGGTGCGACCTCCACCGACTCCCTCCAGCACATCGAGCAAGCAATCCTCGCTCCCGTTCGAGACCTCTGGTTCAGTCCGCTCGAGTCACTTGGGTACAGGGACAAGGTTGACCGCCACATTTGCCCCCGAGGGTCGGGATGTCAGCCAGGAGGAGTCGTCCCGCTGGGCCGCGAGCTCGAATATCCCGGTGGCCGTCGAAGTCTCAGCTCTCACAGGAGATGGCGTGGAAGAAGTATTTAACCGGTTAGCCCGTATCATCCTGACCAAGATTGAGCTGGGCGAAATCGACCCCGATGACCCACAGAGCGGCATTCAATACGGAGACGGTGGTCTTTATGGCCACGGTACCAGTGATGGCTCCAGTATCCGTAGCCGGACCACGTTGGATGACAATGCAGTGCCTCTTCACCGCAGGACCCCCGACGAAGAGGCCAGGGCTCTGGGTCCGCGCAGGGCTGGAAGAGCGGGATGCGAGAATGGGAAGATGTCTTCCGCCTTGGAGGTTCCCAATCACGGAGGAACCGTGGGTGCTGTTGAATTCGCCTTCGATTCCTCGAGGACGGTTTTGATTTTTGGTTTGGTCGATTTCGCATGGTCACTATGGTGACAAGTCTTTCGTTGTTCGCACGATACCCCCCTTTGGCTTCCGTTCACGATCCCTTTGTTTTTGTTGCAGCTACAAGCCGACTGTTTCCGCGGAAGCAGAATGTTCTTCTAGTGGCCATTCATCACTACCTTGAGTTTTCTTCCCTCACTTCGAAATCTGCGAATTCAACGCTTGCGATGAGGTCTTTTTTGAGGACACTATCTAATGGGAACTAAAATCACGGACTTTTCTCTTACTCGCTAATACCAGCGATGAGAGTCTTGATGCCTTTACCGGCCTTGACCTCCTTGAATGCGTGCTCGGCTTCCTCGAAATTGACCGTGCCGGTGATCAACTTGTTCACATCCACTTTACCGGACGAGACCAGGCCAACTGCCAGCTTGTAGTCACCGCTCCCGTAGCGGAAACTACCCTTGACATTCAGTTCCTTGGAGCAGGCTGCCATGATGGGGAACTGGATCTCACTCCGGCCCATGCCGCCCTGCACATAGGTGCCACCGTTTCGAAGGACATGAATGCCAGTGTGGACCGAGGGCTCGGCGCCCGAGGCATCGATAGCCACATCGGCACCAGTCCCGAGGTCATTCTCTTCCTTGAGCCGGTCGGCATTCATAATTGCTGACACCTTGCCGGGCATGAAGGTGGACGTCACCGCATACTCCTTGGCAAAGTCCAGGCGAGATTGCTGGATGTCCACAGCAATCACCTTGGAGGCCCCAAAGGCACTGGCCACGGCGCAGCACAGCAGTCCCACGGGCCCAGCCCCGAACACCACGACCGTCTGCCCCGGGCTGACGCGGGCCTGTCGTACAATGTGTACCGCCACGCTGAGTGGTTCCATAAGAGCGCCCTCCTGGAGCGAGATGTGTTCGGGGAGCTTGTAACAGAAATCCTCCGGAAGCACATAGTATTTGGCCAACGTGCCATCATTTGGTGGGGTGGCGGCAAAGGCCATGTTCTCGCAGAGGTTATACTTCCCCCCTTTGCACGGCTCACACCGACGACAGGAGATGCCGGGTTCCATGGCGACGCGGTCACCCACCTTGAGGGTTGTGACGGCCGACCCGACTTTGCTGATGACACCGGCCGATTCGTGTCCTAGAACCATCGGGTCTTTGACCACGAATTGGCCGATCGCACCGTGTTCCCAGTAGTGCACCTGGAGAATTATTCCCGCGATTAGCCACCCTCCATCCGAAGTACGAAGACTCCATGACGCCGAAATGACAACTTACATCACTGCCACAGATACCGGTATACTTGACATTGATGAGCACATAGTGAGGGTTCTTCAGCTCGGGGATCGGGCGGTCTTCAAATTTGACTTGATGGATGCCTTCGAGGATGAAGGAGAGGTTCTGACCATGGCTCTCCATTAGATCGTGTCTGGATCAATCAAAAGGAGGTACTTCATACCTGCGCCGTTGCGACTTGGGAGCTCATCTTTTTGTCTGGTGTGGGGCTCACGATGCGGGGGGGTGGATGGGTGAGAATCGAGGTTTACACGGAGAGCAGAAGGAAGAGCAATTGATAGAGATAAGCGAGGATTATCCAAGGCAATTCAAGAGATCAAGAGAAAAGAGAAAAGGGAGAGAAAGTAGACAGTAAAGAATTTAAAGACCCCCAGCTTTTGCATCTCCCCTCCCCCCACTTTTGCATGTCATTTTACCCGCGGGCGATTTTAACCGGTTCTGGCGCTGAAGCAAGCAAATGCCCCCGTCATGATTGCCTCAGGAACTGATACGGGGGGTGTTCCCGCAGGATATTTACTTTCAATGTAGTCACTTTTACTTTATTCTTTGTATTTATATTTCAATTTGTATACTTATATACTTATCTATATTTAACAATCCACACGATGACAGAATTGGAATGTCCTTCGGGTATTTGATCCTTTTACATGATATACCACTGTGATCCTGCAGAATATAACCGGAAGATACATCCATGGATCCATCCGTGAATCTCGATGGCTCGGGTGGTGCGTGCCAAGACCGCTGCGGAGTTCAACCTTCACTCTGCGCGCCCGACACCTCTCCCTCTCTCCACCTCATTCATCTACCATGGCCCGAGCCAACGCACTCGCCCATCGGGCGTTGCGCAGCCTTCGGCCACAGCCCACCTTCCCTGTCGGGCAATGCCGGTGGTTCGCATTGTCGGCCCGTCGAGCGAACGACAAACCGCAGCAGTCATTCAAGAGTCAACTGTACGAGAGCACCCAGCAACGCCTTAAGCGTGAGCGGGCAGAGCAAGAGCGATTCGCGCAATACCAAACCCAATCCCCCGGTGGCCGCTATGCGGCATTGGTCTTCGGTATGTAATCAACCTCTCTCTTTCTCTTCACCCCCGAGCTGGTGCTGATCCATTACAGCGCTGGTCTTCTTCTCGACTGGGGCATATTATTTAGGATCGCTCAGACCGGCTGGCCTTCCCTCGTCGTCCACAACCTCTGTGTCCGATCTTGATCCGCCAAAGCATAACGTGTCCCAGTCGAATCTCCAGGCTGCTTGGGCGGATTTCGTGGATATCCTGGGCAAGGAGAATGTCTCGACCGCGCCTGGTGACCTGGAGATGCATGCAGGATCGGACTGGTCGTCCTACTGGCGGAAGGAGGATGAAAAGCCGTTCCTAATCCTCTACCCGTCCAGCACCGAGGAGGTGTCTCGGATCATGAAAGTCTGTCACCAGCGAGTGATCCCGGTGACCCCGTATTCCGGCGGCACCAGTTTGGAAGGCCATTTTGCGCCCACCAGGGGTGGCGTCTGCGTTGACTTCCGTCGGATGGATCGTATTTTGGAACTCCACCCCCGCGACCTGGATGTGGTTGTCCAGCCGGCGCTGGGATGGGAAGATCTGAACGAGGAGCTGTCGAAAGATGGGCTGTTCTTCCCACCCGACCCTGGCCCCGGCGCTATGATCGGAGGCATGGTGGGAACCGGCTGCTCAGGAACCAATTCCTACCGGTACGGGACAATGCGTGAGTGGGTTTTGTCGTTGACGGTTGTCCTCGCCGACGGGACCGTCATCAAGACCCGCCAACGACCTCGAAAGTCGAGCGCCGGATATGACCTCACTCGGCTATTTATTGGCAGCGAAGGCACCCTGGGCCTGGTCACTGAGGCGACCTTGAAGCTGACGATTCGACCCAAGAGCCAGAATGTTGCTGTTGCTTCTTTCTCATCCATCCAAAATGCCGCCGAGTGCGTGACCCATGTGGTTGAGGCCGGCATCCCCGTGGCGGGAGTTGAGATTTTGGATGATGTGCAGATGAAGTGTATCAATGCGAGCCAGTCCACCAGCCGGCAGTGGAAGGAATCCCCCACCCTGTTCTTCAAGTTTACGGGAACGCCGGTCGCCGTCAAGGAACAGGTCGGTATGGTGCAAAAGATCGTGTCGAACACTTCAGGTCGGTCTTTTGAGTTTGCTCGGGGCGAAGAGGAAATGCAGGAGTTGTGGAGCGCTCGGAAGCAGGCCTTATGGAGTGTCATGGCAATGAAACGAAGCCCAGAAGACCACGTCTGGACAACTGACGTGGCCGTACCGATGAGCAAGCTGCCCGATATTATCGAGGCGACTAAGAAGGACATGACCCAAAGCCGATTACTGGCCGGAATCTGTGGACACGTCGGTGACGGGAACTTCCACGGTGAGTGCTCTCCCCTGTTGGTCTGAATGGAGATCCTACCTGAAGGTTCAATGCACGCTGACCCCAATTCAAGCCATCATCCTGTTTAACGACAGCGAAAAGAAAATCGCCGAGGGAGTGGTTCACCGAATGGTGAAGCGGGCTGTGGAGATGGAGGGAACCGTCACTGGTGAGCATGGGGTTGGTCTCGTCAAACGAGACTATCTCGAGCACGAGTTGGGTGAATCGACTGTAGATGCCATGCGTCGTGTACGTCTCTCTACCTGGTTTACTCTGCATGTCAACGCTAACATTCATTCTCTAGTTGAAATTGGCCCTTGATCCCCTCCGCTTGCTCAACTGTGACAAAGTCATCCGCACCGAGCAGCCGGCGCCTGGAGAAGTCAAAGAATGGTAATTTAGGACCGCCCACATGCCAACACTCGCCCGTTAGGGGCTGTACTACAGCAGCAGAAGCTCTGCCTCTAAATTGAATCCTCTGAACCAGACCGGTCATGGTGATGGTGTCGATGGTGTCGGTGCCGGTGGTGCCGGTGGTGATGAGAGTGCTCCTCGTCGCTATCACCGCTCCGCGAGCCTGAGTCACTGGAGCGCCGGTCATGTTCATGCCGTCGCTCAGCGTAGTACTCGGTGTTGTTGTCAGCCCGCTGTCCATATCCCTCCCTCGGAGCTCCATAGCCAGAGCTGCCATACTCATCATAGCCACCCCGGGGCTCATGAAACCCAGGCGAGACGTCTCTGCATCAACATGGTTAATACAGATAATTGGTGAACACCTCTTCATATCAAAACGGCTCACTCACTGTTCGAATGCTCCACGTCCGTAGGCGCTTTGCTCCGTATGCCCGTACGAAGGCTGGCCTGGCCTGTAATCATAACGCGATTTGGTGCGTTCATATTCACTGTAGCCTGTCTGATAGGTCTCTCGTCTCTCATGTTCATAGTAGCCACCTCCGTTGTGCTCTGGCTGGTATTGCTGGTACTCGCGTCGGTAATTCTGCGTTTGAGGATAATCATCCCGGGGTACTGGTGGGCTTCCGTAGGCTGCGTGTTCGCTCCAGTATTCATAATCGCGTCGTGGAGGCGGCATGTTTTCATACGGGTTCTCTTCGCACCGCCCATGACCCTCATGATGGTGTCGATGTCGATGCTCATGCTCCCTGTCGTCAAGGTCGCCGCTTTCATACTGAGGAGACTCGGGGCTTTCTCGCCCCGGCTTCGAGCCAGCTTCGTTCAAGAGCATTGAGCTCATGCCTCCCACAATACCGCCAACTAAACCACCCAATGCCCCTCCTCCCACAGCGTCAGATGCGACCTGGTGAAGGCCGGTATCACTGGCCTCCTGAATTCCACCAGAATTGCCATGGCCTTTGGGAAGTGCTAGCGGTTTGCCACACCCATGCCCGGAGTCTTGCACACCTTCTTTATGGTTCTTTCCTTCGAGAACACCGTCGCGGCTGAGCTGCTCCCGGAGAACATCGCGCCCCTCCTCGCCCTTTTCCTGCCACCACTGCTCGACGGTCGAGAACATGGTCTGGCGCATATCCACTGCACCATCATCACCGTAGTCCCGGAGCGCTGGATGGTGAAAGACTCCAGAAATAATCCTGTTCAAGGTCCGGTCGACATCGACATACTCATCATCCCAGCACTGCATTAACTGGGGAACTGCCCACTTGACAATATTCGAAGCAATCCGGCCGGCTGGCTCATTCAGCACATTTGAAAAGTGGTCTTTAGACAACATCGAATGGGTAGGGTTTGTGGAGTCATCGTCATTGAACACTATGTGTTGCTGCTCTCGGCTGCTTTGGATCACTTCGGAGGAACCGGTTTCGAGCTCGGCCTTGACTTGCTTGATGATGGGAAGAACGTAAGGCGCGAGGATGGAGAAGACAAAGATAGTGATCTGGTCTTGAATCTGTTCGATCAGCTCTGGCAGGACCGGAATCTTCTCGATCGCCTCATGAATCGCCTTAAGCAGCTCATCATGCCACTCGAGAACGGGGTAGATCTGCTTTTGGACGTCGTTGAGGTATAGTGCCCACTCCTCGGGTTCCCGAGGACTGATATGCTGGCCACTGCTTTTGGCATCATCTGCCTTAGCCTTGAAATCGTCCATGCGGCCAGCTTGGGTGTCGCTATCCCCGATCAATCCATCAGGAATTTTGCCTAGCAAATCCTGTAGGAAGCTCTCCGACGGACTCTCACCCTGGGATTCGTCAATGACACCTTCCAGTGATTGGATTTCAGACTGCATGGTTTTATCGGAGAACTCTCCAAGCACCGAGTGGAAGAAATCAACTCCGCCAAAGGTGCCTGTCACGACGGGATAGATGTAGTCCCGGGCACCGCCAACCTCAAGTCTCGTATTGCACCCAACATGAGGAAATACTTCGGTTTCCCCAAGCTCGATGAGGCTGAGCTCTGTGTAATTGGAATGGGCGGCATAGTCTTCCAGGCAGTGCAAGCCAGTACCAAGCAGTCGCAGCGCCTCGTAAAGATCTTCGTTGTTTCGGGATTGGGCATAACGACGCCCAAGCTGAATTGAACGGCCGAGGACACGGCGTATCAGACCCGCGGAGGTGTTAATCCCAATATCTTCTGATGCTATGTAGCTCTTCAACCCTATCGAATGACTGGTTAGCCGGATATACGCAACCGCCCGGTCACCACACTCTATACCTGTCCGAGGGTCAACCGAAAGCTCGCGCTCCTCGTCAACAGGACCGCGAAGCCGTGGATCATAGCAGCGTGCATCCTCCCCCTCTGCATATCCTTGGGGGTTGTCGATGTGCTCCGTAGGCTGGTAACACCCGAGTCGCTCTGAGGTGACCTCAAACTCTCGCGTGCCAAAACTGATGGGCAGGTATTGTGAGGACGTTTCTTCCAGCTATTCAATCTCGACCAGGGCTTACCCAAAGCTCATGAAACCTAGCACCCAGATGAGAATGCGGATCGCTTCAGCACTGACGTACTTGACCGTGCCCACGTCGACCGCCTGGCTATAGTCTCGAAGCCAGTTGCCAAAGTACACGCGCTTCACGTCAAGTTTACCGAATTTCCGACCACCAGCAACCCGCGCCAGGAAAGGAGTTAGCAAAGTATCTTCAATATCACCATGACGCCAGTTCTGACCCTCGATACGGGAGAGGGAGGCGATATTGCCAGCACCGAAGCCGTGGGCATGGCCAGAAATAGCAAGAAGGACTAAGAGTGAGAGGCCGAGGTGTTGTAACGACACAGCCATCATGAAAGGACAGAGGATGGGTACAGATGAAAGAAGAAGGAAGGGCTATAAAGAAAAAGAAAGAAAAGGAGGCAGAGCGCAGAACACCTGTCACTTTGAACCCCACCTTGTACACAAACCCACTCGGCTGCAGGCCCGTTGGCCTTGGCGTATAAGAAGATCAAGAGGATTAAGGGAGAGGATAGAGGATAGAGTGATACAAAGCATTTATTTAGAATGTCTAAGGATAAGAATAATGAATAATAGGAGAAGAATACCTAGGTAAAGAAGAGTAAAGAGTATATATAAATATAAGACAAATAAAATAGGGGAGATTCCTGAGGGTTAATAAGAGTAATAAAAGTAATAAAAGGGGATCGGAAAGAAAGATAAGAAAATTGATTTCAAAATAGAGATAAAGTAGATTATATAGTAAGATCGTGGTAGTAGCAGTATAGTAGTAAAATAGCTACCTATAGAGTGGATAGATCAGGATCAATTTAGTTAACGAGACCTTGAAATCTATTTTTTAGCCTCTTTCTCTGTCCCCTAAAGCTACCCAACCAAAAGTGAGGATCAGCGGCTTAGAGATAAAATATATAGATCCATGGATGGCAAGCTGATGGATCACGAACGGCGCTATCCGCATGCATCTCTTTCTCCCCATATCCGGCCTTCACCGCCGTCTCTCTCCCCTGGACCCTTTCCTCTTTTTCTCTTGCTCTTTCTTTTTTCCCTCTCAACTCCCCCAACTCAACCAACGTATTCTTATTTGCTCCCAGAATAATCTGGTGTCGGGCGGGAATCGGCCTGCCTGGACTTGCCCAGGTGGTTTCCTCAGCTGACGTGATAATCTCCCGATATGCGCCTGTCAAAGTGATCGTCGACTCCGTGTCTCAGCCCCCCCCCCTCCCCGGGAAAGGCGATTGCTCATCACCTAGCTGGTAGCTCTCGTCTGCTTCGCATGATCCAAGCGACGGCTTCTGCTATTCTTCAGATTCGCAATCATCAACTGCGTGCCCTCCCAGTCGTCCACACAGCTCCTCCAGCTGGATGTCACTTCGGTAGTGACTCTGAAGTCTCGTTCCCGTTCCAACCTGCGATCAAACAAGCAGCGCTAACCATGAACGGCATCACCCATTTCTAAGAACATTGCTCGATCGCGTTAATCTGGGGGAAAGGGCGTGTTGTCGATACAGTCGGCCATCATGGCTCGTACTGACCTTTCCTTCGTCCATGAACCGGCCCTTCCGATCTCACAAAGTCGAGCTTCCAGTGATTTCGGGACACAGTCGCGTACCAAAAGCAGCGTCCTCCCCACTGCGAGGCCCGGTGTGAAAGGTCGAAGGACTACCTCCTATGACCCTCACTCGCTAGTCCATCCACCTCTGGACTTGGATGCTTCTCCGGATCCTTCTAGCACCTCACATGACCCCCCCAAATTCCTGAACAACCGAGGATCAATGACCTCAACAAAGGCCATGCCGGACGCTATCCTGAGCGAACAACCATGGAATTCGGATTCGCATCAATTGGTGGCTGCTTCTAGCCTGAATACATCTTCCGACGGTGTCGACTATCGGCCACAGAAAAGCAAATCGGGCAAGCCTAAAGTACATATTAAACCGATGCTTAGGAAGATGTCGCGAGACGACGCGCCTTCGACATCCATCGATTTGTCTCGGTCCTCCACCGAACAGGAGGGGTTAGGAATTTACATGAATTTTGACCGGGACAGGCGCCAAAGTGAATCACTCACGGGTGTGGCATTCAAGCCAACAACCCCCGGCCTCCATCATCGGTCAACTAGCGGGGCTTCCCACTTCTCCACGGCCACCGGCTCGAGCATAAGCAAACCAGGATCACAATATGTCCACCCGATGCGGCAAACCCCTCGGGCCTATACACCCCCGCTGAGTCAGTCTTATTCTACCTCCGTTCACGATAGTGACGAGCTTGAGGATGGAACCCCCGAGACAGAGCCTAGGACCCTACCAAGGTCTGAGATACAGCCATCATTCGTTCGCGCCTCGTCAGGGCCCGTCCCGCGTTTATCGTTACATATTGAAGATGATTCATTCACCCATCTTCCTGGGATCTCACAGACCAATGTCAGCGGCCGGCCATCCCTGAGCTGTTCAAGAGACAACGGGACTGGGTTGGAGACTGCGTCCCCAATCTCCAGGAGTTCCCTCGACTTTGTCTTTCGGTCTCGGACCCGGACCAGCACAGACCCTATCTCCCGAGCAGCCACAGTCCAAGCTGCTCGACAGGCATTCGAAGAAAAAGAAGCTGCCAAAACACGGAGGCTTGAACAGCAGCAAACCAAAGCCGAAGCCCGGCAGACGCGGGGCCGAGTAAGGCGGACTGTGTCTGGAAGTCCACAGTCTCCAGGGGGACACTCGAGCGAGGTGATGTCGGAAAAACCGGGGAAATCCAGAGAGCCCCATTCTTCTGAGCCTCGAGATTCTCAACAGTCAGCCTCGTGGAAATCACAATCCCGGAGTACGTGGGTACTGTTCATGACGTGGCTCCGAACTCGAGTATTCAAGCTGCGCCGCCGAATACGGAGGCTTTATTGATGCTCCCCTCTTCGTTTTTCTATGGTCAGGAGTCATTAGCGATATCAAAGATTTGGCTGGGTTGGAGAGATGGCGCATATTGTTCTTTTAATCTGTTTTCTGTTTTTCTTTTTCTTTTTCTCTAGCATACTCGAGGTATCCTGGTTCCCGATCGCAGGACGATGGCTTGAATTTGCAATGGCATGGACTCCGCCATGACATCAAAAAAACCTCAGATTTCAACTTGCGACTTGCAATCCAGCCGGCTAGACTTTTCCATCATGCTAGATTCTTGAAATCTTCAAAACAATTGAGGAATGCCGCGACCTTGGAGATGGTGTTGGTCACGTGACAAAATGCGCAAGTGTCGCCTCTGGGTGTCTCGTCTTCTGCTCTTCCACTACGGCGCACAGCAGCGACAACAAACGCCTGATCGGTGCTCCACATCTCTCTGCTTTCGGGTTTGTTCCCCACAGCCGCACCTCCACGGAGGGAGGGTGTCCTCTACCATGGTGTACGACTGGGCTGGGAAGCGGGACATCTGCTACCAGATGTACATCCAAGATAAAAAGGCGCTGGAGGAGATCATGGAACACATGCGAACCGCCTATCAATTCGCGCCAAGGTGAGCTTCCTCTTTCTACCCGGACAGGTTCAAGGTCTTCCCACTGATCATACTGTCGGTCCAGTAAACGTGCCTTTCAGACCCAGTTTAAACGATGGGGTTTTCCTTCAAAACAAAATCCCGCCCACAAGAACGTCGATCTTGTCGCCCGTGTCAAACAGCTATGGGAGAAAAACACAAGCCAACGGGACATGCTCAGGATCTTGAACGAGGAAGGTTTTGAGATCAAGGAGAGGGAACTGATGCGTGTGCGGGCGAAAAATCGCTGGTTACTTCGTGTTCCCAATGGCATGAAGTCCCAATCCACCGCCGAGACACGAGCGACACAGCCGGAGGATGAAGGATTACTCGCTTTGCAACAGGAGGTCTACAAACAGGAAGGGGCATTTGATGACGCTGACTCGCTTGCTGCAGAACCAGCGGCAGAGCCCTCCACGTCACCGGGTCTCTCACCCGAAGTCCTAGCAAAACGAAAAGAGCGACTGGAACGTTTGAAAACAGAGAGTGCGGAACGTTGGGCCTCCAGGAAGCGTCGTCGCCGGACCCGCGGATGGGCTGGATTACCGGCAGATCCCCCGGGTCCGCCTCGCTTCCCCTCGGAGACCACGATTGATGAGAGTAAGCATTATCTCAATCTAGACAATGCAATGTACCGCCAGATCCGCGATCATTTTCAGAAAATCTGCGAGGATTCAGGGTTCATCAAAAAAACGGCAGCCGGCCCGGAAAGGTGGCAAGCGGCGAAGGACCGATTAATTCAAGAATCTCCACATCTCCAGCAGGTATTCCACATAGAGCCGAATCAACGCGACGCCAAGGCCCTTGCTTTGGATGTGGTCTGCACCGATGTCACCAAGCGTATGAGAACTCTCGAGAGGCGGATGACCATTGCAGAGGCCAAAAACGCGCTGGGGATCAACCCGGAGGAAAGTCGACACATTCGCAACGCCTTTTATGACACGCTCAAAGCGGATCATTTTACCAGCAAATTGGAGGCCGGCGATGAGCATTGGAAAGAGCTCAAGGAACAATGGGTTGCGAATACGGCACTGTTGCAGCAAATTCTCGCCCCAGGCCCCGCCGATCCAGATCACACCACGAAAGTGAAAGCTCTCGAGGTACTCTGTCGTGATGTCATGAAGCGACTACGCGATGACCAGACAAAGCGCGATCCCTCGCGCAAGCGATCAGTAACAGAGTCCGAGTCTCAAAACTCCGTACCAGCCAACCCCGTTATAGGGAATGTGCTGGACAATGGGATCAGTAATGGAATTAGCACCCTCGCCTCCCAGGCGCTTGCCAGTGCTCCAATTACCGCAAGCGAGATTGGCGATATGCAGATTGATCCGTCGCTCCTTCAGGCAGCTAATGACCCATCCTTCTCGGCGAACACGCAGCATGATGGTGGCAATGCCTTCCAATATGTGGACCCTATGCTTCAACCAACGCTTTTACATACTCCAGTCCATCTTCAAATTTGCCCACAGGACCCCCAGGGGCCTGCAGTTAAGACCTGGCTTGAGAAATTGGCAACACGAACGGTTGAAGAACTCCGACAATCGGTTGCTGCCAGATATCCCTATTCGATCATCATCAAGATTGAAGGCATTGATCGGGATGAACATGGGAATGAGCTTTCGTTCTCGATTGATGAAGATCATGAACTGGACTCCTATTTGGCCCATGTGCACGGCAGAAAGGCATTGATTGTGTTGACCTTGAGCCAGATCTAAGGACTGGGAAGAAAATTGCCGATGAATCGACGGCCTACGATGTATTCTTATCACACACACTAGATAAAACACCTCAAAGCTCCTTTAGACCATTCACCTAGGTCACCACCCGGACGTAGACCAGGGCATGTTACTAGAGCTTTACTGAAACATAGGATGCTGCCTGCATCAGTGGATGATTACAACAATCCAATGTCATATTTCACAGGGTTAATAGTAATCACAAGAATGAAAATACATGATCCATCCGGTATCGTCCACCTCGCCCAATACCCACCAAGCCACTATCTACTCCCTCCGTTCTCCGTGTTTAATGAGCACCAAGCGTTTGGACAACGTTTCGAAAGAGAACCCCAAGCGACGGCAAGGAGAATGACGGAGAGTCTCCAAATACGCTTGCCAGTCCCTTGGTTTGGGGAGATAAGCTCTCCTCGTCACCAGCCTGCGAGGAGATCCCAACATGCCCTCGGTTGAAAAGACTCGCCAGCCCGGATTGGAGATGACCAGTTACCTCACGGGATTGAACGCCCTTTTGTGAGACTTTGTCCAAACAACCAAGTCGTTGCACGCTGGCAGTACCATCAACGATGATATAATCGCCCGAGTACGCGTCGGAAAGGAGTGCAAGAGGGCAGCTTCTGAGAGAGTCACTGAATACCAGCTCAAAGGATGGTACGTCGTATATCTTGATGTGGAACCGGGTCCTCTTGTGCCGTTTCTTCTGTGACGTGCTCGATCCACCCTCTGGGGCTCGAGTGGCAATGGCAAAAGATTTGGTCTTGGGATTTGCAGCAACAAGCTGGAAGCTCCCAGTACCCGCCGAGCCCGCGGGCTCTGATAATTGAATGGTCTTCACAACGTCATCAACCGTATCCCAAACAGCCACCGACTGGGTGGAAGCAACAATCAGATGTCTTCCCAGGAAGTCTACTGAGCTTGGAGCTCCTGGGAAAACCCCAGTCCTTCGGTAATGCACTGTGCTGGTTCGCGCATCGACCAGAAGAACAAGACCATCATTCGCACCAGACCCGGACGGCAGGCAGACGGCGAGTACAGAGCCATCTTCAGAGAAGGCCATGCACGCCGTATCCAAGGGCGAGGCCTGGGGGTTATCAAGACACCCGGTAAGGTCGAGAGAGCTCCGACACTTCCATGTATCTAATTGCAGCTCTGGCTGGTCCGGTGCTTTTAGGCCGCTGCGATACCTAGCAGTTGGGCCCCAAAAACGGAGGGATTTATCGGCTCCAAGTGTAGCAAACTCGTGAGCACTTGGGCGAGACACTAGACTGAGCACAGCCGCATGGCGATTATTGGTGAAGTGAGGGCCATCAATGCGCGTCACCAATTCCCAGATATCAGACGATGCATTCCATTTCCAGAATTTCAGAAACACCTCTGATCGAACAGAAGGAGAGTTGAGACTTGGGATGTGGCGATCCAAAGCCTCCGTATCTTGGGAGGGCGAGCTCCAACTATCAACGGTAGCCAGCCAGGTTGCATCCTGCACGATTCCCATGTGTTTGATATCAGGGGCGACTATCAGGGACCCCTCTGGACTGACACTCAACGTTGTTGCGTTGGTTCGGGCGAGAGCCTGGCGGGAAATGTGCGCATCGGCCCTGATGTCAAATGTCTGAAGAACGGCGGAGTTTGCGGCCTGGGGACCATGCTGGTTGATCTGGTGGAAAGCAGGGACGGCAATGAGTAGCTGCTCTGGGCGCTGTGGATGTAATGTTGCCACAACGCCATGGGGCGCATTCAAGAAAGGGTCCAGACGACTTGCCACCTCGGGACACACCTGCAACCCGGTGATGGTTGTCGATGGTTGCAGTTCTCGGGCCGACAAAATCATGGTCGAGTTGTCGGCTAATTTTACCACATAAGAATTTCCCTGGGGAGAAACCACTATGTTGCAGATTGGGGAGGAAAGATGGGGAAGAAATTGCTTCCGACCAGTATCCAACTGCCACAGAACCATAACTGACTCCTGACCACCCGATATGATATAATTGCCTACCGAGGAGTTAGAATGTTGAGCGACATGGTGGGTTGTGAGAGTACCTACCGTCTTGAGACCAACGCACGCTATTGACAGGACCTCGATGCCAATGCAGTTTGCGCGGTGATGGTTTCTTGTCGCTGTTCTGCTTTCCAAACAGGGACGCAAGGATATCTTGGTAGATGAGAATGGCACCACCACTCTCTCCTACCACCAGATCAATCGACTCTGAGTCTCTTGTATCGGGCGTTTTGCTTCGAGCCGCAGGAGCACTCTCGCGCAGGTCGAAGCAAGTGGTACTCACCGGGAGGGTCGCCTCTCTCCAAGAATATTGAACGGTTTCGAGGTTTTCAAGCTCCGCGCTGGCCGTGCTACCCAGCAGGATGTGCTGGCCATCACTAGCAATGATTATTCGACCCCCTTGAATGACTTTGAGATCATGGATCCGCTTGTTGGTGTGGAGTGCGGTCACGCTTTGGAGCTTTTTGTCGCCCGATGTGTTGATCACTATCTGCCTCTTTCCACCATTCTGCAATTCAATGGAAAAGAAGAGTGTAGTAAATTCGGCACCGCTTTCCATGGACGCCAAGTCAGCTGAGAGAGTCGTGCAGCTGGTCTCCCAGCGTGAGAGCCTCTTTCCAGAATTCCAGTGCCACTTGGTCACAGACCCGGATGTGAAGATATAGATATTCTCCGAGTCTGCTGGACATAGCTTATATCCAACAACCTTTTGGCCAGTTTCCATCTGCAGAGTACGGGACAGGCGAGAAGTGGAGGTTGCAAAGACCTGGACTGCAGTTTCGAGTCCCACAAAGAGATATCTGTGATTCTGGTATGTTAAAATAGGCTTAAAACCTCAATCAGGAAGGACAAAACTCACGCCTCATCAGCGGTCAAAATTGGGTCCAGGTTACTGTAGCGGCCAGCGAGTGGGCGCGAGAACGACCACGGGGCCAGGGTGCTGCATCTAGACACATCCTGCACTTGGACATTGGAGTTGGACACCCCCTCAGCACTGACTGGCTTGACTGGCTCTATTTTCTGAGCCTCGCTGGTCTCAGAGAATCGACGTCTTTTCACTCGGTCCTCAGTTGATCGGGGTTTCTCTGCCGCATCACTGACTCGGTTTCGTTTTTGGCGAGCCAACGGGCTTGCCATTTGTGCAGGCATTGCCAAGCTCAGCTCAGTATGTCGAGATCAAAGAAAAAGAAAAACGAATATCTTAATTGACCATGCCTAGGTAGGTCCTTGCAGATAGCAACGCAATTCCGAGGCGTGTAACTTTTTTTTTTTCGGACAAAATCAGGCGGAGAGAACGGGCAGAAAAGACCATCTAAATCGGGTTAGAGTGTGATCTGCCAAAAAAAAGTCTGGCTTCGATCATTTTCTTTCCTCCTTATTTGCGTCCAACTTTCACCATGATTATTCCAGTTCGTTGTTTTTCCTGTGGAAAGGTAAGCTGTCTATTTCCTCTTGGTTGTTCTCGCTAAAATGATTACATTAGGTTGTCGGCGACCTGTGGGAGCGTTACCTGCAGCTTCTCGATGATGGTGTTCCGGACGGGTATGCGATATGTATTCCTCGGGTGTATGTGTGTGTTACTCTAACAGTGGCTTTCTCTCTAGTGATGCTATGGATCAACTGGGCTGTCGACGGTACTGTTGTCGACGGATGATCATGACGCACGTTGATCTGATCGAGAAGCTCCTACGGTATGTCTATAAGCTGGACTGGGACTCAAGGGGTTGGGCTCATCTTCCACAGGTACAACTCCGCCGAGAAAGACCGAACGAAGGCCCAAATCTAAGTCAGGTGCCATCAATCTCTCTACCTGCAAATCGTTCCAAGTCTCACCACCTGAGATTGTACATCCCCACCTACGCTTGCTATCACACAGATCCTTGGTCAACCCGAGTGGGGGGAATGTATGGAGTCCAAAGAATGGCTATGATTTCTGTACAAAAGCTCCTTGGCTTGGTGGGTTGACGGCAATTGACTCGGAATCCCATAACAAGGCTCTAAGGTGCCCAGATGGCACTGTTGCTTCTTTTGGGGAGGGCATGGACTTCACGGGGCTTTCAGAGCAGTCCGGGGATATCTGTGATTCTTCGGGATTTTTCATTTTTGGGAGGCGTTGCATTCTTAGCAGGGGTTGGCGTCTAAAGGGGTGTTTTTGATATCTTTTGTTTTCTCTCATAACCAATCCATACTGCGCAAGCGCCGTGCTTATGCATAGGTGGGGAAAGATGCATACTCATCACGCTCCAGGCGCCTAATCATCGGACAACCATCACGATAGGAGGGAATCAGAAGAAAAGAGATCTCTATCCACCCCATTACGAAGCACGGGGAGGTCACTTGGTGCTGACCCTTTCTCATATACCTTGAGCGGCCTGAGCTCCTAGGCAAGCGGGGGGGGGGCTTTTCGATCGTGTCTTCTTAAAACATCTCTATTACCTGGTCTTTCCTCTGGGTGTGATACTATACACTATATTATATTATATTATACTATACTATCTACTCTGGATCCAATCTCCATGGGCACTTCGGATGATTTATCAGCCCCCAGCAATGTGCCCGAGGGAGACGGGGACAGCAGCACTGCGACACCCGATAAACCCATCGCTTCTCCACAACTGGAGTTAACGGTATGTATTGAGATGTGGAATAGGCCTTCTCTCTCCTTAAGGCATTTCCGTTGAGCCACAGACCTGAACAGATCCAACCCCATCCGCATCATGCCCCAGGTACACGATCGGACGAGGATGAGCCTCCTCAGTCGGTGATCCATGCCCCACCAGGATTTGGTGATTTTGTGAGACACTCTGGGATTCATAACCCCTAAGTATCCTATAGAGCGTGTGGCTAACATTCAAAATGACTCCTGCTCCTCAAGACCGCGTCGCAACAGGAAACTGGGAGTACAGTTGATTCAGGGTCTCCCTCACCCAACTCGGAATATACCGAGTCAACTCGAGTGCCGGACAGGGTGAAAAAGGTGCCTTTCGCTTTGCCCTTTTATGAAGATATTTTCCCGTCATTAACGGCCAAACCCATGAAGATTGGAAACAGTCCTATTTCACCTCCTCCATTGACAACGGCCGTCACTCTCGCGAAAGATTGGTCCGATCGAGCAACGCCCCGGGCGCAAACAAGGCATGAATTCGAAGAATCTGATCGGCGAACACGCTCGAGCAGCCTCGAAGGTAAACTCTTCCTTCCCTGGCTTTATCCGACACGCCCGTTGCTGATCATGGCCCAGATATTCCCGAGGGTACGGACCCAATGACCGTTCCATGGAGATCCCCAGGCCCGGTGAAAGTATCTAACATCGCCCCAGGAAACCTCGCTAGCAAAGATGCCGAGGTTCACGCTTTGAGAGCAGCTCTTGCCGAATGCTGGACACTCTGTAATACACTGGCGAGTTTAAGCTACATTCACCGAGAACGGCACCTACGGTCTCACGGCGATGACATGCAAGAGGATGCATGGAGGTCCTGCTGGAGACTCTGTCAGAAGCTTTACGACACGCGAGAAGACGATTATGCATCCCAGGTGAATCCAACTCTTGACCTCTGCCGAGATTTCTGCCAGGCTTTATTTGAAGTCCGGGTTCGGGATAGTGACCTTGCCGACTCGGTGTTGCGCGTGAGCTTTGAACTAAATAATCACCTTTTCAACACACACGATCGGAACCTGCCCGACGCCTTTCGAGAGAGAACCTTGGATTTTTACATCACCCTATGCCACCGCCTGATGAAACAACGAACACGTCTCACAGAAACCGACTCTCTGCTGGGTGCGTGCTGGACCCTGGCCGAGATGCTCTTCAGCATTCGTCAAAGTAAGAGAGAGGGCAGACCGCTTGATGAAGATTTGTTGGGATCTGCTGTTCAAGCCTGTTGGGAGCTTTGCGATATCTTTCGTGAGGGCTGGACGCTCCACAGCCTGCGCAATTCGGATCGCGGAACCCCACGACCAAGTCAAACGACGTTTACGCAAGCATTCAACCAGGCGACGCAGCAGAGACTCGATTTTGTCGAATTGGTAGGCCCACCAGGCAACCCCGAAACCCCAACGACCATCTTTGAAGACACAGCAACCGCTTCGCCCGACGACACCCCGGTTCCTAACATCCTGGTACTGGGTCATGGCACGGATCCCAGCTCACATAATAAGTGGTCCTCAAATGCTTCAAGTATCTCGGAGATGTCTCGATCGTCTGGGCATACGACATCCTCCGCAAATACCGTAACCACTGTCTCTGAGGATCCCAACTTGACTAGACTGAAGGTCCTGATCACAAAAGCCGCTATCAATAGTGGTTATCGACCCGGCGATTCACTGTCCCTTTCATCATTTGTAAAATCACTTCCCTCGGATTCGTTTGGCTCCACCCCCTGGCAAACCTCGTTGCTCAAAAACTACCGGAAGCTGGTGGCCTTCGATCCCGCGTTCGGAAATGTTGGTCCCCGAGCTCGGGTCAGCGCTTTGGACGTGGCGCACGCATGCCAGGCGATGCTTCAAGGTGGACAGTATTCGTGGCTGCGAGATCTTTATCGTCTTGTGTTCGGTTTCTACATGGAAGAAGCGATAGGGCGCAAGGGTGTTGCAATCCAGACGTAAGGCGCATTTAGGACCACCGTACGATGAACAGGGTCGTTATTATCAACTCGCTTTGATATGCACTGTACATAGCACAGGGAATGGTTCTCTAGCGATAATACCGGATAGGCATGCCGGCGGTGTTAGTGAATACCTAGCTATCCCCTATTATCGCAGGAAATAGAAGATATCCTACCAAAATTAGGTAGGTGTATTTTGACTAGTAGAAAAATAAGTTTGATATAGAGATATTATCTATGTATAAGAGTTATACCCACACTTTATATGACCTTATAGGTTAATCATGCCTCTTTGGGATTTAGAAAGGGAATTAATTAGGGCACCTTAGGCTCTTGGCTGTTATATAGTAAGAAGTAGTTATACTTATATTAAAATTAGTTAGTATATGTATAATCTTTACTACTTTGATTAGTATCTACTACTAGATATATAAATACTAAATATAAAGATTAGTTTTTATCCTAATTTATTATACCTTTTTCTATTAGGACACAATAGGTAGGCTAGTCTAAATATAGTTAGTAGGTAGTATGGATTTAGAAAATTAAAGACATTAGAAGTAATAGATATGGTCCTATATTTATGTAAAGAATATACTTCGCAGGGTATATGTTATGGGACCTTCGTACGAAGTCCTATATAATAAAGAAGCTCAGCCTAAAGTCCTCACTAGTAGAAACTGACCGCCCTCCCAGCGAAATCCTAACCCTTATATAACCCCTTTTCTTTATATCTCTTAACAATTCCTTCTTATATCTAGGATTTATTATTAATTAACATAATTTAGTCTAATCCTTTAATATTAGGATTCGTTTATTTTTTCCCACCATTATCTAGTACCTATTAATTATATAATAATAGATCCTATAATAGAAGCTTTATAGTTAAACTATTCTTTTCTAGCGAATAACCCTAATAAGAATTTATAATAATTATAGCTAGTATACATTAATATTAAGATATATAATAAAAGCGACCTAATTATTTATATAGTATTCTATATAAATCTTATAATTAAACTTAAAATAGATTAATTGTACTTCTATATTAAAAGAATAGAGATTTGTTACGTTTTTAGTAGACTCTAAAACTAAACTAGTTAGCGAATTTATTTATAGGTTAAAACAATAATAATAATAATCTTATTGATATTACTTAAAGATTCTTATTGAACTATAGACCAGTAGTTTATAAACTTAAAACGGAAATAGAGGGTTTTTATGTAAAATAATATAATAAGATAAAAAAGGAACTCCGCGAGTTTTTTAGCGAATTTAAATAGAATATTATAGCTGTAAAAGGTCTAAACTAGAATAACTCTTAGAAATAAGCCTTTCTAGAGATAGCTATTAATATTAATCCATTTAAAAATATAATAGGGCTATTCGCGAATTTATGTAAAGAATACTAGAATAATCTATTTTATATTAATAGACTATTGAAAAGAATAAACTATTTAATATTCCTCTAGATCTTATATTATTAGTTATTTGCTAAATAAATAGACTAAGAGTTTATTTCTACTAGAATCGCGTTATTTAAAATATAGATTATCTCTCTTTATATAAACATTAATTAAAATTAAGAGAATATAAAATAAATTAATAAATAAAATTTATAAAGATATTATATAGTAAGAGTCTATCTATAATATAAAAAGATAGAATATTAGATTATTTCTTATATACTAAAACTAGTTATCTATTTAGCCTAAAATATTATAATTACTCTAGAAAAAAGATATAAATACTAAAAGAAAATAAAATAGAGTTAAAAAAAGTAATCTTTATATAAATATATATATAAGAGAGTTAAAGAACTTTAAATGGATTAAACTAAGATTAGAAAAGATTTAAAATATTATATAGACTTTTTTTATTATCTCAAAAATCCTAGAATAATATATTATAGCCTAAATCTTAGTTAATTATAGGTATTTTTATATAATATAATTAGCTAAAAGCTTATTTAGAAATAGGACTTCTCTATTTTTAATATCCTTTTTAGAGTCTTAAAGGATTAACTATTATATAGAATTATTTTTATAATATATAGAGTTCTTCTTTTTATTTAATCCTAAAAAGATAATAAGCTCCTATTTTACTAAAAGACTAATATTAATTATTAAATTAAATTTATTTAATAGGATAGAAAAGAATCTTTAATATTTTAGGGCTTTTTTTATAGAATATTAAATAAAAAATATTAATATTATAAAAGATCTTCACTAAACTTTTAGATAAAAAATTTATCTAAATAAACTACTTATTAATACCATTTACAAAAACTAAAAAAGGCCTCTATTTCTATATTAATTACTATATATCGAATATAATTATAAAAAAATATCGATATCTTTTATTTCTAATCTATAAAGTATTAAACTAAATCAGAAAAATAAAATAATTTATGAAACTTAATATATCTATAATTTTTTATAATATTTAGATTATAAAGAAAAAAATAAAAAATAGTCTTTTATGTAAGATATAATCTCTATAAATAGTTTATTATACTTTTAGTCTTATAACTATACTAAATATCTTCTAGGAGTATATTAATAATATACTTTATAGGATCCTTAATAACTTCTATTTAGCCTATTTTAATAATATACTAATCTATACTATTAATAATTATAAGGCTTATTAAAAATATATATAGAAGATCTTTACGAAGCCTTAGGAAATAGGACTATAATTTAATATTAGTAAATATAAATTTAAATATATTAAAACTAAACATCCTAGGTTTATTATATAAATAAATAAAGAAGTCTAGATAGACCTAAAGAAAATAAAAATAATTAAGAAATAGAAGGTCTTAATTAATATAAAAGGAGTTAAAAGCTTTCTCGGATTCGTAAATTTTTACTAGTAATTTATTAAAGTGTGTACACTTAGAGATTATATAGCTTTTCATAGATTTTATATAAAAAAAGAAGTAATTTGACTAATCTAAGTATTATAACGTAAGTTTTAAGGAGTTTAAATAATTGTTTATAATTAATCTAATTTTTATAATATTTAACCCTTTTTATATAATAGTTATTGAAATTACCTTTTTAGAGTAGACTATAAAAGAGATTCCTCTATGGTATAATAATTAAGGTGTATTTTATTCTTATATTTATTTTTTATATAATTGGTAGTAGCTAGTATAAAGTCTCTTTTTAATTAGTAAAAAGTAATTTTATCTAATATCTAGCTATTTTAGTTTATTTTAAAATACTAATTAGTAGATAAATTATCGAACTAAACTTTAATATAGACTTTCTCTTTAAAAATAATATATAGTAGTAGCATCTATCTATATATGTTTATCGAATTAATTACTATAATATATTCGCGATTGTTGGATTATAATAATAATCGCTATAGTAGTTAAATTAGGATATTACTTTAGCTATTAAAGTAAGGCCTATTATAAAACTAGTTTTATTAAAATTATATATATTATTATATAGAATACTGTTCTTATTATCTATCTTTCGAATATAGTTAAACTAGTCTATAATAATTTTTAGGTTTTTATTTTTAGCGCGCTAATAATAATATTAATAAGAGAATTAAGTCTTGATTATATTATAGCACTTAATAAGATTATAGACCTAATCCTACGTAATAAACTAAATAGGGGTAGATCTATATTTATCTTGGAATATTAACTATTTTTTATATAGCTATTAACCGAAGAGCTATTTTATATCGATATATAAAGGGAATCTATTAAATAATTAATTCTTCGTCGAATTAGGTTAATTCCTAGTAGTTAACGCGAGTATCGCGAATTAAAGGAATCTTTTATTTCTAAATAGCCTCGATAACTAGTAAAACCTTACCTTTTAACTCGATAGATTTTCGATATTTTTAAAAGCAGTTTAGTAGTATAATAGATAATTAAATTTAGGAGATTTATAAAGATAACGAGATTTTAATAGGGTAATTAGCTCGTTTATATATTATATTAGTAATAGAGTATATTAATAAACTATACTAAAAACGAAAACTTATTAAAATAGTTATATTTATATATACATATAGATAGATAGATAGATCCGTATCTATAGGTCTCTTCTAATATATATAATAGGATAGTAAGACTATAATATTACTATTAACTTTCGCCGGGGATATATCTACCTAAAAAATAGCTTTATTTAGATTCGAACTTAGTAATAGTAATACTATTAAATCGCTAGAATTTTAGGCTATAATAATAGTATAAATAATAGAATCTTGGTTAAGATCTAAAAATATATAATATTCGTTCTAGGGTATCGCGCGAAAATATATTTTTAGTACGTAAAACTATATTTATAATAGCCTCTTCGGGATTAGCTAGAGGGGCTATATTTAGCTATTATAGAGGCTTCGTTTAATAGCTAAATAAAAAGAGATAAAAGAGTAGAGTAATAGACTTTAAATATTAAAATTATTCCATAAATTGAATAAAATAAAGGACTAACGTTAGTAGTCCGATTATTTTATTATTTAGCTTTATTTCTAAGTTAGAATTAGCCTTAATTTTATAGGCCGAACTAGAAAAAATAGTAAAAAAAGATTATCCTTATAAAATTAGCTTATTTATAGGTTAGAATCTGTTACTTTAAATTAAATAAAAATTATCGAGATAGCGTATTAATATACCTTGAAATATATATAGTATAAAAATAGTAATAAATAAGAAAATAAAACTTATTAAATAATTTTAAATATACGAAAGATAAAATACATAGATATTTGAGTAGGATAAATAAATCAATATAATAAAATGATTGCTCTTTTTATATATATTTTTAATCTTATTATATTTAAATTACGAAGTTCTATTTATTTTTTATTATGTTACAAAGGATTTTATTCTACGATTTTATATTATATTATTAGCATCGGAAGATAATTATAAGATTATAGATTTAGATATTAGGTAATCTAGTTCTAGTAGACTAACTAGCTTGATATATATTTTAGATAGTAAAGGCTCTAATAGCTATAGTA